TTTTTCTCCACAATTTGTTTGTGGGAAAAGCTTTTTTTGGTTTCAACCATCTCTGCTTCGTAATGAAATAATATATGGCTTTGTCCATAATTGATCTAGTGCTTAACCAAGCTTTGGATCCATTCATTGTCGTTCTTTTCTGTCAATAATTATAAGTGCTCTTAAAGAGCAAACTGATTTAGATTTCTTTAATCTTATATCCAATACCCTCCTCCTAAGTTTCTTTCTGAATGTTTTGATTGTTTGTTTCCAGGTTTTCGTGGAATTCCGGGGTCGTGAACCTTCACCAGAGGCACTGCTCAGGCACAATGGACTATTAACCACGGCTTCTGCATGAACCAAGATGAATTACGATGAATTATAATGTTTACTTGGCCTTTGATTTATTTTTGGCTCTGCTTGGAGTTGAAAGGCATCATGTGGCCAGAAAAAGAAATGAGTTCAAATGTATCAATTGTCCCAAACCCATTGTAAGGGGTCTTTTGCGTCAATGACTAAATGATGTTGTAAGCGTCATTCATCTCAATAAGATTGCTTGTCCAAGAACTTGAAAATAACACAACAAAAATAATAATAATAAAATAAAATTGCAACAGTGGAATGAGGGTCGTCATCTTGCAATTTCATTTTATATTTTGGCTCAAGTCATTTTATGGTCTTTTTCGTTTGTTTCTTCCTTACATACATTCCTTCCAAAGAATTTACCATGGTGAGAATTAAAAAAATAACTACAATTAACGAAAAAAATTAGTTGCAATCAATGTATTCGGTTAATACTTTTGATATAAGCGATATTGAGTAAGATGGAAATCGAACTTACGATCTCGGGTGTGGAAAAGAACAATAATTGCTTTTTGCACCTAGCCCACTAAGGCAATTATTATTTAAACTTCCAGATTGTCACGCTTCAAACTTAATGTAAGCAGTGTGATTTTACACTTCCAACTCGATTACATATTGAGAAGGAAAATAACACTATCATTAGTATATTTATTGTTAAAACAGAAAAGATAGATATTAGGCTATTTATTAGCTAAACATTGTGCTATTCACTTTTTGTCTATAAAATGAAAATGCTAGGCAAAGGTCCTATAAAAAACTGAGCACATTATGAAAGAATAAAAAAAAAACTAAATAAAAAGAGAACAAAATAATGGAGGGTTTGCCTTGGAAGGTAAGACTCAAAAATCACGATTAAGCCCAAGAAAGCCCGGCTCTGCCCGCCCACAAAAGCCCGGCCCGTTAGGCCCACATACATATATAATTATGTATAAATAAGAGTTTAGGATTATGATTATATCACATAAATCACATATATAATTTGTTTAATTTCATTTACTTTTCTTTACCCATTCCTAGTTTATAATTGGATGAATATCACATTAATTTGTGTTAATTATTAATACAACAATTATATATATATATATATATATAAATAAGATGAACAACATATAATATCACCAAATATAATCATATCATGAAACATAATCGTACAACCAAATATAATCATGCTTTTCTTGAACACATCACCAAACATTTGCATATTTATTTATACCATCCTTTAAAAAAAAAATATTTTTGATACTTATTATTTTTTAAAATTATTTCTTAAAACGTATTATGATCTAATTATGTAATAACCTCAAAAATAATTCTTGGTTTTATTATTTTTGTGAAAAATCTTATTAAGTTGTGTGACTTTGTTGGGTGTTTTATGAATTTGGTTTGATGTGAAAATACTGGAATTAAGTAAGTTTAATCTCAAATTTGGACTAAAATGCCCTTATGATTAAGTTTATGATTTTTTTCGAACGAAGTAGGCCCATTTCGGCCCGGTCCATTGGGCTTAGCCCAGCCCGACCCGATGGACATTCTCAAGCCTGGCCCATGGGTCGGGCTTGGGCTCTGAATTTTCTAAAAAAAACCCAGCCTGGCCCTGCCGGATATTTTCTCTCTCCTCTTTAAAGCTCGGCCCGACTTGACCCAAGCCCATTAAAGTTGGACCGAGCTAGCCCGGCCCAGCCCATTGACGAGCCCTACACATTAATACTTGTTGCAAAAAGACTAAAATAGTCATGTCACGTCATCAAAACTGATAGAGTTATTAATGGAGATAACGGTGGGGGATAAAGTGGAACACGAAACCATGATCAATGGGGTTAAGTGGGGTCATTTAACTTTGGAGGTGTAAAGTAAAATTTGACCGAAGTTTTAGGGGGTACTAAGTAAATAAGCCTAAATACTATTACAGTAACATTACCCCTCTCTAACTAATATCATAGAACTTCCCATCGCACACAAGTGTATGATACTTCTAGTTAATAATTACACCAAGAGATCTATATGCTCTGAGATTCATCATTTTAGGTCAAGACTTGTAGTTGATTGCTTTGTTCCTGACTTGTATTCCTTCCATTCTATATATATTTTTAATAACCTGTAGCAGATATAGCTTGTATCACTCTTGTACAGTCAAAGGTTTAAGGAGAGGCATTTTCTAACAAAACTAGCACTCTTGGGTTCCTTCCACTTTTCTCTTAGTGTGCCCATGTTGCCTACCGAAGTATGCATAACAATTCATAGCATATGACTGTTCATAACTCTTTTGCATAACAATTCAGATTATATATATCTTCAAACTGAGTGAGTAATTAGCTGTAACCTTGGAATTGTAGGTTGGCATATTCGTGATTTCAGCAATGGTATTGTGAAACATGATGTATTGATTAGCTTACTTCCAGTGATGAGTTGAATTTGAATGTATTATGGATCTATGTTAAATGTTGTAGTTTTTATTTTTCTGTTTTTATTGTGGACTAGTTTAAATTTGAACATTATGTCATTTGAATGTAAACATTGGAATTATTCTGGAAATTTTTTCTTTTTGGTTGGCTTAATCATGATTCACAAATTTCAAAAATTGATTTCCAAAATTATTATCTGAAAATTCTGAAAATATTAACTTTTGAAAATTCCGATAATGGCAAAAATTTCGCATCGGAATAGAGTTAGCACATTCTGAAATTTTGGAATCGGAATCGGAACTGAAAGGTAATTCAGAAAAGTTTCGAAACGGAATTCGAAACAATGGTTTCCGATCCGTTTTAGCCAAAAACACCCCTAGTATTCTTTTAAGACAAACATATTGTTCACATTAATCATACTTTAAACAGGGTTCGTGGCCTGGCTCAAAATTTTTGTGTTCGAACCGGATTTTATAGGCTTTTTAAATTTTTTGGACTAGGCCAAGGTTTAAAAAATGAATGGGTCTAGACAGGCTTAATGAGAGGTGGGCCTAAACGGATTTTTTGTTAATCACTGTTTTGCTATGAGATAAATCAACTATGAAATGAAGTAGTTTGGTGTTTGGTAAAATTTTTGTTAGAAGTGCGGTTGGTAAAAAAAAATACAGGGTTATTTTTGCAATTTTGAAAGTTTCATTAAACACAGTGCCTCTTCAAAACTGATTCCGGCATAATCAAGAAATGAAAGCAACTCATCACCTGCTTTCCCTAATTGCTTTCTCTCACCGCAATTATTCAAAATTAGTGATTTTATTATCTTTTACCAAACAGGTTGAGCTTTCAAAAATTTCAAAATAATCACTTATTGCTGAAAATAAGCAATACCAAAGGGGCACTAAGTCTTTTAAATCTTTTTGTTACACATTTTTTGGTCAAAAGTAATAGATAATGAGTCTTATTTTAAACAATAGTATAGATTATTACATAAGAAAACAAAAATATTTTTCAAACTCTTTTACTAAACTTAGATCAATAGCCAATATATTTTTAAAAAAATATTATACCTAAAAATGAATCTTAGAAAATGTGTTACTTCTATCCCAAACAAGGATTGTTATCATGAAAATTGAAGTAATTTGTGTCATTAGAATTAATAAAACCAATATAAGCTTTCCAATTCTTTATTGAACCACTAAATTTGAACTTGACAGAAAAGGGGCACTAAAAGATACAGAGTATATATTGCTTGTTTGTTACAAAATTTTAGACAACATTGAAAAAATTAACTAAATTTATAAAAATGTGTAAACAAAATAAGAAGTTTATTACTTTATCATACATATTACATTATTTTGATTAAGTATAAAATGAGGCTATGGAGTGTACAATTAAATCTTAAACAAAGAAGGGCATATACGAGCCGACTGAGGGTTTCAAATCCTAAGCCCAAGCCCTACCCAACCTTAGAGTGGGCTTAACCACTTCGATCCGCTGTTCGTGGACTAAGTGATGACCCCTACTTATAGAGATGGTAGCTGATCAATTGGCAAAAAGAGGACATAGTTATATCAACTAATGTATATGGTTTTGTAATTTTCCGTTGGATGTCTCTGATGTGTGTGGTATTAGCCATAACTCTATGGTTGATCAAAATGATCATCACATCGAGCAAAAACCAGAAAATGGTCAACACACCCATGCTATGACAGATGCTATGCTCCAACGGTCACAAAGGCATAAGCAACACAAGGACAAGCATATTCCTTGTTCATATATGCTGAGTCATCCTCAGGGGTCCTTGCCCTAGGGTTTTTTGTATAGTCTCTTGTGTATATATATAAACCTTTTACCTCAATTGTAAATGACAAGAGCCGCAGCCTTTCATTGTATGATACGTTGATTGTAACCCATTATCAATATTAATAGAAATATAGACATTGCTTTTCTCAATACCTATAGACCTTTTTCCTTCTCAGTATGAATTCTATCATGGTATCATGAGCCATTAACACCACACGATAACTTTTTGCTGCTGCCCTCTCTACTCTACTGCCATGGCAATCCCACCCTTCAATAACCCTTTCTCTGATTCTCATCATCCCACTTCTGACCTTGCCCTCCACACCTACACTCCTCCCATCTCTAACCACCATATTTCCAGCCTTCTTCCTATTAAACTAACCCGTGACAACTATCTTTTGTGGAAAGAACTCCTCCTCCCTATTCTTCAGACCTCTAATTTGCTTGGCCTCATCAATGGTACTGACTCGTGCCCAACCTAATACATCCCTAATCCTAAAAACCCTATTCGCACCATTGTTAATCCCGATTTTCATCACTGGTTTAAAAAGGATCAGACTTGTAATCCACTCTTCACTCTCTGAAAGCATCCTTCCCTATATAGTTGGCTCGTCTACCTCTCGAGACCTCTGGCTCACTCTTGAAAAGAGATTTGCTGCCATCACAATATCCCACCTTTTACAGCTCAAAGCTTGTATTCAAAATCTCAAAAAGGGGTCTCTACCCATGCTGGACTATCTTCAGCTTATCAAACACACTGTTGACTCTCTTGCTGCTGCTGGTGATCCTCTTGACCCTACAGATTTCATTGCTTATATTCTCAATAACCTCCCTGCTGAGTATGATGCCTTCTCTACCTCCATTAGGGTTTGTTTTGACCTTGTAGACCCAGAAGAACTCCATGGCCTCCTACTTAGTGAGGAAATGGCTCTTGACCAACGTGCCTCTCTCAACAATGACTCCTCAGCTCATGCATTTCACAACTCCTCCCAAACCAACAACAAAGCTTTCTCCTTTACCACAAACTCTCACCCATCTTCCTCCACCAAAAGAAACTCCAACAAACCTTTCCAATCCTCCAACAACTCCTCATCCTCGTCTTCTTTTCGGCCTCCATATCACCCCTCTAATTATGTCAACTCTCGCATCAAATGCCAAATTTACAACAAACCAGGTCATACCGCTATTACTTGCTGCATTCGTCACAACCACTCATATCAAGGTCATGCACCTTCCCCTCGTCCCACCTCTTATTCTCCCACAACCCATAATCCCATTGCCTCTTACACCTCATATCCCTCAATTCATCCCTACCATACATCCACATGGTATGCTAATACAAGAGCTACAAACCACGTCACTCATGACTTATCTAGCATCTCAATGCCATCTGATTATACTGGTTCTGAAAAGGTAGTAGTGGCTAATGGGCAGACTCTTGACATACACCACTCTGGTAACTCCATACTCTATTCTCCTTCCTCTAAGTTTTCTCACAAAAACATTCTGCACACACCACATGCCACTCATAATCTTCTCTCTATTCACAAGTTTTTTAATGACAATAACTGCCATCACATATTCACTCTCTCTGCATGTTTTGTAAAAGACAATCTCACAGGCAAAATCCTTTTTCGAGGCCATACTGAAGGTGGCTTATATCATATTCACCTCTCTTCTCACAAGACATCACCTTCTTGTCTCATCATCACTGCTTCTCCATCTCTTTGGCATCAAAGGACTGGCCATCCTTCTGCTCAAATATTGCAACAAATCATCTCCAAAAACAATCTTCCAGTTTTAGGCAAATTTAAGGATCTATCTTTTTGTAATTCTTGTCCGTTGGGCAAGCAAACTAAGCTTCCTTTTCTCTCTACCCCATGTATTTCACGTTCTCCTATGGAATTAATTCATACAGACCTTTGGGGACCATCTCCTACTCCATCTCTTTGTGGTTTTCATTATTACATCATTTTTATTAATGACTATTCTAAATATTGCTGGCTTTATCCTTTACTCACCAAGTCTGCTGCTCTCACTGCTTTTATACAGTTCAAAATACACGCTAAAAAGTTACTTGACCACAAAATTCGCACTTTAAGATGTGACAATGGTGGTGAATTCACCAACATTGCCTTTCAACAATTTCTCATTGCTAATGGTATAAACCAACAGTTTTGCTACCTTCACACTCCTGAGCAAAATGGCTTAGCCGAGAGAAAACATCGCCACATCATTGAGCTCACAAGAACTTTGTTTGCTCAATCTAATCTTCCATTAAACTATTGGGTTGAGATTGCTCAAACCTTGGTCTATCTAATTAATAGAATGCTGAATAGAGCTCTTCACTTTATTTCTCCCTTACAGCAATTATTTCATTGTAACCCTAGATTATACATTTTTAAAAGCTTATGGGTGCACATGTTATCCCTGGTTAAGACCTTACTCAAAGCACAAATTGGCTTTCTGCAGCCATCCTTGTGTCTTCATTGGGTATGGCACTCAACACAAGGGATATAGATGTCTTGATGTTAAGACTAGATGAATTTATACTTCTCGCCATGTGACTTTTGATGAACACTCATTTCCATTTCATCAACCACCACCCACAGTTGCCCCATCTTTGACTCCCTCATATCCTCTTTATACCTCTACTTTACCTTTACCCCCACCTACTTTACAAACAGACCCCACGCCTCCTACCTCCCATCTACCTAATCCCCCTATGCCTCCAATATCATCCCCAACTTTATCCCCAACCACAAATTCCCTACCTTCACCCTTTTTCCTTTCCTCCTCCACAAATATCACTCTCCCCATTAATCATTCTTTATCCATCCCACTCAACGTTTCCCCCCCAACCCCAGTACGTTCCCCTCCTCTTTCATTACCTTCTATCACTCATAATCTTCATCCTATGCAAACACGTTCAAAATCTGGCATTACAAAGCCTCGGATTTTCACCACAAACCACCCATTTCCCACTGCTCTTGCCTCCATTCCCACAATTCCTACCCCCACCACATTTGCTTAAGCCTCCAAAAATTCCAAATGGTTGCAAGCTATGCAAGAAGAAATCTCAGCTCTCCACACAACAAACACATGGACTCTTGTCCCACCAAGTCCTACTCACAATGCTATTGGTTGCAAATGGGTATTTCGAGTAAAATACAAGGTTGATGGCACTCTTGCCAAATTTAAAGCTACACTTGTTGCCAAAGGTTTCCACTAATAGCCGGGCTTGGATTTCACTGAAACCTTCAGTCCCGTGGCAAAACCAACAACCATTTGACTCATACTATCCCTTGTTGTGCAACATGATTAGCCCATAACTCAGCTTTGACGTGTCCAATGCATTCCTTCATGGCACCCTTCATGAGGACGTCTATATGCAACAACCTCCAGGTTTTGTTCACCCCTCATATGTGTGTAAGTTAAACAAATCCCTATATGGTTTAAAACAGGCCCCTCGTGCCTGGTATGAGGAATTGTATCACTCTCTTTTATTTCTTGGCTTTATTTCTTCTAAGGCAGACCCATCTCTCTTTGTTAAGGCTGACCATTGTTTGACATTTATTTTGGTTTATGTGGATGACATAATCATCACTAGCACATCTTTTATCTCCTACCAAGCTCTCATCTCCCAGCTCAGTGCCAAATTCTCAATGAAGAATCTAGGTCCATTACACTATTTTTTGGGTATTCAGGTTCAGCGCACTGTCGATACAATGTTTCTCTCCCAGTAGAAGTACAAATGCGATCTCCTTACTCGATTCTCCATGTTGGACTGTAAACCATGCTCAACACCTTCTTCCTCTAAAAAATTAGACAATAAAAGTGGTGAAATACTCTCTGATCCTATCGCATATAGATCTCTCTTTGGCGCCTTACAGTATCTTACATGGACCAGGACAAAAATTGCGTTCTCAGTCAATCAAGTGTGCCAGCATATGCACACTCCTCGTACTCCGCATTTGTTAGCCGTGAAGAGAATATTGAGATATCTAAAAGGCACACCAGCTCATGGCTTGCTCATTCACAAAGGAAATCTCAACATCACAGCCTACTCTGACTCAGATTGGGCTGGTTGTCCCATTGACCGGCGCTCTACCACCGGCTATTGTATCTTTTTTGGATAAAACTTGGTGTCTTTGAGCTCGAAGAAACAAGCCTTTGTCGCTAGATCTTCAACTAAAAGTGAATATCGTTCCTTAGCTTACACAGCCACTGAAATTTTCTGGATTTGCTCTCTCCTCAAAGAAATTCATTTTTACCTTGATAAACATCCTCTCATCCTCTGTGACAATACCAGTGCCATTGCCCTAGCCTCGAACCCCATCTTTCATGCAAGAACCGAACACATCAAAATTGATTATCATTACATCTGTGACCTTGTTACCAACAACACTATCTCTATCTCTCATATCTCCTCCCAAGCTTAATTAGCAGACCTCTTCATAAAGAGCCTTCCTAAGCCATCTTCACCAACTTTCAGTCCAAGCTCACTGCTCCAAACCCGCAGTTGAGCTTGCGAGGGGATATTAGCCATAACTCTATGGTTGATCAAAATGATCATCACACCCAGCAAAAATTAGAAAATGGTCAACACACCCATGCTATGACAGCTGCTATGCTCCAACGGTCACAAAGGCATAAGAAACACAAGGACAAACATATTCCTTGTTCTTATCTGCTGAGTCATCCTTAGGGGTCCTTGCCCTAGGAGTTTCTGTATAGTCTCTTGTGTATATATATACACCTTTTACCTCAATTGTAAATGACAAGAGCCATAGCCTTTCATTGTCTGATACATTGATTGTAACCCATTATCAATATTAATAGAAATATAGACATTGCTTTTCTCAATACTTATAGACTTTTTTCCTTCTCAGTATGAATTCTATCATGTGGTATTAAAATCCCAAGGGAATGTAACTTATAACGTATTTTTGTTTGAAAAAGAAAAATGTATTGTTTGCGTATTGTATGTACTCACATAATTTCATGAATAATACACATTTCAAATAGTTTGCAATAATACACGTATGATTCACACATTTTATTCATATTTGTCACTTATTATTTTATCCCTGAACTTCTACTCGATTCACATTTTGGTCCTTAAATTTGCAAAGTGGCTAATGTAGTCCCTCAACTCACTTTTGTTAGCACCATTGGTCGTGCTATCATAATCTATTACATTTTATGTCAAAATGGTCATTTTAGGTAGTTTTCCCTTTTTGGGATTTTTAGGAGCCATGGTTCCTAAACTTATCTTGATTTACATTTTAGTTCTCCAGCTCGAATATTCGCTTCGTAGTCTGCTTCATCCTCTCGTCCCATCTCTCGTACCATAAGTCACACCACCATCAATGGAGAACAAAGCGAAGGTCCAAATCCCCAATGCACCAACTACTCCCCCTTTTCCCTTGTCCTCAAACTTCATTTAAAGATCCCTTTTTTCCCTCGGAGGGGAGGGTGGCTTGCCGTTGGGTTTGGTGGGTGCGGGTAGGTCATTGTTGCTGCTTATTATCACAATTGGACTTGGTAAAACGACTTAGAGGTTACCAAGGACCCATGCATAGCACTGAATAGGGGGCCGCCGAATACACTACGCCTAACATGTGAAAGTTCAATTTTTCCGTGATTGTAACAAGTTTGGGAGGGAAGTTAGGGGAAATAAAAACTAAATAAAATGATCATTTTTTCCTTATATTTGACGGAAAATGTAACAATATTATGACAACCTGGCAAATGGTGTGAGAGAAAGTGAAGTTGAGGATTATCAAACCTAATATTCGAGGTGAATGACCAAAATTTAAAAGGGGTAAAAAAGCCCAAAATTTACTAAATGATATACATACGTAGAAGGAAAACCAATCCTTTGCCGCCTGTTTTAATGAAGAAATGCCCAAAATATAGTATGATTTAGGGATGTAGTGTGCTGGCAGAGGCGGGTGGCAGGCAGCTGTGGAGCGCTGGAAATTTGGGTATTAATTCTACCTTCATTCTTCTTCAGAACACAGTCCAAGTAAGTCGTTGATAATGGAGAAGGGAAAAAATAATAAAAAAGAAACTCTGTTCGATGTTCGCTCCCCCAATATTCTCAAGGCGGAGAATGCGGAGCCAGACAAAGACAGTGGTGAAATGACACTCTTCCCCTTCTCCTTTACCATAATTCCAAGGCAATGCCGGCCGAGGGACGGCAGTATCACTCTTGTTTCCACATTTCTTTTCACCATCTGCATCATCACCAGATTCACTACACTCCCAATGCCCTCCTTCATTGCTTTTCACCATTGCTAATGTCACCTCCTAGGTGCTACCGTCTACTCCAAACTCAGCCGGAGACTTTTTGCTTCCAGGAGCCTTAATGGGTTGTGTTCAGACCAAAACTAACTCCCCAACTCATGGCCTTCAAGGCCTTCACAAGTTGAAATTGGATCATGGGTATGTCAAGGGAGGTAAGGAAGGAAAACCCATTAGCCAAAAACACTCCAGAAAGGATATTAAGGTGGTGAGGTTTAATGGGGAGGAGAAGGTTGTTGATGATGGTGGTGTTGGTGTTCCTGGTGGAGGAGGAGGAGGAGGAGGAGGAGGAGGAGAGGGTGTGATTGGAAGGGAGACAGAAAAAGGTAAAACTGGTGGGAATGTTTCAGGAAGGATTACATTGAAGCAGATTGGAGGAGATGATGATACTGTGGGTGGCTGGCCAAAATGGCTTGTTGAGAATGTGCCTGAAGATGTCTTAGCTGGCTTGGTTCCTAAGACTGCTGATTCCTATGACAAACTTGCTAAGGTAATTACTTACCAAGTACTCTTTAATTATGCGCAATGACATTATCCAATGTCTTACATTTGTCTTAGTGTTTGGTATATGCTGAGCACCCTTGTCATCCTTGCTCCCTGGATGGATAGACATGAAAAAGTTTAAATGAGTTTTCATTGTTCTAACTTCTGACACATGTTATGTTTAATTGCTTCTTCATTGTGGACTTGTAATTTTGATACATTCAAAGCCTGTACTTTGAGTTTGGGGGGTGCTCTTTGAATTCCTAAACCTTTTACTTGAAGGTTCTTTGTATCCTGGCGTGTATGAATGGAAGGAACTTGACATGCTAGAATAACTTCCTTTATTTATCATTTCTGTCATCTTCCTTCCTCTACCATTGTTTTGCTCAATTTTTTAACATTTTCTATCATCATCCTTTCTCTATCCCTGTTTTGCCCAAAGATTCAAACTGCGGCTTCAGGTGTTAGATGACAAAGAGGGGGGTTGGGTGGGTAAATAAGTGGTGCCATAAGGTTGTTTGCCTTTCTTGGAGGACAAGGGTATCACAATACCTGAATTGGGTTTCGATATTTGGTTTTTGCAGGTTGGCCAGGGAACCTACAGCAATGTGTACAAAGCTCGAGACAGGGACACCAAAAAGATTGTAGCTTTGAAAAAGGTCCGCTTTGACACATCAGAGCCAGAGAGTGTCAAGTTTATGGCGAGGGAGATAACAATACTACAGAAGCTAGATCATCCCAATATCATAAAGCTTGAAGGGATAGCTACATCAAGGATGCAGTACAGTCTATATCTGGTCTTTGATTTCATGCAGTCGGACTTGACCAGAGTAGTCTCACGTCCTGGACAGAGGCTCACTGAACCGCAGGTTGGCATTTTTCTTCGTCATCCTTAGAGCTAATTAAAAACTCTTATATGTAGGTATTGGGAATATAAGTATGAACTCAAATTTTGTGTAATATTCTGCTGAGAAAGGTGTGGAATTAGTGAAATAATCAGGAATAGGTCATGATAAGGCAAGGAAAGTCCTATAATTAACTTTGGAGTGGGAAACAATGAAGGTTGCAAATGATAAAGAATACTCCTGTGTCATTGGAAACTTTGCAAAATTGTTTAAGCACTTATTTGTACTTTGTAACTCAATTCCTAATTGTTGCAAACTCAATTCTCGGAATCACCTCTTAAGAAAAGAAACAGGGCCTTCCCGTCCTCACACATAAATGAATAGGAAGCGGGGCGAGGGTCTTTTATTAAAGGGAAAAGAGAGGTTCTTTTGTAGCTTATTTCTATTTTAGGTGTCCGTGAACTTAATCAGACTGATTTGGGTGCTTTCTGTACAGGTGAAGTGCTATATGCAGCAGCTGCTTGCTGGTCTCCAGCACTGCCATGAGAATGGGATTCTACACAGAGACATTAAAGCTTCTAACTTGCTAATAGACAAAAGTGGGATGCTCAAAATTGCAGATTTTGGGCTTGCAAATTTTTTCCCTCCCAAAAAACGTCCTCTTACGAGCCGAGTTGTGACACTGTGGTACAGAGCGCCAGAGCTGTTGTTAGGTTCTACAGATTATGGAGTTGGTATTGATCTTTGGAGTGCAGGATGTCTATTGGCAGAAATGTTTGTTGGGAGGCCGGTTATGTCTGGGAGAACAGAGGTAAAATGCTTTGACAGTGAGTTATTCTCTTTAAACTTCATTATCTGTGCATTCTAACTTTCCAGGAAAACTAAATGAGCTCTATTGCCTTCTCACATGAGTTAGTAATACAAATGAATCATCACACCATTACAAAAATCTTGAGCAATTAGAGAGGCATCTGCAAAATGAAACAATTGCATCTTTCATGTATTCTTCTTCACATAAGCACTTTTGTTTTTGTTTATTTCTGTACATTCAACATAAGTTTTATTTTTTTATTTTAATTTCTATGCTGGAAATAAATCTTATTGGATTCTGGTTTTATTTTATGCATTACTGAAATATGCTTTTTCTGTAAGCCTATGCATGTGACCATCTTATTTGTGGCACTTTTTAGTCTATTGAGCATTTGTGTATTCAGGTTGAGCAACTTCATAGGATCTTCAAGCTTTGTGGTTCACCTGGAGATGATTACTGGAAGAAAATGAAGCTACCAACAAGCTTCCGACCACCACAACATTACAAACCTAGTTTTGAAGAATTCTTTAGGGACTTCTCAACATCATCATTTGGTCTCTTGACAACACTTCTTGCTCTGTACCCGGCATCTCGTGGCAGTGCTGCTTCTGCTCTCCAAAGTGACGTGAGTACAAACAGGAAGCTCTTTCTTTGTGTAATCAATATTTTCCATACCTTCTTTTTAGTCCCTTCTCTTTTAGTTTGCTTGCCCATTCTCTGCAACTGAAGAAGTTCGTGCAGTGAAATTATCAGGAGTTTGAATAGTTAGTGCTACAGGAAATGTTGAATCTCTCTGTTTTGTTAGATTAACATAATCATGAATTTGTTCTGAATTGACTAAGAGTTTATGGTCAATGTCTAGCAGGTCATCATTGCTTTGTATAATGATGAATTCTTAGCATAATTTCTCTTCTCTCTTTCTTTCTCTCTCTTTTGGCGAAAAGGATTAGCATTATCAGTTGTATGTCATCTTTGATTTGTTTCAGCAACCAGATACATAATTTATTTTTCTTTGTGGGAGATAAAATTAAGATGCCATGTTGTTACTCTTTTACTTTACGAGTTGGATGAAAGTTTATGAGTACAATTTCAAGTATGAACTGCGTCTATGCGGACAACTTGACCTTTAAGAAAAAATTTGGTCGCTCTAAGAGCAGAATGAGTGAAGAAATAGCAATGAGAAAGGAAAGATGTCTTAGTGATATATTTTAGTATTTTCCTTTTGATTGTTTGATGTACTTCTGCTCAACATGTATTTATAAATACTAAATTCTTTCTGCTTTCAGTTCTTTAGTTCAAGTCCGTTGGCATGTGACATTTCAGCTCTACCGGTAATGTATAAAGGGGAGGATGAGTGGATTCACACCAGGGATCGGAGGAAGTACGTAATTTAAATTGATAAGATGCAATTTACTGTCATTATTTTGATTTATTTAATAAATAATAGGCTGAAAGAAGAAAGATAGCACAAGATAACATTTGAATTTGATTGGATGAAAAATTAAGATATATGTTTTACTAATTTCCCTTTTTATTAAACTTTTACCATTTGAAATGTTACTTTTATATGTGTAACCAAAAAAAAATCTTACTTTTTTTTATAACACAAAGATAACCTTTAAAATTTCCAATTCATTAGCATTTTGAATTACCTTTTCCTTCCTACGTAAGATGTTAGACACTTAGAAGCTGCTCTTTTAGGTTTTTTGAGTGGTGTTCAATTGAGTACAAATTTGTCCATTATGTTCTAGTCCCGTTTAGAGGAAAAACTTTCATTTTCAGTAATGGAGACGTTGCAGAAACAAGCCTCACAAAAAAAGACTGTAGGAAAAGACGCAATGAACGAAAGCTTTCCCTGAATCTAAAACAAAAGAAAATCTGAAAGTGGCAAGGACTTTCAATTAAATGCTACAAAACCACAACGGATTTAAATTGTCTTGTTTAGATATAAAATGGATGTTATGGGCTGTCAACACACCCAACATATGAATTACTTTAATTGTGCTTTTCCATCTGATATAAGGAGGGCTTCCAAACCAAAACATTTGTCTCAAACAAATCGTGAACTTCATCAAAGAAAGGTCCAAGAGGTCAGAGGAGAGTTTGAATCTTCTAATAAGGTAAATCCTTAGTTTTGCATTTTTGTTTGATTAATCAGACTCAATTTTGGATTACTTTTCCTATTTATGAAGTTACATGGTATATGATATATAGCTCATGGTGTAAATCCTTTTCTCTTTCTTTAGTTTCTGCTGGAAAAGAATGCAGAACCGAACATGTACCGCCAAGCTACGGGAAGTTCGCACAGCCAGGATATGGAAAGCATGCATAGCCAAGAGATGGGGAGCAACAGTGCAAGCAGCATCACTTCCTCCAGTTTTAAACCAAGCATATATGAGAACTTGCATGCATCTCTTTCTCCAATAATCCGTTCTCATAAAAAACGATTCCCGACCACTGAGGGTCATCCTACTGCTCTCAAGAACATCAACCCTGATGTTCTTAAAAACATCAAGGACTTTCCCCTCTTGCATGCCTCTATAACAGATATCATCAACCATACTGAAGGCAGTGCACTGTCCTATTATCGCAGATCTCATTCTACATTGGACTTCCGAAATATTGATCCGGAGAAGATGTGATAATTGTTGGGACTGGACAAAGAGTAGACAATTGGAACAAATCTTTATCACCTCAAGCTGTTCTACTCCTGGCCTAGAAGCTTATAATTCTTTTCCCCACTTTTTTTCGGTCTCAGTTTTCCCTTTGTATGATTTTGTGCTATAAATAAATCTGTATCTGGGACCCTTTCTTTACTAAATCACTTATGCAAAATTCTCTAGGGAACATTAAGGGAAGTTAGTTTTGCACTGAACTAATGATTACAGAAAAGTAGTAATATATCGATGATCTTTTATTCTAAACTTGCCCAGGAAACAATTGTGTTGGATTGGACCATAGACATTATTTGCTAACAAATTTGTACCAGTATTTTACATGTGTTTGTTCTAGATTTGTCCCGGATGCCATACCATCAGGGGTGAGCCAGAGGGGCAAGTTAAATTTGGAAGCAGTGGTCGAATTTGATGTGAGACTTCGGTCTGAGTTTAAACAATGTGGCCGGGATTTGACTGCAGTAAGTCGAAAGACCATTAGGCGCCAAATGTATCGGAAGCTTCAACTGGGAGTTTGAACAATGTGGCCGGGATTTGACTGCAGTAAGTCGAAAGACCATTAGGCGCCAAATGTATCGGAAGCTTCAACTGGGTACAAGCCGAGGTACTAAAGAAGGTACGTCATGCTAACCCAAGCTAAAAATATATATATAAATACAAAGAGGGAAAGTTAGGCTGGTATCTCTGGTAGACCAAAAAAATCCTTGGTGAAGGAGAAAATTTCAATAAATCTCAACAAATGAAGACAAGAATCATGGGAGGGGCCAAAATGCTTAACCCTTAAACCCAATACACACTCCAAAATAATTGGCAGAGGATCCTACGCCAATGCTTGCATCAGAAAAGTCCACAAAGAATCCGACATAGGAGCTGCTGAAGAATTTTGAAGGCAGCCAGTAAATTCATGCCTCCATCATGCCTTAAGTCTCTCCATCAAGCCTTAATTAGCTCCAACCCAACCTCATTCATCCTCAATCATGACCCAAATCACCTTCATTAATCGCTTCCTTTAAAATATCAACATACGCATACTTTTTGTTTCTTCTCAATCCTCTAAATTAACAGGAAACCCCAATTTTCCTGGGGCCACCACCAACGCGTTGGTGGACTTGGTTCTCTGCATGCCCTATGTTTAATGTTACCTTGGACCCCAAGAAACCTTACAAATAGGTCACCTTCTCCCTTCACATGGATTGATACTTGTCCTTATACAAAGAAAACTCTGTTGAATTCACTGTTAAAATTCTGAAATGATTTTAGCGCCACAAGGTTTTTGACTGGTAGCATACCGATTTGCCTCAGATCATCTGATTGTTGTCTTGCACAGGGTTTACTTCGTGATTGTACTCAAGCTATCTTAGATTGAATAATAATCGTTCGTACTTTAAAAGGACAAAACTATTTGTCATGCCTTCGGCTATGCGCATGCCCCCTATAGTGCTCTTTCATTTGTAGATTTAATGAAGGACTAATTGCTAAATCAAGAGAAGGTAAGGACTGTTTTTCTTCTTTTGTTTGGCGTAGAAGTTAGAGGAAATTCAGACGAAAGGAATTGAAAACCTACCCTAATGTAGCGGAGGTTCTAGTTGATGAAGAATGAAGTAAGACTAAAGGGGATTGAAAGTAAGTTGTCTGATTTGATCACCATCCAATCCTAAAGGACTGAATCCCACACATCTCCAATACAACTGTTGGTAATTGTTGTAATTTTAGATATAGTACCGTAAAGTAGAAGCTAATATCACAAATAATTTTAGATATAACCTAAAGCATCAACAACCATAGAAGACAAACAATTATACATCTGGATAAATAAATAAATAAAAGGCTAGGCTTAAAATACAGAAAAAGAAAGCGATAGCAAAGGAAAAGAAGCATGTTCCTTTGCAAGAGCAGCTTAATTCAAGAGTAGTCAAAACCATTTTATATATCAATCATTGGATTCAATCCCAAGAAATTCATTACAAATTAACCAGGTCTTGACAAACTATACAGTAATTGGAACCTTACTTGACTTTGACAAGAAAATAAAAAAGTAAGAGGAGTCGGTTTAGTTCACTACTCATCGTAGAAGTTGTCAACAAACTTGCCCTTAATCCATTTGAAACTGTTGCGCAACGACGACTTGAACTTACCTTCCACAGCATACATGTTGTAGCTTGCCACCCTCTTCCTTCTCTCCAGCTCTGGATTGCCAGATGTTGAAGACAACTCATCTACCTTGCTGCAGCTGACCGGACCATTGAAGCTGTATGATTTCGACCGGTCCTCAAACCCAAACTGGGCCTCCGTGTAGCCGGTCGAGTAGCAGCCGGAAAATGATTTGCTCTTCTCCATTACAGAACTTGCTCAGGGAGAGGGAGGCCTTACAAGAGTACCTTTCAGTTCCAAATATATATGCGGTGTGAGAAACTCAGAATAGCAACCCAAATAACCAAGTGCGGTATGCATGGGCCATGACATGCCTTACTTGATGATTAAAGAACTGAATTATTGGGAATTGTGCGCAGGACAAAATCTGCGTTAGGATATGGTGGCGGACAATTAATAATATTACTCAGGGTAGTTGCTTAGATAATTATATATGGAATATGCTAAGTAATTTATGAGCAATGAGCATTTGACACCCACAAAATTAATTAAACTCGGATGCTCTAAATTTTCCCAATTGTGCTTATACTCAAAACTAAGTTTTTGTATAGTAGTATTTAATTATCTTTCTAATATAAATGATGTCTTTTATAGCGTCCAATACAAGTACTAAATACTGAAATTTAAAACAAAATTATCATAATAAGCAAGCAGTATACAAGGTGCAATCAGGAGGCAAATAATTATACACAACAAAGTAAACATTTTTTTTCTTAGTGGAGAAGTTTGGTGACACCATAGCTGGAGTAGGTACTGTGCTTTCCTCGTTATATGAAATGGAATCATGAGAGAGAGAGAGAGAGTACACGTGGACCAAGATGGTGGTGGACCTGTTTTACTGTTCAATAGGATAACCCACTACTGATGTGTCATTTGGGTATCAATTACTAGTGGTAGGGGCCCAACGTGTGTGGGGTTGGCTTAGTGGAGGAGTGAACCCACCAATATGGGTGTGGAAAGGAGTTGAATGTCCCACCATAATTTCATAAGGTTGTGAAGCCCACAAGGCCCGATTTCATTTTAGAATTTTAAAATTTATCTTTTATTTTTTACTTTATCTTTTATATTATTATTTTTTATTTATCAAAGTTAGGAAGAGGAAAGGGGGTTTTCTTATGCACACATTGCCAAGGTGTCACGGGGGTTTGAACCTGAGCCTTTTCCACTCGGCTAGACAGTGTTGGCATTTTAGAATAATCATTCACTTAGAGGGTTAAAAAAAAACACTCAAATCTCACATGGATTCCAATTTGCAGCACAGTAAGAAAAACATGGTAGGAAAAGTGACCTTACACTCTAGACACAGTTCCAAACTTCTATGAGCAATACGATCTTGATGAAGCAGAAGCAATAACAAGAACAGAGTAAAATAGCAACATCTGCACAAAGTGATGGAGGGTGTAGATTGAATGAATTTATAGATTGGGTGCTAAATTGAAATCGACCTATAAATCAAGTCTGCATTTTGTAATTGACCCTTTATAAAACTTAACTCATCATCCATGTAAAATATTTGCTGCTTTACTAACAAAAAAGGACAGAAGAGGAAATTAATTGAAGAGTCGTATTTGACACACAAAGAACAAAAAGAAATGGCTCTATTGCAGAATAAATTTTTAGATGAAGAGGAACAAGCATATGCGCACCTGATTTTGCCCATATAAGTGAAATTTAACGACTGAAGAAATCAGCACCATCCTCGACATCATCAGTTTTGATGCATCCACTTTGTGCCATAAGTATTCTGTACACTCTCTTGGAACAAACTTCACCTAATCTTCTATCATCACCAAGTAAACCTTCGGTTGTCAAGTCCTTCAGCAGAAATTCCTTTTCATGAACCTGCAGAGAAAAGCAAATAGAACAAAAAATTCATTGTTTTACACTGATGAAGCAGACTGAAAGGCATGTGCATGCTGCTCATCTTGTAACAATATCAACATATATTGCATAAGCTATAAGCATGCGAGTCGGCATATTTCAACCAACTATACATAGCAACTCAAACCTCCAAATTGTTTTCTCAATGAACTCAATCAAAGCAATTTCCATCTTCTTTTTCTTCTGTTTTTAAGAGACAACTAAAGCAATTATGTTCAAAATGGCATAGAACAATGGCCATATTAATCAAAATCCATTTCTATTGGAATTTCATGGTTGTATTCTAATTACTTCTCGAGCAGATATATATCACAAACAAAACATTTTATTCAGTTGTCATATACATTACACAAACTATACATGGTTATTCAAGAAGCAGAAAACCCATCCAATTTTTTACTTTATTAGAAATACATGTTTTACAGGGTAAAAATCAAAAGGAACAACAAGAAACATGGAGGAATGGTCCATCAGACACTTAAAACAACAGTTAAAACGCTCTAACCCAGTCAATCAACCGTATCCAGTAAGCCCTCAGTACAAAACTCCCCCCTCCCCCCTCGGGATAAAAAAAGATTATTCTGAAAGGAATGTTCTTTAAATGTTTTGACTGAGATGCCCAGAGAGAAGCAAGCAGTCTAACTCTATCGCAAATTGCTCCCCCTTCCTCCTTGAAATGTTTTAACCAAGAGGATAGTGACTATTAATTCCTTTCAGAACTTGGAAGTTCCATTGCATTTCTTAGTCTCTCTTCATTTCCCAAAACAGACTAGTAGCCAGATGTAACCCAAAATTACAGATTCCATCTTCCAAACAAGCCCAAGGCTCCTACAAGACCAATGGGTGAGGCTATGTTCAAAACTAACTTTCTTACTAAGGTATCGGTCCACAATTTTTATTTATTTTGTTGATGGGAAACAAAACTTCATTAACAAGAGAGCAACAGCACAAAACAATAGACAACATGTCAACAGGAGCAAAGAACTAGGGACCTGTATAACAGCATCAAAACCTTAAAAATAGCATAGAACCAGTAAAGAAACAAAAGAAAAAACAAAAACAAAAAAGTTCCAAAAGAAGGAGTGCCCCTAAAATCTGGAGAGATTGAAGCCCATACTTATTGATACATTTGGATCCGTGTACACACTCAGAGAAAAAGGCATACTATACTTACTGATATATTTGGGTCCATGTAAATACTCAAAAGAGATTTCATGGTAGGGTACTTCTTCCATATAGCAATAGCAAATCGTGGCTGTACTTTAGGGATAGCTACCAAAGCTTTTAACCTGGATGCAGATACTAATTAGGAACAAAAATAAAGTACTCACGTATAAAATGGATAAACTTACGAAAAACATACAAATCATATTAGTTTGTACAGAGAAGGCTTGTTCAACAACATGTTTTACCTAGTGTCTACCAAAATTGCTTTGGCATCATTAGTTGAGAACACTAATAGGAAGAAAAAAAAACAAAGACCAAGTAAACTGTTGCATGCTGGTGTTTGGGAGATTAGTTCAAATTAAAGTCATCAATATTCCTAGAATTCCAGAAATCCAGTTTGAATTCGGAAGGCCATATTTTGTGGGGGCAATGGTTGGAGGGCTCGGAGGAAGGGGGATTAGTCCCAACTAACTAGACAATTAGGCTTTCAGGTTTCTCTATCCTCTCACTTTCATCATGATTCCTCTTCTCCTTTCTGTCCGATCAAACCGTCCTCAAAAGGAGATAGAGCAACCTCACCGGCCTATATCTAGGCCTGCAGTCCAGAAATTGAATTCAAAGATACTATATCCCCTCGAGGAAATAAGAATGTATATCAAATGACATAAGTAGAACCAGTATCATAACAACCATAGGAGATGAATAAAATCTGTACACTCTAAAATGATGCATTACTTTTGGTGCTGGCAACAATAATTTAAGGGTCTATTTGACAGTGCTTTTAGAAGAGCTAAAAGCGAAATCACAAAACCAAAAGTGTTTTGGCCATGTATAACAGAATAGTTAAAGGAAGCACTTCCATACATTTCCAGGAAGCAATTGGATTTTCAATAAAAAATTTGATTTGCTTCTAACAAAAGTGCTTCCAGCAAGTAGAAGTGTCCCAAACAGGCCCTAAGCAGTTCAGACCCTTAAAAGTAGGCTTCATGTTATGCAACATTCATCATACGAAGTCACATCTTTAATTTTTATTCACAATCCAGACTTCTGCCTTCTGAATCTGCTATCTATCTTCTAATTCTAGTAAAATGATCAATCTGTTAACATCATGCTACTCACCATGGGCTCTTTTTAATTAAATTTCGGTCAAGGCAGTCCTTCGGGATAAGGGATCCATTAGCATTTACATCCAGTCTCGTTAACTTCTTTCTGCAATTTTATAAAACAAAAGGTAGAATCAAAATATTGACCAGTTAAAATGTGAAAATTCCAATGGAAAGAGAGAGAGCATTTGTCGTTTTACAATGAAAAAATAACTGTACCAAATGACATGACTATTACTTTCTAGGTAATATAAAACAAAACGAAAAACTAATTTGGAAGTTTGAAACATGAGTAAGCTATGTGATCCTCAGACAGAACTTTTTAAAGAAAATGAGAGTGTAAATGTAGAAGCATATATAAGGCCTAGAAAAGTAAAATCAACAAATACCTAAATTGGCAGGATGACAGGCTGCATGTTAGACCAACAACATGTTCCGCAAGTTCAGCCTCATCCATGCACTGCCTGGAGTGTACTTTAAAAAAATTAGTGGTCAATTTTGCGAGCGCCTGTTAAAAGGGGAAGAAGTCAGGACACTAAACCATTAAAGATCCACTGTTCTGCAAGACATATATGAACGGCCAAAAAGCATTAATGTCTTGCAATCCTTTTAATGTCAGTAGTTCAACCTCCTCAACAGGTGGGAGTCTCCGGCCACTTTGATTTGTCGGGTTCTTGTACAGCTCTTTTTCCCTAACATTGTAAAAAATTCAATGTGATGCAGATCTTCAGTATGCACAAACCCATACTAGCATATTATAGTAGAGCAGAAAATAAAGATAGCAACTGGCACACAAACTGTAAATTTTATACAATGAAAGATAAAAAAAGACAAACTTATTTCCAACAAAATCTAAGAAAATACCATTGCATGTCAAAAACACATTCAAGATTTTCTACGTATAACACAAATGAGGAAATGTTAGGTATATGTCACTAATAAAGCTAAACATTCTATCGTTCATATCAAAAGTACACTGAACTGAATGGCAAAGTTTTAATTTTTTTTACATCATGCAGTAGTTTTCTTCATGTGATGTTCTACAATATAACAAAACACAACAGGTATTTATAATCTGATGCGGACATCATTAGTTAGTTTCCTGATTTATTAGTTTCCTAGGTTCTCTAGTTTTCCAGATTTCACTAGGATTATAGTTTCCAGATTTTTAGTAGGATTTGATTTAAGTTTCCTAGTTTATTTGAATTAGTTCCTTGGTGGATTAGGATTTCTGTTTTAGCAAGGGATTTTTATCCTATTTTCTCTAGGTTTTTTGCTATATATACCCCCCATGTAGTTCTTTAAAGTTGAGTTTTGAGATATTAAGAAAAGTTTACTTTCCAGAGATTGGAGACTACTTGGTGTGAAGCCAAACCCCTGGAGTGATTCCAGACCTATCCCCTTTGTTCTATTTTCTGTTTTCCATTGTTTTTGCTTCCACTAAACTACCTAAATTCTTGATTCACCCATATCCTACATCAAATTTGGCATCAGAACCTGGTTTTCATTTTCCTTGGGTTCAAAATTTTCGAGTATTTCTTGTTCTTCACGCCGTGTGTCAAGTGATGGATCCGACTAAGCCTGGAAAGACAGATGAGCCAGAGACGGACTTTGAACGTCTTGTTCAGATGATGGAAAACCTATCAAAGCAAGTGCTAGATTCGGACACTAGATCCAGACTCGTGGAGTGTCGCCTTGCAGACTTAGAAGAAGCTAACCAACATGGTGAAGCAAGTGTGAATGGAGAAGAGAGGAATCATGATCGACAACATCATGATAGAAGGAATGATTGAGACGTAGAGAGACACAATTTTCATCGTGGCTATGAGCAAGACCCTAATGAAAGGTGATGAGATCAGTGAAAGTTGACGCTCCTAATTTTGATGGTGAGCTAAATCCTAAAGCACTCCTCGACTGGTTAGCTACCATGGATCGCTATTTTGAGTGGCATGACATGCCTGAAGCTCGAAGGGTGAGATTTGCTAAGATAAAATTGATGGGTCAAGCTGGTGAAGAACCAATCATCCATTGGGGTGAGATGAAAGAAAGGTTGAAGCAGAAATATCTACCATTATCCTATCAATAGAGCTTGTTGGAAAAGTGGCAAACTCTTCGTCAAGACAACATGCCAATTGCTGAATATATTGCAAAATTTGAGGAATTCATGTTGCGATGTGACATAAGGGAAGATCAAAGGATGACTATTTCTTGGTTTAGATCAGGACTTCGTCTAGAGCTTCAAAGGGAATTAATTCCTCATACTGTGAATACTTTAGAGAGGGTTTTTCAGATGGTACAAGAATTAGATAAGTATTTAAAGTCGTCCAATGTAGTCAAGCAAATTGATTCTCAAAGATCTAATTTTCACGTTTGCACATCTGTGACTCCAAGTTCTACGACTCCAACATCTACGACTAATTTAGTAAAAACTCCCAAGTGAAAAAGAGTACTAGTTGATACACATGGTGGTGGAACGCAAAGATGTTACAGATGCCAAGGTTTTGGACACTTTGCTGTCCAATGCCCAATGAAGGAGGCAACAAGAAATCTGTGTGCACACATTAACGAACAAGCTGACAATCAAGGCGAGGAAGATATTTATGAACCCCAACAACCTGATGAAGATTGTGGAATCGACTTTGAAGTCCCTCAACCAACATTAGCAGTAGTAAGGTGTACTTTGGATCATCCTAGGAAGGATACTGAGGATTGGCGTAGGACTTCCATTTTCCACACTTATATCAACTCTGGAGATAAAGATTGTAAGGTGGTCATAGATAATGGGAGTTGTATCAATGTGGTGTCAACCCGTTTCGCATCTTGGTTTGTAGCCTGAGAAGCATCCTGTGCCATACAGAGTAGCATGGATTGACAATACATCTTCTATCCCTGTTACCCAACGGTGTCACATTCCTATACAGTTTTCATCTTACAAAGATCATGTTTGGTGTGATGTGGTGGATATGGATGTGAGTCATATTCTCTTGGGAAGACCATGGATCTACGATTACAATGTTACCATCTTGGGTCAAGAAAATATATGTTCGTTCATCTATAAAGGAAAGAAGATCACAATGAAGCCACTTCAACCCAAGCTCATGAATCAATCCATACCAAACAAAGAGAAGCAAGACAAAGTAGGTAAAGCCAAAGCTCTACATATCATTACGCTTAAATAATGTAAGGAAGATGCAGAAGTTCCTAGTCAAGTGGAAGTTAAACCAGATTCTCGGATTACAAAGGAGGACCTGCCACACATTGATCCCGATATTTTGGAATGTTATTACAGCTTTATCTCGCTGGAGTCGAGATCTTTTCAGCCAGGGGGAATTGATGTGGACATCATTAGTTAGTTTCTTGATTTATTACTTTCCTAGATTCTCTAGTTTTCCAGATTTCACTAGGATTTTAGTTTCCAGATTTTTAGTAGGATTTGATTTAAGTTTCCTAGTTCATTGAATTAGTTCCTTGGTGGACTAGGATTTCTGTTTTAGTAAGGGATTTTTATCCTATTGTCTCAAGGTTTTTTGCTATATATACCCCCCATGTAATTCTTTAAAGTTGAGTTTTGAATTATTAAGAAAAGCTTACTTTCCAGAGATTGGAGACTCCTTGGTGTGAAGCCAAACTCTTTTGGTGTGAAGCCAAGGCGTCATTTACCACCTATTTTTTGTTTTTTCATTGTTTTTGCTTCCGCTAAACTACCCAAATACTCGATTCACCCATATCCTACATCATAATCAATCAATAATACTCAAGCAGCATATACATTTTATTGAACATTGCATAAGCTCCATCTGTTTAACAGGGAGATAACAAAGCTTGACTTTTATATTAATCTGTTCCAATTACTTATCACTTGCTCTGATGAAGGAAGCATAGGACCTAAATTTATTAGTTTCCTAATATATTTGTTAGTTTCCTAGATTCTCTGGTTTTCCAAATTCTAGTAGGATTTCTACTTTTCCAGATTTCTAGTTTTAAGTTTTCCTATTTTACTTGGGTTAGGATTTCTGTTTAAGCAAGGGATTTTTATCCTATTATGTCTAGGTTTTAGTTTGCTATAAATACCCCCATGTAGTTCTTTAAAATTGAGATTTGGATATTGAGTAAACCTTCTCTTAAAACTATGTGATTTCTGTTCTTCCTTCTCGGTTCTCTCATTTTGGTCCTTTCTTTCGTCCCTTCGATCTATATTTTCGTCTCCTCGACCTCCGATATTCTTCTTTGTTCTACTGTTTCTGTCCTTTATCTCGTCTTTTGGATCTCTATTTCTTCTCCTCGGTGTCTTATATTCTTCTCTGTTCTATTGTTTGAGTGCTTAATCTAATACCTATGGGCTGTAGTACATCATGCTCCTATTTGAATAAAATTCTAATTAATTACTCAAAGGAAAAATAACATTCAAGCTTTTAGCTAAGTAATCAACTATGTTTATCTAAATCGTGTTAACCATTATGCAGCATACCTCAAAGATTTAACATATAACACTCTCAGAAGATGAAATGAGTCAAATGGCAGCAAAAAAAATTCAATACAAGTTATAATGCATATCTTTAGCTAAGTAAATGAGCTACAGATGCACAATGGTAACCTTGGATCTTCAGCAACCTCACCTTTTATAATGTATGCCATCAACCTATTTGTAAGATAACACACTGTATACGATGGATAACGACTTCGAACACTAAAAACATGATCCAAAAGAGATTCATTGATGACAAGGTTACAAAACTCTTCAGCTTCATACACGAGCAATATATATTGAATCTCTATTTCTTCAGGGGAAAGCTGCAATTAGATATTACGGTTAATGTATGTGAAAAAAAATTATAACAGATACACAGAAGCAATATATGCACAAAAAATAAATTCTAATTCATTTACTTAGCAGAGAAATTAATATTTTTGTCATATATTCCAACAGGAGACACTAATGGTTAGTGGTTATGCCGGGCATGCCTCTGAGATAGTGAGATGTAAAGTATCTGTGAGGCTGACGTTCATGAAATCCTTAAAGAAAGATCTTCAAATAAACCATGAAGATGCAACACAATAGTAATCAATCATTTTACATCATGGTCCTTTGATAGTGAGCCTTCCAGCCACGCATACACCCACAATAAACCTTTAACTTTATGGTTTCTATTTTTATAAAATAAATTAATTGACCTAATCTTATAATCCACTAGGGCACAAAGGCTGATAATGTTCAACCATACAGAATTTATTTTTATTTTTAAATTCCAACTAATTTTCCTATTGTGAAAACTACTAGAGTCTGAGATGACATGATGATGCATACAGAAAATCATCCATTCCATACACCTATTACCTGTGAAATATGTTCTGGGACAGTCATGGTCCAGACAATTGATCTTTCAATTGGATTTGATGTTATACGGTATGTTAGCCCCTTTTCAGCAAACCTTGTAAGCAAATTTCCTAAAATAAAGTTTAAATAAGTTCTCAGCTACCAGATATAAACGGATATGAGATACATACACACGTGAAGTACTACAAGAGAAAAAGAGAAATGACACCACACCTCCAACTGACCCCAACTCCACTACTTTAGAATCAATCTCGGCCACGATGGATTTTAGGGCAAACTTCCCTTTTTCCCACTTTTGCTTTTCTTTCTGTATTTTTTTCATCTCTGCTGCTTCAGCTTTCAGAGCTTCTCTTTGCAATTTCTCTTGCTGTTTTTCATGGATATCAATCAGCTTATTGTTCTGTTAGAAAAAATGCAGTACAGATCATAAGAACAACTTACTATCTTCTTTAGCTTCTTTTCTTCCATTAAGCGCGTTCTTTCCTCTTTTGTCAGCTTCCTTCTTCCTGTTGCCTCTTTTGTAATGTTTTCTTTATCAGTAACAGCTGTAGTCCTTCTCTGCTTCAAGATGTTTCCCATCTGATCCATTCTATTTTCTGGATAATCAAGTACCTAATCTCATCATGACATTACATTTGAGGATTTGGATGTGTGAAATAGCAGAAATTAAAAAGTGATTTCCTCGTCAACACCACACCACACCTTCCTTAAAAATGAGCACATTAAGAAGTGAAACATTACGGGGTCTCATGAATACACAATAATAATAATTGAATTCAGAGAGCACATGCCCGCAAAAAAAGAATGACAAACAACAGAAAACTGTCCACAAATAGCTTGATTTTCCCAACTATTATGCATTTTAAGTTTAGACAATCAAGTGCAAGAAAAAGTGGAAGAAGGGAAATTAGACATAACCAGATGATTGTTATACTGCAAGACTGGTACTACAGTTGGACTGTTAATGTCAATATGTTATAAGCAAAACAGCTTATAGAAAAACTTCAGCTACAGTTGACGAAATCATAAAGTACAGAGAACATTTTTCTTGATTGGTAAACAGGAAGGGGGAGGATCTAGAAACTCTCTCATGATGCTGTAAATTTGTGGAGGAGATTGTTTAAGGAGGCATAACTGTGCTGAGTTGTGGGAGGAAAAGAGCAAAGATGATCTAAAACTGTGAGGTGTTGGAAGCTATGGGTGATTTGGTTGGAAAGAAGCAATAGAATGTTTTAAAATATATAGAGATCAGGGGAAAGAGATTCTTTGGATAGAGTAAGATTTTCAACTTCACTATGATGCATTGGAGTTTTGGGATTTAGATCGCTGTTATCCTTGCAGATTGGCGGGCTGTGCTTATTATCTTGTATGCAGTGGACAACGTGTCCACAACCTTTTTTCTTCGCTGGTACGTGTCCACAAGTTGGTGTTTTTAGAAGGTTATTAATATTTTTTTACTTATTTTTAAAAAAATTCTGTACTCATTTATATACAAAAACTACCAAAGGAAAATATACTTTAAGTTCCATGTTTTTTATAAATGGTTAAGACTTCCATAACATCCATTGCAATCCACATTTTCTTGAACTAAATTTTCATTAGTCCTATCCGAAATGTCTTCCTCAAGTAGTCTTCACATCCAAATCAGAATAATTTAAAACTCGTCAAGTTTTGGATGAGTAAAAAATAACTAAGTACTTGAGTAATGTTTCAAGTTGGTACCGTTTGGAACCATGTAATGCCTAAATTCTAGAAAATGCAATGCCTCTGATGCAGGACGCATAGGACCTAAACTTATTAGTTTCCTAATATATTTGTTAGTTTCCTAGATTCTCTAGTTTTCCAATTTCTAGTAGGATTTCTACTTTTCCAGATTTCCAGATTTCTAGTTTTAAGTTTTCTATTTTATTTGAGTTAGGATTTCTGTTTAAGCAAGGAATTTTTATCCTATTATGTCTAGGTTTTAGTTTGCTATAAATACCCCCATGTAGCTCTTCAAATTCAGATTTGGATATTGAGTACACCTTCTCTTAAAACTATGTGATTTCTGTCCTTCCTTCTCGGTTCTCTGATTTCGATCCTTTCTTTCGTCCCTTCGATCTGTATTTTCGTCTCCTCGACCTCCGATATTCTTCTTGTTCTACTGTTCTGCCCTTCCTTTCGTCACCTCGATCTATATTTTCGTCTCCTCGATCTCTTATATTCTTCTATGTTCTATTGTTTGAGTGCTTAATCTAATACCTACAGGCTGTTCTACATCAGCCTCCTATAGAAATTAACAAAATAAAACACACTTGTAATCAGAAGCATGTCTCTGAATTATCAAGCATAATTATTAAACATGAAAGACCAGAATGTCAATTGCACATATAGAAATTATAACCTCTGACCCTAACTGGGAATAGAAGCCAAAGGTGTTTCTTGTCCACAGCCATAAAATAGATAATATTTAAATAAAAGTAAAAACAGGAAATTACCACAATGCATTGGGACAAAATACCTGATCAATATCATCTTGCAAAGTAGATTGTGAAAAATTCCCCTCAGACATATGTGCTAACTCAGCATCTCCTGATAAACATGTATTTAATGAGTCCATTTTAAAAGGATAACATATTTCAGGGAGTGGATCATTTTGTTAAAAATTCTCAAATTCAAAAAAAATAAATAAAGGCAAACACCCAACCTTAACCAAAGGAATGCCAGATACAACATAAACATACCAAGAGAACTTGTGGACTCGACAAAACTAAACCTCCAATCTAAGTCCTTCACCACATCACACCCACTAGCGATGGATTCAATCTCCTTCCCCTTTTTCCTTGCATGACCACTTTCAGGCTCATTATCAGATTCCAAACATATCAGTCCATTAACACCTGAATGTAAACAAAAGGCCAGTAAGGTCAAAGTTAACACCGAGCAGTATGACTGTGAAAAAAAAAATTATATATATATAAGTTGCTGTAGAAATGGTTTCATTGGGGTCAGCCGATGGCGATGGTATTGTTGAACGTTTCGCTAAAGGTATACCTAAGAGACAAACAAGAGAAGAGAAATCTCAAAACCTTTGATCGAGCCACTTCGTTTCTTACTGGATTGGATTAGCAAGGGTTGATCGAGTTTCCCGAACTTAAGAGACCAGATGAGGTGGGACGAGTAGGAGATCCCAAATACTGCTAATTCCATCGGGTTATTTTTCATCTAGGCTCACCCGGGCTTCGGATCCCTTTATAAAAGGATCCTACAAAGAGTCGCCTTGGGAGGGAAGCTCCGGCAGCTCTTCCAGTCGGAAAAAAAATAAAAAAGCAAACTCAGCTTCTGTCCCTAGTTTATTTTGGGCTGAGGCTGTTCTGACTGCCGTATCTTTTTTGATATATATATATATATATATATATATATTTATGTTTAATATTGCACACTAAACAAAGATTTCAACATTAACGCTCAAAATGTCAGCAACTAAAGGAAAATAATTACAGAAAAATTAACAAATTTCATACAGTCCTCATTCACTTCCTCCAAACTCCCAAAACCCTTCTTCCCCAACACAAAATCCAAAAAAATTCAAATCCACTTGGTCGTAAGCTTTTTTGAAATCAACCTAAAGACTAGCCCTTCTTTCTACTTTCTCACTTCCTCCACCACTACATATTCATTAGGACCACCTCTGATATCTGCCTTTCTTTAACCAAAGCTCCTTGAACATAAGGAAATTGTATCCTTTAAGACTTCCTTCAATCTCAGAACCAAAACCTTCGAGATGATCTTGTACAAGCTTGATGCCAAACCTTTCAAAACTTGCGTACATACCCTTTTTAGAAATTAATTTAAAGACTAGCCCTTCTTTCTACTTTCTCACTTCCTCCACCATTACATGTTCAGTAGGACCACCTCTGATATCTGCCTTCCTTTAACAAAATTTCCTTTAACAAAAGCTTCTTGACCAGAACGAAATTGTATCCCCTAATACTTGCTTCAATCTCAGAGCCAAAACCTTCAAGATAATCTTGTACAAGCTTGATGCAAAACCTTTCCAAACTTGCATGCATCCATTTTCTTTGGAATAAGGCAAATGTACGTTTCATTAGTGATCTCATTGACAACCCCACTTCTATTAAATTCCTCAAAAACTTCATCAAGTCCACCATCAACACAGTGCAACACTGGATAAACTGCTGTAGAAATACCATCGGGACCGAGTGACTATCCTCGCAGCAGTCCCAAATTGCCTTCATCATCTCATCGTCCTGAAAAGGTCTCTCTAACCAAGTTGTGTTTTCTTCTTTTGTATAAACCCTTTTATAAAACCTGATTACTTCTTCCTCAATTTTTCCCATCTTCAGTGACTGACCAATCTCCCAATTCCCGTCTACTCAAATTTAGGGTTTTCACAGTTGAGCATTAGGGCTTAATACTAAAATTTTGAAGAACAGATAAATGGAACCCAAAACTATAATGCCAAGTGATCGTCGAACCTATATTCCAATTGACCGTAACAGAACTGTAATGCCAAAACACTTAATACGCACACACAAATAACTTGACGCAAAACACTAAACAACTGATTCAATATACAGAAGAACAGTATTGATGATAAAGACAAACAAACAAAACTTTGAATTGAATCAAGTTTAACCAAAAAGAGGTAAAAATTATCATAATATAACAAGCAATGCATAAATAATTAATTGAAACAAAAACAAATATAGCAAATAAGAATTTCCAAAAGCACTCAAATCGATGAAATAACACAAATCAACCAACCAGGGAACTTGTGCTCGGAGTCTGAAACCCTAGCTTGGAAGTGGGAAGGGGCTTTGGTGCATTTCACAATTGCGAGATCAGACATGGGGGTCTCCGGGACGAAGTCAGGAGTGGAGGTGGGGCCGGGCTGCTTCTGTGGGGTCGGGTCGTCGTCGAGGACCAGAACCGTAGGGATTGGGTTTGGGTCCAGTTGGGTTCGGCGTTTCTTACAGTGGAATGGTTGGAATGGGGTTGAGAGGGCATTCTGGTCTTCTTCATCGGAGAGAATGATTGGCTCCGACATTTGGGAAATGGGAGGAACTGGAAACGAACAGAGTATGGGAACCCACCCACTCCACTCGGATAGTGAAGTCCGTTTGGTTATGTCGCTTCCGCTTTGAATAAGCGCGGGATGGTGTTGATGGATCTAGCAAGAAGACTTTTGTCTACTTTTGTTTTATTATTTATTATTAGGCCCGTTTGGTAACGTTTTAAGAGGTTGTTTTTATTTTCAGAGAACAAAACTAAGGCAAAAACACATTCGGTGGCCCAAAAACAGAAAATACTGTGAATGTTTTCATAAAATGAAAACAAGTTCATGTATACTTGTAGAAAACAGAAAAAGTTGTTTTCATTATCATGGAAACGTTTTCATAAAAATAACTCACATATTATTATTTCAAATTGTACTACCAGACACATTTTCATTGTTTTTGTTTTCTGAAGATGTTTTCTAATTAATCTACCAAACGCATTTTCAGGAAATGAAAATTCGTTTTCTTGCTTTCATTCTCTGAAAATATTCTAAAAAACCATTCTCTGAAAACGTTACCGAACGAGGCCTTAGCTGGTGATACTCCCATTCAAAATTTGACATGTGTATAACTTTTTGACAACTGGATTTAGTATTCATTTTTACCCTTAAAAATAAATTTAAAAGAGTTTTAAAAACTTACAAATAAAAAAGAAAGAAAAATAAAAAACCAAATATCATTTGCCTCATCGACAACGACGAAGCCCCCGTCATGACTATCTGACTCTCTATATGTGAATATGATGACAGCCCATGGCAAATGAATCCTTCGAGTTTCACAATCAAGAGAAAAACTTTGATTTTGCTCTTGATATATGTTGAAAGCTTGGATTCCTCAAAGACCATAAACTCACCCCCAAGAAAGTTTCAATCCAAATTCCTTGAACCCTACCTGTAATAAAGAGGAGGGAGGAAGAGGGAGGGGAAGGGAGAAAGGCACAAAAACATGAAAAAAGAAAGACTAGCTGCAACCATGGCAGAAAGGTGGGGGTGGGGGGCAAGTTCAAAGAAGGGGGGAAATTTTATTTATTTATTTTATATATTTCCATTTTTGTTCATTTAAATTTAAATTTAAAAAGGGATTTTAAATCTAGCTGTATAGATTTTAAATTTTTCTTTAAAAACTTGTATACTGTCAAATTTTGAGTGAGAGTATCGCCGGCTGACGTGGTGGTACACTATCATTCTATAATTTCTCCAAGGTAGGAGCATCTTCAACGGTAGAGATAAACTCATATGTAACGGGGGATAGCACTTTTTGCCATCCCTGACCAATAATGCAATACATAGGATAACTTTTCCACGTGTCATTGTGTTATTGGAGGGGGATAGCAAAACAGTGCTATCCCTGTTATAGGTAAGTTTTTTTTGCCAACGGTGACCATCTCCATACACATATCATATAAGTATCGATAATTTCAACGATAATATCGGAAAATATCGACGTCGATAATTTCTCTCACACTTCAGCAACATTTGACCAAAATATTGCTATAATATCAATAATATCGAGATGATGAAGACAATGAAAAATTTGAAGAGTTATTTACACTAACACCCACTAAGGTTTCTTCAAGTCTCAAAAATTATACCAACACCCCCTAAGGTTTCAGTTTGTTTTCACAAAACCACCATATTGCAGGATCAGGTACATTCTCTGGGCGGTTTGCATATCTCTGACCAGTGCTTTTTGTCACATCTCGGGATCGGCTCCGCCGTAGCACAATATTGTCCGCTTTGGGCCCTCCTTTCTGCCCTCACGGTTTTGTTTCTAGGAGCTCACGAGTAACTTCCCAGTAGGTCACCCATCATGGGATTGCTTTAGCCACAACTCGCGTAACTTCGGAGTTTCCATGACTCCGAAGCCAGTGAGCTCCCAAAAGGCCTCGTGCTAGATGGAGGCGAGCATGTATATATAAGGCATATCATCTCCTCTCTGTTGGTCGATGTGGGATGTTACAATCCACCCCCCTTAGGGGCCCGACGTCCTTGTCAGCACACTCGCACCACACAGCTGATACCAAATTGTCACATCCCGGGATCGGCTTCGCCGTAGCATGATATTGTCCGCTTTGGGCCCTCCTCTCTACCCTCACGGTTCTATTTCTGGGAGCTCACGAGCAACTTCCCAGTGGGTCACCCATCCTGGGATTACTCTAGCCTTAACTCGCTTAACTTCGGAGTTCCCATGACTTCGAAGCCCGTGAGCTCCCAAAATGTCTCGTGCTAGATGAAGCCGGGCATGTACATATAAGGCACATCACCCCCTTTTCATTGGTCGATGTGGGATGTTACACTTTTGTACTTTTGGAAAATTGGCCTTCTCACTTCCACATCTAGTCAGCAAATTTTTTTTTAATATGTCCAGTGAATGCAACCTTCAATTCTTCCTCAAAACATGTGTAAGTATATCCAGCTTCGATGAAACGCTTAAATAATAGATTTCCTTAAGTCTTCGGATAATCTGAAAATTTTACCCAAGCTCCTTTAATCTCTTGCTTGAAAAGTACACCTATATTCCGAGCAGCTTCTTTGGTTACAATGCTGGAGGAAATTGAAATCATTAAAGTACTTTATATGCCATCAAATAAACTAATAAGTGATAATTAATTAAGCTACACTTGTCGAAGTCTAAGAAATAACTAGAATAACTATTGGTAACAATAAGTAGTGTATATGTTTACCTTCTGTTATATATTTCAATTAGCATACCCTTTTCCTTTTCCTTCCCTTGGCCTTTTTTTTTTTTTTTTTTTTTTTTTTTTTTTTTTTTTTTTTTCCACTTAATCCTAATTAAGAACAACAATTAATAACATAATATTATTTATAGTTTTGAAATAATATAAGCTATACCTTGGGTATTTGAAGGTTGAGTCTTAGAGCATGTCTCTTGAGTTTCTTGTACTTCATTATCATGAGATGGTTCAATTGAGGCATATTGGACTTGGACTACAGAGGATCTAAGTAACTCTCTATGTTCATTGGTTGATGATGTATTGCGACTCCTTCCTTTTCTTGCCATAGCCACCATTTATATTCATTAGCAAAATAGACAATACTAGAAAAGAAATACTATTACAATAGAATTAGACATAAAACAATCAAAATAGTAATAAAAAAAATATAGTAAATTTGGCTTACACTCTTCAAATTCAACTTACCTCACCAAATGAATATGGAGTATTAATTACAATTATGATAGTTAATAAAATGCTTGAAATAAATTATAAATAAAATATGAAGTTTAGTGGCAATGATGTAAAAACATAGGAATACTATGACCTCTTATATCCTACATGTCAGGGGAAAAGGAGTTGAGGTGCGTTGTGTAGTTCTGTAGGCCAACATGACCTTAGGCAAGAGTTCAGCCGAGGTTTTGGGCGTTGATCTTTAAGGAAGGGCAAAAGTAGCCTAGGTGAATAGCCTTGATGGCCATGGTCCTGGATGTCGAATGGTCTCCACAGACACCTTCATGGATTTCAGGGAGGACCTCGCGCCCCTCCTCGGGGGTTATGCACGTAGGTAGGGCAGGGAAAACCACTTGATGAGGAATTCCCTAAGCTCAACAAACCACTTGATGAGGCGTCCAGAGACCTCTAGACGATTGGGGACTTGTTGGAAGGGTTGGTTGGTGAGAATCGAGATGAGGTGGGCCTGGAAATACAGACGTAGACGTCGAGCCAATACCACCAAGGTTAGAGTCAGATTCTCGATAATGGGATAACGCGTCTCAACCTTTGTGAGTGCGATGGGTGCAGCTTCCATGTTCATTTTAGGCTTTGAAAGGAATCATCGCATTCTTCTGTCCAATGGATGTGTCGTTGTGCGCCTTATATAGCTCTGAAGAGCTGGTAAGCATCAATTGGTGGATTGCGAGATAAAGCGGTTGAGGGCAACCATGTAGTCGGTTAGACTTTGTATTTGTTTTTTGTTTTTTTGGGAGGGGGGTCATCTCTACTAATGCCCGGATCTTTTTGGGGTTACCTTCAATCCCTTGCTGGCTAACCATGAATCCCAAGAACTTTCCTAACTCGACACTAAACACACATTTCACGAGGTTCAACCGCATTTTGTATTGTCGGAGGATCACGAACATCTTGAAGAGATGATTGACATGTTGGTTGGTGGTGAGGCTCTTGATGAGCATGTCATCTACATACATTTCAATGGACTAACCGATGTATTTGGTGAACATCTGATTTACCAATCGCTGGTATGTGGTGCCTGTATTTTTAAGTCAGAAGGGCCTAAGTCTGTAACAATTTAGCCCTCGGTAGGTGATGAACGAGGTGTCTTCCTTGTCGGTGGGGTTCATGCGAATTTGATTGTACCCTGAGTAAAGGTCCATAAAACAGAGAAGGGTGAAGCTCGTGGTGGCGTCAACCAGCTAATTGATTCTGGGAAGGGGAAAACTGTCTTTGGGACAGGATTTGTTGAGATCCGTGAAGTCTACGCACATCCTCCATTTCTCAGGTGTCTTCTTGAAAATGACTACGTTCTACACCCATTTTGGGTAGTCCACTTCACAGATGAAGCCGACCTTGCTGAGATTTTGGACCTCCTCTTTCATGGTTGAATACCGGGCATTGTAGTAGGGTGGACGCTTCTAGCCTATCATCAGCACTCGGGCTTGATCCCTAAGCGGCAAGTGACGATCTAGGGGTCGATGACGTTGTGTTGTTGCCTAGGAAGGTGATGAGGCCCTCCCTTTTGGCTAGCTTCAAGTTCGTCCCGATCAGGATCGATTGATTTGAATGCTCGTGAGTATGTGGCTGGTAGCCACTCGAGTAAGGGCAAAACTCTATTCTTGGGTGACTGGTGCTAGTAACGGGGGTATCACTCGAGGAGGTTCTCAGCCTTATGGCCGTGACGTAACAATTTCGTGCCGAGATCTGGTTGGTCTCCTTGAATGGTTCCTATTTCGTGGGGGGTCCTGAACTTTAGCATGAGGATGTGGTAACTGATGGTAACATCGATCTCCGTGAGCGCTGGTCGACCTAAGATTATGTTGTAAGCCTTCGGACAATCCACTATGATAAAGTTGGTGACTGTGGTCACCTAGTGTGGACATTCTCCTATGGTTAGGGTGAGATGGATATTGCCTGGGGGTTGCACTTGAGTTCCTTCGAAGGCATAAAGCGGGGGCATTCTTTTCTCTAGGAGTGCTCGATTTATTCCGAGCTGGTCGAACATAGGCACGAAGATAATATTGTAGGAACTTCCGTCTTCCATGAGAACTCGGTTTATGTCACAATTTGCGATGCTAACAGAGATAACCAGAGGATCATTATGAGACTGTAAGGTATGTCCGTCATCTGGGCTAAAAATGATGGGCACTTCGTCACACATATTGGCTCGTTTGTAGGGCTGGGTAGTATCGCCAATAGAGAGGGTGTGGCTGGCCCACTGGCCTAGCGATCAGGTGTACTACTTCCTAGATCTGTTGGTGTAGTCGCTTAATAAAGGGCCTCCTCTGATAGTGGCTATTAGTTTCCTGGAGACCGAAGCTTAGGTTGATCCTCCGGATGGGTTAGTGGTTGCATCAGGACGGGCCACGTACTCTCGGAGTTTCCCCCTCTTGACCAATGCCTCGATTTCTTCCTCTAATTGGTAGCAGTCTTTCGTCGAGTGTCCATACGATTTCTTCATCTCACTTTCCTTGGTATTCACTTTGACCAAGGCACGGAGCGGGCAATTCCTTCCTTGTGGTCGCTAGAATGGCCCCCTTTACTGATATTCAAGGGCGTGTAATTTGAATAGCCTTTCAGGGCATTATTTCGTCTATTGGTGTTTTTCTACGAACGGTAGTACTTCCTTTAAGGATTCCCTCGGCAAGGCTCTGGGATATGCCGAGAGGGTTCCGTGCTTGCAATATGAGTGCTCGAGGTGCTTGTGTTGGCCGTGTTTAGTTGCTCGGCTCTACTATAGCATGTGGCCTCAGAGGAGGTCTTTATACGTTTCTGGGGGGGTTTCTAGTGAGGTGGAAGAAATAGTCTTCGCCCTAGAAGCCTCCCATGAGAGCATTGTGGGCTGTCGCCTCATCACAGCCCTCGTAGCGAGCATATTCGTTGTTGAAGTGGGTGACATAGTCTCGTAGGGATTCGCCTATTCTCTATCGTACTGTTGAGAGGTCATTAGCGATGTATAACCGGCTGGATATGATCATATACCTATCCAGGAATCCCCAACGTAACTCAGCGAATGAGCCAATGGATTCGAGATTTAGCCGTTTGAACCAGTTACACTTGGTCACCTAGTTCTCCCATTGGCCCTCTATGGCATAGTAAAAACTGTCAAGATGGTCATATGGATCGATGAGTCCTTCGTAGAGGGAAATTTTTGAAGCCTTCGTGTCGCCGACAACAGTAGCCTCGAGGAGTTCTTTGGTAGAAGGAAGATGGATTTCGTCCTCGGAAAATGAAGGGACAAGTGGGTTATGGGTCTTTTTGACCTTGCCGAGCCTATCCCACACACTCCCTATTTCTCTTATGATCATAGCCTTCATTGTCTCCCTAAGGTCGAGCTTTTGAGTGGGATCGATGTGGGTTGGTCCGGCATTTGGTTGTCAAGCTCGGTAACATGATTCTTTCTTTTGCTTGAGGCTTGACCGGCGAGGATGATTTCTTCAGAATCGATGCTCTAGGGATAGGAGCAGGGAACGGTGTTGCTAGGCCGAGGCAAGGAAGCAGATGCTGATTCCTCACTGAACAGTCATCTTTCCACTCGTCTGGTACGACTTGAGTCCTTGAGAAACGAACATCGCATCACAGGCAGAAGTAGTTTAATTGATCCTACGAAGCATCAAAATAACTGTAACAATGGGGATCCATATAAATCTCATTCGACTAGAGTTTTTTATACTGTTAGGACTAATGCGTACTTGTACCTTCAGGAATTTGGATGAGTGGTAATGGCGAATCAAGAAACTTTTTGGTAATCTTCTGTATTCCGAATGGTTTGATAATCTTTATTGGCCATGAGTTTAAACAGTAAAGTCCTTCCCCTTAAGCTATAGTGAAAAGCGATTAGACAAAACGAACTATGGGCAAGCCCTGCTCTCTTTATTAAAAACAAGCCATCTATAATCACATAATGCAATCTCAAAACACATGAAGCACCTACAACGTGAACCTTAATATTTACTGATCCTTAATGTGAATCTTTATGCTTTTCAGTACAAGTGCCCATTTATGACTTAGCAAGAGTCAATCCGCAATGTTATTAAAACAATAGTATCTCAAAAGAGACCATAAACTCTCATGCATAAACAAAATTGCATAACAAGTTTAAACAGCTAAATAGTCAAAATGGTAGAATGTATTCAATAATGAATAAAATTGTCAACCAAATTAACATCCTTAAATGCAAATCCCTCAATCCAGAAAACAACAAAAATAAACAAACTAGTAAAATATCATAGTGGGAACAAGACTCCCACTAGATTGCACCATCAAAGCTAGGAAATAATCCCATGCTCTCAACATGTCTCAAAAAAGCTTCTGAAGGCAAAAACTTTGTGAACGGATCTGCAATCATATCTTGAGTTATGATATGATCAAATCTGACTAGTTTGTCCGCTACCTTCTCCCTCACTATTAAATATTTTCTGTCAATATGTTGAAGTCCATACGACATCTTGTTGTTCATGCAGTGAAAAACAGCCGCAATGTTGTCATTATATATCTATATTGGTCTAGAAATTGAGTTCACCTTAATGTCTTTAATAAAATTCCTAAGCCATACTGCATGAGAAGTGGCTTCATAGCAGGCTATGTATTCTGAAAACATGGTTGAACTCGAAACACCAGATTGTTTAGCACTCTTCCAATCAACAGCTACTCCTGCCATCTTGAAAAGAAAACCTGAAGTAGAGATGTAATCATCCTCTACTTTTCCAAGATTTGCATCAGCATAACCAATGAGCTCTAAATTCTCTGTGCGTTTGTAAATCAACATATAAGCCTTTGTTCTCTGTAGGTACCTTAGAATCTTCTTTCCAGCTTTCCAATGTTGCATTCCCGGATTTGACTAAATCTCCCCATCTTGCTGATGCACAAGGCTAGGTCTGGCCTTCTACACACTTGTGCATACATAATGCTTCCAACTAGAGAAGCGTACGGCTTGTTCCTCATCTCATCTTCTTCTTCTTTATTCTTGGGGCAAATGTTCCTTCTTTAAATCTCCTTTGGCTAATAGATCTTTCTGTCCAGAACATATACTCATGTCAAAACGCTTCAGTATCCTCTCAATGTATGTTTTCTATGATAGGCCTAGGAGGCCTCGAGCTTGGTCTCTCTGAATTTCAATGCCTAACACAAAAGCAGCTTCTCCCAAATCCTTTCTCTCAAAATTATTTGAAAGTAGCTCCTTGGTGTCCTTTAGTAAATTGTGGTCATTTGTAGCCAAAAGTATATCGTCGACATACAGTACCAGAAAAAATAAATCAGCTCCCACATTTCTTCAGATAAATGCATTGATCGGCTATGTTCTCTTCAAAACATAAGATGATATAGTTTGATGGAATTTGAAATACCACATCCTACTTGCTTGTTTGCTTCAGTCCATAAATTGCCTTACCAAGTTTGCAAACCATATGCTTTTGTAGTGGAGTTGGCTTTTCAACGCATCTCCGCTTAACAGAGGCGCACAAGTTCGATTCTCATTTGTAGCCAAAAGTATATCGTCGACATACAGTACCAGAAAAAATAAATCGGCTCCCACACTTTTTTAGATAAATGCATTGATCGGCTATGTTCTCTTCAAAACCATAAGATGAAATAGTTTGATGGAATTTGAAATACCACATCCTGCTTGCTTGCTTTAGTCCATAAATTGCCTTGCCAAGTTTGCAAACCATATGCTTTTTTCCCTCCTTTGCAAACTATCAGGTTGCCTCATAAAATTTTATTTTCAAGTTCTTCATTCAGGAAGGCAGTTTTTACATCCATTTGATGTAAAAGTAGGTCATAATGCGCCACCAAAATCATAATGATGCGAAAAGAATCTTTGGTGGGAACTGGAGAAAACGTCTCAGTGTAGTCAATTCCCTCCCTTTGAGTGAATCCTTTTCCTACCAATCTAGCCTTAAATCTTTCGATTCTTCCATCCTTATCCTTTTTTGTTCTAAATACCCATTTCGAGCCTACCAATTTCTAGCTCTTGTGAGATTCAACTAATTCCCATACTTTATTGTTCTTCATGCTTTCAAGTTCATTCAACATTGCTTCCCTCCATTTGTCTGCATTCTAACTCTCCATAGCTTCTTTAAAACTTGTTGGATCAGACTCATCTATAATGTCAAAATCTGCTTTTTGTAAATAATCCGAAATTGCTGTGGATCTTCTTGGTCTGTCAGATCTCCTTAACAGTATTGGTTCGGGTGAATTTTCTTGTTGTGGGTTTTCTGTAGTTTGTTCTTCTTGTTGTTGTTGATCAACTAGTTCTTCATACTGAACAACCAATCTCAAAAATTTGAGTACTATAATTTGGATAGTAAAATCTACAATCCTTTGACCTTGCAGGATAACCAATAAAATGACAGTAAATCATTTTAGGATCAAGCTTCCTCTCTTAAGGATTATATTCTTCTCTCAAGGGTTATAGATTCTAACTTCAGCTTTGCAACCCCATACATGAAGTTGTCGCAAGCTAGGCTTTCTAGAAGTCCAAATTTCGAACAATGTCTTAGGTACGAAGTTACTAGGCACTCTATAATTTGTTGTTTTGATTGTCTCTCTCAAAAGTGTAGGCAAATCAGTTTTGAAAATCTTGCTAAGAACCATGTCTTTCAAAGTTCAATTTCTTCTCTCAGACACATCATTTTGTTGCTGAATTCATGGCATTTTGTACTGAGCAGCTATTCCATTTTCTGGTAGATACCTAGTAAAAAGGTCTAGCACGTCTTCCTCCTTCATCAAACATCCATAATATTCACCCCCTATGTTTGACCTCACAATTTTGATCTTTTTCTCAAGTTGTCTTTCTACTTCAGTTTGAAAATTTTTTAACATTTCAAAAGCTTGAGACTTTTCTGCTATGCGATATAGATAACCAAAACGAGAATGGTCATCTATACAGGTGATGAAATAGTGATTTCCATCAATTGTTTGATAAGGGAATGGTCTACAAATATCTGTGTGGATGATTTCTAAAAGATCACTATTGCGAGTTGCACCTTTCCTTTTAGTCTTAGTGAGTTTTCCTTTGACACATTCAATACAAATTTCGTCATCACCGGAAGTCAGTAATGGCAAGATTTGTTCCTTAACAAGAATTTTCATTCTTTCTTTTGAAATGTGCCCTAAACGTCTATGGCATAACCTAGTGGATGTTCCTTCACTTCTAATCTTTTTCTCACTCGATTCAACTATTAAAACTTCACCATCTTTATTGTAATTGAGACAATATAATCCATCTTTAGTGGTGGTGTCGAAAATCTCAACAGGTGATTCAGGTTAGGGTGTAGGTTTCATAGACTGCACTAGGAGATTCTTGTATCGAAGTAGCTTATTGATGTTTCGTCCTCTCCCATAAGAGCATCCACCGAGCTTTACAGCAATCCTGAGAATTATGAGACTTCAACAACGTCGCTGCGCCTTAACCCTTTCTTTTTGTTGCTCCAACTCATCTTCGTTCCACTTATTAATTAGCTCCACTATATTCTTTACTAGAATTCCATTCATGATTAGTTGACACGAGTAGCTCCTATTAACTGCCATATACTTTTTCTTTTCCCTAAGCTCTAGGAGTTGTACTACAAGATACATAAGTGAAGTGGCTAGCTTGAATTAAATATAATCATGAGTGCGATCATAAATGATCTCATTCATTCCGAGAATAACTTCAAAATCAAACGTCCATATTTTGAAGTTTGATCCAGTGATCTTTCAATTTGTGAGAAATTAATTGAGGGAAAGCTATAAGAATTTGCAAAAGAAAGTATAAATACTTTCCAAGAAACCGATTCTCAATTTGTTAAGAGAAAACAGTTTTTCCATTTAACTTTATTCACAAAACTAACAAATAACATATGCAAGCTTCTTTAATTAAGTATTACACCTTTGTGACAAGAGATTACTTATAGCTTACATAAATTATGTGTTGTCTTGTGCCATCATAAACAAATTAGATGATAGATTCTATTTGTTGAAGAAACTTTTCAAGTAATTTAGGTATGATACAATTTTGGTTATTTCTTTAGAGTTTGAGTATTTAGGTTTGGTTTTGTTATGAAAAATTTGTTGATTCTCAGAACAAAAACAAGTACCTATCTAGCACAAAATATAACCAACCAAAACACAGTTCAAGAGAAAAACCCTAAAATTGCAGTGAATAGTGTTTCTGCTGAACAGTGTTTCTGCCGTGAACAGTGTTTTAGGAGTTCTTGGTGTCTATTTTTGACGCAAAATACCTTTCCAAATAGGGAATGACCTAATGACACAACCCACAGATTTGCTGTGACATATGAGCATTTGTAGAGTTTTAAGGTCATCTGGTAGGTCAAAAACGTGTTTAAAGTTTTGAAGATATGAAAAATCAAATTAAAACATGCTTTTCTAGATTCTTTAATATTCTTGATATTTAGAAAAATATGTTTAATCCATCTTCAAACTTTAAACATAATAAAAAACTCATCATGGCAAGAAAACATAATAGGCATGCTTGAACAACGATTTCAGTGTGTGCGAATAACCATGTGCTCTGATACCAACTGTTAGATTTCTTTAATATGCGTGTTCAAGATCTTTCACACAATCTGAAATACGTAAAGACATACCTGGACCCATCTTCCTTGAGTACACGACCTCTGAACTCATTCAACCGCAACAGCAATATCCCAGTAAGAACAGGAACGGCTCAAGACTTCTGCACTCTCTCAGAATTTGTTTCATCTCTCTTTATGATGAGATTAGGGTTAGAGAACGTGTATGATGAGAGTAGGGCATCAAGCTTATATAAGGCTAGGTCAAGTCGTCTCTACTCATCACCGAGGGCCGACTTGACTAATCTGCCAAGCCCACCAAAACGGTTCACGCCAAAAAGGAATAAATAGGACCCCTTAATAGGCTTCAAAACATTTTCTTATTCCACAAGGTTTTGGGCCTCAAGGTATAATTTAATTTAAACTCTTATCAAAACCTTATATATCTAGTGCACCGATCTAAATAGGAAACATAACAAGAACTGTGTGAGGGAAAACATCGAACTGTACCCAGCAGATGCGGCAACCGTGCAAGTGACTCTGACTGTATACTTCTGCTGGGAGATTCCAGCGAGGTTTACCGAGTTGGGGTGGAACACAAGCAGGTTGAAGGAGATGGTGAGAAGGACTAAAGAGTCTATAGAAGGAGTGAACTTTAGTGAATTAAAGCATATGGAGAAGAAAGCATTGAAGGCGCCAACTGGGAGGCACAAACGAGTGAGAAGGTAGAAAATGGAAGGTACAAGAGACCAGTAGAATACAATAAGCTGTCTGCTGCTAGTGACACACCAAAAGAGCGATACCTCAGTGCAAGTGCTGAGGCATCTGGCTGGTTCACATTGCTATATGTATCAATATTTTTGGATGATAAGATACAGTGGTAAGGAATTAAGATTGGGAACCCTATGAATTGCACTAGAGTTGCCATCCATATGCTTTTTCCACCTCTGTTACAGTTCAGTCGTCCCAAGAATATAGCTGCTGATTGGCCAGAGAGGACAAAGAGTGTAAAATCTCTGAAATGAGAAATTGTTGCTTGGTGGGTGATTTGCTTAAACCCGAGTGTATTATCTTCTTCAGCTTCTTTAACTGGTATATGAAACACATATTTGAATTACTATATAAATTCACCATTTCCTTTAGCAGCATATGAAATGTCAAGGTTTTTTCTTCATTTCTTTTCAGCATATGAGTTAGTGTTGTCTACAGGTTTCTATTGCATGCACTCAAACTTACAGTAAGAAGAGTATGGGCTACAGAGTTCTATAGTTTTAGAGAGTTAATAAATTAAAAAGGAAAACAATCCATGAAAATGCTTTTCCGAATTTATGTAGAGAAGCCATAAAAGAAAATGAGAACCAGAAAATCTTTGTGCAAATATAGAAATCTGCCTTTCCCAGGAGAGAGAGCTTTTATGCCGCTAGAACGGGAACAACAGGCAAACCCATAGCACTTATGGCACTGGAGAAGAGGGAAGAGACCTCCAAAATCAAGCCTATTGCGCCAATAGAAAAGAACTACCATGTCATAGCTGTCCATACCAAATTTATAGCATAGGATACGTACCCTCCCTAATTTGTGCATCTCAATCTCTTTCTTCAAATCCTTCTTGGGTGGTCTGAGGAACAGAAAAAAAAAGTTTCAATTAAATTCATAATCAATTGTGAATTGCCACATCACTGTTTAAAGGTGTTCCATCTAATTTAGCACCTTAGTATTCACCTTCTCGCCCAATTTTTGTTTCTCATTAAGCCACATCATACAAAAATGATGGATCCATCCACCGCCATATCATTACTTAATAGACAGATTGGCGAAGGTACGAAAATGATACAATGAGAATTTGTGTATGAAAACGTCAAGAAATAAATTTTAGGTAGTAAGTACTGAAACTTGGTATGTGAGTTTCCGTCAAAAAATTTGTTAATTTGCTGATGTGGAGCCAACATATCTAATAATATAGTGCCATGTGGAATAAAAATTAAAATTAAAAGATTTTTTTTATCGAAACTCACGACATGGATTACTTACAAACACATACATATTAATCTTGAGGACCACGATTGACACAAACAAAACAAAAAGTACACAACTTCATAGTTTTGTAAACCTCGATCATGACCGTTTTGTTTTAAAAATCCTTTAGATCAATTTGTTTTGACCGAACGATTTTATGTCCCCCTAGTAACCAAAGAATAAGAAACATATCTAAGCAAGGGGCTTGTAGCTTAAGTGGTTAAAAGCATTTATTCCTACACCTAAAGTCTTAGATTCGATTTCACTCTCCCGCATTATCACCTGTCACAAAATAAGAAAAATATCTAAAAGATAGAAACAAAGGGCTTGTCTAGCTAGTCTTGGAGGATAGTGAAAAACGCCAAGTGGTCCAAGCCCTACGCTATGAAGGAAGGAAAGAAAGACAGATGGCGATTAACGAGTTTTAGAGAAGACACCTTATTAGCTAGCTAATTAGTCCACACCCAGAAGTGTAGTGTAGGTGACCAACACATGCTTGTGAGCTTCTGCCCTACTAACCCTTCTTTTACTAACCTCCAAGCCATTTCTACGTACGTACATCAGAACGTACACAACCAAACAAAACGAAAACCCAAAGAAAGAAGCTCACCCATGACAACCATCAGAACATCTGCCTAACAACCAAACACATCTGATGATTAAGACTGTATAAATCATAGATAGAACCTGCTCAAGGACAGTATGCTCATCTCTTTTCACCCGAATTCATCCAATTTTTGGTATGGTACAGTAGAGTACGTAGTTGCACCATTATGAAATGAACTGTGTGACCTGTGCATCATCTCCCTTTCACACAATGGCTGGTCTATGCTATGAACTGTGGTGTGGTGTGACCTGTGCATCATCTCCCTTCCACACAATGGCTGGTCTATGCTATGAAACTGTGGTGTGGTTGGGCCCACAGAGACAATTAACTGGTGTGCTGGCTGGCTGAAACGACATTATCACTGACAACCTTCCCTTTCCTGTTATAATTTGGGTAGGGTATACGTATGTACGAACGTACATACGTACGTGAAGCCTCCTTGTCGTATAATTAATTTCTTTGTCCTACGTCTCTTATGGCATCACTAACTGCCCCAACCCAAGGCCAACTTTTCTGAGATTGAGCAATGGAATTAGCTTTTTAAATTAAGTAGTACAAACTTATAAATAAATAAATAAATATATAAATATATATATATATATATATAATGCATTGGTGTGGCATCGTTCTAGGCTTGCACCAAATTATATAAATAAAGAAAAAGGTCCCATTTGATCGTTATATATATATATATATATATAAAGAGAAGAAAGGTCTCATTTGGTTATCTATCAAAAGAAATTGATCGAACCCTGTCCTATATATTACTATATCAATGATTAGGTACGTCAACTGATGAATTCTATGAGCAAAGAAAGAAAAATTAAATTAATTTGGTACATGGATTTTATGTTTCACTTATATTTTCCTAGTTATTTTGAACTATGTGTGTCGCATAACTTCGGTTAATCCTCTAGGCCTTGGAGTCATGGACCATACATGGGCCATATCCCATGCTTTCGATTTATATTCCACTTGCAAAGTCATCTTGCAAGTATCAAAGTTCCGTTCTCAAAAAAGCACAAATATATCGTAGCATTTATTGTTTTATATAGTTATTTTTTCATTCGGATGTCCGCACATTATTACTATGCAGATACCGTTATAAACAGGGAGGAAAGCAAGATGAGATAGTAGAAAATGCACTGCGCCACATAGTAATAACGTCCGGACGTCCACATAGGAGAATTTGTGTGTATATATATAACTTTGCTCCCTTGTGTGTGACAACTTTTCTTTTCTTTTCTTAATCACGCATAATAAAGAATTTTTTAATTTATTTTGTGCTAGAAGATGATTTTTCTTAATCACGCATCATAAAAGTTATTTTAGTTTATTTTTAGTTTATCTTTTAGCTTATATGTCGCTCTCTTATTATTTTTTTCTAGGGATATATTTGTCATCATGATTTTAATGAAGCAACATGAAAACACGATAAAAGATAAATGAAAAATAAGCATTAACCCTAAAAAAACAATATTAAAATCCTAAAATATTTTTGTCATTGTGATTTTTAAGGTTCTAGTATATTCCTAAACTTAACTAACAAAAAAAATATTAAAATTCTAAACTTAAAGAAATAATCAGATTTAAAATAATATCCTAATAGACAACCTATTCTAAAACTTAAATATTAATGTTCTAAAAAATCTTTGTGTGTTTCAAAGTTAATCAAATAACCCGAAAATTTCAACAATATACATTTCTCCCATATTAACAACATATTTCTGACTTGAGTACAACTTTCTTTCTTACGTGCTATCTTGCACATTTTAAATCAAGTTATTTTATTTATTTTTCTTACTTTCAAATAGTGAATTGACCCATATTTGGAGTTTCTCGAAAGGAGAAAAGGGTTTCTAGGGTTTAGGGCTTAGGACTTTAGATGGTGGCCTCCTTGCGGCGTACGAAAATCCTTCTCTGAGCAATATCGGTGCATTGGTTTTAGATCTGTGATCGGAAAGACGTGGCAAGCACGTATATGCTACAGTTGAGTGAACAAAAGGAGGAATCAGAGGTACGGTTTGGTGCCAATCTCCGTGTTTGTGCAAATAATCTCATCCTTCGCCCTTTGATCTTCCTTCTCTCTCTTCCTCGATTCCTATAAAAAAGACTGGATTAAAGAGACCACACTCGAGGGGTGTTGGCCAAAGGCCCTCCGATGTCTAAGTTAGTTCGAGTGTTTGTAAGAAAACAATAGCTAATAAAAGGGTACGAAGATGTATGTATGGTGTGAACTAGGCAGCCGGAGCCGTGTGTGGTGGTCAAAGCCGTGTGGAGAAAATATGGAGAGTGGAGAGTGGAGAGGGAGAGAACTTCGGGTATTTTTCTCGGGTTTTAGGAGTACGTTTAGATGCAAGTTTTTTGAAGTACCTTGAATGATGAATGAATTCATCTATTTATAGGAGCCTCGGGGCTTGGGTTTCGTAGAGAACAATAAACTCTTATTAGGAGGAGTTTATTCTTTACCCAAATTCATAGAGATTGAGTTGGACTTGAATATATCTCCTTATTAGGATAATATTTGAATTAATGATACTATCTTATTAAATAAAGATAATATCCTATAATTAAGATATTGTCCCTATTAATTAATTGGCCAAATAAATTGGTTCAAAAAGGGATAATCTTCTTTTCCACATGGCGTGCTGTGATTGGAGACGAAAATATTTGCTCCCACACTCCGCTTGTTTGATAGAGAACAATAAGGGGTTCAAATCGGGGAGAATGAACTTGGTAGTAAGTTCGTTGGCCATCATAATACCCTTGTGGCCAAAATTCTTACCGAAAGAGTCGTCAATAAGGAGGGCTTCGTGGCTTCATTCTCTCGACTGTGGAAAGGTATTGTTGAGGTCTCTATTAAGGAGTTTGTCGATAAGTTATTTCTGGCGAGATTTGCGAACTACAAAGACAAAGCTAGGGTTTGGATATGGAGCCTTGGACATATCGTGATACCCTAGTCTTGCTCTATGAAGTCAAGGTGGGCTGCGACGTCAGATCTGTGGATTTGAACATGGGGCTTTTCTGGGTGCAATTTCATGGGATCCCACCTTTAAACATGAGAGTCACTATGGCTCGAAAGATTGGAATGCTTCTGGGCCAAGTCGCGGAAGTTGACCACGCGGATGGGAAGGACTATATTGGGCACTTCGCGCTAGTTCGTATCAAGTTTGATGTCAACCAACCCCTTATGTGGGGTGCCTTTGTTGAATTTCCTACATCCTCTCTCTCTCTCTCTCTCTCTCATTCTCATCCTCACTCCCATTCTCACTATCATTTTCCTCTACTCTAGCATGAAAAATGAAAACTAAAAACTAAAATTGAAATGATTATCAAACAGGCCTTAATTAACTCATTTTGTACTTATGTGTTTCTCGGAATTTTTTGCATTAAGGTCTCTATCTTTATCTTTAATTCCCAAGATAATCAAATGTTCAAATGTATCTGCAAATTGGGGACAAAAAGCAGGGCCACCAAGTACACTACCACCAGGTCCATCCCACATGATTCCATTGCCTTATTCGAAAATAATAGAAGTCCCACCATGGATTGTTCTTCTTGCATTCACATTGATGGAACTATGTTTAAAAGTATGTTTGGGAGTGGTTCTAAAATGATTAAAAATGCTTTCTGATAACCAAAAGCGTTTATAACAGCATTTGACAGAAAAATTAGAACTACTTTTATTATTTTCTTCCCAATAATAGAAAAAGTCTTGACTTTAAATCTCCATTCCCAGTAATAAAAAAGAAACCTTAATTTAATTAGCAATGTTTATATATACATTTATATATCATACATAACTATCGTACGAGAAAAGTGTTAACGATAGTAAGGGTCGCTCTTTCGTTATGTGAGGAGAGCAAATAGGCGACCACTAGGGTTAGGGTTTCTCTCAAGTTTCTTGCCAATTTTCCACGCCATCTCTCTCAAAATCCTCTCCACTAGTATCTTTTCCTTCTCCTTGGGGTGTTGGGTACGGTGGTGGCCTATTCCTTCTTACCTAAAGGGAGGATTACGCATGTTTCTTGATGTTTTGGTATGGTTTTTTCTGTCAAGTTTTCCTTGTCAACTTCTAGTTTTGGCTGCTACTGGTCTGAATTTCATCTCAGGATCACAAATTCTGGGTTGGAGATCTTGATTTACAGAGGGAGTTTGACTTTTGTGGCTAGGAGAAAAGCATGACAGTGGTGCTCTTGTCTTGTCCAAAGCATGGGGATCAACGTTCTCGAAAAACCGCTCGGAAGGCCACTAGTCCTTACAGATCAAGCAAAGGTGGGAGTGATTTTTGGCACAATGGCGGAGTCATATCAATTTGTGGATTTCTCTTATAGCCTTGTGGCTACTTTACTCTCTATTCAGGACCATATTGCGGGTTCGCGTTCAAAGCGAGGTTCAGGAAGGCGACAGAAAGTGGAAGTGGTGCTTCTAGGAATTTATGGTCGGGGTGAGCATATGATTGATAGTGGCATTGATTTTTCTAGTCAGTGGCGGAGCCACTCCCAGACCTGGAGTGGCCCTGGCCCCCCCAAATTTGTATCCCTCCTCTATTATATTATATATAATATGTAGAATTTGTAATCAATAATTTATAAATTAAGTTAACATTTCCTCTAAAACAAATTAGACATGACTCAATTAGAAAAATTTAGCTTTAAATATGTAATTATTGCATATTTGGATGTTTATATATTTGTATTTTCTACTTTGGCCCCCCTAATTTTACAATTCTAGCTCCGCCCCTGTTTCTAGTCAATGACGATTTGGTACCAATGGTTTTGCTGACAAGGCAGAGGAGACCAGCCTCGAGGGGTCTCCAAGATCTCCCTGATAATTCTCTTCTGGAACGTTCGTAGGCTTAGCAACCGATGAATGTTCCTACTCTGAAGATTTTTCTTCTGAAATTTATTGGCCAGTCTTGGTCTTCCCTTCTTTTCAGTTTGGGTTCTGGATCAAGAAACTAGGAGATGGCTTTTGATGTTTCACAGTACCTCTTATGTACTTTATGTTTTGTTCATGTGATTTGTTCGTTTTGATGTTTCATTGGTAGCCCATTGCATGCTGAACAATTTACGTGTCATACAAAGGACTATGTTTTCATAGGAGGCATTCTTTGACAGAACCTAAGAGGCATTGGTGTGCTCTTTTGCTAGGTTTCTCTTAGCTTTAGTTTGTTATTTGTGCTTTTTTCTTGTGATTTTTTCTTTTTGGTGCTTCATTGGTTCTGACCTATTGCATGTTGGATAAATCTCACGTTGTACTAAGGACTATGTTTACATAGGAGGCCTTCTTTGACAAAACTAAATAAGCGTTGACGTGCTCTTTTAATGAGTTTCCTTAGTCTGTGTTTGTTGGTAGGGTAGAATTGTTTTAGAGGTGACTATTCTGTATTTCTGTTTTTGTCAAAGGACTGTGACTATCCCCTAATAGAATTGTTTCATTATACATTCTATATATGGCCCCAGGCCCCCCCACCTCCAACCCCTTGCAGTGGGATCAACCTCATGAAAGAATATTAAAGTGTTTAATATTAACAAAAGATAAAACAGAAATGTAGCGACAAAATTAAGTGAGACAGCACCAATTGGTGCATGGATTATTGCGGATAACAATCACGTAACTAAAGTGTTTTGGTAAGGACCATATTCTCAGAGCACTATGGTGATCAGTGACAGAACTAGGATTGTTAGTATGGAGGGGCCAAAATTTCAAAATCACTTTCATATATCTCTTTCATTCAACACGCGCAGGAGACATTGATGCCGACCCCAAAAAGAGAGATCACGCACCAAATATTACTTACCAGTTCATGTCACGTTAATTGAAGTGCCATGTCCACCGTTCTTGGGTAGAAAAGTACTGTTCTATCTCCATATATAAGAGGCCAAGAGCTAGCTTGCTAAAGTATTACTTTGTACATCAACAATTATTTATATCGATCTCAAAGCTAAAAGAATTAATATATAATATCTTATATTATATCAGAGAGAACTCAAACTTTAGATCCCTATGGTGTCATGCAAGCGCTTTCTTCTTCTTGCTTCTTTTGTCTTGCTTTGCTTCACATCTCCCAGTGCTGCTAGAGGTAAACTTACATACAGAATTAATTTAGTCATAAATTCATACTTTGGGTCGAAAATATGCAAGTTTTGACCCTAATTAAACTGCCCAAGTTTTGTTTTGTTATGTTTTTTTAATTTTTCTGTGTGTGGACGGTTTATTATGGCAGCGCTGAGTTTGCATGGCGATGGTGAGAAAGGCATGGACTATAAGTTTAGTCCGAACCAAGATGGTACTGCTGCTGGTGGTGACGGTGACGACTTAGTGGCTATGGATTACACTCCGGCGAAAAAGAATACTCCGATTCATAACTAAGATGCCGTCGGCCATAAGTTTTGTTGTGAAATTAAGCATTGCTTCAGCTTCCTCTGTGTTCCACCTTTTACAGTTTGATATTCATATTGGAAACAGCGCAAAATTAAACATACTATATATATATATATATATATATATATATATATTACTAGGCTTGCGGACCCTTATGTAAATTAGTGTTGCAAAATTTTTGAGGTATTTTCTGGATATTCCTAGCCGATTTCAGATTTTGATTTCATATGTGCATGTGTATTATATCATCTTTGTTTTAAATTTCTTTATAACGAAATGGATGATTACAAGTAATATCCAAGACATGTTAAACTTGTGATCCACGGTTCCTTTTGGCAATCACAGATCGATTCATTCAAGTACCCTCCCTTTATAGGCGCCACTTCTCTAAAGGCATCAAATCTCTCTTAGGGCTGGCCATGACTTTTGGGTAGTCCGGGCCAGAAATTAAAATAAGTCTCCTTTATCTTTCCTCCTCTTGAATATAATAAACTATAATATATATATATATATATTATGCACATGCAATTCAAAATACATATCTTTGAGCACACCCTGGCTCCAATTAATAACATAGAAGGTTATACATGCCACACAAGGCAAACAAAACAAGAACAAGAGGGCCAACAACCAAAGAAAAACAGAAAAAACAAAGCACCAGCAAATAAATTTTGAACAATTTATAAGAATTTGTTGCAGGAACATAAAACAAAAATAAATAATTTAAAGGATATAAATCAGAAATCTAATTACCTTTTGAGAACTTAGATCACCGTCACCGCTTGTGACTTGCCCCAGTAGGAGGGAGCCCAAGGGCCAAGTTGTAGCTCCAGCACAGCAAGTCTAGCCCAGGCAAGGGTTGGGTCCCACAAGCCCAGGCAAGCCCATGGGAAAATTCAGCCCGAGCTGACACAATGATGTCAACAACCAAAAAATTCCTTCCATTTGGGGATTATTCGACCTAATTGGTAATTATTCAACCTAATTGGGAGTTACACAATTTAATTGGGGATTACCCAATTAAATGGAATGTTACCTAATTAGGTTGAGAATTGATTTGATTCCTACCACAATTCCCAAATAAATGAGGAGTTACCTAATTAAATTAGGAATTGATTTGATACCTACCACAATTAGGGATTTGATACCTTTCCATCTACGGAATTATTCCTCTGAAACTCTAGCCTCCGAAACCACTATAAAAGGATGGCCACACACAATAGTTGAGGTACGTCAGAATTACTACTAAAACTCTGTAGAGATCTTCCCCTCACAAACCCTAGCCACCTCCTCTCTCTCTCTCTCTCTCTCTTACATAAGGCTCCGGCCGCCCGGTTTACACCGTAAACACATCTCCGTACCCTATTAGCTATTGTTTTCTATACAATTAAATTGAACTAATTTAGGCATCATAGGGTCTTTGGCCAACACTCCCCGAGTGTGGTCCTCTTATTTGTTCTATTTTGCAAGGAGAAAAAGGTTTGTTATGAGCCAGCGAGTAATAGGTTTGTTATGACGCTAGAAGATGCCATGGTTGAGGATTTTGGCAGGCACCCACTGAACTTGGCCAATAGACATGGGAGGAAGAGTAGGTGATGTAGGGAGTGTGGAGCCAATCTTTTTCTTCAATAGGGACACATGAAATACTTTATGGATCATGGAATGTGTTGGAAGCTCCAACTTGTAGGCAACATAACCAACTCTCTCTGGAATTTTGAAAGGACCATAGCAACGCAGAGTGAGTTTTGAGTACTAGGGAGTGCGGATTGTGGCTAAGTAGGTTGTAGCTTTAAATACACCCAATCACCCATTTGAAATTCTCTTTCCTGCAAAGTGTTTCATTCGTTCCTGAGCCACTTTCAAGTTTTGGCGATGAGGGCAATGTCAACTTCATCAATGGCTGATGTCCCTGGAATATAAGAGGAAATAGAGGGTGGTGGTTTGTCATAAATTGCCTCATAGGTTGTCATGCAAATGGCAAAATGATTAGTGAAATTGTACCACCATTCCGCCCAAGGCAACCACTAGATCCAGGAAGCTTGTTTCTCTACCACAAAACATCACATGTAGTGTTCCAAGGAATGATTGAGGACTTCATATTGACGCTCTGATTAAGGGTCATATGCATAGCTATGGCAGAGTTGCGTACCCTGTGTTTATCAGACAATGCTTTACTCAAGTAAGCAATGGGATGGCGATCTTGAGATAAGATGGCACCTGTGTGAGCAAATTTCCCCACAAGAATATTCGATTGGAAAGATTCCCCTTCTTTCTCCGCTGTCTCTTTCTCCCTGCAAAATAGAACAAATAAGAGGGCCACACCGAGGGGGTGTTGGCCAAAGGCCCTCCGATGCCTAAATTAGTTCAAGAGTTTGTAAGAAAAACACTAGCTAATCTAGGTTACGGAGATGTGTTTTAGGTGTAAACCGGGCGGCCGGAGCCTTATGTAAAAGAGAGAGAAAGAGATAGAGGAGGTAGCTAGGGTTTGAGAGGAATTTTCTGCAGAGTTTCAGTAGAGATTTCAGACCTCCCTCAACCCTTGTGTGTGGCTATCTTTTTATAGTGGTCTTGGAGGCTAGGGTTTTAGAGGAATAATTTTGTAGATGGAAGGGAATTATTCCTCCCCTATTTGGAATTGATTTGATTAATTAGGGATTTGATTTATTGGGGTAAATCAAATCCCTAATTGTGGTAGGTATCAAATCAATTCCTAATTTGATTAGGTAACTCCTCATTTAATTGGGAATTGTGGTAGGAATCAAATCAATTCTCTATTTAATTAGGTAACTTTTAATTTAATTGGGTAACTCCCAATTAAATCGAGTAACTCCCAATTAGGTTGATTAATTCCCAATTAGGTCAAATAATCCCCAAATGGAAGGAATTATTTGACCTAGGGTCTAATTTAATTTGGTTCCCACAAATGCCCCCCAGCTTCTGCATGGCGCGCGGTGGCATGTAGGAGATGCGAATTATCTGTTGGGCTGTCCAGCTGTATCTGGGCTTCCTTCTTGGATTTGGACTCCTTTTGCTGATTGGGTTCCCAATTGGAGTGAGCTTTTGAACGTTCTTGGAGTTGGGTTCCCAGTAGGAATGGGCTTGCGATTCCTTCTTGACCTAGGATGCCTAACCTATGTAAATGCAGGGCTTCTCTTCACTCTTCTTCACATCGCAAACTTAACTTCTCTACTTTCTAGCTTGAGAGAGATCTTGGAGAATTTGTACTGCTTGTCGAAGAGAGGAGTCGTTGTGCATTCCAAGGTAAGTCGAGCACGTATATTTCTTTTTCTTCATCTTTTCTTCTTTTTTTCAGCAAAGGTTAGTTGGGGGAAGTCCGACTAGTTGTCATCGTGACATGCGACGGTTGGCAGTTGGGCCAGCTGCTGCCTATCATCGTAGGTATGGGCTGGAGCATGTTGGGCCTCGTGCGTTGTAGGCCTCGTCAGCTAAGTGGGTATCCGGAGGAAGTTGGTGGTCTACCCCCTGCCCAGGATATTGAGAGATGGAAGCATAATGGTCCAGACTTGGATGATCTGCTGGCTGGGCAAGAGGAGTGTTCTGCCGGACTCCCCTTCAAAAAGGAAGGCTGATGTCAAGTCTTCAAGAAATGAAGCTGTGAATTCGCTGGAAAAATATGTGTCCTCGTTGAGGAAGAAGCCAAGGATCCCTTCTGTTAAGAAGACTCAAGTGAGAGCTGTTTCATCATCATCTGCCAGGGTTAAACATCTTGTTTGTGTAGATAGTAGGAAGGTTGGTGGTATGCGCAGTGTTCGGGGTGCTCTACTAGAGCCTTATGCTGACAAGCTTGAAAACCATGATCTGCTTCCTAGAACAACTTGTGCCCTATCTTGTTTTGCTGAGTGTCAAAGAGATGCAAATATTCCTCTTCGAAGTTCGAGTTGTTTACATTAGTCAAATGATGAAGATTGAAGCGGGAAGTCTGCTCATGATCCAGCTGTTGAGTCACGAGCAGTCAAGTGTGGAGGTCATTCAGCATCATTAACTTCATTGGAGGTGAGGATGGCGACAGCTAAGAAGATGAGAGAGTCATCTGCCTGGGCTAAGGGTTATTCTTCAGCGTCGGTGGTTGATCCCAAGGCTAACAAGTCTAGCCCTGCAGGGGATGCATGCGTGTCTGATATGCTCAAGATGAACTTCCTATCAAACCCGTCTTCCTGTGTTGAGTTGGTTGATCACATCCGTCAGGTCGACGATCTTGGCACTTTCTCGAGCCTTTCCTTGGAAAAACAAAGGGAAGCAACATTCCATCTAATTCAAAAAGGATTGGTTTTTGCTGCTGAGACTATTCGAAACTCATCTGCTGTTGCCCCTTCTTCTGCCCAGCTCAACGAGTTAGAGAAGAAAAACGCTGAATTGGCCAGCCAGCTTTCCGCCGAGCAGGCCGGGTATGAGAAGAAGACGTCTTATTTAAGGGCGATGATATCTGAGCTGAAAAGCTCCCTTACCGAGAAGGATTCCAAGCTCAACTCCCTTGCCGCTGATTTGGTTAGTCGAAAAGATGTCTTCTTTTGTCTTGAGCCTAAGAATGCTGACATCTCCCTTAGCTATGACAAACTCCTGGCTAGTTGTCTTGCGTCTCCCGAAGGACGCTGCTTATGGGCAATTGTTTTGCAGTGATTTGCTTGCCAATGAACTGTGAGCCATTGTCGGTAACCAGCGACTATAGGCAACCAAACCGGCAGATGATGTTTCTTTAGATGAATCGCTTCACATTGGCTTCTTTAGTAGAGGATAGAGCTTCGACCTCGATCCATTTAGTAAAGTAGTCGGTGGCGACAATCATCATGTCCTTTTTGGCCAGTGCCAGTGGCAAGGGACCCACTAGGTCGATGACTCATTGCATGAATGGCCATGGACTGTTTTCTGGATGGTAAACTTCGGCAGGCAGGTTAGGGATCGGCTTGTATCGCTGGCAGCGATCACACTTCTTGACATATTCAGCAGAGTCGTGGCGCATGGTAGGCCAGAAGTAGCATATGTTTAAAGCTTTCTGGGCAAATGACCTGCCCCCAGAGTGGTTGCCACACTCGCAGTCATGAATTTTGCTCGAGGGTACTTTATGTAGGTGAGATGAGGGCCGGAGTATGATCTGCGGATGAGCTTGTTGCCATGCATGTAGTATCTTGCAGCCTTCTGCTGGACCTTTCTAGCTTCGGACTTGCCCGTTGGCAGGTTTCCATTCATCAAGTAGTCAAAGATGGGGTCTTGCTAGCTGAGGTCCTTGTCAATTTGCATTGTGTCGATTGGCTCTATTTCTTCAATGCTTGGTCGGTCAAGGTGTTCGACCAAGATGAAGCATCTGAACTGGGTATCCAGCGCTGACCCTAGGTTGACCAGTGCGTCTGCATGCACGTTCTCTGCCCGAGGTACTTGTTGGATGGTGAAGGTAGAAAACGCCTTCAATAGCTCTTGGATTTTGTCAAGGTATAAGATCATCCTTGGGTGCTTCGACATGTATTCACCTGAGACTTGATTTGTGATCAACTGGGAATATGAGTATATGGCTAATTTCTTGATCGCGAGTTCCCTTGCCAAGTGTAGGCTGGCGAGCAATGCCTCGTATTCTGCCTCGTTGTTCGAGGTCGAGAAGCCAAGTGTAATAGCTTGCTCCAACAGGGTTTCATCCGGGGTGGTGATGACAACACCCGCTCCAGCTCCCTTTTGGTTCGATGCTCTATCTACGTACAATTGCCACATGTCACTAGGTTAGCTTGGTTCAGCGGAGGTCCTGTCTATTTTTGAACTTTCCTTCTTTTTGTTGACCAATTTCTCTTCTTCGGCTGATGGGGTGAATTCTACTACGAAGTTTGCTCAAGCCTAAGCTTTTATTGCAGCTTTTGGCCTATAGAAGAGGTCATATTGGCTTAGTTCTATGGCCTACTTCATGAGTCGCTGAGAAGCATCAGGGCTGTGGAGGATTGATCTCAAAGGAAAGTCGATCATGACGATAACTCGATGAGCTTGGTAGTAGGGTCACAGCTTTCTCACGAAAACTAGAAGGGCCAAAATGAGCTTCTCCAATTTCGGGTAGCAAGTCTTTGCATTGAGGAGAGCTTTTGACGTGTAAAATACCGGATGTTGGGCCCCCAACTCTTCTCGGATGAAAGCTGAGCTGACAGCTGAGTTGGACACTGCTTGGTACATGAACAAGTCCTCACCAAGGACTGGCTTTGAGAGTAGGGGACGTGAGGTGAGGTAAGTCTTCAGATTCTGTAAAGCTACTTTGCACTCCTCATCCTATTTGTCTCTTTGTCCTTTCTTCAAAGTTTTGAAGAATAGTCTGCACTTGTCGGTTGATCTCGAGAGGAATTGGTTGAGGGCCGCTACTCTGCCCGTCAGACTTTGTATCTCCTTCACCGTGGAGGACGACTTCATCTCGAGAATGGCTTTGATTTGACGTGGGTGTGCCTTGATACCTCTTTGCGTGACTAGGTGTCCCAAGAATCGGCCGGAGGATACACCAAATGTGCATTTACTTGGATTCAACTTCATGCGATATTAGTGGAGCAGGATGAATGCCTTGGCGAGATTTTTGATGTGATTTGCACGTTTTAGGGCTTTGACTAGCATGTCGTCCACGTAGACCTCCATAGTTTTGTTGATTTGCTCCTTTGGTAAGTTGCGACAGTGTTCTTCAACTCAAAATGCATGACCTTGTAGCAGTGGGTCCCTCTCTCGATGATGAAAGAAGTTTGTGCCTTGTCATCCTCGTGCATTAAGATTTGGTTATAGCCGGAGTAGGTGTCCATGAAGCTGAGCAGCTGATTGCCAGAAGTGGAATCCACAAGTTGGTCGATTCTCGGTAATGAGAGGTTGTCTTTTGGGTATGCTTTATTGAGGTCAGTGTAATCAACGCAAACTCTCCACTTGCCATTCTCTTGTTTTGCCACCAGAACAACGTTGGCAAGCCACTCTAAGTAGGAGACCTCTTCAATGAAGCCGGCAGCTAGGAGTTTGTCAATCTTGGCTTCGATGATAGCGACTCGCTCGGGTGCGAAGTTGCGTCTTTTCTACGCCACTAGCTTGTAGGTAGGGTTGACGTGGAGTCGGTGACAGATGATGTTCGGGTCGATGCCAGGCATGTTTGACGGCGACTATGCGAACATGTCTTTGTTGTTCTGGTGGAAGGTGGTCAGCTCCACCTTCTCTTCCGGGCTTAAGCTCGAGCCGCTCCGCGCTTTCCTGTCTGGGTGGTCAGGATCCAAGGGTATTAACTCGACGTCTTCTTCAGGTTTCCATCTTTCTTTAGGAGAGACCTCTAGATGGATTTCCTCGGCTTGGTCCTAGCACTTTGATTGTTATAAGATAGCAAGATTCGGTTGTTCAACCTCCTTTAGATATGCCTGGCTCAGAGGGAGGAACTGCGCTTGTTTGCTTTTCTTCAGCCCTTGGGCAGAGCATTTCCTCGCCATTGCTTGATCGCTATTGATTTGGCCGATACCGCCACCAGGAATTGGGTACCGGATTTTCTGATGTGTGGCAGAGGTGACGGCGTTGATCTTGCCAATCCATGGTTTGCCCAGGATGCCATTGTAGGGTGAGACCTCATTAATGACCATAAATGTTTGCGAACTGATTATAGGTGGGGAGTAGACGTCTAGGTCTATTGTGCCAACGGTAACCGTTGTTGCACCACTAAAGCTGGTCAACGATTTGGCTATTTTATTGATCTTTGTCTCCAAGCCCATCTGCTGGATGGCCGCCAGTTGCAGGATATTGGCTGCATTGCCCTCGTCTACATAGATTCGGTTGACCATGGCCTAGGCGATTTGAATGCTAATGACAAGGGCATCATTATGCGGTAAGTTGAGGCCGATAAGATCTTTCTTTTGGAAGCCGATCACAAGATCGTCTTCTGCTGGTGGAAGGTCAGTAGAGATTTGGGAGATCATAGTGGTCTGTTTGATCTTCCTCTTCTTTTCCTTGCTAGTCAGCCCAGACTCTTCAGAGTCGGCTAGGATCTTGTTAATCCTTATAACCTTCTAGGGTGGCTCCTTGGCGGTGTCACGATCTTCAATCTGCTGGATGGCTTGCTTCGCAATGAATTCTGTGCAGTGACCTTCCCTCATGAGTTCTTCAAGGTGCGCTTTCCAAGCGAAGTAGTTGTTTGTAGTGTGCCTATGCGTCCCATGGAAGGCACAACATTTGCTAGTATCCCTCTTGTCCGGATCTCCTTTCAAGGGTGGTGGTCTTCTTATCCACGGTTTGTTCTTCACTTGGGCTAAGATTCGATGTATGGGGATGGTGAACTTAGTGTAGTTCTCTTCTGCCGCAGCGTCTCCTTGTGGGTGTGGCCTGCGCTTGTCCTTGTTCTTGTTGCCAAATCCATCGTTTTTTTGGCCTACCTGCTTAGTCGGCTGATCTTCCTGCATAGTAGACTTTTTTTGCAGCGATTCGATCGTCATCCCAGAGCACGTAGCGTTCCGCGATCGCGTAGACCTTTGCCAGAGTCTAGTTGGGAGTGATAGTTAGCTCGCGATACAAGTCGTGTTCAGCTAGAAGGCCTTTCTTGAAAGCAGATGACGCGATTTGGTCGTCGTATCCTACAATGTTGGCCTTTTCTGCTTTGAATCTCTTGATGTAATCTCGAATGGATTCGACAGACTTCTTACGCAGGTTATACAGGTGGTCAGGGTTCTTCTTGATTGTTCGGTAAGAGGTGTATTCTTTGGTGAAGACGTAAGCCAGCTCCTTAAAGCTACTGATCGACCCGGATCGTAGGGTGTGGAACCAATCTTGGGCTGCTCCTCGCAAGGTCATTACAAATACCTTGCACATCAGCGCGTCGTCTACCTTATGGAGGATCATGACACTTTTGAAGTGTTTTAGGTGGCTCTCGGGATCTGAATTCCCTTTGAAGTGTGTAAATGAAGGCGTTGAGAATCGCTTCGAGGGAGCAGCCTGCTGGATTTCGGGGGTGAAAGGCGTAGAGTTCGCCTGGTTCCCTCCGGTCTTCAGGTCTCTGTTGGTCTGTCGTGAATCTCACGACTTGGTGCTCCGGGCCAAGGGGATGTGCGTCAACACGTGACGTCCTTCTTTTGGATGCGGTGCGGTTGTGCGTGGGCGTGCCAGCACGGTCTACCGTGCGTCGAGATGATGATGAGGTTCAGGTAGAAGATGGTTTAAATGTTGCGCCTGTTTTGCGTTCGACTCCTAATCAAACGATCGTGGCCGAGTGAGGAACGAATCTCGGCCGTCAGGTTCACGGCCTGAGCTACAAGGCCGTTTAGTGGTGGTGTTGGTGGTGGGTTTTAGGCGGTGCTCCGGCGCGTTGCTCAGAGAGCGACAGTCGTATGATATATGGGGTGAGTGAGGCGATAACAGAGATGGTGCTCCGGCGCCTTGAAAATCAAGGGTCGTATGATATATTGATGAATGAATTTTCCTAACAATCTACCACTACTCCTAAGAAAGCAAATAAAGGTATTTTAAGTGCATTACAGGAAAATATAATTTGCTCCGTGGGAGGCTTTTGGTTTTGGTGTTTGAACCCTTGAATGTGGTCTTGAGCTTAGTATTTATAAGAGTCCTGGAGGGACATTCGAGGCTGACAAGACCTGCGTGGTGGAGCCTGACCGGGGCAAGTGGGTAATCAAATCGGCATTTGGGATTGTGAAGCATGGTGGTTTGGGGTTGAGAAGCATGGTGGTGTGACCCCCATAAATCTCGGCAAATCTTGGCCACCGTCCTGATCGTGGGTTCTGCCCCTTGGCCGTGGGAACGCATTTAATGCTCTGGTCTGGTGGTTGGTGATCTGACCCTTAAGTTGTAAGATTACTTGTGAGAATGTCTGCGCCTAACCACCATGATTCCCATCACCAAATCCTGACTTCAGTCACTTCCCTCGTGCATTGAATGTTTCTTGTGACTAGTGGGTTTTGCTGCGAAGTCAGAGGCATTACTTCATTAAATGGAGCGTGGGGCCCTAAGGCCACGTGGCGATTCAACCACAGCTTTTTCAGATCGTATCTTTTACGGCCTTCGGCCTCGGCCTTCAAAACTGCGGTCGCGAGGCCGAGGGGATTCTGCCTTTGCAGCTTTTCTTTTGCTCTTAGGAGGGCGAAATGCTTGACGAAACGGTAAGCGCTAGGGCCAAAGGGAAGTCCCTTCAATCAGTTCATGATTTATTAGGCCCAAACATTGCCCCCACATCCCTGGATTCTTCGGTCGCGGCTTGGGCAGAGGTCGAAAGGATTCCAAGGGATGGACCCTTTGCATTCCCCCTGAAGTGATTGACAGTTGGTGCTTTAAATGCGTAGGTCAATCGGTGCATTAAATGCGCAAGCATGTCTCGTAGGCCATCATTGCGCATCTTGTTAAATGAAACGACAGTTTCTGAGCTTCCGCCACGTCATTGCGCGTGCGAACGTGCAGTCAGACCGCTACGTCTCTCTCGAGAGCCATGCCCTTTCGTTTCATATTCTAGCGCCAATATAAAAGCCTGGCCTTCTTCATTTTTCTCCACTCCTTCTCCTCCAATCCAACCTGCTCCAGTGGCCTCCCCCTTGTAGCTTCTAAAGAAACAAGGCTGAGCCATATCCGCGGATCCCTGCGTCGTGGCTTGATCCAGATGGTTTTCTCCCTCCTGCTGTCCAACAACTATCCTTCGTTCTGGAACGTCGACGTGGGCCAAGGCCATGGTGTGGCCGAGATTCCTTCCCGGCCCTGGGGGAGAATGACCTTCCTTCGTATGAGGCCGCGGAGAGACCGCAATGCGATCTATGAAGATGGAAGGGCCTGGTATGACGGTTCCAACTTGGCCATGTCCGTTTGGCCTAGCACCTTGGTTGCATCCATGACCGAAGTGATGGCCCTAGCTTCACCCAGCCACAGTTGTGTCCAGAATGACGGCCCTGGCCATGGCCAGAGCGACGACCTTGATCGCGACCTGGTCTCACCCATGACCAGAGTGACGTCCGCACCCATGGTGACGGCCCTGATTTTAGCCGGCTGCACCCGTGTCCCGAGTGACGGCCCTGGCCATGTCCTGAATGACGGCCCTGGCCATGTCCTGAATGACGGCCTTGATTGCGACCCGGTCTCACCCATGTCCAGAGTGACGGCCCTGCCTTCGGTCACGGCCAGTGGAACCGTGGGCGGTGGAGGGACTGCCTAGGGAAGAATCATCTACTTGTTCGATCAAGGGGATCAAGAAGCGGCCGTTCATAGATTTAGGATGTATTCTACTTTTTGCATATGTATGCTTATACGTTTCATTCGGCCATGACCGGCCGTTCTCTTTGTAACCGTGCCTCCTTTCTTTTAATCTAATTGAAGTATAACCCCTTTTTCTTATGACCGAATGTATGGTTTTTCTTTTATCTTTGCCGATTGCAAAACCTCATAACCCATTCTTGGCCGTCTCCCACAATGACGGGGCATATTTCTTCAAATATTGGCCGTTTATTGCCAAGTTGTGCCATTCCCCATCCCTATCTCTTAACTGAAATGCGCCTCGGCTAAGGATTCGATCGATAATAAACGGCTCTTCCCAATTGGGTGAGAATTTGCCGAACCGAGGGTCCTTAGTCCCGATGGGAAGTACGGCACGCCATACCAAGTCGCCTTTGGCGAAAGTCCTTTGCTTCACCTTCTTGTTGTAGGACCTCGCCGCGACCTGCTTTTATGCCTGCATTAGGTTATAGGCATCGAGCCTGGATTGCTCCAAATCTTCTAACTCCTGAGCTATGGCCTGCGCATAGTCCTTCTCTTCCTGCCCAGGTCGTTCGGTCACACGGAGAGACCGAACCTTTAGCTCCATCGGAACGATGACGTCATGACCGTAGGTTAAGGCATAAGGGGATGTGCCAGTAGCCCAGAGGGCCTCGGGGAGAAAGTCGTGCCACGCCCTAGGTTTTTCCTCAATCATTTTCTCGAGGATACCCTTGATTACCTCAACCTCGGCCTGTCCGTTAGCCTGTGGGTAGTAGGGCGTCGAGTGGACCAATTTGATCCCCATCCTTTCGGCGTATTCTTGAGTCTCGGCTGATGCGAATACCGGGCCGTTATCGGCCGTGATGGTTTCGGGTATACCGAATCTGTGGACGATGTGATTTTCGAAGAATCTGACCACCTGTGTGCTAGAAATGGACCGATAGGACTCCGCCTCGACCCATTTAGTGAAATAGTCAGTTGCTACCAAAACCCAGGAGTGCTGGTTGGACGCGGCCGGGTAGATTTTGCCGATTATATCCACGGCCCATCCTATGAACGGCCAAGGTTTAGCAACCGGGTGGAGGGCGTCAGCCGGTACCTTTTGTATGAGGTCGTAGATTTGACACTTGATGCACCCCTTCGCATATTCTATGCAGTTCTTTAAACTGGTCGGCCAATAATAGCCGTGCCTCCGGACCAACCATCTCATCTTAACGCCGGACTGGTGAGCGCCGCAAATCCCTTTGTGGGATTCGGCCATGATAACCTTGATATCTTTGGTGCTGGGGCATAGGAGCAATAAACCGTCTGATCCTTTTTGGTATAGCTCGTTCTGATAAATTAAATAACATCGAGCTCGGAAGCGAGTAGTCCTTTCATGGTTGCCGGAGGGCTCGCGCAAATACTTTACTATGGGGTAGCACTAGTCAGTTTCGGCTGCTTCGACCTCGTTGGTAATCTCAGCTGATGATACCTGTGCTGTCATTCCCCGCTAGGCCAAAGCCAGCATGGTGCGCTTCTCGATTCTTATTACGCGGTCGCGGTCGCGGTCGCTGTCCGGAATGTTCACACCTGACGCTACCTGGGCCATATCATTGGCCTCATGGTTTTCGGCATGTGGTACGTAAACGAAGGAGATCCTAGAAAATTCGTTGGCCGTTACATAATACAAGGTTAAATTTTCGCTCGTGCACTAATATTCCCCGGTCAGTTGGTTAATTACCAGCTGAGAATCACCGTAGACCAGGACACAGGTCGCCTTCATTTCTTTTAGAATTTCAAGACCGATGATGAATGCTTCATATTCTGCCTGGTTATTGGTGCATTTGAAATCAAGCTGGAACGCAAATTGCCACCTTTGTCCTTGGGGGGATTCGATCACGACCTCGGCCCCCGACCTGGTCTCGGTACTGGAGCCAACGAAGTACATGGTCCAGTAGTTTTTCTCCATGTGGGTCATGCCGATCTCAACCTCCAACTCCCCCTCTTGCCCCTGAGTTGGGTGGTGGGCCAAGAAATCGGCCAATGCCTGGCCTTTGACCGACTTCTGGGCCATATATTGGAAGGTGAATTCGAACAATGCCATCGTCCACTTCCCGATCCGGCCGCGTATGATCGGCCGAGTAAGCATGTATTTGATGAGGTCGGTCTCGGAGATGATCTGAACAACCGAAAGAAGCATATAATGGCGCAACTTGGTGGCCGCGAAATAAAGTGCCAAGCATAATTTCTCGATTGGTGAATAGTTTAGCTCGGCCAAGTTGAGGGTGCGGCTCAGATAATGCACTGCTTGCTCTCGCTCAGATTCGTTGTTCTGGGCTAGCAGACAACCGATAGAGCCTTCTGAAGCCGAAATGTAAAGCCTCAAGGGTTTCCCTCTTTTCGGGGTCATAAGGACCGGCGGTTGAGATAAATATTGCTTGATGTCGTTGAGGGCCGCTTGATGTTCTGCCCCCCACACCCCGGCCCCCTTTCTGGGCTAGGAGTCAATGGCCGGATTTTTCCCGCCAACTTGGATATGAACCGCCTGAAAAAGTTGACCTTACCGAGGAAATACTGAAGTTCCTTTTTGGTCCTCGGCTGGGGTGCCGTCATGATGGCCGTGGCTTTACTCTTATCTACCTCGATCCCCCGTTTGTGGACCAAGAAGCCGAGAAAGTTCTCGGCGGTGACGCTGAAAGAACATTTCTTGGGGTTCATCTTTAGGCCGTGTGCCCGCATGCGATTGAAAGCCTATCAGAGATGCCCTACATGGTCGGCTTTGGATGGGGATTTTACAACAACGTCGTCGATGTAGACTTCGACCGTTCGGCCAATTAGGTCGTGAAAAATAAGGTTCATAGCTCGTTGGTACGTTGCGTCGGCGTTCTTCAGGCCGAATGGCATGACTACCCATTCATAAGTCCCGATTGCACCTGGACATCTGAACGCCGTCTTGTGGACATCTTCCTCGGCTATGAAGATTTGGTTGTAGCCAGCGTGGCCGTCCATGAAAGACAAGAGCTCGTGCTTCACGGCTACGTCCACCAGGAGGTCGGACACAGGCATGGGATACTCGTCCTTGGGGGTCGCGAGGTTTAGATTTTTGTAGTCGGTGCAGACCCTCAAAGCCCCAGTCTTTTTCAACACCAGTACAATGTTAGGCAGCCACTCAACGTACCGAGCCGTGTGGATGAAGCCGGCTTCAAGGAGCCGTTCAATTTCCTCTTTGACCTTAAGCTGTACTTCGGTCGAGAATCGCCTCGGCGGCTGTTGGAAAGGCCTAAACCCCTTCCTAATTTTTAGTTCGTGCTCGACCAAACTTCTTGGTAATCCAGGCATCTCATGATAATCCCAAGCAAAACAATCCTTATATTCATGAAGCAGGCCGATAATCTCAGCGGCTAATTCAGGGCTCAAAAACTGGCTTACAAAAAGAGGTTGTGGTTCGGACTCGGTTTCCACATTTATTTCTAATAACGGGTCTTGGACCTCGGGGTAGTCATCCTCCATTTCGGCGGGCGCCGTTCCCAAGTCGTCAAAGGCCAAAGTGTTCGCCTCATCCGACTCGTGGAGGAATTCGATTAGGTTGATCGGCGAGTATGGCTGTAAGGATTCTTCTGCCCAATGTTCCAGCAGTCTTTCCAGCAGGTCGGTCACGGCCGTGGCTCCCTCCTCTCTAGTGGCTTTGTCTGTCATCTACAGGTCAGTGAGGTTGATCAATACTTCGCGTGCCGAATCCTATCGAACATTCTCGGCGCCTAACTCCAGCACTTTCTGGGCCGTTGTCCTGGTTGGCCGGCCGCTTTCATCGTGGCCGGTGAGGACAACCCATCCAACGTCGTCGTCGTAAATTCGTGCTTACACGGCGTTGGTTTCAAAGGGCTTTTTGTCGGCCGGGTGTATGGACACCCTCTGGCCGTCCCAGAAGAACAACAGTTGGAAGAGGGAGGACGGTATGCATCCAGACTGATGGATCCAGTCACGACCGAGCAATATATTGTAGTCCATGCTAGATTCGACCACGTAGAAGGCCGCGACTCTCGTCTGGTCAGCCACAGTGATTTTTAACGGCAACACCCCGATGGTCTTAGATTTATCGCCGACAAAGCTGCTCATGACCACATCGCTGGGGATGAGGTCTTCCTTTGACTTATCCAGCTTCTTCATCAGGGAATAGGGAAGGATGTTGATTGTCGCCCCATAGTCAACGAAGACCTTGGACACGGGCACACCCTCCATATGAGCCGAGATGTATAACGGTTTGAGGTGTCGGTATTTGTTTGGCTCGTCTTTGGGTATTGCCTCGTTAAAAGCCATGACCAATAATTCTTCCTTTGTCTTTAGCCTTTGATCAAGCTGTTCCTCGGCCACGTCATTATCCAGGCCGTTGGTCTGGTCTCTTGGGGTCGAAAACTCGGACGGCAGTACCAAAACCATGTTCATGCTGACCTCCTTTGGCTTCCGCTGGTTTCCCCAACCAGCCTCTTTGTTGACCTCGTGGCCGCCAACTGGCGAGGGTTTTTCCCTCAATCATTCCGAGGATCCCATCGTAGTCGTCATCGGAGATTCCCAACGCGGGGTCAGCCTCGACCTCGTGACAAAAGAGAAGGTCGCCGGGGCCCTCGGCCATAGGCCTTGCAGTCCCAGGGGTATCGTCTGTGGCCGCTTTGGTCTTAGGGGGGTCTGAGGTCCCTACTTCCTCCTCGAGGGCTTGCCTAGCCTTAGCTAACGTATCCCTGGCTGCTAAGTAATCATCCAGCCGGCTTACCCGGGCCCTTTCTTCGGTCGTCAGACCGAAGATGGTGTTGGCTAGGGTCACAGTAAAATATCAGCGGAGGTATTCCAAATCGCTTCTGCCGAAGGGGGCCTTGGCCTCCAATTTTCCCTCATCGGGTCAGTAACCTGCCACCCCTATTGCCCTGACTTCTCGGTTCGCCTGGTATACGGCCTTAATGGCCAAGTCGAATTCGTTGGTAATGAGGAGCCTTTCTGCCTTGGCGTTTCTGAGAGCCAATTCCATGATTTCACGGTTTTCAGGGGTCATGCCGTATAGGTCGATGGCCGAGTGGTCCTTATGGAATTCCATGAGAAAGGACAAACCGTTGGTCGAAAAAGGGAGGCCCTCCCGTGGTAGACATCGATGATGCTTTCATCTGCTCCCTCTAGGGCCGCGGCCTTTAGCTCGACCGAAACGGCCGCCATTCTGCGGGGATCACCGTCTTGCCTAGGGCTCCACGCCCTTGGAGGCTTGGCGCTGGCGACCTTTGCTGCAGGGGGAACGATTGGCGCAGATGGTGTTTCGTCTGCAGTCGCCATCTTCTTTTGGCGTTTTAACCCCTCAACCTGGGCCGTCTGTATCCTGGCCTGCTGAACTTGCCTCTACATCCTTCTCAACTGGGTCTTTGTCAGAGGTTCGGTGCTGCCCCCAGGTCGAGCATGATACCAACGGTCATCCCGTACGACCGATGGTTTGAAAGTCTTCACCGGCCTAGGAGCGGCTCTGTCTTTGTGGCCTGCCGAAGTACTGGGGCCTCGTGCCCTTAGTCGGTCGAAAACAACTCTTCTCGCTGGCCGACGAATTTTCTCATAGCCGATCGAGACGGCTCGATGGCCTTCCTCTTGTTTTCCGGTGGTCTGAGCTGATCGATCTCAGACTTGCACCGACTGCACGGTACCGGCTCTGGTTCGGCCAACGGCTCCTTTCCTTTTGCAGGCCGACGAACTTCCCTATATTCGGCCCGGAGCTGACTGTTGACCATGTTGATGATAGGCGAAGGGAATGGCTTAAAGTCGACTTGCATGGCCGCCTTTTCTGTGAACTGAAGCTTCTTTTCGTCTATCAACTTCTGGATGACGTTTCGCAGAACAACGCAATTATTGGTGTTGTGAGACCAAGAACTGTGGTATTTGCAGAATGTCTTTCCTTTGAGCTCTTCAAGTTTCGTTATTTTATGGCCGAAGGACAATTTGACCTTCTTCTCGGTTAACAGTAGGTCAAAGATAGCTTTGGCCCTGGTCAAATCAAAAGTATAGGCCTTTGTTTCTCGAGTCGCGAACTTGGCGTCGGTCTTGACAAGTCCATTGCAGACAAATAGCTTGTCTATACTGACTTCGGCTGAGCTCATCTCAACTTCGTCGCCCTCGGCCTCTGTGAGGTTGTCTGTTTCAGCATAGCTGACAACGGGATTTTGATAGTAAGTCAGTTTTGAAGCCATCCTCTTCTGCACCTCTTCTTTCAACAAGGATGGGTATCGGTCCACCTTGTTGATCAAGTCGTGCATGTCCCGGAATTTAATCCCCTGGAATTTCTTCCAGTATTCGAATTCCAACCCTTCTTCGGCCATCTTGACAAATTCCCTCTCCGGTAGATTCGTGCGGCACCAGTTCCTACACGTTTTGAACCGCTGCACGTAGTCGCGAGGTGATTCGTCTGACACCTGGCTCATCCTTGCCAGCTCGGCGACCGTTATTTCCCGATTGGTCTGGTAGAAATGTTCGTGGAATATCCTTTCCATGTCAGACCAATCCCTCATCGAATTCGACGGAAGGTTTATGAACCACGCGAAGGCCGCGCCGGTCAGAGAGTGAACGAATAAACGAAGCTTCTGGGCGTCTGAATCGGCCTCTCCGCATTGGGCCGTGAAGCGGCCTATGTGTTCGATGAAGGAGGTTTGCCCATCTCCAGAGAATAGAATGAATTATGGCAACTAGTAGTTCCGGGGAAGAGGGGTTCGGTCAATTTCTGACGGGTATGGTTTGGTATACCTTGGCGCTTCCGGGCGCCTCTGAGCCAGGCCGTCCTCGATCATTTGCTGGACGTCTTCGAATCGGAGCCCCTGAGGGGGTGCTTCTTGCTAGGCCGTGACTAGCCATGGAACTTGTTGCCCCTCGATCTACGGCCTTACCTGCTGGGCCACTTGAATCGAGGGTTCGGCCGTTGTGACCGAGTTGGGTGGTACCAAATATGCACCGTAGGTTTGACCGAGGTTCGTATGGGTTGTAGTAGGAATGGCCGAAGTGTACTGAAGATGGGAGCCTGACGGCAATAACGACATGTGTAATGGTGAAACGGTTGGATTGCTCTGACCGTATTGCTGTGATAAAGTAGCGGTCTAGTTGCTTGGGCCTGGATGGGTCTGGATGGCCACAGTGTGGACTGGGCCGAGTTGCTGGACCGTGGACTGTGCGGGGCTACTTTGCCCTAGTGACACGGCCAAAGCATGGAGTGGGCCGTACGCCGTCTCTGCCGAGTAGGTCGGTCCGAGATTTACCCATGTTGGCTGGGATTGCCCCCAGCTGTTTGTCGGCGGCTGTGAATGCTGGCCATAACTTGATGCTTGGGTGCGGCCAGAGACGCCGAGGCTGCTGCTTTCGCCGTAGGGGTCGAACCTCTCGCGCTCTTGGCCTCTCTGTTCGGCTCTGAGAGGCGTTGCGGACGATGTCACCGGCATCCTCTCTTGAAAAAGCGTCTGTAGCTCCGAGGAGAATCTGTCCATTGCGGCCATAAAGGATGTTTCTATCCTGTAGGCCTACTTCGCCATCAGATCTTCGACGACTGCTTGCTCTCCCATGGACTCGGCCGTGCGATCCGTCGTTATTGGACCGCTGGCCAAGGTTCTGACCGCGTGTTCGGTCTCGATGACAATGATTGGTGAGGTGGACTCAGGAGCCTCGGAAGTCATTTCGACTGTTTTGTTTTTGAGTTTTGCCTGTGCCCTAGTTTCCACCATAAGTTTTTGACAAGTCCCACCGAGCGTGCCAAAAGTGTTGGTCTGTCGCGACTCTCGCGGCCTGGTGCTCCGGGCTGAGAGGATGTGCGTCAACACGTGACGTCCTTCTTTTGGATGCGGTGCGGTTGTGCGCTGGTGTGCCAGCACGATCTACCGTGCATCGAGATGATTATGAGGTTCGGGTAGAAGATGGTTTAAATGTTGCGCCTGTTTTGCGTTCGACTCCTAATCAAACGATCGTGGCCGAGTGAGGAACGAATCTCGGCCGTCAGGTTCACGGCGAGTTGCTCAAAGAGCGACGATCGTATGATATATGGGGTGAGTGAGGCGATAACAGAGATGTTGTTCCGGCGCCTTGAAAATCAAGGGTCGTATGATATATTGATGAATGGATTTTCCTTACAGTCTACCACTACTCCTAAGAAAGCAAATAAAGGTATTGAAAGTGCATTACATGAAAATATAATTTGCTCTGTGGGAGGCTTTTGGTTTTGGTGTTTGAACCACTTGAATGTGGTCCTAAGCTTAGTATTTTTAAGAGTCCTGGAGGGACATTCGAGGCTGACAAGACCTGCGTGGTAGAGCCTGACCGGGGCAAGTGGGTACTCAAATCAGCATTTGGGATCGTGAAGCATGGTGGTTTGGGTTTGAGAAGCATGGTGGTGTGACCCCCATAAATCTCGGCAAATCTCGGCCACCGCCCTGATCGTGGGTTCTGTCCCCTTGGCCGTGGGAACGCATTTAATGCCCTGGTCTGGTGGTTGGTGATCTGACCCTTAAGTCATAAGATTACTTGTGAGAATGTATGCGCCTAACCACCCTAATTCCCATCACCAGATCCTGACTTCAGTCACTTCCCTCGTGCATTGAATGTTTCTTGTGACTAGTGGGTTTTGCTGCGAAGTCAGAGGCATTACTTCATTAAATGGAGCATAGGGCCCTGAGGCCATGTGGCGATTCAACCACAGCTTTTTCAGACCGTGTCTTTTACGGCCTTCGGCCTCGGCCTTCAAAACTGTGGTCGCGAGGTCGAGGGGATTCTGCCTTTGCAGCCTTTCTTTTGCTCTTAGGAGGGTGAAATGCTTGACGAAATAGTAGGCGCCAGGGCCGAAGGAAAGTCCCTTCAATTAGTTCATGATTTATTAGGCACAAATAGTCTCGAAGTCGGCCGTTCACAAGCTTCTCTACGTCTTCCGCACACATCGCTAGTCAATCTCGTTGGCAACCTTTACGGTTTGGGCGATGCTGATTGACTTCCTCGTTGATCTGCGAGGGTCGACCTTCTCGCCTGCGCTGCTTAGGCGGCGTGTTAATGGACTGCGCCTGCGAAGGATTTTCTGTAGCTTTCCGACGAGAATCAACTCTTTGAGAGTGAGTAGCGAAGCGCATTTCCTCATAGTCCTCATTGTGAGGGTTGTCCAGCTAACCACCCTAGGGGCCTAGCCTTTCGTGAATGCTCCTCTACGAGTGGATAGCTGAGCGCATTTCTTCACGATCTTCGCTGCGATGGTTGTCTGGCTGACCTCCCTGGGGGCCTAGCCTTTGATGTACATTTCCTTGCGGACCTAGGTGGGGGCGAATGTCAAGTCGTGGGCCCAGCCTTTCGTGCACGTTGTTCCTTAAGCTTAATCTGCTCTAAGTGTGGCTTGCAGATGCTTGCGACATGTCTGCAGGCCGATCACGTTGTTGTCTCTCGCTTATCTGCTCACTCCTGCTCGCCCTGCTTGGTACCCATCGAGCTGCCTACCGGTGCGTTCGCCCATCCTTCTCTCTTCGCCCGGTTGTCCAAGGCCAAGGTTTTGAGCCAACCTTATTTGGTTGAGGAGTTGCCTTATTAGATTGCTTTGGTCGTCCATTCTCTGACCTAGCTGGTCAACTCTCAGACTGAGGTCTGCTTGACTTCGTGGATCGAGAGGAGAGAAGTGCATGGAGCCCAATTGCACACGGGCTAGGGTTTCATTGGAGGTGTACGCGGGAGCTTGCGTCGAGCGTGGAGGCAATGGAAGGAACGCTTGAAGTTGCTCCAAGACCGGGCCTAAGTCGATGGTGGTAACGAGCCCACCTTGATGGGAGGTAACACCATGTTCGGCAGCGGCGGCCGGTGTGGTGGTGCCACCATGTCGATCGCGGGATCGCGGGTGGAGTGGCTTTGGGCCGTCACGGATTCAGCCATCGCGGCGGTTTTGCCTCTCGTCTTCTTGCTTCCAACCATGGTTGTTTGAAAGGCTTCGGTGGATTGAAAAATAGGAGGAACAGATTCCTTGAGCACGCGTTGAGTATAACTCGTGCTCTCAATGAAAGCACCAATTTGTGTGAGCAAATTTCCCCACAAGAATATTCGATTGAAAAGAATCCCCTTCTTTCTCTGCCGTCTCTTTCTCCCTGCAAAATAGAACAAATAAGAGGGCCACACCCGGGAGGTGTTGACCAAATGCCCTCCGATGCCTAAATTAGTTCAAGAGTTTGTAAGAAAAACACTAGGTAATCTAGGGCACGAAGATGTGTTTTAGGTGTAAACCGGGAGCCGGAGCCTTATGTAAAATAGAGAGAGAGAGAGAGAGAGAGAGAGAGAGAGAGAGGAGGTAGCTAGGGTTTGAGAGGAATTTTCTGCAGAGTTTCAATAGAGATTTCAGACCTCCCTCAACCCTTGTGTGTGGCTATCTTTTTATAGTGGTCTTGGAGGCTAGGGTTTCAGAGGAATAATTTTGTAGATGGAAGGGAATTATTCCTTCCCTATTTGGAATTGATTTGATTAATTAGGGTAAATCAAATCCCTAATTGTGGTAGGTATCAAATCAATTCCTAATTTGATTAGGTAACTCCTCATTTAATTGGGAATTGTGATAGGAATCAAATAAATTCTCTATTTAATTAGGTAACTTTCAATTTAATTGGGTAACTCCCAATTAAATTGAGTAACTCCCAATTAGGTTGAGTAATTCCCAATTAGGTCAAATAATCCCCAAATGTAATGAATTATTTGACCTAGGGTCTAATTTAATTCGGTTCCCACAGCACCTATTTCCCCATTGGACGCATCACACTCTACCACAAATATTTTGGAGAAATGAGGTAGTGCAAAAATAGATGTAGTGATCAGAGCCAACTTAAGAGCCTTAAATGCTTTGTATGCGTGAACTATCCACTTGAAATTGTCCTTGCACAGCATGTTGGGTAGGGGTTTGGAAATGAGCCCAAAGTTATGAACAAATTGTGATAATAACAAATTGAAATTGTCCTCGTAAACCCTTCATTGTACTTGGCTTAGGCCATGCCTCAGTGCAATGAATTTTCTTGTGATCTACCCATTGTCTTGTGATGTGATAGTATGCCCTAGGTAATCCACAAAGTGTTGGATGAAAGAACATTTGGATCTCTTCACCTTTAGGCCATGCATACGTAGGATTTCAAATACAGTGGTGAGTTGAGTGATGTGATCCTGCAAATTACAAATATATACCAATATATCATCAAAAAAATACAAACATTGTTTATACAAGAGTCAACGACCAATAAGGGCAAGACACGTGGATAAAAGATAGCATCGGCAAGGTGGCCTTTGACACCCTAGACTGCCGATGGCGATGTCCTTACAAATGCATCTTTTGGCCACATGGAGCATTCACAGCAAATGTCTATAGTCCCACATCGAAATTCTACACAACATGCACACCTCCTAAGGCTTATAAAAGGGGGCACAAGTCCCAAAGTATAGGTAACTGGAACTTTCAGCATACTAACCCATTGCTCTGTCCAGATTATTATTAAATCTGTGCTTAAGTAAGTATCGAAGAGCCTTCAACCAGTACCACACCAATGCCCTAGGTCTTATCGAGCGTTTTCTCATCTTACGGATCAATCACTCTACCAAGGCCTAGAGCTTTCCAAAGACCCAGACATCACTAATTTGAGCCCAAAAGTGTCGAACCACTTTTTTGCATCAATAGTTTGGCGCCATCTATAGGAATTGACAAGAATCGAACCACCGTCTCTATCACATAGGGATCGCATCAGTACCTGTGTTTCTACCACAAGAAGGACTGTTGTTCGGAAATCAAAGTGGAGCTAGCCCAGCACTACCCCCGTGCACTCTCGCCGGCAATCCATAATGCAAACCACTGCTGAAGGCTAGCTGTTAGCCCAAATTATTGCTCTTCGACAGGACATGGGTAGATTACAGGAATGCAACAATCTTCTCTCTTCCAAGATGGACGAAACGCAGCAGCTGCTAATCAGCAACACACACAAATTATCCAAACCACTCAATCCTCTCAGAGTCTGTAGACTCCCAGTTGGTAGAAGAAGGGTAAAAATAGGGCAAAGGCAACGCCACACCCTCCAAACACCTAGTAGTTTCGGCTCTTAAGGATAAACCCCACCTGCCAAAGAAGGTTTATTCCGATTGTCACCACTGGCTAATAGATCGGGAAGCTAAAAGACAAAGATCACCAATCAGAATTAGGGCACATCTCAACGACTCACGAATGAGGGTTTTCGGTAATAAATCCCCTATCCGAAGAGTGCAGGGTTTGGAATCCGTGACCGAATCAGATCATGAATACGTCCCTTCTACAAATCAAGAATCCAGCTACCGATCGGCCACCCCAACACGATACTCTGAGGTTAACTCGATAAGGTCACAAAGACATTCAGAAGATTATGGATTCGGTGAAATTCCTAGCCAAGACCCCGTCATTCAACTCTTCCTCCAGAAGGTTCAGAAAATAGAGGATGACAGAACTAGTTCCTATGAACTAGAATGGGGGAAGCTTCGGCCAGGGCCATTCACCAAACACATCAAGAACTCCAGGCAGGATAAGGATGTGCAGCCACTGCACATACCATTCTACACGGGAGTAGAAGATCCCCTAACACATCTCCACTCCTTTCCGTATGCCTTAGGGTGCAAAGAGCTCAGTGACGAAGGGCAGTTCTTGCTATTTCCATTTGCGCTTACTAGAGCAACTTTGAACTGGTTCTACAGGCTGGAACCAGGAACAGTAGACTCTTTCGACGAGCTAAAACAGATCTTTCTCAATCATTTTATGATCCAAACGGACCGTCTGTATTTTGTCAATGACTTTTATACCATTCGTCAGAAGGAAGATGAGCCCCTAGGAGAATACGTTGCGCAGTTCAGCCATGAGTACTCGAGATGCCCATAAACCGATGATCGAGCAGCTTAGTACACAGCAGCAACTGGCGCACCTATGATGAGTTAATGAAACAGGCTGCAATCCATGCAAAAGCCGAATACTTCAACTTGAAAGCCAAGCCTTCCGCTCGGTAAGAAGAACCAGCATAGCAAAAGCTCTTGGTACGAGGGTCAAGGTATGATCCGGTTGACAAGGTTGATTGATACCAAGCTAGCCACAAACGAAAGGACGCCTCCAGCTCTCAACAGGAGAATTCTATAAGAGTTAGAGGGAAATATAGTCGCGACAACCACCGAGCGCCTTTGTCGAATCATGACTGTGAGCTGGAGGTCTTCACTCTGCCCAACACTTCTTACGAGATCGTTCTGATGAATGAGCATGAGATGATACTAAAACTAACCAATCGAAAACCTAATGGCCAAGATAACCGAGACATTGGAAAATTTTGCCGATACCACCAGCACAATAGCTACTATACTGAAGAATACATAAGCTTGAGAAAGATCGTCGAGCGCTTGATTCGAGAGGGCAAGCTAGACCAGTACATTGCAAGGCCATAGCAGGCACCGATTTTGAACGTGAATCGGCAGATCAACATGATAAGCGTCATCAATGGAGGACTAACCTTGGCAGGTATATCCAACCGCTCAAGGAAGCAATACATTCTAGCGGCCCAATACCCACAAGTCTTCTGCATTGAAAGCAACCAGCATCATAAGCTTTTGAAGATTCGATGGGAACCCATCACCTTCTACGAGGAAGAGGAAGAAGGGATCCTTTACCCCCATGATGATCCAATGATCATCCGAGCCGAGATTGCTGACTTTGACATAGGACGAGTCTTAATTGATACAAACAGTTCGGTCAACATCATTTTTGTTGATGCGATCGGGGAGTTGGGAATAAACGATAGCCACGTCAATCGGCAGCTCACGCCCCTCCTTAGTTTCTCTGGAGACTTGGTCTAGCTAGTCGGTATCGTCAGCTTACCAATTGCCTTCTGCGTGGCCCCATGAAAAACAATGATGTACGATCAATTCCTCATTGTTGATTGCCCAACGACATACAATATCATAATAGGCCGAATGGCACTCACCGAGGTCAAGGCGCACCTATCCCTCCATATGTTGGTCATGAAATTTCCAACTTGCCATGGCACAAGTGTAATCAAAGGAGACCAGCTCAGTGCATGGACCTGCTATGCAACAGTGCTTAAATTGGAAGCTCTCAAACCTCCTAGGGAGACCCTCGTTGTTCACGGAACACAGAATAGTAGGGAGCCTATAGACGACCCTAGAAACGAAACACCGATGCCGCAAGCGCAACCCGCTGAAGACTTGGAAACAGTCATCTTGAACGAAGATCAACCAAACCGATGCGTGAAAATCGGTTCCGCACTCACTATGGAGTTCATTCAATCTCTACATCACCACTCTGAGGTATTTGCTTGGTCATACAACGATCGGAGTTTATTCGAGAGGCTACATATCTTGAATGGCTAGTGAACTCTGTCGTGGATCGGAAAGCAAAAGGCGGATGGCTAATGTGCTAAGACTATACCGATCTAAACAAAGCTTGTCCGAAGGGTAGCTTTCCATTACCACGAATTGACCAGCTAGTGGATGCCACTGCTGGTCATGAGTTGCTTAGCTTTATAGATGCATACTCAAGATACAATCAGATTTTTATGCACCATGTCGATAGCGAACACACGAGATTCATCACAGACAGGGGACTATACTGTTATAATGTCATGCTGTTCGGTTTGAAGAATGCAGGAGCAACATACCAAAGGTTGGTCAACCAAATCTTTGCCAAGGACATCGACAGCACCATGGAGGTCTATGTCGATGATATGTTGGTAAAAAGCAAAACAGTAGATGAACACCTTCACAACTTATCCCTCATGTTCGATATCCTTAAGGAATACCGGATAAGACTTAACCCCACTAAGTGCTCATTCGGTGTATCTTTTGGGAAGTTTATTGGTTTCATGGTTAGCCAGAGAGGAATCGAAGAGAACCCCAAAAAAATTAAAGCTTTAATTAATATGGAAAGGTCGAAGAAATAGAAGGACATTCAGAGCCTTATCGGACGTGTTGCTACGTTAACACAATTCATTTCCAAAGCCACCGATAAGTGCGCACTATTCTTCAAAGCCTTGAAAGAGGGCAAGCAGGACATCTCATGGACAGCCGAATGCAACTAGGCATTTCAAGACATGAAGAACTACATGATCAAGGCACCGCTACTGTCAAAACCCCTTCCTGGAGAAATCTTGTTCCTATATCTCTCGATATCTCAAACTGCCGTCAGTTTTGTATTGATTCGGAAGCCAGAAAAAACCAGAATTGCCGATCTTTTACGTTAGTAAAGCACTACAAAGCGCAGAACTTTGCTACCCTCCCCTCGAGCAGTTGGCCCTAGCTCTTATCACCTCGGTATGAAAACTCCGTCCTTTTTTTCAAGCTCATACGATCACCGTCTTAACTAACTAACTGCTTGGGCAAGTTTTCCAAAAATTGAAAACATCCGGCCGATTGGTCAAGTGGGCGATCGAGCTAGGGGAGTTTGATGTACAATTCAAACCCAGGCTCGCAGAAAAAGGCTAGACCGTCTCTAATTTCATCTCTGAACTAACACCTTCCGCAGTATCAGAAAATCAGCAAGGATGCAGAGCCGGCTTAGTGTTAACCGCTAGATGGAGTAAAGATTGAATACGCTCTCCGCTTCAGCTTTAGAACTTCCAACAACTAGGTCAAGTACGAAGCCCTCTTGGCTGGCCCTCTGCTAGCAAGGAGTATGGGCGCCAAACAGATCAGCATCCACAGTGACTCCCAACTCATAATGAATCAAATAACTCCCGATTTTGCAGCCAAAGATGTATCCATGTCAGCCTACCTATCAGCAGCACATTGCAAAAAATTTGTGCTTATGAGATTCGGCAGATACCCAGAACGGAGAACAATCACGTCGATGCCTTGGCAATATTAGCTTCGGCAATCAACTTCAAAATCGGCTGACAAGTTCCTGTGGAAATACTGACTCAGCCAAGTACAGTAGGTGCCGAAGTTTGTGTCGTACAGTATGAGAACATGTGGATGTCCCCCATCTACACGTGGATCTTCAAGATACACTATCATCAATGATGTCCTCTACAAACACTGTTACACCACCCCTTACCTCAAGTGCATCATTGTCGAACATGGGGACTATGTCCTTTTGGAGATCCACGGAGGCATCTGCGGTGACCATTCAGGATCTCGATCGCCAGCTCACAAAGCTTTTTGGTAAGGCTACTATCGGAATGCAATCGTGTGTCCCTGCCGAATCGCTGACACCCATTGTGAGTCCATGACCTTTCGCCCAGTGGGGGCTCGATCTGATCAGTCCCATGCCGTAAGGAAAAGGCCAAGTCAAATATGCAGTGGTAGTCGTTGACTACTTTACTAAATGGATAGAAGCCGAAGCTCTGGCAACCATCACGACAATAAGAATAAAAGATTTTTTCTGGACCCACATCTGTTGCCGATTCGGCATTCCATATGCCATTATCATCGACATGTTCTTCGCCTCACCAGCTCACCCCCAGTCGAACGGCCAGGTCGAAGCAATAAACAAAATTATCAAGAAGCTGCTAAAACGACAACTGGACAACGCAAAAGGTGCCTGGCCGGAGAAGCTTCTCGAAGCACTTTGGACCATTTGGACATCCTTTCGAATGCCCACAGGGGAAACTCCTTTCTTTCTTACCTTTGGATCAGAGTCCATTGTCCCAGTAGAGATCGGTGAGCCATCTTACCAAATGGAAAGTTTCGTACCTAAGGCCAACGAGACGGCACTTGCACTGAACCTTGATTTGATCGAAGAACGCCGAGCGCAAGCTAATCTTCGGAATGAGGCATACAAACAACGCATCTCTCGGTACTAGCAACCAAAAATTCAATGGAAGGATCCATATGAGATCATTGGCATCCTTCAATCTGGATCGTACCGACTTAGGGATACAAATAGCAAGACCCTCGGTCATCCATGAAATGTAACATTTGAAGTACTACTGCAAGTAGGCCCCCTAGCCGACGGCAGGGTAAAATTACCAAAAACAACAAAATACAAAATGTATCTTTGCCTTCAACCCACCTCCTTGTCTAGAAGGAAGGTTAACTCTTTTGACAAGCAGTATTGTCTAACCACCTCCTTCACCGGAACCTCAATCTCAGCCATCTGAGACCGTTCAACCTCCTCAAGGACCACTTGGACTCTATTTGTAGCCGCCTCGGACTCCTTGGTAATTGCTACCATAGCCTCCAACGTTTCCCTCATTTCGGTAAGCTTGTCTTCAGCTGCCTTCACTTGCCATTCGAGGGCCTCCTTGTCCTTAACAAGGTTAGCATGGTCTTGGAGGACTTTGCCGACTTCAGCGACCTTGGCACGACCGACATTGTAAGCCCTTTTGGCATGCTTGTCGACCTTGGCCCGCTTCATGCAGAGCCACATATCCACGGATGCCTGAAAAGAAAGCACAAATATAGGACACCGATAAAAGAATCTGAAGTCAGATGAAATAAAGAATGGTGCTCACTGAGGCTTGAAGACGAAAGGAGCGGCCAGTTTCTTCGCGCAACTTCTCGATCTCTGACAGCTCCATCTGCGAATCGATGATCATGTGGTTCGCTAATTGGACAGTCTTGGAAGGGTAGGCAAGAGTCACAAGATCTTCAGTCTAGTCATCTTCGTCCTTGGCCGCAAAGACCGCCCTAGGATTGTCAGAGACATGAGCTCTTTTCGGAGCAAGAGCCGCTTCCAACTCAACCACAACTGCCCGCTTGCCAGTGACTTGCTGGTGGGCCAACTCCTCGGCCTGCCTACTTATGAAGTCAAGCTGCCTCAGCCGTTTGAAAAGGGTTTGGTTTTCAAGATGAGCTTTCAATGGCTGAGGAGCATTGACATTCGGGGCGGAAGAGCCCGCTTGCGACTACTGTTGCTTATTCCCCTTGGCCCCCATCAACAGACGCCTTTTTGACGTCTCAGACATCTTGCGGGTGTCCGTCACTAAACAACATTAAAGAATCGGTAAATAACCAAACAATACCGAACGAAGCTATAGTTAAGAAGGGCAGCTTACTCTCTGTCGGGTCAATAAGGTGGGCTTTGATCAGTTTCTCGATAAGAAGGAAGTCTAGATAGACGCGATCGGCATGAGATACCTTCGTACTTACCCTATTGACCTTCTGAATATCGACTCAGGTGGGGGTCAGCTATTTCAATTTCCCTTAAGGAAAACAATTTATCAACGAGCAACAAAAGTCAAGAATATGAACCTACCGAACGGTACCCTATCAACCTTCCCACTGTTTGGAAAGTGGTGGGGATGTGAAACCGAACGGCCTGTTCGAAGGTACTCCCAATCCCCTGACAAAAGCACTAGCGGATTGCTCCACAACTTGTGGGAGGTCGGCATGGCCCTTATAAAGTGGCCAAGTTCAGAAGCCTGGAGGCAGTTAGCTTGGACCCAACCTCCGTGCGTTGCGTACTTGGACTTAGTGACGCTATACAGGTAGGAGAACTGCTCATATGTTGGTTACCCTTATTTGGCAAGGCCAAAGGCAGTAACAACCCCCATCAACGCCACCCAGAAGTTCGGGTTGTATTGGCCAAGAGCATAGACAAGGTGCTTGAGGATCCTCTGAATAGGGGGCTGCAGAGGCAACTGAACCCCGAGATTGAGGATGTCCATAAAGAAAACCACTTCATCGTCCATAGGGTTACCCTAGGACTCAGTGGGGCCCAAAATTCCCCATGTCACCGAATCTGGGATCCTGTATTCGGGGTGGTACTTTACCAGCTCCGCTTCGGTGATCTTGTTTGGCTCTAAGTAGTCTATGCCGAACAAATATTCCTTGGGTTGCCCTAGAGCTATCCTAGGGTTTCCTTATCGAACTATAGTGACTATTGGCCGGGAAGACGATTCGGCAGCAATGTCCCCACTACCCGATGTAGACGTTTCCGAATGGTAGTTGGCTTACTGATCAGGCACTCGTGCGTCTCTCATCAAGAACTCACAATACTGGCTCGTGCTGGCGCAAGCAACGCCACACGAAACCACAGCCAACAGCGTGGCCTTGTTTGTCGAATACGAGCACGACCTTGACCCTCTCGCCGATGACCTCGACTTCTTCTGTACTAGCGCTGCTAAGGTTCAAAGACCAGCTATCGGTATCCTTCTGACCCTCATAGGATTCGCTATCGAACATCTACAAGCAAAAGGAAAAGAAACTAAATTTCATGCAAGAGATTGAACTACCAATACCTACGGATGACGCTACCTACGACAACTAGACCATCAAACATTCTTCCTGTTCATACAAGTTCAGTCTAGTTCATGCCAAGGAAGTGCATTTGATTGAAAGAAGAAATGAAAAGACCGAAATACCTTGTTTCTGCTGTGGTGGAAGTTCGTCGGAAATCGCTCCACCGTTTACTTTTGTCGGAAATTGCTTGGTCTTCTGAATGTTCTTTTTTCAAAGCTCTTGAAATCTCTCTCACAACGCAAGTGACTCCTCCATCTGGAGTCACTCCTATTTATTGAGAGGAAAATCGACCAGTACGCCTCGAGAAACCAACCAATGTCATAATGGCCCTGCCCCACATGCGCACTTGGACACGTGGCACCAATCACAGTCAAGGATAGTCTGTAAGATAGGCGCAGAAGACTAAGGGTCGCCTCGTGCAGTCAATTCTATTTTCCAATGTGCACGCCACATACAGAAGCTTAAGCGACGATGATACAATCGGAAGGGGCATACAGACAAGCTAAGCTCTGCCTTTTGGGAGGACATGTTTACCGAACGGCACGAAGAAACTTGGCCCTTGGGATACCTGGAGGGTGCCTCATACGAAGAAACCATGTCTCCCAACAGAGCCCTAGGGCTCCTCGGCAACTACAAATATGCCGAACGGCACAATACAAACAAACAAAATATCAGTCATTCCTGCGGCAACCCACGAGTACCAAAGACAAAAGCAAGTCCCCAACTAAGAAGCTCTCTCAATTGAGAACTTCGGGGACTCTTGTTTATATTAGAATCAACGACCAATAAGGGCAAGACACGTGGATAAAAGAAAGCATCGACGAGGTTGCCTTCGGCACCCTAGACTGCCAATGGCAATGTCCTGACGAATGCACCTTTTGGCCACGTGGAGCATTCACAGCGAATGTCTACAGTCCCACATCGAAATTCTACGCATCATGCACACCTCCCAAGGCTTATAAAAGGGGGCACAAGTCCCAAAATAGAGGTAACTAGAACTTTTGGCATACTAAACCATCACTCTGTCCAGATTATTACTAAATCCATGCTTACTTGCTCTACCGAGGCCCAGAGCTTTCCGAAGGCCTAGACATCACTAAGTTGAGCCCAAAAGTGCCAAACCACTTTTTTGCATCAACAAACACAAATTTACCCAAATACTCATGAAAGATTGAGTTTATCAGCTCATGGAAAGTCGAAGGTGCATTCGATAGACCAAAAGGAATCACAAGGAATTCGTAGTGTCCCTCATGAGTCCTAAAGGCCGTTTTGTAAATGTCCTCTTCCTTCATTCATATCTGGTGGTAACCAGATGTGAGATTTAGTTTGGAAAAATATGAGGCCTTGTGAAAATCATCCAAAAGTTCGTCTATGACTGGAATGGGAAACTTATCCTTCACTATCACCTGGTAGTCCACAAAGAATCGTCTTTTTTTTTTTTTTTTTTTTTTTTTTTTTTTTTTTTAACTAACAATAGAGGAAAGGAAAAAAGGCTAGTACTATGCCTTATCAAGCCAACTTTCAACATTTCAGCCACTTGAATTTCAATCTCTATTTTCTAACTGTGGGCATATTTATAAGGCCTCACAGAGATAGATCATGTTCTAGGAAATAAGGGTATTTCGTGACGCATCCCTCTGATAGCAAACAAAAGCAAATCTGGTTGTGGCACCGTCGATTTGGACATCCGTCTTTTAGTTATATGAAGCATCTTATACTAGATTTATTCTCAGGTTTCAAGGACTCTGACTTCACATATGACACTTGTATTTTGGACAAGAGTCACCTTGTGCCCTATTGTTGAGTACGAACAAGTGTAGTACTCTATTACGTTAATTCACTATGATGTCTGGGGACCTTCACCTATCACTACTCCTTCTGGCGTTTTGGGGTTTGTCACATTCATAGATGATTGTACATGGATGACATGGCTTTATTTGCTGAAGCAAAAAAATGAAGTGTTTTCCCATTTTCAATTCTTCCACAAATAGATGAAAACTTAGGTCAATGCTCCAATACAGATTCTTCACTCAGACAATGGTGGAGAATTTGTCAATCATGACTTTCAGGCCTACTTCCAACAACATGAAATTATCCATGAGATGACTTGTCCTCAGACACCACAACAAAATGGTATTGCTAACGAAAGAATTGACATCTTCTTGAAACCGCCCAAGCACTTCTGATTGGCGCTCATGTTCCTCGCCATCACTGGGATGATCTTATTGTCACCGCAGTTTATCTGATCAACCGCATGTCGTCTAGTGTATTGACCTTTAAAACTCCCTTATAAGTGCTTGCGCAAAACGGGCTCCTGCCCTCTGTTTTAGTACTCACACCCCTAATCTTTGGATGTGTGACTTTCGTTCATCTCCACAAAAATCAACATAGCAAACTTGATCCCTGTGTGCTTCATTGTGTTTTTGTGGGTTATGCCACTCATCAGAAAAGCTACCATTGTTATTACCCTCCTTTTGACGTACCTATGTCACTTAGATGTGACTTTTCTAGAATCTGAGCTGTTCTTCCATGACCCATCATCCAATTCTACGCTTCATGGAGAGATACGAAGTGGAACAGAATTGGAGCAACTTAGAAAATGAAGAAATTCTCCTATGTATAGAAATGATCGATCGTCCTGAGTTTAGAGCACTAGATTACTCTCTGTCGAAAAGCGATCAATAGCCCATTCATAGCTATCAATCGCTTGACCCACTTGATCCCTGTGAAGATGTTTCTAATCCAAGTCCCACACCTATAGACAATACAGAACAATTTCCTGAGAATATCCTTGAGGTAACTACTCCTACTACACTTGTGAATTTAGAGGATAACTTTATAGGATACCAATTGCCTTTCATGCAGAATCATGGAAAGCCACCAAATCGTTACTCACCTGAAACTCAAGGCCTTATGCATCAGTTGTCTGCTATTCATATCCCAACTAAGGTTGTTGAAGCATTTAAAGATCCTAAGTGGGTTCAAGCTATAAAGGAATATATGAAAGCTCTTGAGAAGAATCAGACTTGGACACTAGAAACTTTACCACGAGGAAAAAAGACTATCAGATGTAGATGAGTGTCTACCATAAAACACAACATTGATGGATACATCGAGCGATACAAGGCAAGACTTGTGGCAAAAGGGTACACACAGACTTATGTTGTAGATTATGAAAAAACCTTTGCACCAGTTGCAAAATTGAACACAGTCAGAGTCTTAGTGTCCGTCGCAACTAATTTGGACTGGCCACTACACCAGTTTGATGTAAAGGATGCCTTCCTACATGGAAAAATCACAGAGGACGTGTATATGGACATTCCTCCTAGATATAATACTACTAAGACTGGAACAGTATGCAAATTATGAAAAGCGTTGTATGGATTGAAATAGTCACCACGTGCATGGTTTGGACGGTTTACCATGGCAATGAAGAACAATGGTTTCAGACAGAGTAACTCATATCATACTTTGTTCTTGAAACATCATAAAGGGAAGGTAACAGCTTTAATAATATATGTTGACGACATGATTATTACTAGGAATGATAAACATGAAATATCTCAGCTACAAGACTATCTGGCTACTGAAGTTGAGATGAAGAATCTAGGTTGACTCAAATATTTCTTGGGGATTGAGGTTACTCGATCACAACAAGACATATTTCTCTCTCAAAGGAAATATGTCTTGGACTTATTGACAGACACAGAATGCTATATTGTAAACTTGTAGACATTCCTATTGTTCATAATCATCATCTTGGATAATACCCAGATCAAGTTCCAACTAACAAAGAAAGATACCAAAGGTTAGTGGGAAGATTGATCTACCTGTCTCATACTAGGCCAGACATTGTTTATGCGGTGATCGTCGTCAGTCAATTTATGCATTCTCCAAGTGAAGACTACATGAATTCAGTTATTCGGATACTTAGATATTTGAAGTCTACACCCGAAAAGGACTTATGTTCTCAAAACATGGTCATCTGAATATTGATGGTTACAGAGATGCAGATTAGGCAAGAAGCAAAACAAATAGGAAATCCAGATTCGGTTACTTCACATTTGTGGGAGGTAATTTGGTTACATGGAGAAGCAAGAAATAGAAGGTGGTCGCCTTATCCAGTGCAGAAGCCGAGTTCAAAAGTATGACCAAAGGAATTTGCGAACTCATTTGGTTAAAGAGGTTGCTTACTAAACTTAGGTATAAACCTACATCTGTAATGAATCTCTTTTGTGACAACAAGGCTGCAAAATCATCCATAAATAGGAACCAAAAACTGAAAAATCATCCATAAATACCTCAATGAATCATTCCACCATATCTAAAATGATTGCCATCATGCATCTTTGGAAAGTTGCTGGAACATTACACAAACCAAATGGCATCCTTCTATAAGCAAACGTACCAAATGGACATGTGAATGTGGTTTTCTCTTGGTCTTCCGGAGCAATGGGAGTTTGATTATAACTATTGAGCCTATTCTTAACAACTAAAATGAGTTATTAAAAATAGCAACTTTAATTATCACAAGTGCACGAACCGTTTATAATATAGCTTATGTAAATATGAGGTCGAACCCACAAAGAATGGTAACTTGGTTCCAAGTTAAATTACTTAGAATGTAGCAAAACGAAAAAACAAGGAAACAAAACAAACTAACAAATGGCAAGGTCTACGACAGAATCCTAGCACCACACACGCACTATAAATGGGGGTTTTTGTTGTTGAAATGAAAACATGAAAGTGAAATGAAAGTGCTAGAAAGTAAACACTGAAAGAAATCAACAAGTTGTGAAACAATGATTGAGAGGTGTTAAAGCTTTGGAATCCACCACTAGTCTTCCTATCCAAGTTATGAATACATAGAAATTGACTCAAGCTCATCAACAATAGATTATCGAATACAAGCCTATGGCATCTTGGTTAGGATGCATGATTCTCCTAAGGCATTGATAAGTCCATAAACATACTCATTATGTACTCTTTTTACTTAGGTTTTGTAGGAGAATTAGATTTAAAAGGGACTTATTACTTTACTTTTCTGATTTTCAGCTTTTCTGCGCTTTTAGAAGGTTTTTAAGGGAAAATCAAATTTTCAGAGGAATTTTAGTGCAAGGCCAATTGGAGATGAAAGCTAACATTTTGAAGTTCAATCTTTGATTTTTCTAGAATTTTCTACCCAGCCAATTGGTACAGTATTACAAGTAAAGTTAGCCCACGTGCAGACAGGATAGTTTTGTATATGTTACGTGAATGTGAAGAAACAGAAGCCTTCCAGAATTTTTCAAGTTACGTGCTGTATATGGTTGGAAAGATAAGACATTTATATTTCTAAAATATATTTTTACTGATTTTTCTAGAAGGCGGAATATCCCCAAATTGTGTGACAATTGGGCTGAGCTGATTTCCCTGTGGAGTTAGGAATTGTGATTTTTACTTTCCTATTTGGATTCCTTGTTTACCAAGACTTCTTGGACGACTTTTCAGTCAATTTTAGGGTTTAGAACTCTGATATAAGTGATATAAAAGGCCAGCCAAGGCCCCCATACAATTCATTCACGTCCTAAGGAGATCAATTGCGCAAGAGGAGAAAGCTGGCAACAAGTTCTTTCTTTTCCTTTCTTCTTTTAATTTTCAATTCTTATGTATTTATTTTTGAGATCATCCAAGAACATGAATAACTAATTTCTTGTTAGTGAGGGCTTAATCTTGAAGCCCTAAACATGATTTCAATTCTATAAACAAGTTTGAATGGATTTTTTAGTTTCTACAAGCGTGATGATTTCGGTTTCTCTATGTTATGTGAATTCTGATCTTTTGTTTCTTTGAGTAGCTAACTTTGAAGCATGTATTGGAATTAAATTGTTGTAGAACATAGGTCAATTTCCATAATGAATGTGTTCTTGTCTGCAACGAATAATTGGGTTAATAACTAGTTATGAGAAATCAATTCTTGAATTCCTAATAACAAATGCCATGTTTTAGGGTTTTTGTGACACTCATATTCTCTTTGATCTTAGTGGATTCTTGATTGTTAATTTGAAGTAAATGCCATACTGGATTTCAATTAAGAATACACGTTTTCATGTAAATGTAATACACTTTACACACACTTAAGAGAGAATCATACAACTTGAGTCAAATGTCATGATCTAGTTGTGAGTGTCGTCATCTTATGCTTGCTAGAAATTGATTATCTATTGTTGTTTATGGACTGATTGATTGTTTGAAGGTGGATAGTGAGTCCTAGCTATTGTTCTTGACTGATTTTAAACCAATTTCTCTTAAACTCTAATTTAAATTCTGTTTTATTTTCTTTTCCTTGTTTTGTTTTATTCACAAAATCAAATCAAAACCCCCCATTGGTGTTGGTGTGTGTGTGGAAGTCCTTGCGTTTTAATTTTCATTGCATGACATTGATAAACATCTCTTTAGATTACAGTCTCTATGGGAATGACCCTTGCTTGCCTACTATACTATCATTTGATTTGTGCACTTGCAAGGTTTTAATATTGTTGTTAAAAATTACCAACAGGCATGTGATTGTGCATGGTATCTATACAACACGTGATCTCTAATATGCAACATAAGCATAGTATCTACTTAGAATAAAGCATATAAGAGTCATTAAGCTCCTTGAGAATATGATAATCACACAAGTCCTAGAATATGGTATCTGTCCTAGTCAACCTGTGGTTATTAACCTCTTGAATGATTCTTCGGCCATTCATAGGTTGCTTGTGAAAAGAGAGTAGAATTTGTGAATCTAAACCCCTTCCCAACATGTGCTAGATCCATAAAATCCTAATTGGCTACTCCAAGAAAACATACATCAAGCACATAATAAACTGGAAGTTAACAACTTGATAATGAAAGCAAGGAATTCAATTAACTATGAAATCATCCATAACATTGAATATTCATGACTAGGGCTTCATCCTAAGCCCTAACTAAATGAATTAGTGAGATATAACTATGAATATAGAAAATAAGAAATACATAGATAAAATAAAGAGAAGAGAAGAACTAGCTGGTGGCAGCAAGGTAGTTCCCAGGACAGCTCCAAGCTCTCCTTCCTTTGCAACTAGCTCTTCTCTCTTTGTGGTGAAAGATGGAATCTAAATGTGTGTGTGAGTAATGGATGAAATGAATGTATGTGTCTCTTGAATGAGTGCGTACCTCTCTATTTATAGAGTGCCAAATTCTTCCTTCCTTTTGGCTAGTGAAGCACACTTCTCTTAGCTACTGCCCAACTGCCTTAGCTGCCTAATAAATGCCAACTGCTCCAGCTGCCTAATAAATGCTTTTGGTGGACTATTCTTGGTCCCTTCATTGCAAGCTTGACTTTTGTTCATTTTTCTGAGTTCCCAAGGTGATTTGTCTCCCATGTATGGCTGCTCTTATGTGTAGCACATGGCTACAGGGATATAGCCACATTAAATGTGATGGTAGCCAACTATGACTTTTTTGTGAACTTGGTTGGGCCTTTGATTTGCTAAGGGCTCCAAATTTATCCAATGAGCCTGAAATTGGATATGTTATAATAGACACCCATTGGAACAACTTCTATCAAGGATGTCTTCTCATCCGACCTGTATAAGTTGTTGAAATGAGAACTGCAAGATGACCTACGAAACTGGACTGACAAGGAGTGTGGCCTAAGTTGGGTTTGTCTTTAAGCTCATATTGCTCTTATCCCAATCAGCCCTTAACATGCATGGATTGCATCAAATTTGATCTCTTGTTGTCTTAACCTACAAAACACAGAAACAGAGGTAAGTGACTCAAAATAAAGAGAAACTAAGCAAAGTCACTAAGTAAATAAGGCATGCAAATATATGAAATTATGAACTTATCAATAACCTAAATAACCATCAAGAAAATAGTAGTAAGCATGGCCAAATAAACGTTCAAGCATTTGATCAATAAAAGGCAAGGGGAAATAATATTTTCTTATGGATGTGTTCAACTTCCTATAATCAATGCAAACTCTCCAATCGGTGACAATTCATGTATGAACTAGCTCATTTTGTTCATTCTTCACAATGGTGATTCCGGACTTCTTTAGAACAGCTTGCACAAGACTCACCCACTTAGAATCTGAAATTAGGTAGGTGATTCCTACATCGAGTAGCTTTAAAACTTCAGCTCTAACAACCTCTTTCATGTTGGGATTTAGCCTCCTTTGGGCATCACGGGATGGTTTGTTGTCTTCTTCCATTAAAATTCGGTGCATGCATATGCTTGGACTTATTCCTTTGATATCTGCTATATGGTCCACCCAAGGGCTATTTTATGCTCTTTTAGAACTTTAATTAAACTCTCTTCTTCATATGAGGTGAGACCTACAACAATTATAATAGGGAGAGTTTCATTAGCATCCAACACTATAAGAAAAGCGGGTATTTACGACGTGCGTTGCGCGCCGTAAATGACAATTCATGGCGTGCGGCTGTGTGCCACGAAAGGCCAAGAAGCCTTTTCTTTTTATGGCGTGCATTCGCTTGCCGCAAGAGTTAATAAGGCAATCCATGATTGTGTTCTCGAATCAGGTTTGGGCAACTATTTATGGCACATTGTGGATGTCTTAATTGGTATACATTACACGGCTCTGTCAGCACACCATAAAAGCTTTATCTGATATACATTTACGGCGCATTGTTCACACCTTAATTGGTGTACATTTCACATAAATTTAAATGGTGGCAATGCACATCCATCTACTACCAATGCTCAGCCAGCTCTTGCATTGCCCAGGATTAGCAATATTCCAAAGCCTGAGACACAAGTACAAGATCTTGCACCTCAATTTGATAGAAAACCGGAGTTCCGTGAAGAATACGTGAGATCTAGTTTTCTTGGGAATTTCAATAATGAATTGAATTTGGCATATTTCAAAGATTCTCCTATTTACCAAATGAGATATCCTCCTTTGCAAAATACCATGCCATATAGAATTCTCAAAGATTCTCCTATTTCTCTCCTCCCAAATCACCCAAAAAAATGCCATCAATGCACAATAACCCAGCACAACACCCCTCTGTTTTCCACTGAAAAATTCCCTAAGTTGTATATGAAATTACAAGATTCCCATATCTTTCAAATTCAAAGAAAGTGTATATGAAATTATAGGCAAAATCAATAAATTGAAGAGAGAGAGAGAGAGAGAGAGAGGTGTGAGGTACCTCTTCTGGTCGACGGCAACAGATGAAGAATCATTGGGTGAGAGAAACCGAGTGCTTACGAGGTCAACAAAGATGAAGTGCTTACGGTGATAGGGCTTGGAGGCAGATTCAATGGAGATAGGGTTCTGACAGTGAGAATTGATGGGTATAGAGAGAGATATTTCCAAATAATAATTTAAGTGAAATTGTACAAGGGAAAAGAGTACAATTTCGCAGGCAACTTAAAACGGAGCGAAACTAAGAATTAGTTTTGTGTATCACAGCGTGCATATTTTGCATGCCATTAATAGGATTAGATTTCACGGCGTGAATATTTTGCATGCCATTAATAGGGTCATCTTTTATGGCGTGCAATTTTGGCACGCCATTATTGCCTAAAAACCAAGGCGAACTATGAAAGCACACAATAAAAAAGAAAGGAAAAAATCCATTTAAGGCCCGCTGTGAATGCACCCCGTAAAAAAGAGGACCAAAAAACACATTTACGGCGTGCATATTATGCACGCCGTAAATACTCAATTTTCTTGTAGTGCAAATAAGTATATTTAAGATGATTGGGTAAATGTTTAAGTTCTAGCCTTGGTTGGGTGATAATGGATGGCTCCAATTTAGTGGAGGATGGTCCAAGAGGCTCGAGTGGTGGCCTAAAGGATGTTGGGTATGGCTGAAACACTTCTAAGGCAGCTACCACTTCTTGGAACTCCGGTTCACAAAGATTTTCCTCTTCTTGTGTTAGGACAGGTTCCAGAGCATTATTATACTTTTTTTGCAAAATTTTGGAAGAAACCTCATGATCCACAACATCAATTGAAAAACAAGTATCAAGAGAGATAGAAGGTTGAGATAGAGCATCAAACACTTTAAATTCAACAGTTTCACCCAAAACTATCATGGAGAGGGTGCCATATTTCACTTTGATGATTGTGTTTGCAATGGCCATGAATGGTCGGCCTAGGAGAATGAGATCAACACAATCTCATATAGGTTGTCCCCCATGCCCATCACTACAAAATCAGCCAGGAGAATTAGTGTATTAACTTGAACTAAAATATCTTCTATAATACCTTTTGGATATTTTATAGAATGATCTACTAGTTCAAGTCACACTGAAGTCTTCTTCATCCTTTCTAAGACAAGATTTTGATAAACTAAATATGTCATTAGATTAATGCTTGCTCCCAAGTCCAACATGGCTCTTCCAACTTTCTTGTCTCCAATGTTAATGGGAATGTCAAAGCTACCATAATCTTCTAGTTTTGGTGGAAGCTTCCTTTGCAACATAGCACTTACATTCTTGTTGAGCTTTACATCTTCATTTGGAGAAAAATTGAGCTTGTGATTTTTCAAGTTCTTAATGAACTTTCCATATGTAGGAATCTGTTCAATAAGATCAAGCAAAGGAAAATTTATATTAACTTTACTCAAAATATCACAAATCTCTTTAAAAGCCTTATCTTGCTTTGCTTTCTTAAGACGCTCTGTAAATGGAATTGGTGGAACATATGAAGCGGGTGGCACGTATCTATCTTCTTGAAGGTGTGGTGCCACGAATTTGTCATCCCTTTTATGCAATTGGAATCGTTTGGGTTCTTGAGAATCTGATTTGGCTTTAGGAGCAGATTGAGAAGTTTGGGTTGTTCTCCTTCCGTAGCCGTGGTCTCCTCCTCTTCATGCTCATCCTTTACAACCACAACATCATTTGAAATATTAGAACTAACTTTGTTATCAACAATCTTAGATGATTTGAGCAAATGAATGGCCTTGGCTTCTTGGTTCTTTGGATTGATCACAGTTTGGATTGCCCGTTTCCCAAGCTCTCTTTGAGTTATTTCAACAGCTATTTGACCTAATTGGACTTCCAATTTGGAGATGGTAGCTTGTGTAGCTTGTTGGAAATTGGATTGGTTGATTGCCATTTGCTTCAGTATATCCTCCAATGATGATGATGATTGTGGCCTTTGGAATGAATGGGGATTTGCTTTATTCTGGGTATTTGTCCATGCAAAGTTTGGATGATTCCTCCAACCTGGATTATAACTTTGAGAGTATGGATCATTTCTTAGACCTTGGTTGTAGGAATTGACCAAGTTAGCTTGCTTTTGAACAAATTCTGGATATGTAGCCCCAAGTGGACAAGCTATGGTAGCATGGTCATGAGTTTCACAGATGCTACACACTTCCTTCAGATGGTTTCTTGAGTTCAATGCAAAAAGAGCATATTTTGTTTTAATTTTGAAATTAGCACGCTAGAAGCATCATTAAAACTACTAACAACACATTTACCTCTTGTATCAGTGTGTTAGGTCTCCATTGCTATCTCCTCAAAGAGTTCATATGTTTCTTTAGGAGTATTGGTTTTGTAAGAACCACCTGCAAAATTGGTGACAATATTATGGCTAGAAGGGGTTAGTCCTTTGTGAAACATATGCATTTGAAGTTTCAATGGAATCCCATGATGAGGACATTGATTGAGCAACCCATGAATCTCTCCCATGCTTTACAAAACGACTCATCATCTTGTTGTGCAAATAACAAGATCTTGTCCTTAAGCATGTCAGTTTTTTGGGTGGAGAAGTATTTCTCCAAGAACTTCTTGTGAATGGTAGCCCATGTAGTGTGTGAACCAAGCTTTAAAGAATTCAACCAATACTTCGCCTTATCCTTTAAAGTGTATGGAAACACTCTCATTCGAAGTTGACCTTCTGTCACACCCGTCAAGGGAAAAGAGCTCACAACATTAAAAATATCCTTCATATGAGTTAATGGATCTTCATTAGGTAAATCATAAAAGGAATGCAACATATTAAGATGAGAAGATTTAAGCTCATAGTTTCGAGCTACAATGGCCAACAAGATGCTTGAAGGGGATGCCAGAATTGTTGGGATATCAAGGTCTCCCATGAACTCATTGGCGGCCATCTCTTCTTCTTCTTCTTGGTCTGAACTTGCTTCATAATTTGAAGGTGAATAACCATGAAGGTCAGTGTGGAGAGCAAGACTTGTAAATGTGGCAAGAGCTTGCTCTTTTGCAGTTGACAACTCTCTTTCTAATCGATTCTGAATTTCAAAGATCACCCGATTGGGTTACAACGATGGTCCTACGTTCAAAGATCTCAAACGTCGAAACGAAGACCTCGCTTGTTCAAGGAATGACCTTTTAGACATAAACTACCTAAAACAGAAAATCGGACTAATTAGTAACACCAAAAAGAATAGGGTAACCTTGGGCACATAACCAGGGAAGAACTTTCATTTAGTCCTCGGCAACGGTGCCAAAATTTTTTGTGTTAACTCACAATTATACGGGCCAATTAATAGTATAGCAAGACAAGTACGAGGTCATACCTACGAGGACTGAGAAGTTCAAATTAATTATGTACTTAGATTACCCAACTCTAAAAACAAGAAGTTAAGTCTAAAACAAATTTTAAAGTGAGATTGAGTTTGAAAACAAATGAAGCAAAATCAAATTGGAATTTGAAGTGAAAGTGCTTGTGATGGTGAAAACAAATGAACAAAATGAAATTGCAAATGAAAGCAAGTAAAAAAGTGTAACAAAGAGTGGTCTTAAGGTTTGGGAAATAGATTTGAAGATTAGGGCATTCAATTCACCATAACAATCCAATTATAGGTTATAATTAAGGATTCAAGTGACAAGTCTAATTCAGATTCAAAGATTGATTCTCTCTAATGTATAATCTAGCCATGGTGTCTAGTCTAAACCATGTATTCCTAATTCCCTAATTAGATCCTTTTGTCGAACCTAAATTAAGCATTAGAAATCCATTAAGCATAGGAGAACATTTTAAACAACCAAGCATGTATCTAATCCCTGTTGTCGAATGTCCATACATACTCTTCCTATTCATAGTTCAATTAGAATTAAAGCATATGGTGTCTACTTGTAATTCCAACCAAGATAGCTAACATACAAGTTTAAATGGTGATCAAACATTCAAACAAGCATATCAACTGATAAGCGAAATGAATAAGAACCCGAATCTTGAATCAAACTTGAAACTTGAAACTTACAAACCCAGAATATTCATGTTAGGTTACATTGAAGCCCTAGATATGGATTTAGCTACTCATAATGCCAAAATAATGTGAACGGAATTGAGAAAACATAATGAATACAATAGGAGTAGAAAAACCCTTTTTTAAAGTTCTTGTGGTGTCCAATGCTTCTCTAAGAGCTTTTCCAAGTCTAATGCTTCTCCAAGAGCTTTCCCATGTCTAAAAGGATGTATGAAGGTTAAGGAGGTGATTTGGGATGAGTTTGGGTGAGTGGTGATGGCTGAGAAAGAGGAAATTCATAAGGAAATGGAAGAAAGGCTTGCTGGGACAGTTTTGGTGATTTGGGGTTGTTTAGAGCTTTGGGTCGATTGTTGGAGTGTTTGAGGGTGATTTCTGAATGTGTTAAGGGATTGATGGGAGTGTGTAGGATGGAATGAAGGATGGATGAGTTGTGGGAGTGTGAATCCCAGGATGTGGTTGATTTATGGTGTGGAATGGAAGTGGTATCTATAAGGAGAATGAAAAGAGAATTCTGAATTAATTTATGCCTCCACCAACAACACTCACTTCACCAACCTCACTTAACACACCAATGCAATAGAATTCTGAATTGATTTGATTGTTGCACTTCACCAACAAATCCCACTAGAAACCATAGCTCATCATGACCAGCCAACAATCAGCTCATCCTTAGGTCAGTTTGACTAGGAACTTCATAGGCTCACGAATTGGGCTTCCCTTAAGCAGCTGATGACTTTGAGCCATCCATCTTGAAGTTCAGAATGTCATCTTTCCAACCACATGTCATTTGGGCCAATCCAAGGTCAGATGAAGATGTTAAGGCCAAAACAAATTGCTAACTCAATCTGCACGTTTTTGCACCATTTTGTATCTTTTCCTATCCAAAGCTACCATTGCTACCTAAAGCTCAAATAACTGAATGATAAACACAAAAGAGATTAAAAGCAAACATTTAACTCGAAAACATAACCAAATCATAAGCTGGAAGGGTTCAAAATGATATACAATTATGAACTGATCAGGAGTAGATGTAGTTGGCCTTCCAACTTATAAAACATCCACTCAATGAGGCTCTACCTGGCCTTCTCCAAGCTCTGCAATCCATTTCTACCCCAGAGAAAGGCGTTTCAACTTATAAAACATCCAATCAATCCACTCAATGAGGCTTCAGATCCTTCTCAATTTCTTTTCAAGGGCTCAGTTCGTAACAAGTTTTTGTAGGCTTCATTTGTTGCACCTCTACAATTGGTTCATAGGAGGTAAAAATGGAATATTCTACATGAACTTGGCCCTCCTATTTTGAATTTCAGGCCAAGTTGATTTAGAACCACTTGCTTGTGAATATTTACAACTATAGGCAGTTTGCAAACCTAAGAAATATTTTATAGGCGGTTTGCATACCTCACAAAATATGACCTACTGCATTATAGGCAGTTTACAGACCTAAGAAATATGTTAACTTGCCCATATCCTTATGTAAAAAACTATTTGATATTAGAAGCTTGACCAAACATATTATGAAAAGGAGACTTACTATCCAATATGGCACTTGGCATTCTATTCATCAAATACACAACATGAGCTACACTATGAAACCAAAATTTATGAGGATGTTTGGGCCTGATTGAAATTTGACAGGGTCAGGCCCGAGATCCGACAATTAAACTAATAGTGGGCCCAAGCTATACTTTGGTGGACCGAATAAATAAGATTGGATAGAAGCCCAAAATCATAAATGTAGCAGAATATCTACATGTGGTGAAATACACCAATCTGGCTGGACACATCAATATGGCCGAGAGCAAAAAAGTGGTTGAAAGCCTATATGCTGCCGAAAGTGTAGATACGGTCGAAAGAATAAAAGCGGCCGAAAATGTAGATGCGGTCAAAAGACTAAAAGCGGCCAAATACATAAAATCAGCCAATGCTTAAATAAGGAGGATTTTCTCATAGGTTACCATTCAGATATAGAAGGAATTATGTCGACTTAATGGTCAACTGAAAGTTATTGTGGGAAAGCTCAAGATGGAAGGAAAATCAAATTAAATATTATTATTCACATTAAATCACATGCATGAGACAATGGATTGAAGATATTCTGAAGCAATTATGATTGATTTGAAGGCCAATTAACGACCAAAAAATTGAGATGCACCGAAGCCCCTATAAATACCAAGCTTATGTGTAGTAACCCGATCCTAAATTAATATTTAATTATTAATTTATTCAAATAAAAGATAATTTTACCTCGATAATATTTTAATAAGTTTAAAGTTGACTTTTTGTTTGGGAAAGAATTTGGGGATTTTAGTTGTACCGTTGTGTAAAGCACGTCGAGATGAGTCAGTAGACACATAGTAGGCTCAAATTGGAGTTGTATCGAAGAAGTTATGATCTATGGAAGCTCAGTGGCATAACCGTAAATATTTTGAAGTTATGATCTGGCTGCCATTTTAGGCAAGACCCATCCCAAATGAATCACCTCACTTCCCTCTATCAGCCCCGTCCCTCCTTAGCCTCAATCCGCCTCTGCTGTAGCCAGAAACAGCCACGAAATAGGCAAATTCTGACAGTTTTTCTGAAATTTTTCGAGAGCTCGTTCTCTCACCTCCGGCCACCATTTCCATTTATCCAGGTATGCTTTCTCAACCTCTCGAGATGCTCTAGCTACTGTTTGTGTTGGATAGGAGAAATTTCTTAGTTTTGGAGGGTAAATAAGCGATTGAAAATCTGCCGGTTTTCAGCCTTTGATTTCGACCACTTCTGGTGACTTTTTGGGGTAGGTCCAAGAACAAAAGTTGTTCCACTTTATGTGCTGATCATGTAGGTATAAGTTTTGCCTGGCAGTTTAGAGATTTTCTTATCACTGGAATCGCTTTGGGCACCCACGCACTGCCGACGTGTATGTCAAAATACTATTTTAGGGTCCCAAAATACTCCTCCTGAGCACGACAGTATGCTCGGATATGAATTTGTATATCGTTTGATCGTCAATCGGATATCTCATATTAAGCGTTATCCGGGTTTGATATGTTTGGACCAGTGGATCGACTCCAATTTAATATATGATGACCTAGGCATCTTTAAGATCGTGTAGGAATTCGTAGATCATGAATCGGAGTCCCAAGTGCTTTAATTCGCTGACTTAAAGTTTACGTTAAACGATAACCGTCTGATCGTGCGATTGAGAGCGATCCAACTGCTTGATCGAGACCAAACTTTCAGGACATGTTAAGTAGACCTTGTTCGGAATGAAATTCGGAGGCTGTGGGCCCAACGGGCCCAATTGGTCAAATTCCGCAATTAGAGTCAAATCGACCGTCAGATAGTGAGAAGAGTTCTAGGATGGGTTTTACTGGGCCTTATGGGCCAGTTGAGTTAGATAGTGGGCTATGTTGGCCCAATTGAGGCCATTTAGTTTTTGTAATAGTAAATAGAGGTTGGTTTTGTTTTAGTAGTATTATGATTAAAGAGTTCTTTTAAATGTTTATGAACTATTGCAATTGCTTTCAATTTTCAAGCATTTTATATTGTATTTAATTGTGTAGGGTCAAGAATGACTTGGTTAACTGAGTTTTGGCATGATTAAGGAATTAATTAAATGCCTAATTATATGTCTAAAATTGAATATATGCTCGAGGGCTTGAAACTATAAAATCATAAATATTAGTCTATTTGTTATGTGTCATATATTTAAATGTTGATTAAAACAGTTTGATAGATTATGCATGGTCGTAGTCAATTAAGAAATGCTAGAATTGCTCCTATTTCAAGAAGGAATATTTTTGGTTAGTTTTATAATGATTTATTGTTGGGAAGTTGAGAAAAGATTGGAAAAATGGAATTATAAAATGGCATTTGTTGGGAAGGAGAAAGTTTATGAAAAGTTTCGGAAAAAGGTTTTCAAAACCACCACAGGAGTACCCACCACAGGTAGACTTGGTGTCTCCGAGGCTTGCGAGGATGTAACTGACAGGATACTTGGAATTGACGGAATGTTATCGGAATTGATGGAATATTAAAAGAATTGACGGAATATGAATGGGGTACGTCCAAGTGGAGAGTTTCTAAGTTTTAAGGATTTTTATACAGTTCACAATCAATTTTTTATAAGTAAAAGAGGAAAATATATGTTTCAGTTAAGTTGTTGTTATTAACATTAAGATTTCACGTGGTCAATGCATTTTAATAAGTCTCTCGTTTTCCTACTTATCTGTAATAAGTTAATTATAAATCTTTATATATATGTGTGTGTGTGTGTGTGTGTGTGTGTGTGTTTATAATTGAGTTGGGTAAATTACTCAAATGGTCCTCAAACTTGTACGCGATTTACATTTTGGTCCATCAATTAAATTATTAGTCCAAATGGTACATAAACTCTATTTTAATCGCTCCATTGGTCCTACCGTTACATTCTTTCAATATTTCCGTTAAACATGAGGGCAAATTGGTCATTTCATCCACCAACTCTCTCTTTCTCTCTCTCTTCTTCTTTTGGGTTTCTTCTTTTTCTTCTTGGTTTCTTCTTCTTTTGCTTCTTTTTTTCCCATAATCCAGGTCCTTAGTTGACAAAGCACACTAAAAGGTGCATGAAATTCACAGAAAAATCAGCCAAATGAAATTAATAATTCAGAAAGACGGGGAGGGGGGACATTTAGCTGTAACAAAAGACAATCTACTAGTAGTTCTGCGGAGAAGCAAACTAAATAACTTCTCTTATCTAAATATTATCAAGCCCTCTTGAGAAAGTTGCCGGCATCATCATCATCATCCCTATCATTTCCTTTCAAGGGATCATCCAAGCCGAAACCACCTTTGTTCTCTCCCAATTGAGCTCCACCACTGCCAAAGCTGTTGTCAGCACCGCCAACAAAGTCATCAGCACCACCAACACCGCCAGAAACACCCAAATTGATGTTATTGCCAAAACCACCTCCAATGCTAGCAGTTTCAAAACCACCTCCATCACCGAAGTTAGGGCGAGGTCTATCAGTAGCATAATTCACCCTTACTCGACGGCCATGAAGTTCATGCCCATCTAAGGCCTGGATTGCACTGGATGCCTCCTCGCTACTGGTGAAAGTGATGAACCCAAATCCTCTAGATCTACCAGTTTCACGATCACTGATGATTCTTGCATCAATAACTTCACCATATTTTGCAAAAGCTTCCTTCAGACTCTACTCATCTGTCTGGTACGAAACACCTCTAATAAAGAGCTTTGAACTCACCATGTTTGACATGCATCTTACTGCTTGATGGATAGACAGTTTGAAAGGAGATAATTCAGATCTGATATGCCTGTTTACAGTCTGTCTGAGTATATTCCCAATTTTACTTAAGAAAGCCATTGCAATAACCTTGTCCGCTTCTTCTTCTTCTTCTTCTGGGTTTCTTCCTCTTTTGTTCTTCCTCCTTTTCTTCATTTTTTTTCTAATTTTGTAGTTATTTTAATCCTATTTTATTTGTTAATTATGAAAAGCCATATTTACCCTAAAATTTTGTTAAATCTAACAGAAAATTAGACGGTTGGATCAAATGGGCGATTAAAATAGAGTTTATGTACCATTTGGACTAATAATTTAATTGATGGACAAAAATGTAAATCGCGTACAAGTTTGAGGACCATTTGAGTAATTTACCCTAATTGAGTTTTATGTGAGTTTCGAAGGAAAGGTTAAAAGTGTCTTCGACGGTTGCTTGTTTTACTTTTATCTTTATTTTTATTTTATATATATATATATATATTAATCTAAGCCAATAATACATAAATTGATTTATGAATTAGAGGAAGTTCAGTAAGTGGTTTACTTATGTCTGAGTATGAATTGTTTTGAGAATTGGGAAAGTTGGAAAGTTGGAAAGTTTTACTTCGGAGTTTGTGAATGTTATTGAGCATGTCATTAACATGAGAACTTGGATTGATTTGCAATCACAATGAAAAATAACAATTGACAAGATACACAAGTGCAATATAAAAAGAGAAAGAATTACGTGTGGCTTGATCCCTGGTTAAAGGTACGTAGGCAACCTAGAGTCACTAGGTGCAGCCGCGAGACCAAATGATTGAAAAGTGGTTCAATTTAGTTGCTTTGAAATCAGAGACGTATCCATTTTGTTCCAAAGTATGGATCAGTTTCTGTTGGTAAAATGTTTTATTTGATTTTAAGAGGCATGAGGGCAAAATGATGTGATGTTTGGTTGCATGAACCTTATTTTTGTGCATGCTGAACGTTTGGGATTATAAAATTATGTTTTCTATAGGTAAATTTTTTTGGAAAACGAGTGAATTACAGGGGAGACTTTGCCGAATTTTCGGCATAAGTCAAACCTGAAGAAAAACATTTTGGAAACTTAAAAGGGAATTTTGGTCAAAAGTGCCCGGCACCTGCCAGGTGTCAAACACGCACAAGGTTCGACTCGGATTCCAAAGTGGAATTTGGGTCAGGTCCTGTCATTATGGAAGAGAGAAAGGACCCCGACATAACACACAACTTGTCATTTTACATTCTTTTCAATTTCTATCATAGGAGTAACATAATGTAGCCATAGCCTAGTTCTTATTTTTTCCGCTCTAGTTTCTGTAGATTTCAATTACGCATTTACATTCATGTTCTTGTTTTTCAATTCTATTTTAATTACAGTAACTTCAATTCATGTGTTATCTTTATTGTTCTTTGTAATCTAATTTACTTTTTGCCCTTTACTATACGCGCTCGCATTTTAATTATTTAATTCACACAATTTACATTACGCACTCGTCTTTACATTCTTTATTTTGGGTTAATGACCTAAATGGTCCCCCAACTATTGCTCCAGTATCATTTTGGTCCACCAATTAAAATTTTCATTTCAAACATCCTTAAAATTTTGTATTTTGTACCAAGATGGTCCATTCATGAGAGATTTCGTCACTTCTGATCACGCGATGGCCACGTGACTGAGTTTTGAAGGGTATATGCGACTTTTTGAGAAGCTCTATCGAAGGGTATGACTGAAATGGTCCCTCAACTATTGCTTCAGTATCATTTTGGTCCACAAACTAAAATTTCATCAATTTCCCCCCTTCCACACTTTTTTTTTTTTTTTTTTTTTTTTTTTTTTTTTTTTGATGGGTCCTACCGTCAAAGTCCGTCAATTTTATTGTTATTTATTTTTGTATATCTTATTTTAAAATTTTTAATTAATTTAAACAATAGAGAAAAAAATATATATTACTTTTTAAGTCCATGTCATAATAATAAATAATAAAAAAAAGCCATGTTGGTGGTGAGATTGAATTTTTATCAATTTTAAAAATAGGTACAAGTTCCTATAATAGTTTCCTTTCATTTTTAATTATTGTTTACTCTTTTAAATTTTTTTTTAATATTTATGTGATTTTAATTAATTTAAACAATAGAGAATTTATTATTATTAATTATTAGGTCAATCTCACAAAAAAAAAAGCCATGTGGCAGTGAAATTCAATTTTTTAAAATTTTCTAAGTTTTATAATAGTTTCCTTTAATTTTTAATTATATATTACTATTTTAATTCATAGAGACATTTTTACTCCTCAATTTAATAATAAAATTGACATCCTTTAACAGTAGGACCATCTTGATACAAAAAAAAAGAGTTGAAGGACGGATCAAATGAAAATTTTAGTTTGTGGACCAAAATGATATTGGAGCAATAGTTGGGGGACCATTGGGATCAATAACCCTTTTAGAGGAGGATACTCACCTAAAAATATGGTTTTGTCCCTCAATTTCACGGAATAATACACAGACTTTGATGGATGGACCATTTTGGTACAAATCAAAAGTTTAAGGACGTTTGAAATGAAAATTTTAGTTGGTGGACCAAAATGATACTGGAGCAATAGTTGGGGCCCATTTAGATCATTAACCCTTATTTTATGCATTTTAAGTTACGCACTCGTCTTTGAATTCTTTATTTTATGCACTTTAAATTACGCACTTTACTTTACGCATTTATCTTTAAATTATATTTAAGTTTAAGCACCTTTACTATACGCACTTGTTCTTCGTTTCACCTTCAATCTTCATCTCCACCTACTCCACATCATTTGGTCGCTCACATAAAGCCTTGACCTCGAGATAGTGAAAGAACCTAGGCCATGAGGAGGTTTCTTACTTGGCCAAATAATTGTTTGATTAAAGTTAGATTTTGAACGCAACATACACACATTCCATCCAAGCCAAATTCGTGGCTTGGTAGTGACACGCCCTATACTCAAAAAAGAAGAAGGACCAAAAGTTCCTTCCGTCGGCCGCCTCGACCGAAAAAAGGGAAACAAAGGCAAATATGCAGTATGTAATAGAGTAATAGCTGTCTCAATCACATGACAATTTTTCCTTTTTGCAATATCATTTTTTTGTGGAGTGTATGGACAAGATAACTGATGAATGATTCCTTTTCAAGCAAGAAACTCAACAAACACGACTAATAAACTCACCACCCCCATCACTTTGGAAATATTTAATTTTTGCATCAAACTGAGTAGTTATCAATGCATATAATTTGACAAAAATATCAAATACATCTCATTTATTGATCATTGGATAAAGCCACATATAACCAGTGCCTTCATCTACAAAAGTCACATAGTATCTGTAACCATCAAATGAACAGTAATCAAAGCACAGGCCCTAATACATCACTATGCAATCTCTTGAAAGGAATATGTGGGAACCAATTAATTCAAAACCCTAGGTCAAATAATTCCTTCCATTTGGGAATTATTTGACTTAATTGGGAATTACTCAACCTAATTGGGAGTTACTCAATTTAATTGGGGGGTTACCCAATTAAATTGATAATTTCCTAATTAAATTGAGATTTAAGTTGATACCTACCACAATTAGGGATTTGATTTACCCTAATAAATCAAATCCCTAATTAATCAAATCAATGCCAAATCGGGGAGGAATAATTCCTTACCAACTACAGAATTATTCCTCTGAAACCCTAACCTCCGAGACCATTATAAATACTTGGCTATGCACAAAGGTCAAGGTACGTCTAAATTCCTACTGAAACTCTGCAGAAATTATTTCTCACAAACCCTAGCCACCACTTTCTTTCTCTCTCTGACACTAGGCTCCGGCCACCACACACGGCTCCGGCCACCCGGTTTTCCTTGAAATACCCTACCTAACTTAGGCATCGGAGGGCCTTTGGCCAACACCCCCCGGGTGTGGTCCTTTTACCCCGATCTGTTTTTCAGGGAGAAAGAGAAGTGGAGAAGACGAAGGAATCTTAGACGAATATTCTCGTGAGGAAATTTGTACAAACAAATTGGTGCTTTCATTGAGAGCACGAGATATATTCAAAGTGTGCTCCAAATCCATCTTTCACACATTTTTTCAAACAACCATGGTTGATACAAGACGTACAAAGAGTAACGCCACCACGACGGGCCCATCTCATGGTTTCGTGGTGGAAACCTCAATGCAACAGCACGGAATCATGCCTGCCAATGCCCTGCAGCCGTCTTCTAGTGCTTTGCAGCCGCCTTCAGCTGCTGGAATTGCAGAACAGCCGCCAAATGACCTTGGGACCTCCATAGCCTTGCAGTCGCCAGCGCCGATTACCGGAGCTGCTCTGCCTCGCTGTCCTGCCGTCGGAGCACAGCAGCAGCCACACCACTTAACTACCGGACTTGCTGCACAGCCCCATGGCTACTCTGACATCGTCCCAGTCTTGGAGCAGATCCATTCTCTCCTTCCTCTGCGATCACACTTGACATATGCACCTGTGTACGCGTCTAATGGAGCCCTAGCCCACATGCCGTTGGGCCCAATGCACACCACTCTACTTGACCCGGGCAGTCAGGTGGACCTTAACTCGCGGGTTGATCAACTCAGACAGAAGGTCGATGATCAAAACAACCTGATTGGCCAGCTACTCAGGCAGATCAACTTGAATCAAGGCCCCAACCTTGGACCCCGTGACGAGGAGAGGAGGGCACACGAGCATGCTGGCGAGCAGTTCGAGAGGTCCCAGGCTAGTCAGACAAGGGCAAACCGGCAGGGGAGAGAGCGAGATCGTGCAGACGAGACGCAGACAGCTGCGAGCTGTACTCTGAGCCGTTCGAGGTTAGGACCCAGGACCAGTAATGCAAGCTGCCAACGAGGCAGGAAACACTCTTAGCAGACAAGCAAACCCGCAGATCGGCTCACGCCAGAATTCAACCAAGAAGGATCGAGATGAGGGAATCCGCCCGGAAGGCTCCCTTGAAGAAGGTTGGAAGCCTGAGGAAGACGTTGAGTTAGTACCCCTCGATCCTCACCAGCCAGACAAGAAAGCGCGGATCGGCTCGCGCCTAAGCCCAGACGAGAAGATGGAGCTGACCATCTTCCTCCAGAACAACAAAGACATGTTCGCGTGGTCACCATCTGACATGCCTGGCATTGACCCAAACATCATCTGTCATCGGCTCCATGTCAACCCTGCTAGCAAGCCCGTGGTGCAGAAAAGACGCAACTTTGCTCCTGAGCGGGTCGCGATCATTGAAGCCGAGATCGACAAGCTCCTAGCTGCCGGTTTCATTGAAGAGGTCTCCTACTCGGAATGGCTGGCTAACGTTGTTCTGGTGGCGAAACAAGAAAAGGGAAAATGGAGAGTATGCGTTGATTACACCGACCTCAACAAAGCATGCCCTAAAGACAACTTCCCATTGCCGAGAATCGACCAGCTCGTGGATTCAACTTCCGGCAACCAACTGCTCAGCTTCATGGATGCTTACTCCGGCTATAATCAAATTATGATGTACGATGATGACAAGGCGAAGACCTCTTTCATCATCGAAAGAGGGACCTACTGCTACAAGGTCATGCCCTTTGGGCTGAAGAACGCCGGAGCAACCTACCAAAGGCTCGTGAATAAAATTTTCAAGGAGCAGATCGGCAGAACCATGGAGGTATACGTGGACGATATGCTGGTTAAAGCCCCCAAGCGGGCAGACCACCTCAAAAACCTCACCGAGGCGTTCAGCCTACTCCGCCAATATCGTATGAAGCTGAATCCAAGTAAATGCACGTTCGGTGTATCGTTTGGCTGGTTCCTAGGGCACACCCGCACCAAATCAAAGCCATTCTCGAGATGAAGTCGCCTTCCACAGTGAAGGAAATACAAAGCCTGACGGGCAAAGCAGCGGCCCTTAACAGATTCCTCTCAAAGTCTACCGACAAGTGCAGACCATTCTTCAAAGCTTTGAAGAAAGGACAAAAAGACAAATGGGACGAAGAGTGCGAAGTAGCTTTCCAAAATCTAAAGACCTACCTTACTTCACCTCCCTTGCTCTCAAAGCCAGTTCCTGGTGAAGACTTATTCGTGTACCTGGCAGTGCCCAACTCAGCCGTCAGCTCAGCTCTCATCCGAGAAGAACTTGGGGCCCAACATCCGATATTCTACACGTCAAAAGCTCTTCTCGATGCAGAGACTCGCTACCCGAAATTGGAGAAGCTCATTTTGGCCCTTGTGGTTTCTGCGAGAAAGCTGAGACCTTATTACCAAGCTCACCGAGTCATCGTCATGACCGACTTTCCTTTGAGATCAATCCTCCACAGCCCTGATGCTTCTCAGCGACTCATGAAGTGGGCTATAGAGCTAAGCCAATACGACCTCTTATACCGGCTGAAGACTACAATAAAAGCTCAAGCCTTAGCAGACTTTGTTGCAGAATTCACACCATCAGCCAAAGAAGAGAAGCTGTTCAACAAAAAGAAGGAAAGTTTGAGAGCAGACAAGACCTCTACTGAACTTGACCAACCCAGAGACATGTGGCAGTTGCGCGTAGACGGAGCGTCGAACCAGAAAGGAGCTGGAGCAGGCGTCGTCATCATCACCCCAGATGGAACCCTGTTAGAGCAAGCTATCACGCTTGGCTTCTCGGCTTCAAACAACGAGGCAGAGTACGAGGCATTGCTCGCTGGCTTGCGCTTGGCAAATGAGCTATCAATCAAAAAGCTGGCCATCTACTCAGATTCCCAGCTGATCACAAGTCAAGCCTCAGGAGAATACATGGCGAAGCACCCAAGGATGATATTGTACCTTGACAAAGTTCAAGAGTTGTTGAAGGCGTTTCCCACCTTCACCACAGCAAGTTCCCAGAGCAGAGAACGCGCACGCAGATGCACTGGCAAGCTTAGGATCGGCGCTGGATACCCAGTTCAAACGTTCCATCCCGGTCGAGCACCTTGACCAGCCTAGCATAGAGGAGGCAGAGCAGCCGGACCTGATGCAGATCGATGAGGATCCTAGCTGGCAAGACCCAATTATTGACTACCTAATGAATGAAAACCTGCCCAAGGACAAGTCCGAGGCCAGAAAAATCAAGCAGAAGGCTGCAAGATACTACATGAAAGGCGACATGCTTATCGCCAGATCATACTACGGGCCTCATCTCACTTGCATCAAGTACCCACAAACGCTCGAGGTTCTCTGCAAGATACACGACGACAATGTGGAAATCACGCTGGGGGCAGATCGCTTGCTCAGAAGGCTCTCAGCATAGGCTATTTCTGGCCTACCATGCGCCAAGACTCCACGGAGTATGCTCGAAGATGTGATCGGTGCCAACGCTACAAGCCGGTCCCTGGCCTGCCCGCTGAGGAATACCATCCGCAGAACAGTCCATGGCCATTCATGCAGTGGGCCATTGACTTGGTGGGACCTATGCCGACGACACTTGCCAATAAAGAGATGATGATTATTGCCACTGATTACTTCACCAAATGGATCGAGGCCGAGGCTTTATCTTCTACCAAGGAGGCCGATGTTGAATGGTTCATCTGGAAGAACATTATTTGCAGATTCTGTTGCCCGCAATCGATAGTCACCGACAATGGTACACAATTCATGGGTAGGCAGATCACCGCATTCTTTGCGAAGTATGGCATCAAACAACACCTGTCAACACCCCGATACCCGCAAGGCAATGGCCAAGTAGAGGCATCCAACAAGATAGTGCTGGACTGCCTAAAGAAAAGACTGGAAGGCGCAGAAGGAAAATAGGTCGACGAGCTGCTAGGAGTCCTATGGGCTTATCACACGACCAAAAGGAGATCGACCGGAGAGACACCATTTTCCCTGGCCTATGGGACAGAAGCAATTATTCCCCCACGCATCACAGTCCCTTCCATGAGCATTGAGGTGGGCAGTCTTGACCAAAACTGCAAGCAAATGAAAGTCAACCTTGATCTGCTCGAAGAAGAACGAGAAAAGGCCATTGTTCGAGTTGCCGCCTACCAGCAGCAGTTGACGTCCTACTACAATAAGAAAGCCAAGATCAGACAGTTTCAGCCTGGAGACCTTGTGCTTAGAAAAACTTTCATCACAGCACCAAGGCAAGGGTCAAAGAAAATGAAGCCAAACTGGGAAGGCCCCTACGTGATCAGCCGATCTGGGGGCAGAGGAAGTTACACCCTTGATACTCTAGAAGGAAAAGAAATTCCAAGACAATGGAATGCCCACCACCTTCGAAGATACTATCCATGAAACTCTTCGCTTACCAACTTGGCTGCTAGCAGGCGACGAGCCTCCTGTACTTCCATTAAAGACAAACTACTTTTGATGTTACCTTTGTTGTTAATTTCCTTTATTCAATAAAGCGATGTATTCACACCAACATCAATACAAGAGCAAGCTTTTCAATGAAGTACTTTTTGAGCATTATGTCTTGCAAACATACACATGGCGGCAGCAAGCCCCATCTCCATTGCAGACAGGCTGCTCCACGAAGCACAAACTCAATGGAGTCTTTTTCGAGCATTGTGTCCCTGACATACGCTCGCAGGCGACAAGCCTCATCTCCATTGCAGATAGGCTGCTTCACGAAGCACAAACTCAATGGAGTCTTTTTCGAGCATTGTGTCCCTAACATACGCTCGCAGGCGACAAGCCTCGTCTCCATTGCAGACAGGCTGCTCCACGAAGCACGAACTCAATGGAGTCTTTTTCGAGCATTGTGTCCCTGACATACGCTCGCAGGCGACAAGCCTTATCTCCATTGCAGACAAGCTGCTCCACGAAGCACGAACTCAATGGAGTCTTTTTCGAGCATTGTGTCCCTGACATACGCTCGCAGGCGACAAGCCCCATCTCCATTGCAGACAAGCTGCTCCATGAAGCACGAACTCAATGGAGTCTTTTTCGAGCATTGTGTCCCTGACATACACTCGCAGGCGACAAGCCTCATCTCCATTGCAGACAAGTTGCTCCACGAAGCACGAACTCAATGGAGTCTTTTTCGAGCATTGTGTCCCTGACATACGCTCGCAGGCGACAAGCCTCATCTCCATTGCAGACAAGCTGCTCCACGAAGCACGAACTCAATGGAGTCTTTTTCGAGCATTGTGTCCCTGACATACGCTCGCAGGCCACAAGCCTCATCTCCATTGCAGACAAGCTGCTCCACGAAGCACGAACTCAATGGAGTCTTTTTCGAGCATTGTGTCCCTGACATACGCTCGCAGGCGACAAGCCTCATCTCCATTGCAAACAAGCTGCTCCACGAAGCACGAACTCAATGGAGTCTTTTTCGAGCATTGTGTCCCTGACATACGCTCGCAGGCCACAAGCCTCATCTCCATTGCAGACAAGCTGCTCCACGAAGCACGAACTCAATGGAGTCTTTTTCGAGCATTGTGTCCCTGACATACGCTCGCAGGCGACAAGCCTCATCTCCATTGCAGACAAGCTGCTCCACGAAGCACGAACTCAATGGAGTCTTTTTCGAGCATTGTGTCCCTGACATACGCTCGCAGGCCACAAGCCTCATCTCCATTGCAGACAAGCTGCTCCACGAAGCACGAACTCAATGGAGTCTTTTTCGAGCATTGTGTCCTTGACATACGCTCGCAGGCGACAAGCCTCATCTCCATTGCAGACAAGCTGCTCCACAAAGCACGAACTCAATGGAGTCTTTTTCGAGCATTGTGTCCCTGACATACGCTCGCAGGCCACAAGCCTCATCTCTATTGCAGACAAGCTGCTCCACGAAGCACGAACTCAATGGAGTATTTTTCGAGTATTATGTCTCCGACATATGCTTGCAGGCGACAAGCCTCACCTCCACTGTAGACAAGCTACTCCTCGAGTACAAACTTCATGGAGTCTTTTCAAGCGTCATGTCCCCGACATACGCACACAGGCGACAAGCCTTACCTCCATTGTAGGCAAGCTACTTCACGAGTACAAACTCAATGGAGTTTCTTTCAAGTGTTGTATCTCCAGATATACACTTACAAGATATAATGAGAATTGAAGTTTGAAAGACATCTGAAAATTCCATAACAAAGCAGCCAACTAGCACCATCTACTCAACGGCCTCACCTGCCTGCTCATTCGCATATGGTCTAACCTTATCAGCTACGCCACCTTGGGAGTTGTCTTCCTCCATTGCAGCTTCATCTGCTATCTGCTCTTCAACTGCTTCTACATCAACAACATTGCTCTGCTCACTTTGAGCAGGGGGCAGGTCAAGATAAAGTTGCTTACCGTCTTCATGTTCGAGGGCAACAAGGAGAAGCACTATTCCTGCAATCCGAGTATCCCAGCTTGTACGCATTAGCAACAATCTCATGCTTGGATGCCTCCGTGGCTTCAACATGAGTGTCGAACTTGACCAGCGGAGCTATCACCAACTTCTGGATCGGCAGTTCGTGCAACTTAAAGACTCTTTGCTCGAGCATACGACTCTTTAGCTCTCTTGGCCGTAACTTGCAACATTGAGTCAGCTCCGCGCTTGACTGTTCATGGCTTTGCAGACGAGTCGTGATTGCTAGACGGATGTACAGTCCTCTTAGTTTGATCCCAGGATCGGCATAAGCAACTCAAACCCTGCTTCTCAACAGCCTCCTCACAGGGTAGATCATGGGTTTTAGGCAGTTCGAGCGGATACCTGAGCAGAATATCTCGGACCTCCTACATGCCATTGATCTTCTTACTGTTTGCGCTGACGAGGCGCTTGATCCTGGCATATGAAGAAGCAACTCCCATATGGACATTCTCAGTAGACGAGACCCCCTTACGGAAGACTTGCTCGTGGAAGAATGAGGAAGCTTGGTTGAGGACTTCTCCCGCTCAACTAGCAAATCATCTAGGTTCGAGCCATGCAACTCCCATCTTTCAACATCTTTGACTGGGAGCAGGCCACCACCTTTTTCCAATGTTCACTCAGCAACCAATGCAATCCACAGAACCTAGCAAGGATGTTCAAAGCTTGATGAACATTGGTCGTGTCCGGGCCGAGATCGAACTTCTTGTGGATGTCATTTTCTACAAGCAGGAGACAGAAGTTAGTCAGACACACAACAAAGAATTCCATGACTACTGTAGCAGATCAAATGGATGCAACTTGCCATCACAGTAGGTGTGAGGAACGAGCGGGACCGTCGCCAACCTCCCCTACCCATCTGCCGCTGACTTCCAACATGTCTGTGCTCCACACATGATCGCATTGACTCATACTGTTCCTAGTTTAGGGACACAAAAAGAAGGAATTGAAGCAGTTTGGATCAACCACAAATAAGTCGACCCAAACTGCCACCTGCTCCAGCAGCAGGCCAGGCAACATAGTTACAGCTGGACAGCCCAAGTTAAAAGACCAAAGCGGCAAGTCAAAGACCTTCTCTACGCAGGAGCCCAAATCAAAGAAGGAAGCCCAGTTACAGCTGGACAGCCCAACAGATAATTCACATCTCCTACATGCCATCACACACCATGCAAAAGCTGGGGGGCATTTGTGGGAACCAATTAATTCAAAAACCTAGGTCAAATAATTCCTTCCATTTGGGGATTATTTGACTTAATTGGGAATTACTCAACCTAATTGGGAGTTACTCAATTTAATTGGGGGTTACCCAATTAAATTGATAATTTCCTAATTAAATTGAGATTTAAGTTGATACCTACCACAATTAGGGATTTGATTTACCCTAATAAATCAAATCCCTAATTAATCAAATCAATGCCAAATCGGGGAGGAATAATTCCTTACCAACTACGGAATTATTCCTCTGAAACCCTAACCTCCGAGACCATTATAAATACTTGGCTATGCACAAAGGTCAAGGTACGTCTAAATTCCTACTGAAACTCTGCAGAAATTATTTCTCACAAACCCTAGCCACCACTTTCTTTCTCTCTCTGACACTAGGCTTCGGCCACCACACACGGCTCCAGCCACCCGGTTTTCCTTGAAATACCCTACCTAACTTAGGCATCGGAGGGCCTTTGGCCAACACCCCCCGGGTGTGGTCCTTTTACCCCGATATGTTTTGCAGGGAGAAAGATAAGTGGAGAAGACGAAGGAATCTTAGACGAATATTCTCGTGAGGAAATTTGTACAAACAGAATACGTGCTTTATCATGCTTATTAGAAAATGGCAATTTATGCATCTTGCCATGTAAACAGGAATAACAAAGACTTCTTGAAGAATCATCAAGAACATACAAGGCAGAGGCAGTAAGTATACTCTTTACAACTTCATTGGTTGGATGTCCTAACCTCTTATGCCACAATGATGATTTCATTTGCAAACCAACATAAGCATCTTTATTAGCAGTAAGATGACAAGTACACAGTTAACCGACTACATAGCTAACTAACAACTCTTTAACAATATTTAACATTAGCTGTCACTTTCAATATCATTACATATGGTCGTAACAACGCCTTCCAAAATTTTGTTGTCTTCAAGTTCAAATCGTTTCATAAACTGAGGAAGTAGATGATTCCTCTGATGGTTTAAGAAAAACAAGGCTAAGCGGAGACGTTCTAATCAGAGTCATACTGCATAACACGGGGGCAAAACGTAAAAACTGTGTACTACACTTGTATTTAAACAAAATATAAATTCTCCCGTAGTCCAATAAATTGGTCGGGGGCACCTTCCTTTTGACGAGCCTAATTTTCAACCTTCATGTAATCAATTATGCACTATAACACAAAACCCAGCAGTCAAAATCATTAGGCTATTGTGGAACTCCCTCTCGGTAACACAAAGGGAATGATTCAATTCCTTTCAAACGTGAACCTGATTTTTCTTGCACAAGTGGTTCACTGAAAAACATCATTCCCATCGCCTGCAACTGTCAACGCATATAACCATTTTCACTTTTACAGTTTTGCCTAAGATAAAGTGTTTTGTTCAAGATAAAGTGTTTTGTTCTTAACTCAAAATGTTTCTAATTTCACTTACAACTTGTTGAACTTGAAGCTCTCACCACAATCTGCACTTGGGACCAGGCATATAGTCTCAAACCTTAACCTTCCGGTCATCAATGTGGACAATGGCCAAGAACCAATGACTGGCTCTTGTGTCCGGTACGGGAATAAATATTGCTTAAGGCACATGCAAAATGTGGCAGCTCATTTCAGTACACATGTTATATTATTTTGTTACCTACCTCAACACATTGCTTAAGGCACAGTGCATCATTAAACATGTTCGGGCTTCTCCGCCGTTTATGTGCAGAAGTACCCATTTTCGCCTTATTTCTGATCATCTGAATAGCTTCAAGTTGCAAAAACTAACTGCATATTTGTGTTGTATTTGGAAATTATTTTTGTGATTCGAATTTATTTCAAAGATGCTGCTGGGCCAAGATGTTATCAGAGATCCAAAGAAAAAAAAGAAAAAGAAAAAACCTCGTGCCCCTACCCCATTGCGCTGCATGCATATTTTTGTTGTTGATTTCTTTTGATATTTATATACATTTAACATTGTAGGTAAGTTAATATAATATTAATTTTTGCAAAAGCGTACAAAATAGAAAGATTGAAATTTGAAACCCTCACTCCCTCTTTCTCTGAAACTCCCAACTGCAAGGACTGAGAAGCATCACTGGTCTTTCTTCCTTATACTGTAAGATTTTATTTATCTCAATTTTGTAGAATTATTAATATTATGTGAACAGAGCATTGAACTTTATGCTGTGAAGAGAACGAGAAGATTGATGCTTTGGTTTCTCGGCAGAAGGAAAAGAAAGAAGAAAAAGGAAGAAGAGGAGGAAGAAAGAAGAATCCAACCCAACCTAACCTTCTTCGCCAAGGAACACCTCGCGCAGCACCAACCACCAGGTCCAGCAACTCCAGCTACTTCCTTATTTTAAAATATTTTATTTTTTTTTTTTTTTTTTTTTTTTTTTTTTTTTTTTTTTTTTTTTTTCCTTTTTCTTTTTTTTTAATTTTTTTATTCTTGGGGAAACGGGTTATATTTTTCGCCCGTTAATTTAACGGGTTGTATCAAGAAAAGGAAATAAACGCCCACCAAACTCCTTCTTGACCCGCAAACACGACCCGTTTCAATAGCTAAAAAACAAAGGAAATAAACGCCCACCAAACTCCTTCTTGACCCGCAAACACGACCCGTTTCAATAGCTAAAAAACAAAGGAAATAAACGCCCACCAAACTCCTTCTCGACGCCTGCAAAGACCCTCTCAGACCAAAAGGAGCGTCTCTGCTTGTTTCAGACCCTCACTCACAGAAGCAATGGATTCTATTCAAAACATTTTGGTAAGCAACTCTTCTTAACAATTACTAAAAACCTACCTTATGGAAAATTTGATTGAAACTTTCTGAATCCCAGTATTTTCTCTCAGCACAAAAGGAAGATAGAAAACTTGAAAGAAAGCGGAATAATTGTGATAATCTAGTTTGTGTTACAATTTCTTATGTTAGTCTCTCTGTCTGATTGGCTGCCAAGAAAATTAGTACGAAATGATAAGCTTCTAGATAAGCTTCTAAATTGTCAGATTGCTACGTATTTTCCTGCATTGTTGTGTTAACCAACCAAATAGATATACTTGAACTTTTTTAGATCAGATTCAGAGCAATTGTACCTGCCCTAGTGTGAATGTTGTCTCATTTCTACATTTGTTTTTTGGGTGGGAATTTCAGCTTGCTTCTTCTGGTGGCCTTCAAGTGGGAAGTAAAGGAGTGAGGAGGAGTTCAACCCTAATTTGTGCTCCAATAATGGCAGAATCAGTTGATAAGATGTTGATTGATATGGGCAAGGCAAAAACCCTTGGTGCTGACCTTTTGGAGATTAGATTGGATCATTTGAAGGCCTTCAATGACAATGTTGATCTCAAGACCCTTATTAAAGAATCCCCTTTGCCCACTCTTTTCACATATAGGTATTTTACCGAAGATTTCTTATATGATCGAGCTTGTTTTATGATAGGTGCTTTTCAAATTTGTTGTTGTAGTAGTATTAGCGTGTTAGGGATTTGAATTGGTTCTATTGGGTGGATTCAAGTAGTGCACCAGAACCAAAGAATTGTTAAAATACAACAAGTTATAAACTCATTATGATCAAGAAGTGTGAAAGTGAAGCATAGATAAGTTCGGTTCAAAATTAGTTGGAAAAACTGGTCAGTAATGGGTGTTTCGTGTTTAATTAGTATTCTAATGTAAAAATTTATAGTGACTTCTGGATCAGGAAAGAGTGCGATTGGCCTATGACTGATGAATAAGTCAATAGGCACATGTATTATATGCATATAGATCAATTTGGGGACAATCAGAATTTATCCAAAAGAAATTAAAATAACAAACAATTAAAACTGTGTGAAGCCTGATGTGCCCAATACCGTTTCGCAAAAGTACTTGACATTGCCTTATATCTAGCCATGTGTTTCTTTGCTGATCATTAACAATTTTGTACTGTGATCACCCTAATAATCTGCCAGCGAGGTCATATATCATATTATGTATTTTGTAGACCAAAATGGGAAGGTGGTCAGTATGATGGTGATGAAAAAGATCGACTTGATGCACTTCGATTAGCGATGGAGCTTGGAGCTGATTACATTGATGTCGAGCTTCAGGTTCCTCTCTTATAAATGTATAACTATAAAACGTTTATGTTGTTTGGCATGATGGAATCATAAGACGTGTAACATGATCTCTTCCGTCCCATCCTTCATGGATGCTAGATTCCGTGATTATAACGAGAACTTATTGAGGACTTTCTTTTTCCTTTTTGTTTTTAAGTTTTTAAGTTTTTTGTTTCTTTGTTTGTTAGGATGATCCAAAAATTCACATGCAGGTGAAAAACATCAATTTTTCCCTATTTAACAAGTACTTGAACAAAAAAAATTGATCACATCTCATGGATGAAAAAATATAATACAGAAACAAAGGGAAAGCGATAGCGTTTTTTTATTCCTCCCAAGTCCAAACTAGTGAAATTTTTTTCAAGAGCTTATTATTGATTGCCGGATGTGTTATTAGAACTCTAAAACTTGTGCATTGCAGTATTGATGGAGAAGCCTGTGAATACATGTATTCTTTTATGCTTAATATTCTTACTATTCCCATCATGACAAAGATATTCAAATGATATTTATCTTTCCTTTTCCATTTTAAATTTGTCACACTGGGATTGTAAAACTTGAATTACCTATTTGTCTTTTGGTTATACTGGAAGAGATCAATTCCTTGACCTAACCCTTTTTCCCACCCTCCTCCCACACCACTTGGGCTAACCCCTAAGGCTTAAACCTGAATTACCTTTTAAAATGTTATTACCTTTCTTGAAGGTTGCTCATGAATTCATCGACTCCATATATGGAAAGAAGCCTGAAAAGTTTAAAGTTATTGTCTCTTCTCACAACTATCAACATACTCCATCTGTTGAGGCTCTTGGAAATCTTGTTGCAAGAATACAAGCCACTGGAGCTGACATAGTGAAGATTGCAACCACTGCCTTGGATATCACTGATGTAGCACGCATTTTTAAAATAACTGTGCATTCTCAAGTAAGCAGCTTAGGTGGTATGCTCTTGCATTGTACTTTTAAATCTTTGCCCACAGTTTCTATCCATGCCAAGCTGAATTTTAATCTGTTTTTGTAGTTACCATTTTATAATGCCAATATTTAGGATATGAAGTTGATGGATTTTGTAATCGACTGTATACATAGAACATATCTATGCACATATGTATGGTTGACTAAGGTGTGCATTTTTTATTATTTCTGCTAGTAGTTACACTCTTTTTTTTGTTGAGAAGAAACGAAATTTATTAAGCAAAAGAACACGGAGGTGGATAAGGTGTGCCTTGGCACAGCATTAAGTTACTCCGTTGCAGTTGCTACGTGTTTGAAATGGGGGACAACTTTCCCTCAAGTGGGGATAAGGGTATTTACATCTGACCTTTTCTAGACTCTAGAATAGTGTGAGCCTCGTGTTCCAGGCCACCTTAATACTATGTGAATATCACTGGATAGCATTTCCGTTTGTTTAAATGATTAATATGATAATAAGTAAAGCCTTCTAATCAAATAATTGGGGTTCATTCAGGGAATGAATGTTGGCAGATTACAGCTCTTGTTTGAGAACTGATCTTCTCATGAATTTATGAAGAGAAGGAGTGACATCTTACTCTCATGCAGGGTAGGAGAACAGGATGCAAAGAGACTTGAATTACTCTGTCTCTCTTCATCTGTGGGCGCACACATGTGTGCCTGCATGAAATGTCTTCTCCTTGAGTCGTTGCATTTTTATTCTTCATACAATAAGAAAAAACTGACTCCTTCATGGAATTTCAGGTCCCAACGATAGGACTTGTAATGGGTGAGAGGGGTTTAATTTCACGGATACTTTGCGCAAAATTTGGTGGTTATCTTACTTTTGGTACGCTTGACTCGGGAATAGTTTCAGCTCCTGGTCAACCTACTATGAAGGATATATTACATCTATACAATTTTGCACAGATAGGGCCTGACACAAAAGTGTTTGGCATTATTGGAAAGCCTGTCAGCCACAGCAAATCACCTTTTCTGTACAATGAAGGATTCAAATCAGTAGGTTTCAATGGAGTTTATGTACATTTGTTGGTAGATGACATTGCAAAGTTTCTCCAGACTTACTCTTCAATGGATTTTGCTGGATTCAGGTTCATTTTTCTATTGCTCATCCTTAATGTCAAATAGAAATTGTAGTATCTATATACAGTTTTTTCGTGCTCTTTTTACATCATGATCACAGCTTGTAGTCTTCATTTCTAAAACAGCATTACAATTCCCCACAAGGAAGCTGCACTTAAGTGCTGTGATGAAGTTGATCCAGTTGCAAAGGTACTGAAGAAACCATTCATGTTACGATGCTGATATTCTTCATCTGAGTACTTGGCTTACCTTTGAGTCATACTAATACATGTCTTCTTCTTTTTTCAGTCGTACTTTTTGATAATTTTTTTTATTTTTTATTTTTATTTTTATGGTGATCAATATTCAGTCAATAGGAGCTATTAATTGCATTATAAGGAGACCAAATGGGAAGTTATTTGGGTTCAATACGGACTATGTTGGGGCTATTTCTGCTATTGAGGATGGACTGACAGGTTTGATCATGTTGTACTAGCTAAGTTTTCATCTTTCTTTATTGTGGCAAGAATCTTTCTGTAAGGTGTTCTGGGTCCAACTCTTCTTTTCTACAGGTTCACATAAAAGTGGCAGTATAACTGGTTCACCTTTGGGTGGTAGGCTTTTTGTTGTTATTGGTGCTGGAGGTGCTGGCAAGGCGCTTGCTTATGGTGCAAAACAGAAGGGAGCAAGGATTGCAATTGCTAACCGCACTTATGGTTCCAGTTCCAGCTTTCTTCTTTTTTTCTTTTATTAGTTCATAAACTATTTGTTTTCCATCCTTTCTTTCATTTTAAAATTATTTTTTTTTTTTTTTTTTTTTTTTTTTTTTTTTTTGTTTTTTTGTGTGGTCTTTCAAATGGCTGATCAGAATAGTAAAATACCCACACTTATGCATCATCTCAGCACTCGTTTCTTTATTTTTTTTATTAATTAAAAAAAGTAGATTTTAAGTAAATATGGTTGAAGGGCAGAATCATTTATTTGGAAAAAGCAATTAAGGATAAATCGAAAGTATGATACAAGTTCGGGGTGGATTTTGGGAATTACTCTATTGTAGAAGATAGAGATCCTTTCTAATTGAGATTTGCCACCATTTCAATTGTCTCATTTTCCTTAAGTAGTATTGTTTTATGTGTCTCCAACCCGCATTTGAGTAATCTCTTTGATTAATTTCACTTTGATGATTTTGTTGTTTGAAATATCCTTATTGTTTGTTTTCATAATGTTAAACCCTTAGGCTTTACCACACTATGTAATTGTTCTTTGCCCTTTCTCATTGGCATAATGTCATAGCCTAGTTGGACTTATTATGGGATTTTGGTTGAGTGCATCAATATGTTTTTCCTATGAGGGTTATTTAGGACAGAACTCAACGCTTGCTTTTGGAATGGTAGTGTTGGTAAGGCCTTTGGAGCTTAGGTGATTGCCCGTGGTGTACATTTCTTTCATATAGGGTGGGAATGCTACAGTGCGTTCCTCTGGGTATAAAGGTGGCTTTTTTGCGAGAATTGAGCTGATGTCAGAGTCAGGTTGGCATTTTATAGGGCTATTTAGAATTGTAAGAAGATTTGATTCATTTGCTGGATGAATGTCTTTATTTATGCAGGTCTCTGGCATCTTGTGCAGCATTTTGCTCTAGTTTTAGGCATTGATAACTTTTGAGAAGATTGTGTCAGATGTTTGATATGACCAATCTCTTTGAACTAAGTGCACTTGTTGAAAAAAATTTGATACCATGGATCCAATTCAACCTGTATCCTTTCCTATGTTCTGAGAAATATATCAACTACTTTGACATCAAAATTATGACATTAAAAGCTTTGTGCAACCTTTGAAGTGTGCTTTATTGTAGTTTGTAGTATGATGTTCTAAAAATGGAGTGCGCTGCACCTGAAATCTTTGCTTGACATTTTGTGCAACCTTTGTATAGCATGTTAGCTACAAACCTTGGTTTTCAAAAAAAATATATATATTCTCCACTTCCATTTTCCCATTCAAAAACGAATCACTGTGATTTTGTGTTCTCATGGTTGATTTTTATTTTGTTCAAGATCGAGCCAGAGAACTTGCAGACACAATTGGAGGAGATGCTTTGTCTCTTGCTGATTTAGATAATTTCCACCCAGAGGAGGGCATGATTCTTGCTAACACAACATCTATTGGAATGCAACCAAAAGTTGATGAGACACCCATTTCTAAGGTTTGGCGCCCTCCCATTCTGTTGAATTATAAATCATCGGCTGGCCTTGTATTAAAATATTTGATCTATTTGAATTTGCATATGACCGTTATCACTGTTATGTTCAGAAAAATGTGGACAGCCATATGAATGCATTAATTCTTTTTAGTTCTACCAACTTAAAAGAAATTTTCTTAAAATGTTTTCTTTTTGTTAAGTTTTTCATTGTAACACACTTGTGTGCAACACCTAGCATTCTAAATTCAACATTCTTTTAACTTGACAAACTTTTAGGTATCTTCGTAAATAACATAGTGAGATTATTGGTGAACTGGCCAATAGAAATAAAAACTCAACACAACTTTGAAAGGATAGAGTTAGCACAATTTGTTAAATAGATGAAAGAAAGTTACTTCAGATGATTTTATCGTTTGCAATCAATGCCAGGGTAGAATGTGGTAGTAAGTGTAGCTAACATGAAGATGCCTAAGAATAATTTGGATTAATGTGAATGAGGATTTCTGACTATGTGAATGAGGATTAATGTGAGGGAGGAGGGAGAAACGAAAGATTGTATGAAACAAAACTTGAAAAACAAAAATAACTTTTTGAACTTGTTTTTAGTTTTCGTTTTCTGTTGCGTTACACTAGATTTTCTCCTTCCTCCCTTCTCCTCCCTCTTTTATTATTTCTCCCATATATTTTCCTTCTATTTGTAAGTAAAAAACCAAATACTGAAATGGCTGCCGACCTGCATTAATGCCAGAACTGTTTAGCCGGAATCAAACAACTCCAATAAAAATTGGGGTTTTTTTGTTTGGGTTGTTTGGGTTAACCTAAAACCCTGGCAATTCTAATGGACAACTTTCAAGATTGGTCCACTGTCAAATTCTCTAACTTCCAAGTATTATCAATTTAAGGCACGTTTTGACTTTGAGATAAACCAAATTCCAATCTTAAGCTATGTGTGTCAAGCGTAGTGTGTGCTTATAAGCAAAAATGCATAACTCAATGCTGTGATTCACTGTCTCTAGTCTTGGTGCTTTGGAGTCTCTGCCCCATTTTCTTTATATCTTTGTTAACGTACTTCACCCTCCATTTGGATTTTATGACGCCCTATGCTCATGTCATGACCTTGGGAAGTTCACGCCTCTATATCCCAAAGTACTAGTTACTAATGAGACTCCCTGCAATCGCGTACATAACCTATATCGACCTAGAAAAGCATACACCACCTCAGTGATATACCCTAAAGGGACTAGTTACTAATGAGGCTCCTTGCAATCGTTTATATAGCCCAGATCTACCTAGTACAAAACCGAAATGGGATTCAACACATGCTAACCCAATCTGGAGTATCACAGTTTTAGCATTTCTACGATTAATGAAATTTGCCATACCTAAAATCCTAAATTCTACTATCTCCTCCTTTAACAATTTTATGATAAACCTAAGTTAGGAAACCCACACATTTAATCTCATACAAATAAGTCTTCATCAGCATATTCACTCATACCTAGAAGTGTGTGTTTATTATTTAATAGGATCAAATGTGTAGTGTGTGAACTATATTGAGCTATGTAAGTTGAGTATCAGTGCCTACTACCCTTATACACAAAAATGGCAAGTTAATCACGATCCACAAGCAATAGAAACAGACAAAGATTAGAGAAGTGAAGCTTACCCGTGATTTCTTTCACCAATGAAGAGGTGAGCAGACTCACAAACATCCACTGCACTAATACTGAGAAAAACTCTCTGTTGCCGCTTTGAAAAAGGAGGAGTATCACCCCTTCACCTATCCAGAGCCTTTGTTAAGCTTTGGGTTTCACCCTTCTTTTGTAAGATGCAAGGTGTATTTGAAAAAGCATGCAACGGCTTTTTTTCAGTACTTCAAATTTTGAGTTTTCTAAAGGATTGGTCGACAAGGGTACGGATAAACCCCAAGGATTGATCGACTGAGGTAAGTTACTGGTCAACCACAATGATTGGTCGGTACATCGAGATTCTTTGTGTCTTTTATTGGAGACCTCTGTTCGACCAGTAGGTTGTCTTAGCTGACGCTGATAACCAGCCAATGGCCCAGTCGACCAAAATACCTTCTGGATGATAAGAATGTCATTCTAATCAGTTTTCTGTGTTTTGATTTTCCTACTTCTATCTGTCTACTTGAGTTCTAATTTTTCTCCAAGGGTCCTAGACATGTTCTAAAATATTGTGGTTTATCCCAGATCCTGTAGACCTAACCTACCTCTACGTCTTGGTCAAGAAACTTATCCTAGTTCGGTCTTTCTAATCCTAATCTAGACCTTGAAGTAGTCTTGCAGCCGAACTCAACTGTCTTAACTCTGTTTCGATTGTGGTAGTTCTCTCTTGATGTCTTAATCTCAATGCTATTTGTTTGTTGGGGCCAGATTTTTACAATTTTTTTGTTTTGTTTCAGTTGGTGTGTTTTGTGCGTCTTTATGTTAAGTTTGTTATATCTTATGTTGAGTAATGATTGTCTTCTGTGGACCACTGGTCTACTTTGGTTGCACCTTTCAGTTTGTATCTTTATATATTGATTTTGTTTCCTAACAAAGAGGTTTGTTGGGCTCCCTTTCTTAATATCTTCGTTAACGTACTGGACCCTTATCTGGATATCATCGTTGTTCCACACTAGAAGCTTAAAGGGTAGGTTCTTATTTACCTGATCTCATTAAGCCATTGACCTGGGAAAAAAAAAAACCAATACCGCCCGTTTAGGTTTTGAGTTAAATGATTAAAGGCCACCCAAGAGCAAAACTATATGTGGAAAAAATCATTAATTCCTTTAATTATTCATTACCATATGATGAAATTAAGGAGGCAACCTCGATAGATTAAAACTAAGGAAACTGGTTAGTTAGGTCCTTGGGTTTTTACCAGATTCAAGTGTTTTAATTTTTTTTTCTGGACAAAATTACCTGGAAAACCCATGCATCAATAATAGTCTTTGAAGATCGAACCTCAGACCTCTAGCTATGAAACCAACTTGCACCATATTCTATTGTTGTTTCATGTTTCACAAATTTGATCAAATGCTATTTAATGATTCATCAACTTGCTGTCACTTTCAAAGGCAATAGATTTCATTGACTTTCTGTTTTGGCAGCACGCTCTGAGATCTTACTCGTTGGTTTTTGATGCTGTTTACACCCCCAAAATGACCAGACTCTTGAAGGATGCTGAAGCGTCAGGGGCCATAGTTGTTAGTGGGTTGGAAATGTTCATTGGACAGGCATATGAACAGTTTGAGAGGTTCACTGAGTTGCCTGGTAAGATTAACCTATCACTTGTTAATATAGTTTCAATTTAATACAAAATTTACATTCTATCAGCGTGGCATCAATTCTTATTGGCTATTTTCATCTTTGAACTGTAATTTGCAGCCCCAAAGGAACTCTTTCGGAAAGTAATGGACAATTAGCTCTTGAGGTTTGTTTAGCTAATTATTATTATTACTTTTATTATTTTCCTTGAGCAAGTTTGTGTGCATCTTTTTGACATTTTAACACCTCTTTGTTATTCAAAATACTTGTTATCGCTTCTTTGTATTGTTCGTGCCCAGGGATTATAGTTTTATGAAACTCTCCATTGCTTTATGCCGTGTCACCAGAGTCTTCTAACTCTTTGTTATACTCTACCCCTCTATCAGGCATAACGCTCTGTCATTTCTTTTCTGGAGCTTTCAGTCTGAAAGAATAAACACTTCGTGCATGCCAAACAGCCAAACACCCTTGCTGCTGGTAATGTCTTGTGTAACAAGCCACGGACGGGGTTGGGGATGTTCTAATGCAATTAGTCAAGCAAACACAAAATATGGAGCATTTTACCTTGAAAAGCTCAGGTTGTAATATAATTATGTGCATGAATTTATGGGAAACACGAAAATAATGACAACTACATTAGAACTAAAAGAAAAAAAAGAAAAAAAAACATTAGATGACGTAGTTTAATAATTAACTAGCCCCTTGGCACATGCGTGAGCATGTGCCACTTGGTTTTATTTTTTATTTTATTTTTAGAATTAAGAAAAGATAACATGGTAGTTATGTTCCATAAAAGTAGGACCTATTATTTGATTTTGTTTTTAGTTTTAATTTTTTTAATACATAAAATATGAATTTACTATATTATTCTCATTTAATTAATAATTTCAATTCTTAATATTTAAATTAACCAAAGGTATTTTCTGGTATTTTGAATATTTCACAATTCTCTGTCTTTTGTTTTATATATATATATGAAATGTTTATGATAAAAATAATGTCCTTACCTGAAGAAAAACAAGGACATCCTGATAGGGATGGTACAATAATATATATATAAATAAAATGAGAGCAATGATTTTTTATTTATTTTTGGACGAAAAAATGAGAGCAATGTTGCTCCTAATTGCTACATATAAAATTTACACTCAATTTTATTCAACTTTATTTTCATTTGACATGGTTTGTTCAACTCGCAAAGAGAAAACCCTCAAACCGTACATGCAGTTCAGTTGCGAGGATCGAAATATCACCCACCACATGTTTTGTCATCGCTCTCTTACAAAATGCCCTTGATGGTTACGTACTACCGCCCCAAAATTTGAAATTTAAAATCTAAAATCTAAGCGATTTACTAAAAGGCTAGATATTTCTCTTCTCAATATTAGAAGATGTCCCAAATTCAAATCCTCCTATCCCCAATTTATTTATAAAAATAAAAATAAAAATTCTTGATTGAGCTTATATGTAATATGAACTCTATAACCATGTCCTCCTTATACAAATAAGTACAGCTAAAGTACATCAAACCCATAATGATAAAAATATAAAAGGCTAGTTGTTGTTAAAAATAATAATAATTGCTATATTTATAGATATTTCAAAAATAAAATTACATTATAAATTTGCAAATAATAAAAGAAAAATATAATTCAAAGTATGAAAACTTTACAAATAATTGAGTCTAGAACTTGACACTATCTTCTTAAGACGAAATTGTCTGCTCACTAGTGCTTCTAGGATTTATTTGGCAAATGTGTCCTAAGATACAACAATCGAATTCTTGTGCAAGCAACACTTCAATCCCTAAAGAAAAGCAAACTCAAGCTATGTTTTAACTCTCACATTAAAACTTGATATTTCTAAGAATGAAAAGTGTAGGAGTACTTTTGTTCCAGCAGCCTAACGAATGGACTTGAACTGCCGTAAAAAAAGAAAAGAAAGATCCCCCAAGTATCTAAGTTCGAAATCAAGCTCCCAAAATAGTTTTCAAAAAGTCTGATGAAACTTTACAAAAATACTCTTAGGTTCTCTTCACCAATAACCAAGTAAACATGATAAATCGATTAATGGCTTAGCTTGAGGAGTCTGTGGCATGGGAGCTAAGCTTTCACAAGTTTAGCAATTTGAGAGAGAGAGAGAGAGAAGCATGAATTTTCTACAGAGAACAAAAGTTTGAAGTAAGGCCGAGAAGAACTAGAACGATTTCTATCCGAAAGGAAGAAGATAAAACAAACGAAGAAGGAGATTGGGTGGCTTGAGTAAATTCTCAGATGCTTGACAAAGCTTGGTTAGGCTCCGAATGGTGGTTTTGTTGGGTAGATGGGGCCCCCTTTTATAGGCATGAAGAACCCTAATTTCATATGATCTTCTCCTTCCTTTTCCTTTGGCAGCTCCCCACTTAATCATATTTTGGTGAAATTCTCCACTCAAGGTGCGTGGGAAAGGAACCCTTGGTGGTTCCAAGGATTTGATGCAGCTGGACCTCCCTATAAGGGTGAGGCGCCACTTGCTTTCTCTCAACATTTTTCAAAACATAGCTTGCAATGGGAAAGAAGATGGATGAAGCTTTTGCCCGCTAGGTCTTCTTCCTACACTCATGGATTTCTGTTGGTTCCTATCATGCAGGGGCAGAGCTAGAATTGTAAAATTGAGGGGGCCGAAGTTAAAAATACAAGTATATAACACACCTAAGTATTCAATAATTACATATTTAGAACTAAATATTTCTAATTGAGTTATGTCTAATTTGTTTTAGAGAAAATTTTAACTTAATTAATAAATTGTTTATTACAAATTCTACATATTATATATAATATAATAGAGAAGGGATAAAAATATGGGGGGGCAAGGGCCACTCCAGGTCTAGGAGTGGCTCCGCCACTGCTGTCATGGCTCCGCCACTGCTGTCATGGCTCCGCCACTGCTGTCATGGCTTCCTACTTGACCATCTTGGAGTCCTAACAAGGAGGGAGCACGGTGCCAGCTTTCTACAAGTCGCTAGACTGGGCTTATGTGCAACATTGGGTTGTTGGCCTATTATTTCTAATGGGTTTTCGTTAAACTGCTGGAAAAGGCTTTTATTAATTTTGGGCATTCTATTGATGTGGGTTGGGCTAAGTATTATGGTAGGCCACTGGATGTTTTCCTAAAGCATGAGACCATTTTCTCTCTTCTCTCATGCCAACCCGTGTGTTTGGGTTCTAGGAAGGGACTTGAATTTTAATGCCCCCAAGTGGCTTAAAACTTGCGTTCCTCGAACCCTCAATGGGTCATGTGATTGCTTGTTCCCTTCCATGCCACAACCTTCTCAATAAGCCCCAGTTAATTTTGTGGCTTGGGCCCACTTAAGTTCGTGGCACGGCTTGGAATTATAATAATGCATTTTCTTGCATGATGTCTATGCTTGTGTTTGAGTTTTATTATGCTGTGATAGACTATAATTGGGCCAAGTAACACCAAAGGGATATGTGAGCATGGTTTTGTAATGTTGGCATGCTCTTGGCCCCTTTGTATGTGCTTGCTTGGCATGATATGTGGCTTGTAGCTTGTATTGGCGGATCCTACAAATTCTCTTTTGTCCCGATTGAGCCTCTTTTGCGTCCTCTTAGCTGTGTTGTGCCAAGAATTAATTTGAGTTTAGCCTCTTGGATTTTCGGGCCTCAACAAAAAGTTTAAAAAAATACTAGTAAGGTCTCTATACTATGTGTTGCCCCATCAATATTCAAGTCCCACTACCAACAATTCCGTATTAATGGAAAATCTATAAATTTAAAAAGATCTAGAGTTTGCTCTGGTCCTGGGAGTGGGGATAGCCTCTCCCTCGCCTACACTTTTTGTTCATCTAAAACAATGAAAGACACAATTTAAATGAATTGATGGGGACTTGCCTTTATTTATTTATATGTGTCAGATGCCTCAGTTTGAAAAGGACACAACTTTCACCCAATAAAAAAGAGAAAAGGACACAACTTAAAACTGATGGTCCATTTAACAGAAAAATAACAACTCTTCGTATGAAGTAAAACTTCCATTTAACATTCCAGAGACCAAAAAAAAGAAAAAAAAACCTTCCCTGTAGCATGTTTATTTTCGTACATCTCTCTCTCTCTCTCTCTCTCTCTCTCGATATAAAGGAAAAAATATTTAAAAAAGTGTACATGAAGCATGAGATAGGCAAGTTTTTTCGCTCCGCAGCGATTACAACCTCCTAAATGTATAAAAAAAAATTAAAGGCCTTTGAAAATCCTATAGAATTCTAAATGAAATGGTGGGACTTGTCTTCCATATTTATAGGCATTTAAGATGCCTCAGTCGGAAAAAGACAAGTTAACCCACTGTAAAATAGACACGTACGGTTACAGCCTCTGTTCTTTATTATTGAGTCATCAGGATGGTTCAAACAAACCGGCACGCTAATCAACAAAATATCAGCAGACCTCTTTTCGTTACAATACAAAACATTTCGGTTCAACATTTTGTTTTAATATTATTTTAATTTGGCACACCACATGGGTGCTCTGTTAAAATGTACGAGTTTCAAAATCATTTCACTCACATGTTACAACACTAATTTCCATTTTTAGCACCAACTAGTCTTCTCTCGGGTAGGAATGGGGCGCAATCCAATTAAGTTTGGTTGGTCTAGTTTCTTAAATGTTTTTGACCGGCGGCTGAGACGGCTCAATCATATTGTGGAAGTTCTGATACACGTGATATTTTAAAAAGGAGAAATTGAACTTATAAAATTTAGATTCTTCTAAAGATGCTATAAGCTTCAATGTATATAAATAAAGAGTGTTATTAAACGAATCTTAAAATTAACTGAGTACACACTATCATACAATACCAAATCCATTCCTATTGTCCTTGCTCCTCCACCGTTTATATTAACTATCCAATAAGGCTGAAATCTCTACGTTTGATTAGGGGTGAATATAATGAGTAGGGTGTACTAATTGAAATTATATTTGTTTCACAGTTAAATTTATCCTTTTTGATAATTTTATATTATGATAAATTAGCAATTCAATAAATAATTTAGTAGAGATTTTGTAGTGTGTACTCAGTTAATTTTAGAGTTCATTTAACATCGCTTTAAATAAAAACTCTTAATCGCTTAAACTACAAGCCGTTTATATCGTAGTATCTAAGTTTATATACACAAATATCATTTCGATCAAGAAAACAAAAAACTTTCACATGAATTTACTTTACCAACACGATGGACTTACTACCAACCCGTTGTGATGTGGGGTGGGTCATGTCTCACGCACGGGAACCCTCCTCAATAATTCGGACCCCTTGCCCTAAAAAAGGATAATATCAGAATTTGACATCCCAATCAGGTAATGCCACGTAGGTATTATAGTATAAGAGAGGACGGTTCAAATCTCCCTCTTAATTACAGATGCGCAACACACCACTCTGTGCTTTGACATTCTTTCCCACTCTCTCATATCTATCAGCTGAGCTCTCCTCTTCCATTCATTCTCTTGTGACATTATGGTAACTGCCTCTATGCCTTTTGATCTTCCTTTCCTCCTTTCGTGTTTGGGTTCATGAATAATTTGAAGTACATTATCAGATATTTGTCTATCTGATTCGTTGCCAAGAAAATAAGTAGGAAACAGAGAAGCTTATAAACAGTCAAACGCTACATATTTTCCTGAAATTTTCTCAGCAACCAAACAGATATCATATATATACTTGTCTGATAAAAGGGAAAACAAGAAAACCATAGAGTGTTTTGCACCGATAATTATGTGAATAGAATTATCTCACTGTTTTCTTTTTGGTTGAGTTTTAGCTTAGTTCTTGCTCTGATGCCCTGAAAGTCGGTGGTGAGGGGATGACGAGGAGGAATTCGACTCTAGTTTGTGTTCCTATAATCGCCGAATCAGTGGGTGAGATGGTGACTGATATGGGCAAGGCAAAAGGCCTTGGTGCTGACCTTGTAGAGATAAGATTAGATCATTTGAAAACATTCAATCACAATGAAGATCTCAAGCGTCTAGTTAAAGAGTGCCCTTTGCCCACACTGTTCAGTTATAGGTACTTTCCCCAAGAGTTCCTTATATTATTGAGCTTGTTTTATGGTAACCATAGAATTGTTGAGATACAACAAAGAATTTTCCAGCCAGCTCCTACCTGACATTATGTGTACTTTTTCTAGGCCCAAATGCGAAGGTGGTCAGTACGACGGGGATGAACAAAATCGACTCGATGCACTTCGATTAGCAATGGATCTCGGAGCTGATTACGTTGATGTTGAGCTTCAGGTGGCTCTCTAACAAATGTGTATAACTTGAAACAATTTTTGTTTGTTGTTAATGGCATAAGAGAAATTTGGCTCTTCTATTACTTGTCTTTGAAGGTTGCTCGTGAATTTATTAGCTCTATAGAAGGAAAGAAGCCTGAAAAGTTAAAAGTTATTGTTTCTTCTTACAACTTTGAAGAGACCCCATCTGTGGAGTCTATTGGCAATCTTGTAGCAGCAATGCAAGCCACTGGAGCTGACATAGTGAAGATTGCAACCACTTGCTTGGATATAACTGATGTGGCACGCACTTTTCAAATTGCCGTTCATTCTCAAGTAAGCAGAGTAGGTAGTGTGCTTTTTTGCATTGTGCTTTTTAAGATTTGCCCATCATTTCTTTTTGTTTAGGTACCGTCAGGATGTGAAGAATTGGCCCATGTCGGAAAGTTAAGAAACTTTGCTAGCGCTTATAAGGAGTTGGGCTACTCCCCCAGATTGCCAAACTTCCTTCAGATACCATTTTAATGATGCCAATCTATTTGAATCGTAGCTGAATGGATTTCTAACACACTTTCTCTGGAATTTCAGGTTCCATTGATAGGACTTGGACTGGGTGAAAGGGGTTTGATTTCACGGATACTTTCTGCAAAATTTGGCGGTTATCTTACTTATGGAGTGCTTGAGCCAGGGACAGTTTCAGCTCCTAGTCAACCCACAATCAAGGATCTAATACATCTATACAACTTCAGACAGATTGGGCCGCACACAAAAGTGTTTGGCGTAATTAGCAAGCCTGTCAGCCACAGCAAATCACCAAAATTGTACAATGAAGTGTTCAAGTCAGTAGGTTTCGATGGAGTTTATGCACATTTGTTGGTAGATGACATTCAGAAATTTTTCCAGACATACTCATCCATGGATTTTGCTGGATTCAGGTTTAATTTTCTATCGAGTATTACTCTGTTCTTGCTCTTTTTACTTCAAGTTCACAGCTTGTATTCTTCGTTTCTTACGCAGCGTAGGCATCCCTCACAAGGAAGCTGCACTTAAATGCTGTGATGAGGTTGATCCAGTTGCCAAGGTAGTGAACAAAAACCCTTCATATTATTAAGATGCTGGCAGTTTCTGTCGGACAAGTTTTGGCTGGCATTTAAATCATACTTGCTTGATTAAAATCTTGATCAAAATATTCAGTCAATAGGGGCTATAAATTGCATTATAAGGAGACCGGCTGACGGAAAGTTATTCGGATTCAATACCGACTATGTTGGTGCTATTTCTGCCATTGAGGAAGGACTGAAAGGTTTCCTCTAGCAATGCTTTTACTTGATTATTTGTTCTTGTAATGTGAAGCTTAGGGTTTTGCACACGTGTTTTTTTACAGGTTCACATAATAATAGTGGCAAGAACACAACAAGTGGTTCAGCTTTAGCTGGTAGACTGTTTGTTGTGATTGGAGCAGGTGGTGCTAGCAAGGCACTTGCTTATGGTGCAAAGCAGAGGGGAGCAAGGCTTGTAATCGCCAATCGCACCTATGGTTCACTTCTCTTTCTTTTTTACTGCTCATCAACTATTTCTGTTTTCACACAGCATTTTCACCTGGATGATTGTTTCTGTTCGAAATATCCTTATATCATTTCGAGAAATTACCACAGAATAATTTGACGGAAAACACCACTGGTGCAACGAGGGACCTAATTTGACGGCAATTGAAGTTATTATTGGAATTTAAGGATATAAATATAAATTGGACTACAATTTAGCCTAAAATCTATTTTGAAAAAGAAAAATGATTGAAACTGGAAATCATTGTTTTTTTTAGTACAAACGATAGTCTAAACTGTAGGAGAAGGGGTTTCTTACACAAACATACACTACTAAGATGACGTGGGGGTTTGAACCTAAGACTTCTTGTCTTCAAGTCAAGGACCTTTTTTATTGGGCCAGACCCCGTTGGCGGAAATCTTTATTGGGCATTCTATTTTCAAGTAGGGGTTTGCTTTTGGGCATTAGTTACTTTTTTGTGTTTTGGGCCTTTATGCTTTATTGTTACGTGAGTCTTGTTGGGCTTGGTGCCCTTTTTTTCTTGTGGATATTGGGTTTATTTTCTGTTTAGTCCAGAGCCTTCGGCGTTTTATTGAGTTGTGCTGCTGCTCTTTATTTATGTTAAAGAACTTACAAGAGGCATATAGCTCAAATATTTAAGAGTAGTTATACTTGCACCGCAAACTATTCGAAAACAAATCATAACAGATTATATACTTGTAAATCCTCTTTAGAAGAAAAAATAAATAAAACCAATATCAAAATATTTCTAGCTGAATGATTTTTATAAACAAACTTTATTAATTTGTCCCAAAAATCCCCATGTAATAAGTTCTTGAAGAAAGAACTCCTTATTGATAACACTCTTTCCAGACAAAGTCCTGACTTTAGAATATAAAGTGAATTACTTGCAAAACCTTATACATGATGCAATAACATTTGGCTAAATTATAATTTAGTTTTCTTAACTTTTGTTAAATATTTAAGAAAGAAAAAAACAGCTAGACTATTTATTTTCTTCCTGGTGATGACTTACAATTTATTTATTTGTCTTATTCAAGATCGAGCTAGAGAACTTGCAGACATAGTCGGTGGAGATGCTTTGTCTCTTGATGATCTACCTAACATTCCCCCAGAGGATGGTATGATTCTTGCAAACACAACATCTATTGGAATGCAGCCTAAAGTTGATGACACGCCCATTTCCAAGGTTTGCACTAACTAACATGTAATTATTTTATTTTATTTATATACAAATGATAGGGACGGGGATTTGACGGAGGGGTGACTGCTTTTAACAACTTAAGCTACAAGCACTTTGCAACTAACTTGTATTTCTAACATGTATATACTTGCTCGTAATTGAAAATAAATAACTAATTAATTAAAGAAATTAAAGAGAATTAATGGGTTAATTTCCATTTTCGCAGCATGCTCTGAGATCATATTCATTGGTTTTTGATGCCATTTACACCCCCAGAGTGACCAGACTCTTGAGGGAAGCAGCAGAGTGTGGTGTCACAGTTGTTAGCGGGTTGGAGATGTTCATTGGACAGGCATATGAACAATTTGAAAAGTTCACTGGATTGCCAGGTAAAAATAATCTATATATTGCGTAAAGAAATTCCAAAATATGTACAAAAATATTGTCTCTATTTTTGTTTTTTTTTCTTTTTTTCTTTTTGTTTTTTTTTTTTTTTTTTTTTTTTTTTTGAACCGTAAATTGCAGCTCCAAAGGAACTGTTTAGAAAAGTAATGGAAAATCATTCTTGAGGTTAGTTTGACTAATTCTTTTATGTTTCCCAAAAAACGTGTAATTGATTTTCTTGAGCAAGTTTTTGTGGATCGTTCTTGAAATTCAGCATCTTCTAATTGCAGTATGCGTACTTAGGGTTGATGCCTTGTGTTTCAAGTCAAGCAGCAGAGAAGAAAAGTAATTTCATCTCCTCACCTCCATGATGAGTGCTGGTAATAAGGTTTAATGCAACAAGGCACCGTTGCTTTCTTATACCAATCATCTCTATCAAAGATGCCAGAAACGGCACCGTATTAAGGTCTTTCATGGAGCTTATTATAGTCTAAAATAGTAAGTAAATTCTGTGTACCAATTACCAAACACCCGTGCTTCTTCTGTTGATCAGCAGTGGGTGGATTTGTACGAGAATATGCAGTGAAATTGAAGAAGAAAGTAGGGATAGCCCCTACAGTTTCTATTTCCTAGACGTCAACTCATTATTTTAGAAATCTATATATAAAAGTCAAATTTAAACTAAAATGCCCTGTAAAATATAAAAGGTCATAATACTTCTACATATTTACATTTGTTTGCCACCAAACTTCAGTCAACTTGACGGTTTTGAAGCATGTCGCTAAGTCTCTCATTTATGATTAATACTCATTTATAGCATATCAATGAGATTTTTTTTTTGGGAAATAGCTCTAAATGCACCATTTTGTTAATTTTAACTGGAAATTCCACCTCCCCCTACAAATTTTGCAAATATCACCTATAAATACGTACTTATTGCCCACTTATTGGGCAAATAACACTTTTGGTCAGTTTTTGGTTTCTCTCAACTCTCTCTTCGCTCTCTCTCTCTCTCTCTCTCTCTCTCTCTCTCTCTCTCCATCTAGCTAACTACGCCTCTTCTCACGAAGAAGAAGATCAAGAACAACCTACAAAACCCAGTTCTTCCTCTTCCTCTTTGTTTTCTTCTCTACCCAAATCCAAACCCCAACTTCGTCTCTCTTCGAATCCCTTCTGCAACCTAAACAAACCCAAACAAAACCATCTTTTCTGAATATGACAGCATGTCTTGGCATTAGGTGGCCATTGTTTGAGCATTTTGGTCCAATTTTGGGGGGTTTTGAAGTCTGGGTTTACATGCCCTCTTCAAGAACAGCTTCTCCAGAAAATTAATTGTTGGGAATATGTAAGTTTTGATGTTAAATTGAATTTGATTACTGAAATTGGAATTGTGATTGATTTCGTCTGTATTTTGTGTAGAAAGTGAAGTATTGGGATTGATTTTGTTTGTCTTAAACAATAAATGTGTTTGTTCTTTGTTGATTGATTCTTGCATTTGGTATTGGGATTTTCTATGAACTTGTTATGATTATATCATAGTGAGGTAGCATCGTTGATTTGCTATTGCAATCGTATTGTGATTTAATTGCGGTTGTATTGCAGTGGTATTGCTTTTGTTTTGCTATGGTATTGCTGTTATATTGATTTTTTTTGGTGTTTTATTGATATGTCACTGTAATTTACTAGGAATATATGTTGATATCATTTTTCTTTATCTGCTTGTGATTTGTATAGGAGTTGAGATTATTCTTGGCTGAAGTATTATTTATGATATCTCTCTCTCTCTCTCTCTCTCTCTCTCTCTCTCTCTCTCTCTGCTCTTCGTATTTTTCTCAACATTTATGTGTTAATTTAATGTCTGGTATTGTTTTGGAACCAAAATCATTGTCAATCTCATTGTTTCTTTAAAAGATTGCTATGAAATTGTTACTTCATTTCTTCTTTCCTTTGTTTTAAGATATTTTTGTTTGGAGAAAAAGAACTCTAATTTTGTAATCTAAAAGACTAGGTAACTATGTCTCACATCTTGGGACTAATTGAATGTGCTTTTTGATATTGATAGGAAGCTGGCATCTTTGGTTGACAAAATGAAGGTCTTACTACTGAAGTAATTTCTACTTGATTTCAATATGCCTATAAAACTTGTTGACTGGTGCCCAACAAGTTGGGTTTTTGTAGCTTGAGTTGGCGTATAATTTAGGCTCGCTTTTTGCATGTGAGTGTTTTAATGGATTGGATCTTCTACTTGTATGTTTGTCAAATCTTGTTTGGGGGCCGTTGAAAATCATGGCCGGATTTGAGGCTTGGGAAGAGATTGCAGCTGGGCTATGTGAAGAGATTGCGGTCGGGATTTAGCGGCTGAGGGGCTGCGTCATGTGGAGTTGGGGCTTGTGAGAAGGCAGTTGGGCTGCCCTTAGAGCGGCCAGAAATGTTGAGGTCTTGGGGCCGAAAATGCTGGAAAAGAGAGAATAATCTCAGCCGAGTTTTTGGGCAAAGAGATGCGGCTGGGCTTGTTGGCTGGAAGGCTGCGGCCAGGCAGTTCGAATGCGGCTGGAGACTAATCTCGGCTGGGTTTTGGTGGTTGGGAACGTGGAAGATGTCGGCTAGGTTTTGGCGGCTGGGATTGTGGAAGATCTCGGTCGGGTTTTGGAGCTGGAAACTTAGAGGAGCCCGGTTTTGTTGAAGCTTGGAGCCCGGTTAAATGCGGACGAGCTGCGTCGGGGGGAGCTGGGCTTGCGCATGTGGCCGGGCAGCTCGAACCTGGCTGAAGGGTTTACAACAGGGTTTTGCTCGAATGGGGCTGGAGAAGGAAGCCGGGCCTTTTCGAAATGGTGCTGGAGTTGGCGGTCGGGTATTTTAGACTGGAATTGTTGCGCTTTGAATGTTTTAGGTCTGGGGAGGATTTTAAATCAGCCCATTTTAAATATATACATACATAAGATGAAGATGGTTTGGACAATGGAACCCAAGTGGCTAGCCCCTCCCATATATATATATATATGTATTGTAAAAGTCATTTCCTGTGCGGCCGATGACTTCGATAATATTTAATACATGAATATATATATATATATAAATATATATTAATGAATATTAAAGATTAAATGAGTTTCCTAGGCAGACCAATTTTGGATGTTCTAGGAATTCGAAAGTTATGAAAGGTGTCTTCACGCCATTCCAAAGATTGAAGTTCCAAACCCAAGACACCAATTCAAACCCAGGATTTTCGGAGGATCACATGCATGTGACGGAGGCCTCACAAGGAAAGAAATCAAAGAATTTGATAATAACTCTGAGTGTTCCAAAGCAAGGAAGAATCGAGCATGTCAGAATATTTCAATGAATGCAATCCCATAGATTTAAGGGGGCTTCGAAATGAAAGATTTTTAAAAAGAGTTGACATTTGGCCATTCAATGGCCAGCCAATGGGTTGACGAATGCCCTATATAAACCTCACCAAGCGAAGATAGAAGACACACAACATCAGACAAACAAACTTATCTTTCGTCTCGCACTTTTCTTTTCCTAGACTTAGGATTTTACTTTTCAAGCACCTAGTGTAGTGAGTTCTTCCTTTTTCTAGTGTAAGTTTATATATTTCTTGTCATTTAAATTCAAGTTTATTTCGATTCCTTTACATTTTATTGTTATTGCACTTCAATTAAGTTTAATTTCAAGTCTTTTTATTTTATCATTCTTATCGCTTTTATTTTGTTCTTGCTTTATTTATCGCTTTGATTTATTTTATCGCACTTCAATTCTTGTCTTTACGTTTATATGCATATTTAGTTTAATTGCATTATTTTTACTTAAAACCCTAAAAATCACAAAAACATTTGTACGAAACCTAACCATCCTCGAGCCCGAGGAAGTAAAAGAATCTAGGCCAAGAGGAGGTTCATTGCTTGGCTGATCAATCGTTTGGTCAGAAGTTAGAAGTGCAACACATCCATCTATTCACATTCCATTCAAGCCCAAATTCGGGGCTTGGTGGTGGCATGCCCCGCACTCAAAAGAAGAAGGACCAAAACTTCCTTCCGTCGGCCGCCTCGGCCGAAAACGGGGAAACAAATCTCAATCATGTTTTCTGAGATGAGTTGTGTAGTAGTGTTGGTTGAAATTAATATGCTATTTATTCATTGAAAGCATATTGTTTCTCCACGATGAGTACTTGACCAAATTATATTTTACTGCAGTTTTGTCTTGACAATTTATGTTTCTTTCTCCTTTTCTTTTCAAATTGCACAAGAAAAAGAAAAGCCGCACCCAACTCGTTCCTCTGTGCAGAACAAATTTGGCGTTAACAGTTACACAATGTGTTTTAGTTGGTTTGTGCAGACACTGATGTGCAAGCCATACACTGGCGTTGGAGACCATTTTGTGCATGATGTAATGTGTAGACAAGGAGTTCTTTGAGATGCCTTCTGAAGACAAATGCAAAGCTTCTATTATGAAAATGTTAAGCAAACTTGCAGCAAACTGTACACATCATTGATTATGCTTGTTATTAGTAGGGCCCAAGAATTAGAAAGGACATCTAAGACGTTATGTATTCTTCTTGTGGAGCCGTATGTTTCTAATATTTGTGTAATGTACTTGATACTGTTTTTGAGGCCATTAATATAATGATATGAAATTTTCATACATGGTTATTATTTTTTATGTACTATTTATTATCAGTAGCAATTGAATATTGTAATAGTTCAACAATTAGAACATTATATAATATGGGAAAGAGAGTACAAAGACATCCATAAGGTACTTGTTTATTGCCATTTTATTGCTTTCGCATTGGTTGTGTATTGCCGATTTATTGGTTATGTATTGCATGTCTATTGCCACTTTATAATCTACATGACATTATAGTGGAGTGGAAGCAACTATGGATATCGTCAAAATTAACCATTCTTACATTGTCGTCTTTATTGGGGACAGACAGATTGGTAAAACAGCAGTAGCCATAGATACTATTCTCAATCAACAAGGGAAAAATGTAGTATGCGTTTATGTAGCTATCGGTCAAAAAGCATCTTCTGTGGCTCAGGTGGTGATTGCTTTACAGGAAAGGGGAGTAATGGAATACACTATTGTGGTAAATTGAATTAAAATTTCATTTAATAGTATCAAAATAATTACATGGTCTCCTATACAATAATATTCAATACAAGTTTTTTATTTCACGTAATCTTAAAAAATGACCAAGTATCACAAGAATTAACAAATTGAAAACAAAAATCTCCTATTTAATTGTTGAATTTACATGAAGCATCATCCCTTTTACTCTTGCAGCTGCTCAAGCCTAGTCCCCCCTCAAAAGTCATGATCCAAAATCCACTAGCTGACTAGTCTCTCCAATCTACCAAAATATTTCATTCATTTATAGAATATAAGATACTTGATAAAACAAACCAAAAAACATGAAGCTCTTGAAGGCAAATATTTCATTCTTTGATAGAATGTAAGATATTTAATGGGTATACTTCCATACAAAGTCATCAATTATTTTCATCAAATGCAGAATGACATGTCAACCATTGTGCTTTCACCCCACAAATTTTCTAATTTGAAGTACAATGACATCTTTCTAGATATACACTCTAGCTATGTTCAACTATATGTCTGTGATGTATAAGCTTTTCATAATTTCTTGTCATTTAAAAACTTTTGTTGGTATTGAACTCAAGACACCAATGAAAACATTTTGAGCCAGTTTGAATACGTACAACGGAGCAAACTATCACAATTGAAGAATACCTCTTATCTAAGATGTGTGACAAAGATACACTGCTGACATACAAGACTTTTCAAATTTTAGATAGCTAAAGTTTAAGTGCAAAAGTAGTAAACTGACATACATAAAGTCTGGATCTTGTTGATTAGAAAACACTCACCATGAGTACCTAGTCTTTTAGATTACAAAAATAGAGTTCTTTTTCTCCAAACAAAAATATCTTAAAACAAAGGAAAGAAGAAAATGGAGTAATAATTTCACAGCAATCTTTTAAAGAAACAATGAGATTGACAATGATTATGGTTCCAAAATAATACCAGGCATTAAATTAACACATAAATGTTGAGAAAAATACGAAGAGTAGAGAGAGAGAGAGAGAGAGAGAGAGAGAGAGAGAGAGAGAGAGAGAGAGAGAGATCGTAAATAATACTTTAGCCGAGAATAATCTTAACTCCTACACAAATCACAAGCAGATAAAGAAAAATGATATCAACATATATTCCTAGTAAATTACAGTAACATATCAATAAAACACCAACAAAAATCAATATAATAGCAATACCATAGCAATACAAAAGCAATACCACTACAATACAACTGCAATAAAATCACAATACGATTGCAATAGGAAATCAACGATGCTACCTCACTATGATATAATCATAAACTGACCAAAAGTGTTATCTGGCCAATAAGTGGGCAATAAGTATGTATTTATAGGTGATCTTTGCAAAATTTGTGGGGAGAGGTGGTATTTCCAGTTAAAATTAACAAAATGGTGGCATTTAGAGCTATTTCCCTTTTTTTTTGGGGAGAATTTTTGCTCACCACTTAAAGCTAATGCGTACCTTCACCACAATTCTTATAACTTGATACATGTCCATACTTGTAACTATAGTTAACTATTTAATTTTAAAATTTTAAATTAAAAAATAAAGTAAAATAATAATAAAATAACATTAAATATAAACTCTCTCTCCTACGCTCTCCCCTGTTCAACCCACCCTACCCCACCCCCACTAGCCCCGTTTGCATGACCACCAGCTCACTTAAATCCGGCGGCGACACCAAAATCCTTGTCATAGATCACAACATCAAGCTCTTTGTTTTCGCCTCCAAGCTCACTTCCCTTTGCGACACCCCGAACGCCTTCGTCTTCTACAAGTACCAGCTCCTCGGTGAAGATCTCAATGCCCTCAACTCCGTCGCCAACGACGAGGACCTCGACCACATGATGATCAAGTACAACCGGCTCTAAGGCCAAAACTACTAAGATTCAGGTGTCTCTTGCCTGGGAACCTCCTGAGACTGGGGTTTTTAAATTGAATGTTGATGGATCTCAGAAGAATGGCTCTGGGGCTATTGGTGCGGGGGGCGTGATCCGTGATTCTTTTGGTGCTTAGATTGGTGGCTTTGTTGTCAATTTAGGGATTGTTTGGAAGCGGAGTTGTGGAGGCTGTTTTTTGGTCTCAAAGTTGTAGTTGGTAAAGGCCTTTCAAAGATAATTGCGGAAATGGATTCTGTTGTTTCTGTTCATCTCATTCAGGAGCCTATTTTAGCTACGCTTCATTCGCTTGCTAGTATTTTGACTAGTTGTGTTAAGCTCATGAATCAGTTTGATAGCTGTGCAGTTATGCATATCTACAGAGAAAAGAATTGTGTTGCAAACAGATTAGCTAACTGGAGCTATAACATGGGTCTTGGTGTGTGTTATTTTGATTTTGCTCCAAGTTGGATAGATTCTTTAGTTATTGACAACTTGATTGGGTTGTTTGCTTGAGAAATTTTAATTTTATTCTCCAAGGAATCTCAGCTTTCTTTTGAACACACTTAATTTTTTTTTTTGGAGGGGGGGAACCCCAAGCGACAAAACTACATAAAATCAACAAAACAAGATGGGGATGAGACACTTTATTTTTATTTTAACATCATTGTCATATGAAGTAATTTTATAAACAGATAAATTTGAAATTAAAAATCTGTTGAAAAAATGGATGTCTTTTCTTTCTTTTTTTGGTCGAACTGTAAAAATGGATGTCAAGGTCAAACAGATTGGCATAGTAGTGCATTATCTGGCCATGATGTCCACATGGTAAAACATAACAAGAGTTTTGGGCTATCCATCTATAATTTTACCAAAATAAAATTGGGTTCCACACCGAAATATGGGCGGTTATCTAGTGAGAACGCTTATGTGCGAACCTTATATGAGAATCAAATCCAGCCATCCAAATTATCTGAATGGCTAAAGAGAAAAAGCAAGCTTACGGTAAAAACGGGTAGGCTGCAGTTCCCCATAGCCCAAGTGTCAACTTGCGCCTGTTTAAAAAAAAGCGCCTTTCCTCTTCTTGACAGTGGTGCCGTACTTAACAGTCGCGCCTTTCTTGTCAATAAATTTATGAATTTATGAATCAACCCTAAACACCCAAAATACCTACCAAACATAAATTTGTGTATTTCTCTTGTCGCAAAAACTCCCTGGTGTACTCTATCTCTTTCACTTCCTCCCTCATCTAATATTTCTCATTTGAACATCTGAGAAGATATGTTTCTCTCAAATTCCCTCTATTTCATTCATATTAAAGTTTGCATGTTATATTGCATTCACTTAATGTTTAAATACTGTTTAGGATTTTAGGGCATTTATTTTCTGGGTAAGAGTAGTCTGTCTCTGGTGTAGGATTTTAGGCTTTGATTTTCTGGGTAAGAGTAGTCTGTCTCTGTTGTAGTTGTGTTTGCAAAAATATAAATTGGCTTCAGTTGCTTTTTTGTGTAGTGTTTTATAGTTTCTAGTAATTTGTTGAAGCATAGCAATTAATTTTTAAAGTTTTTCTGCGGTTTAAATATTCTTTAATTTTTCCAAAAGTTGGGTTGTTTTTTTATCGCAATTTTTTGTGGTAATTTGTTGAAGTGTAGATTCACAGCTGTTGGTTGTTCCAATTTTTTTTTTGCATTGTGCTTGCTTGTTGTCTTTTCTTAAAATTTCAGGAACCTTCATGTGTTGGTCATTGTAATCCTGCTTTGCCCATCTAGTGGTATGAGTGTATGGCATCATTTTAGGGATTTAATGGGGTTTGGAAAACAAATAATAAGTACCATTAGAAGTAGAACGCAGAAGAGAAAATTGAATCTTAACTGTGAATATGAGATGATTTGGGATGCAGAAGGATCAATGCATCTTGTAGTAGGTATCAATTATGTATCTCAATGTGTTAAAAAATAGTGTTGGTAGGTATCACTTATGTATGCGAATATGTTGAAAATAGTGTTTGTAGGTGAAAATTATGTATCTTAATGAGTTGAAAATAGTGTATCAGTTTTGCATCTTAATATGTTGAAAATAGTGTTAGTAGGTATCCATTATATATCTGAATGTGTTGAAAATAGTGTTTGTAGGTATTAATTATGTATGTTAATGAGTTGAAAATAATGTATCAGTTTGCAACTTAATATGTTGAAAATAGTGTTAGTAGGTATCCATTATGTATATGAATGTGTTGAAAATAGTGTTTGTAGGTATTAATTATGTATCTTAATGTGATGAAGATGTGTAGATAATATTGTGAGTAGGTCTCACATATGTATGTTAATGTGTTCATAATTTTGTGAGCAGGTATCACTTATGTTTCTTAAGCAAAAGGTGTTTGTTGCAGGTACAAAATGGAATATGGGTTTGAACTTTGTTTCCCGGAGTCAGTCCTGTGTAATTTTTGGGGCACATTTCAGTGAGTCGCTTATGAAAAGATTTAGAGGGAGCTATTTTGGGTACCTATTGGGCCTCCATAAAATTGCATTTAGTGGTCAAATTGTGCATGCTCTGGCACTCCGGCGAGTCAGAGGATTTGGTGTCAAGGATATGCTGAGCCTTAGTTATGTAATAGGGTCCAATGTTGTTCAATTCAGTGTAAAGGATTTTTGTTTGATAAGTGGTCTGAAATGTGGAACAGAGCCTGACATAACGTCCGGGGGGGATGCTCATAATCGATTTATGAAAGCGCATTTTACCAACAGGGGTCACATTACTTGCCATGACTTAGAAAATGCATTCTTAAAGTCCGAAAGAGGAAGCGAGGACTCGTTCAAATTGGGACTTCTGTATTTTGTGGAGTTTGTGATAATGGGTAAACCCCAAAATGTGAAGATAAACAAGGACTACTTACATTTGTTTCATAAAATCGATGAATTCAACAATTATCCATAGGGATCTGTATCGTTTGAGTTTCTGCAAGATTCTCTGTTGTTTGCTCCCAGGAAGAAAGAGACTGATGAAGAGAATGATGGGAAGGGAAAAGGACAGAAAAAGGGGAAAAAGGCGGTGCGGAGTTTAGTGAGAAAAGGGAAGAAAAACGTGGAAGATGAGAAGCCTAAAAGAATTAACAGACCTGGATGGAGTATAAAGGGATTGAGCTATGCTCTCCAGGTATGGTTTAGTTCAAAATTAGTGTTTGTAAAATTTTAGTTCGTAATTAAGTACTGACTTTGATAATCTATTTGTTGTAGATTTGGGTGTATGAATTAATTGCTGAACTGTAAATTCCCCCCCTTAGATATTGTAAGCGGATTGAGGAACTTGCATTAGTCCCTCGAATTTGCCGATGGGAATCCATGGATAAAGTGCCTGAGTTTAGAAAGCTGAATGCTTATATATTTCAAAGCAAACAGGTGTGTAGTTAATAATTTATTTTAGTACTATGTTCGTTTCATGCGAAAAGCTTTTTAGTATTGTATATGACCTGTTAACTCTATGTGTTTAATAGCCTGTTATACTGTGCCTCTTACGACCAAGTCAATTGGAGATAAGCCAACCGTATTGGAGTTGGGGATTAGATGTTCCTGAATGTGATGCACCTAGTGTAGCTCTGCGGGTATGTAAGGACCTTGATGAGTTAAACTCTAACTCTATTGTGCAACAGTTGAGGAATGAGGTTGTAGTATTGCTCCGTGAGAAGGGTCAGCTAGAGGAGAAAGTTTTACGATTGGAAAAGTGTACCAGTCATGCAGACGCGAGGAAGACTGGGGATGCTGGAGAGGAGAGGAATAAGACTGAGGATGCTGGAGAGGAGAGGAATAAGACTGGGGACGCTGGAGAGGAGAGTGGTAAAATTGAGGATGGTGGAGTAGCCGAATCGAGAGAGCATTGTGTACAAAATGCGAACGAAGAGGTGCAATATACACCATCGGAAGATTGACATGTCCACTGTTGAGGGTGAATGTGGTGAAGATGTTATAGTTGGGGTCCAACAAAAGAGGGGTCGGGTAAAGAGTGAGATTCTTGGCCCTACGATGAAGAGTAGGAGGGTAGTGGTGAGGGAAACTCCATGGAAAGGTCGGGAGATTCCCAATATTTCGGAGGACACAATTGTTGAACCCCGAAGGCCTGTTCCTCGTGATTCCCTTTTGGAGGTGGCGAAATTCTGCTGGGAATGGGGACAAGAAGAAAAGTAAGTTCCCATTGCCTGTCCTTAGTGAAATGTAAATGGTTTATTATGATTAGTTATTGAGTGAATGGTGAAACGGAATTGATAATAATAATGATTGACAAATATAGTTCACATGTGCGGTTATGTGGAGAAGAAGGTATGGAAGGTTCGCATAACTTCTTTGTTCGATTGCTGACTAAGGATGGTTGGTTGGATGACTCGGTAAGCATTGATTGATTTGGGATTTTGTCAAAATGCCCATGCTATGAAGTGATTTATTGATTTAATAATGGAAACAACCCTTTTATGTAGAACATAGACATGACCTTGCTTTTGCTACTGGAGTGGCACAAGAGCTCTAGCAAGTGGGTGGGTTCTGACTGGACGATACTGGACACCACTTTTCAGGTCTATATTATTTCATAAGCATTGTTTATTTTCAAATTTGGTATCCGTTATAATGCATAACTCATGTGCCGCTATGCAGAAATGTGCTGCCTTGGATTACATGCAAATGAAGGTGTATGTGGGAAAGGAGGACAGGCAGCACATCAAGGGTCTACTGGGAATGGTCATGGGCGAAGGGCCTAAGTTGGCTAAATCATGGTCCTCTGTGAATCACGTTTGTTTGCCCTTCAACCTACAAAGGCAGAAGCACTGGATCTTACTTGTTGTCGATTTAAAAGAGTGTGAGATAAGGGCATATGATTCCAAAGTATATCTATGCATAACTCAAGCCATCCAACAGGCTGTGCAGTCGGTGGCGAAAATGCTGCCCTGGTTGTTAAAGGAATCTGGTTATATTGGCGACGATCTACTTCTGAAAAGTGAGTGGCCAGTTATTCGCGTCATGGACGCACCCCAACAAGTAGGCGGGTGAGTAATATTCCACCTAACCACATTGTTTTATGAAATGGCCAAGATTTCCTCAAATACTGCGAGTTTCTGACCACGAATGTAGACCTGGCCAAGATTTCCCATGACGCCATGCCCTTCTATCGGTTGAAGCTTTTTGTACAGTTGTTGCAGGGATATTGGTAGCTGTGATTCATTAGGAGATACTATAACTTGCAAAGTTTTTAATTGGGTGGGTGTAGTGTATATGAACTTGCAAAGTTAATTTAACTGGGTGGGCAATTATGTTGGTAACAGACCTTTTATTCACGAGTTACAAAACAAACCTTTCTATAATATAAGGGAAGCTTGAAGAGATTTCTTCGCATGCTTGAGCGCATCTTTCCCCTTTCTATTTTAGTAAGGTTTTGAAAATGTAGTTTTCTTGTTTGTTAAGGAACAAAGTCTTCTTTATAATCCAACTCCCCCTCTTCACTTAAAATTAAAGAATTAGTTTTTGTATTCTGTTCAAATACAAGCTGTATGAAACCCCCAACACATATTGTTGATACTATGGTGAACCCGAACCCTAAATGGTGCATGATTCTTTTCAAATGTGGAATAAATAGTAATGTATCTTGTTTAGGGTAAACACGATTGTGAAGTTAAGATGCAGACATATGAAATGTTGAAGTTTGTCATTGACTAATAGTGCTGAAGGCTTAATTATATTTGTACATTTCCAAACACGTCTTATATGTAGCTGTCCGGATTACAAAATTACAAAACATATACTTAAAAACCCAAAACATTTCTTACTTTTTCATCAATATAATAGCCAAATTCAGAAATGATAAAACTAACAATAGAAGGAGGATTTTATTAATGCCCTTCAATATACGGATTACTTTAGCATATGCATTAAGTTCCTTCACATCCACCTGGTTTTGAATGTCGGACTTAGTTGGGGTGTTGACTGCTATTACCCATTCATAGCCACTACACCTTATAGTTCCCTATAAAAAAACAAACAAAATTACATTTTTCAGTATGGGATTACAATGTCAGACCATATTCTTTTCTCTGGAGCAATTTTAGTTTGGGATTACTGTTTGTTACATACAACTTATTCGGTTTTACATACGAGGTTTGGGAAGATTATACTTACATATGTTGTGAAGCACTTCCAATACGGTCTGCCCAGATTCCTTTCGGATTTGGAAATTAGCTTTACCATCTCAGCATTGCAGTGCCGACACCTCTTTGCTTCAGTGTTTGTTGAAGAAATCAACATCACTTTGCCTAGAGTTGAAAATAAAGAAAACAGAAGAATTATACCCTTCCAAATATTTGATCAAAACCCCCAAATTATTTTCCTTCAATTGTGAAAAGGAATTGTATTTTATTATTTGGTCGAAACATATATGGAGTGAGGGAAAAATAAAATTAGGGAACAAACCCTAGAGTTGGATGATGCAAATGAAAACACTAGTACACTTTTGAAACCCTAGACTCTTATTTGTTCGATCACATTAATTATGTATGGATATTTATATGACGCGCCCTTTTTTCGGATATGTCATGGAAGGAAATGTCGTCACGAGCCTGGAGGAATTTTTCCGCCTTCAATTGGATTTTTAAATGAATATTTAATTGGAAATGAATAAAAAAATTTGAAAAGTGGCGTGTGGCGGCATGGGAATGCGTCGTGTGTCCCTGAGGTCTGCAGCTCCCCACTCCAATGTCGCCACTTGGCATTTCACGTGTATTTTATTCCTTTTTTTTTCTTTAAAAAATATTTAAAAATAGAGGAAAATTCAGAAAAAATTGGGGAAAATTCCTAAGTATGTATTGGGATGAATACTTTGTACTGAAGGTACATTACCGGATTTAGGAGTGAGGGAAAAATAAAATTAGGGAACAAAGCTTAGAGTTGGATGATGCAAATGAAAACACTAGTACACTTTTGAAACCCTAGACTCTTATTTGTTCAATAACATTAATTCCGTATGGATATTTATATGACGCGGCCTTTTCCGGATATGTCATGGAAGGAAATGTCGTCATGAGACCGGAGGAATTTTTCTGGAATTTTTCTCCTTTCAATTAGATTTTTAAATGAATATTTAATTGGAAATTAAAAAAAATTGGAAAAGGGGTGAGTGGCGCCATGGGAATGCCCCACGTGTCGCTGAGGTCTGCAGCTCCCCACTCCAAAGCCGCCACTTGGCATTTTGTGTTTATTTTGTTCCTTTTTTTTTCTTCAGAAAATCTTAAAAAATAGAGGAAAATGCAGAAAAAATTGGGGAAAATTCCTAAGTATGTATCGGGATGAATACTTCGTACTGAAAATAAAATACCGGATTTAGGAGTGAGGGAAAAATAAAATTAGGGAACAAACCCTAGAGTTGGATGATGCAAATGAAAACACTAGTACACTTTTGAAACCCTAGACTCTTATTTGTTCAATCACATTAATTATGTATGGATATTTATATGACGCGGCCTTTTTCTAGATATGTCAGGGAAGGAAATGTTGTCACGAGCCCGAAGGAATTTTTCCCCCTTCAATTGGATTTTTAAATGAATATTTAATTGGAAATTAATAAAAAATTGGAAAAGGGGCGGGTGGCACCATGGAAATGCGCTGCGTGTCGCTGAGGTCTGCAGCTCCCCACTCCAGCGTCGCCACTTGGCATTTCGTGTTTATTTTATTTTATTTCAGAAAATCTAAAAAAATAGAGGAAAATTCAGAAAAAATTGGGGAAAATTCCTAAGTATGTATTGGGATGAATACTTCGTCAGGAGTTTTGAGTTATACTTCGCAAGGAGTTTTTGGTTAAATACGATATTTAAATCATTATGTTAGTCAAAAGGGATTTGGATTGAAATTTTGTATTTTTTTGTTGTTGCAACAATCATAAACATTGCAGGACAAATTCCGAATGTGATGGGAAAAACCCTACACTTATTTCCCCCCCCTTAAATTCGATATTTAAATCATTATGTTAGTGAAAATAGATTTTCGGATTACTTTATTAAACTATTTTTTATCTTGCAAATATAGTTTCAAATTAGGAAATGTGGGGAAATTGAAAACGTAATTAAAGTATCACCAGAGTATCTTAGAAGCTCAAGGATGGCTCAGATTTGGTCTGACTGAAAGGATAATCCCTCATGCTTTGACAACATACAACCTCGCTGGCATTTGGGTGTATGTCATCATCAACGAATGATTGCTTTGGGAATTGGATGCACGCAAGCTACAAAGGTCTATGGAGGACAAACGTCTACAACAGGACTTAAATTGGATCTTAAAAGTGCACCGATTACATAAACAAACCTTCAAACCATAAACAGGACTTCAAACCACAAACGTCTACAACATTACCATAAACAGACCTTAAATTAAACAGAAAGTAAACTTCCCCCTTTAAATAAAAACAAACAAAACCCAAAACACACTTTAATACCCATATCATACCATGGATATTTAAATTAAATCCACGAGGTTTGCCTACGGAGTTTGTGCTGGAAGCAGTACAACTCCCTCTTCCATTCGCCCCCCATGTCCCATAAGAAATACCACTCTCGGGTACCCTCACAGTTAAGGCAGTTAAGAAAAAAATTTATGTCAGCAGTAAACTTTGCAAGAGTTGGAGGAGTCACCAAGCCCAAAATTGTATACCTCATCAGTCGATTCATAATTGATTCCCTGCATGCTTGCATGTCAATTTTCTTCGTTTTGCTTAGATGACACAACAATTCCATTGCATTCTCTTTGCCCTTCGTAGGGTTCACCAACCCTAGCAAGCCAACAATGTAGGAGGATTCCATATGCCCTGCCATAGCCGCCACCCAGAAGTTGTTGACAGCCTCATCATCTTTGAATATGAAGAATTGAGTTACAACTTGTCTGTCAATGATTTTTGGACTGTTGTGTTCCTTGCACTTTTGCAATAACTCAACAAGTTTTTCTTGATGAAACCTGTACCATTCAGGATGCCACTGGTACTTCTCTACAGACACGGTTCCCTAAACCTCAGGATCATTCAGCATTTCTTCAAATAACTTGCATGTCCTCACCATGATGTACAAATCTTTAGAGGAGTGCTTTGCAACCAAGAGCAGCACCTTAAACCATGCCAAGTCTGGGATGTCCATCTGGGTTGTTGGAGAAGAGGGAGTGCAAAAGGTATGTGGAGGAATAATGAACGGTGTTTCTGGACAAATCAGGAAGAAAGGTATATATTGGAACCAACCGTCGTCACCTAAATTATGGACAAAGACAACATTTGGTTTAGATAATGTATTATTGGCTTCATTTCCCAACCAATGTGACTGAAAACAGACCTCGATGGCGGTAAATTGGTGTTCTCGCGGCCACATGCCTAGTTATAGCTCTTGGGTGTTCGCATTTATGATACTACTTATCAACGTCAGCAGTCAAAAAATTAAATATACTTTTTATGATAATGATTATGCAAATATCACATGACTACTTATGGAGGTAAAATTCGTTGCATTTGAACATGACCAAGTGAATAATTTAACAGGCAAATATGAAACTAAATATCAACGCACCATTAACAGTACAGAAAATGAAAACAGTGTTTATGACATCACCAGTTATGATGGTAATTTGAATTTAACATAAGCAAGTAAACAATTTCATCTTCTCAAATATGACACTAAATATCAACGCACCATTAACAGTAAAGAAAATGAAAACAGTGTTTATGACATCACCAGTTATGAAGGTAATCTGAATTTAACATGAGAAAGTAAACAATTTCATCTTCTCAAATATGATACTAAATATGAACTCAGATCACCAGTAAAGAAAAAGAAAAAAGGTGTTTATGGTACTTATAATGCAAATATCACATCACAATTTGTGAAGGTAACTTACATTTGAACATGACCAAGTAAATAGTTTCATCTTGGCAAAAATGATACTAAATACGAACGCTAAAGAAAATTAAAATATTGTTTATGATACAAATAATGCAAATATGACATCACCAGTTCTCAAGGTAACTCCCCACTTAAAGTCAACATTGGCATTTTGGCGGGTAAAATGAAAATGGGGACTGCTCTATACATACCAATGTAAGAGTATATTACCTTTCATTGCACCACCACTTGCTCCAAACAAGCCTAAACTCAAAATGGGTTCCCCTACAAAAATCCCCCCCATACTTATAACAACTCTAGCAAAAAATGCAGAGCCTTTGTCACAAAGGAATATTAAAGCTGAAGATGTTGCTGATGGAGCTTCAAAATCCATAAACTTTTCATCTGAGGGCCACGATGATGTAGCTCGGATCGGCAAGATGCGGTATGATGCGTTGATCATAGAAATCAAATGCCAGAAGATCCGTCTAAGGTGGTATCAAGAAACATTGGGGAAGGAGAAAAATAAAGCGAAATTCCACCTTCGATCAATCCAAATAATGAAAGTGAGGGTTAGGCTTGCGAAAGGAAAAGGTTTTCGAAGGTTCAATACTTCGAATGAGTCTGTGCATATGAGGGAAGCAAAAGCACGCAAAGGGTTTGACCTGTTTCGTGAGTTTGCAAGATGTGTTGTCCTAAGCTACAACTAGGACGGGATTGCCATGGAGTAAACCATCGCCGGAGAAAGTTAATTTTGGGGTTTTTCAGTATTTTGTTTGGAACAAATGTGTGGTTCATTTTGAGTACGTTTTTTGGCATTTTGTGTGGGCTCCTGAAGGGGTAAAAACTCTGGTTTGAAGTGTTCATACTTCATAGGTAATGTATCCAAACTGTAAGATGTGAAGGAAAACTGCAAACAAATGGGGAAACTGTTTTGGGTTTATTAAGCATACTTTTGTCTACATAAATTGTTGTGCTTTTATGAAGTTTGTTTATATATTTTTATGTGAACATATTTCTTTGTGTTATTGTATAACGCCTAAAAGGCATGGAATAGAAACAACAGAGGTGGATTTGTTGATAATCCAGGTATTTATGTCGCATAGTAATCAAGTAATGGAGGGTTGGCTTTATCTCGTTCGTGTAGGGATGGCAATGGGTTGAATTGGGGGGTGGGCATGCCATTTCCATGGCTTGCCCCATTAGGGAAGAAAAAACTCATTATATAACTACTATGTTGAAAAGAAAAAAAAGAAGTAAGACAAGATAATGAATATATAGAATACATACTTAGAAGACAATATAGCAATGTTTATATACATGTTGGAAGTTAACTAAATAAATAAGTAGTGTGGCTTAAGATTTTATACAATATAATCTACTAATATAATATATAAAACTTAGTCGATACTCCGTATGTTAATAGCATACTTATATGAAACAACCTGATCCTAATTCCACTTTGAAATCCGGGTCGAAACCTGTCTAAACTGACACCTGGTGGCTGGGGGTCAAAATGACCAAAATGCCCCTAGAAGCAAAACAGAAACTCGGGGGCCCTAATTCGTGGTTGCGCCTGGTAACTGTAGGCTGCCTACGTACCCATCCTGAGGGATCAAGCCACACGTAGTTCTTTTCTTTGTTTCTGACCTGTAACTGGTTCGTTTAACTGTAACTGGTTTACTTAACTGTAACTGGATTAATTTACTATAAACCTCGCTCTAGGGCTGACAATTCTGGAGTAACCGGGACTCCGTTTTACGATTTGTCAAATACTATATGATCCTAGGAACGTCTAAATTAACATATCTAAAAATGGTTACGGTCCAATGGTGCAAATGTATTGAACCCGGAAATCATACACTAGGCGAGATCCGTTCGGGGTTCAAACGTTATCCGAATTAAGATCCGCGAGATCCTACGCGCTCGTGGGGACTAGGAGATTATTCTAGGGCTGACTGTGGTCCCCACCCTGCTGTCCACGCACCGCTACACGCGCCGGAAAAACTCTAAATCACGGCTCAAGACTCCTACCCTAAGTATAACACCCTATTTGGATCCACTTTTGTTCTTGGACCTACCCCAAAAACTGGCCGGAAGTGGCCGGAATCTCAACCTGAAATTCGGCTAAACTTTGGATCCAAGATCGAGTTATCTATGCTAGAAATTTCTGAAATGCTATCCAACCAGCAGCTAGAGCTCGAGAAATAGATGAGTTTCCATACCTGGATCACTGGAAATGGTGGCCGGATGACGGAGAACGAGCCGACGAAAGTTTATGAAAAAAACTGTCGAACACCGCCTGTTTATTGGCTGTTTCCGGCTACCACGGAGGCGGATCGAGGCAGAAAAAGGCTGGGTCTGGAAGAGGGAAGTGTGTTGGTTCTAATGAAACTGGTCTTGCTCGAATTAGGGGTCGGAGTTGAAAGAAAACACCTCCAGAAGTCGGTTGCTCCCCCCCTCCGAAATGCAGAATTCTGGGTTTAAAACTACGAAACTTCGCAATATTTACGGTTATGCCACTGAACTTCTTTTAATCGTAACTCCTTCGTTACAGCTCCGATTTGAGTCCACTACGTGTCTACGGACTCGTTTTGTCGCGCTCTATGCAACGGTATAACTGAAATCTCCGAATTCCTTCCCGATCAAAAAGTTAACTTTTTAATTATTAAAATATTTTAGGGGTATAATGGTCTTTTACTGAAATAAATTAATAATTAAATATTAATTAAGGACCGGGTTGTTACATATATATGAGGTAAATGCTTTTGTGTGTTTCCATTTTGGGTCATTTGAATAAAATAATGCAGCTATGCAGAAAAATATATTAGTAAATACAGTGCTGAATAAATTTATTTGGAAGTCTGTTTTTTGTTTCCCCCTTTTTTAAGTAATTGGGTGAGTTTTGAGGTTTGAGCATTTATTTGATCACTTATATGGTAACTAATTATGTTCGTAACTTGGCATTTTAGAGGTTTGCTTATTGGTTTCAAATATATAATTTTAGCAATGAAATAACAAGAACTATATTGTGTCTGTCAATTGAAAGGAGAAAATATAGAAATATTTTTCCGAAGAATTATGTATGAAGCAAATGAAACTGATACTTGTGTTCTTATAAATTAGATAATTAACACTAAGGAAGTATACTTCTAATTTTTGCAAAATATAATGTTACAGTTCAAAGGAAAGCAAGTTATCACCATATTCTGAAGATGGAGTGTGCACTCTGTATTATCACATCAGATGAAATTCAGTACGAAATTGAGTTTTCATAATCACTTTGGATGATTTATAGCTTCCCCTAGTTTTGTAACGGCACAAGGAGCGGGAAGCAATTTTCCGGGCATTTTTTCTATTTTTCTCCTATTTATTACCATTTTTTAAATCATTTTGCATTCAAAAATTTCAAACATAAAGAAATAACACACATGGCGACAGCTGACCGCATCCCCCTTCAATAGGTGCACATGTGTATGCTAGTGACCATTACCACATCCTTCCTTTGAAACCGAATTTAAATGAATATTGCTATTTTCTTAGAAAATTCTTAACTAAATATACAAAAATCGGGAAAAAATTTCGCAAATTGCTACGAACTCATTCAAACTTGATAAATCAAAATTCGAGTGTGTGCTAATATTTTTAATAATCATATGAGGCTCCTGTGATTAACTAAATCAAATACTCTGATTACTTAAAAAAGAAAGAAAATAAAGTGATGGGACAAAAGGAGAAAAGACAAAATGGAAAACTTCTGGACACAATATATAAACGTTGTTTTATGCCTATGGGATACTCATGCGTTACATCTCTCTTTTCTTCTTTCGAGTTGTCTTTTTTGCATACAAACCTTTAGTCGAATCCCCCAATCTGACGATTTTTTCAACATGTCTGCTAGTTCAAGTGCCAATGCGAATCAGGGGGGCTCCGATGGGTCATGGGAATGTGCCCCCGATTATCCAAGGTCCCCTCCCTGCTGCCTCTTCCAACCTCCTCTGCAAGCGAGGGGGACTCCGATGATCCCGCTATGGAAATAAATGATATGAAGAACAAACTAGAGCACAACTCTTCCTTGGTCCATTATTGGACTCAAAAGTGTGTCGGAGCTGAGCAGAAGTTGGCTTATTTGACTCGGCAAGTTAACAAAGCCCGTTACAGAAAAGAGAAGTTGAGAATTCGTGCCCAAAGAAGAAAGCACGAAGCAGAGGATTTGCATATGACAGAGGAGGATGCTATGTACGAATCTTTGAGCATCCACAAAGGAGGCGACAACCAAGGCCAGGCAATGTCTGTGGCTTTCAATGTAGGTTTTGAGAAATTCCGACGGTTCGCTGCAGATGTCCACGAAGATATTGACTGGGACGCCATAACCCCATTTGCTGCACATGAAATCATCTTCGGCGGTGCACACCAAACAGACCAAGGCCACCAACCAGAAAAGGGCAACGATAATGACTGGTGATAGCCATATCAATCCGTAGGCAATCCCTTAACAGTTGTTTGTTTTTGTTAATGTCCGATCTGGGTTAGTGTTGATGCCCGATCTTGGTTTCGTGTAGCTTATTTTGTTTTACACTGCTATCAGAGCTAGAGTTCAATCACAGCTCGATCACTAACTTCCGATTAGAAGCATTCATTTCGTAATAGTGCTCACATTTTTTTTTGTTTAATTCATTGTCGATGGGGAGACAATTTGTTTCAAGATTCTCTGACACAGATATTCGATTGGTTGAGACTTGACAGAGACATAGTGATGGTTTCAAGATTCTCTTACTGACACATAGTCATGGTTTGAAGATTCCCTTGGATATTTTCATATTCATTGCAACCATTGCAAATTTGTGTATAAAACCCCTTGCATGATTCCCCCAAACTCATTCTCCTTCAAAAAGGGCTTCAGGTTTTGAAAACCCCAAAGCCCCAGAGGACATTCGGGACATCCACCTTCAACCAAAGATGGATCTGAAACTTCGAGTTACGCCTAATTATTGCAAGCATGGTGCCGTTCACGACCACCATTGTGGGACGTGCAGGGATTTATTTGCAAGTGTAAACCCCTAAACTTAGAGTGGTGCCAAGATTGCTACAATGACAAGCTCTTTCTAAATTAGGAGGAACATGGCCACTTTGAGTCAAGTGATGACTTTGACGCTGAGAACTAAGTGGCTCTTCAAGTAAGTTATTGTTGACTTTAATGTAGTGTTTTTTTGTATCTCCGAATTTAAGTCATGCGATACTGACGCTTCCAAATAGTTATGTGTTTAATAAACCATATTTCAGTATCAATGGACATTATGCATTTACCTAATATTCACTAACGCTTCCAAATACTTTCAAAAAATATGTAAATAGGTATCAATAAATGTTCAAACTCTGAGACCATAAATGAAATCAAACTCTTCCAGATAGTTGTGTTTAATAAACCATAGTTCAGTATCAATGGACATGAGGCATTTACCTAAGATTCACTAACGCTTCTAGATACTTTCAAAAAAGATGTATATAAGTATCAATAAGTGTTCAAACTCCGGGACCATAGATGAAATCAAACTCTTGCATAAATGACTATGTCATAGTAGGTTCACTGTCCTGCGTGCTCTGAGTAGGCTGCAAATTCTTAGCAACTGGACCACCAAGTTCTATGTCGGAAGATGAAGAGCTGCCACATCGGGGAAAAAAAAATAAAAATAAACATCAACAACATAAAATTCAAGCACAATATAACACATATTCACTTACGGGCTCGCAAGTTTTGGACAACTCCGTCTATCATGATCAGTCTTCCTACATTCAGTGCACCGACGTTTATGTCGTTGCGCTGCCTTCTCTTTTTCTCCTTTAACTTTTTTGGCATGCCCTTTTGCTTTCACTCAATGTGGATCTTTGATTCTCAGTTGGGGATAACTAGTTCCGACATCTCCATTGGGTTCTTCTTCGACATGAGCTCTTGATGACACTAACCTTGTAAGCTTCCCCCGAATGTCGTCAAAAGATTTTTCCAGCAACTCAAAACCTTCATCACACAACAAAGATGAATCAATCAAATCACTTGCAACTTTGTAGACTTTCAATCTCTTAACCGAAAGCAAACCATCAACGCAATCGTTAACTTCTTTGTGATTCATATCATATATTACACCACTTTTCACACTTTGAAGCCATCGTTTCAATATGTACTTGTCTGGCAAATGCTCAACCTACTTCATTCTTAAGAATGCTAGGATGTGTCGGCATAGAATACCCCAAAATTCAAATCCTTTGCAGCTGCAATAAGCTTTATTGGCATCTTTATCATGCACAAGCTCCTTCATCCGTGTCACCCTCGGATTTACCCGCTCACTTACTTTGTATCTGCAGTGCGTCTCATCTTGCTCTACAAGTTCGAACAAGCATAAAAGACTTCTGAAGTCTTCCCTTTCAAACATTTCAAGAATTTCCCGAGTGTAAATGCATCCCATTTGATGTTGCATTGGTGTTTGAAATGGTAGTGGAGGTTTTTTGTTGTTATCAACATGATCAGCCATTAACTCCTTGTGTCTCTGTGAACCAAGAGCTTTTTCAAAACGTACAATAAATTCCATCAATGTGTTTTTTCGGTTAATATATTGTTTGAAAAATGAATGACAGCTTTCGGCCCGTTGACTACTTGACATCCCAGCTAAAAACACATGTTTTACATATGATGGAACCCAATTCTCCAGCATAGCATGAATTGAGCTTAGCCACACATGGTCTTTCAGCCCATTGTTTGTGATGATTTCCTCCCATTTAGCATCAAATTCTTCTTTCGTGTCCATACCCCATATGCATTTGCACATTTTCGAAAAACATTCTCCAATGTCGGGTTTCTTTGTAATCTTATTCAAGATATGCCATATGTGATATCTGTGGAATGTTGTCGGGAGAGTTACAGCAATTGCCTTTGACATGGCTACATCTTAATCAGTGATGATCATTTTGGGTGGCTCACCCGACATGGCTTTCTTGAATTCCTCTAACACCCATACAAATGAATCCGTGGTTTCACTAGTTAGGAATGCGTGACGAAACAACACCGTATGCAGATGGTTATTAATGCCTAACAAAGGCACAAAGACCATCCTATGGTTGTTCGTGCTGAACGTCATATCAAATACCACCACATCTCCAAAAAACACATAAGCTCGTCTTGACCTTGCATCTGACCAGAAAACATTACCCATCCTTCTTTCCGAATCTACCTCCATCTTGAAATAAAAGGATTCATTCTTTTCTTGCTCAGCCAAAAAATGCTCCTTAAGCAGCTCTACATCATGCCCAATCATCTCTCCACGCACGTCCCTTAGCAAACCCAACATTTTCCAATCCCCTTACTTGCACCTCAAGAAGGCTTACCTGTTTATGTACAGGAATATTAACTTTGCTCATATGTGCACTATAGACCTTTGTAGGCTCTGTTAAGTTACGGTGAGATCTCAATAGATGGACTTTATCAATTGTGGTCATGTCATGGTTGTGTACCTCATTGAATCCTACAACAATGTACTTATTCTTGCCTCGCAACCAGTTCGAGTACAACCTCGCTGTCTTATCTTATGACTAACTGTGCTTGTCAACGAATACCCCTGTTTACAACATACATATTCCTTCCATGTTACCTCTCCTATCAGTGTGCACGTTCTCGTTGTAGAACACCGAATACCGAATCCGACTTTCGCAGCATAGATATTATAGAAATTGAACACATCGTCACAACAATAAAATTCAAGTCCCAATTTTGGTTTCAACTCCGACCTTACTTCCAGTGTCACTTGTCCTTCACACTTCATTTCACAGTTCTTGCAATTTAACCCTGATATGCTTTCAAAGAGCTTTAAAAGATATATATTAACTAACATATGATATGAAAATGATTCTCTGGTGAAATATTAAAGACCTACATACAAACTAATGTAACTCATGCCTATGCCCAATAATAAACTTGATAAATACAGTATATCACTTACCTCGTGAGTCATTTCCAACTTCAAAATTTCTACAAATATGACAATGTCGCCCTTTTAGATCTGGACGTCAACCCGAAACACTTTTCATCTTCCTCAACCCCTGTTTTGACCGTGCTCAACGATTTCAAAACCAAGAGAACAGCATAACGGTCGCGGTCACTAGTTTCCAACTCAAGACATTGCTCAAGGATTGACGAATGTTCCGACCAGAAAGACCGAACCAGAAAGATGATAATATAAAATACACGAACACTTTCTTTCGCCTAAATGAGAAACTCAGAAAAATGAGGGCTATACTTCTATGTTCTTCCTGGAATCGAATAAGGAATAACAGGAGCGCTCTCTCTTCAGTGTTATTGGTCTTGCTCAATCAACGCTGATAAAAAAATTGGCCACTTAATTGAACAAACCGAACAGCTGGATTGGAGGGGACGTCTGTTTTCGACTCGATGTTTTAGAGGCAGATGAGAGAAGAAGGCCTCGTTCTAATACAACACTTACACTTACAATTGCTTTTCATGCAGTCGTTAGCTTAGATCCAACGGTATTCTCATGTAATGTTCTCACATAAGCATTCTCACCTGATCCAAACTGCCGAAATATTGCATTCTTTATTCTATCATTTATTTTCATATATGTCATTTCTCATTAAAGGCCCAATTTTTTTTGGTTACCTGCAACATTTTTCCCACCCAAAACGGCTTATGTAGATTAATGGGTTTGTTCCAGAGCTCAAAATAGAATGATATGCACTCAAACTTTGTTCCAACCAACGTCAAAGATAGCAGCCCTTGCAAGGTCCGGTCAGATAACACGTGCCCGCAAGCTATTTGATGAAATGTCTCATGGAGATTCGATCACTTGGAATGCAATGCTTACTAGCTATACCCAACTGGGTTTTCACCAAAAAGCCATTTCTCTTTTCCACCACATGAGAATTTCTGACACTGGGCCTGATCACTTCACCCTCACTGCAACTTTAAGTGCGTGTGCTGGCGCATTCAATCTGCGGTGTGGAATCGATGTTCATGCTTTAATAACTATTTTGGGCTATCAGTTGTACTTGCTGATTAATAATTCTCTTATTGATATGTATGGGAAGTGTTTGAATCCCTCTAGTGCTAGGAGAGTGTTTGAAGAGATGAAACTTAGGAATGAAATAACTTGGTGTTCGTTTTTTTTTGCCCAAACAAACTCTAGTTAGCTTGACGTTGCGTGGGAATTGTTTTCTGTGATGCTGAGAAGGGTGGAGATAGCTTGGAATATTATGATTGTGGGTTATGCATGATATGGGGAAGTGGAGTCTTGCTTGGATTTGTTGAATGAGATGATAATGAGTTTGTGTCAGCCGAATTAGTAGACTTTCAGTGTTGTGATGAATGCTTGCTCTGAAGCATTAGGATTTTGGCATGGTTGCATGGTGCATGCTCTTATCATTACAAGTGGTTGGAGCTCTGCCGCAGAGGTAAATAACTCAATTTCAAGTTTTTAATGGTTTTTGAGTCCACTGGAATCCTGACACAGGTGTCCTAGAATGCCATGATTGACGCCAACATGAAACTGGGGAATACCCACGAGGCACTTCCTATATTTCAGCGAGCCACTGAAAATAACATTGTCTCCTGGACATCTATAATCTCAGGGTATGCAGGAAATGGACATGGGGAAGAAGCTGCTACCTTCTTTGTGGATATGGTGAGAAGTGGTGTCCAACCAGATGATATCACATTCGGAGTTGTCCTTCATGCATGCTCAGGCTAGGCAGTACTTGGACATGGTAAAATGGTCCATGGTTGCATACTTCACTATGGCTTTCATGCTTACGTCTTTATTGGGAATGGCTTATATGCTAAATGTGGGGATTTACAAGGGTTAGTTCGTGTGTTCAGTGATATTTTCAAGAAGGATCTGGTATCTTGGAATGCTATGTTGTTTGCATTTGATTGCATAGGAAAGCTACCCAAGCTCTACTGGTTTTTAAAGAGATGGTAGAAAATGGAGTAAAACCAGATAATATGACCTTCATTGGTCTGTTGATGACTTGCAGCCATAATGGGCTTATAGAGGAAAGTCGCGTGGTTTTTGAAACCATGGGGTCAGTTTATGGGATTTCTCCTGAAATGGATCATGTGGCATGCATGGTGGACATGCTTGGCAGAGGCGGTTACTTAGCAGAAGCAAAAGAGTTGATGATAAGTACTCAGGAATAGGTAGTGCTCATACGAGCTCGTGCGAAGCTCTGTTTGGAGCTTGTTTCCACAGAGGGATGTAGGAGTTGTGTGGAAAATAATAGGGAGAATATGTTTTCTCATTATGTTTTGTTTACAAGATTACACAGGTATATATGTATAAGCTGGGGAAGGCTAATATCCACTGGCCAGGTTAAGAACCATTGGCTAGTCTAAGAGCTGTTGGCCAACACACCACAACCTTTAACCCCTAATTATAGGAAAACTCTAATTACGAGTAACAAGATCAAATCCCCTAAATTAAGGACGTGTAAATCAATCACAGCTAGCAGCCACCAAGCTAGTCACAGCTATCAGCTACCAATACTTCGAATACTCCCTCTCAAGCTAGATCAGGGGGATTAATTGATCCAAGCTTGGAGAGCAAGCATTGAAACTGAGTGGAAGCAAGAGACTTGGTGAAAACATCAGCAACTTGATCATGTTTCCGAGTGAATGTGGTTTGAATTACCTTGGACTGAACTTTTTCACGAACATAGTGACAGTCAACGTCAATGTGTTTGGTGCATTCATGGAACACGAGATTGGAGGCAATATGCACAGTTACCTGATTGTCACAAAAAAGAGACATAGGTTTGTTGCTCGAAAAAACCAAGTTTGAGATAAGGCCCTTTAGCCAAATGAGTTCACATGCAGTGGAAGCCATGGCTCTATACTCAGCTTCGGCACTTGAGCGAGCAATTACATTTAGTTTTTTACTCTTCCATGTCACGATGTTTCATCGAACAAATGTGCAGTAGCCAATAGTGGATTTTCTATCAATAACATTCCTTGCCCAATCAGCATCGGTGTATGCCATGATTTGAGTATGACCATTGTTCTTCATGATAATTCCCAGACCAATGGAGCCCTTGAGGTATCTTAGAATCGTTTTAACAATATTTAAATGAGCCTCAGTGGGTGCATGCATGAATTGGCTTAAAAGACTGACGGCGTAAGTTATATCGGGTCTAGTAATGGTGAGATATATAAGCTTACTCACCAGTCTTTGGTAGTAACTTATATCGCTGAAAGGCTCTGCTTCCAAGTCCAACTTTAATTTTCTATCAAGAGGGATACGAGCCAGTTTGCAATCTATCATCTTCACTTCTTGAAGCAAGTCAATCACATATTTCCGTTGACTTAAAAACAGTACCTTGGAAGAAGTAGCCATTTCAATCACAAGGAGAGCCCAGTTTGATTTCCACCAGTCAATACTTCACCTGTGCTTCCTTTTTGGTTTAAAGATAGGCTGAGAACTCATTTATCAAGTCAGCCGGATTGGCTGTGAAGTTCATCAGCCCATCAATTGATGTAGCAGCAGCAACATGGTTTTTGTTTGTATGTTATCTGGTTTGTGAGCCCTTGTAGTCTCTTGAAGGCTTGTTCTCAAACTTTGGCTTCAACTCAAGGTGTAATATCCAACATCGATCTATTAGATGTCCAATATTATTGTAGTGTAAACACCTCAGATCTGGCCTTTTTCCCTTGTACACTTTATCTCCAGATGGCTTGTGGTTTGTCACAAAAGCTCTAGCCTCAGACACACTAGATTTTATGTCAACATTCATGACTTTCCTACGTACTTCTTCTCGCTGGATAGTAGTGCAAACACTTGCAAATGATGGATGTTTAAGGTTCATTAGAATATGGCTTCTAAGATCTTCATATTCAGAAACTTGAAAGCAAATGAAATTTTTTGTCTTCGTCAGACCTTTTTAACAGTAAGGCAGCATCGATAGTATGTGGTTGATACATATCTAGTTCGTTCCACATATTTTTCATGCAACCGAGATGATGAACAAAGGATTTATCACCTTGTTGGAGACTTGCAAGATTCCTCTTAAGTTGGAACACTCGAGCTGCATTGTTTTGATTTCCATACATATCTTTGATTGCCTTCCAAAGAGAAAGAGAGGATTATGAAAAACTGAAGATTTCAGACAGCTTAGGATCCATGGAGTTGAGGAGCCACGACATGACCAGTTGGTCTTTGCACAGCCATGCTTCATACTCCGGAGACGAATCGTCAGGTGCCTCAATGCTTCCTACTCCGGAGACGAATCGTCAGGTGCCTCAATGCTTCCATTAACAAATCTAAGTTTGGATCTTCCTCCAAGGGAAAGAGATACTGCTCTAGACCATGGAAGATAGTTAAACTCATTTAACAACACAGAGCACAGTCGTTGGTTTGGGTGGACTTCAGCTTCTGGAAAACTAGAACGAGGTGCTATGAAGCTTTCCGCTTCAGAGCCAAAAGGATTATCTTCTGCCATTATTGAATAGAATGTATAGAAGAAACTTAGGAAAAATATTGAGACAGGCTGGTTAAGGTTCCTGCTCTGATACCATGTGGAAAATAATAGGGAGAATATGTTTTCTCATTATGTTTTGTTTACAAGATTACACAAGTATATATGTATAAGCTGGGGAAGGCTAATATCCGCTGGCCAGGTTAAGAACCATTGGCCAGTCTAAGAGCTATTAGCCAACACACCACAACCTTAACTTTAACCCCTAATTACAGGAAAACTCTAATTACAAGTAACAAGATCAAATCCCCTAAATTAAGGACGTGTAAATCAATCATAGCTAGCAGCCACCAAGCTAATCACAGCTATTAGCTACCAATAATTCCAATAAGTTGGAAGAAATTTGGGCGAAAGTCTGAAGATATTAGAACCACATAAAGAGACGAGCTATGTGTTGCTGTCAAATTTGTATTGTGCAAGTGGGCAATGGAAGGAAGCATAAATGGTTACTAAGATGATAGTTGACCAAGGGGTGAAGAAAATTCCTGGTTGTAGTTGGATTGAGAAACAAGGTAACAGCTTTTGTAGTTGGGAAGATATTCACCCGATTTGATTTAGTTCATGTGGTGGTAGGGTAAAACTCCCCATTGGCTTGAAAACCATTGGTGGTCAACAAATGAACTTTCTTTGGTGTGTGAGCGTGCCATTTTTAGCTATTAAAACCCTAACAGACGTATGAAAATAAATAACTTGCCCCATAAGTTACTGACTTTAAACAAGTGATTGTGAATTTGGGTGAGGAATATCTCCCAAGTTCTTTTCTTGCCTCAAACGGGTGAGGACATTACAATTTCCCTATGTAAAAACTAGTAATTCTAACCAAAATAAAGATAGAAAAATAAATCAAACTGTTTCAAAGAGAACTGCCTTTTGCACAATTTAAACAAAAGAGAACTGCCATGTATGGAAGGACATGAGAACATTGGGCTTCAATTTTTGCTTGGACAGCCTATGACTCAGGCTGGATTGAATATATCTGTGCTGGATTTGAATGTCAGCACCTTCAACTGATGGGGTTCTTCTGGAAATCGATTTCAATGTTGAGATTGCTAGAGCTTCAATCAATTTTAGCCATGGAGAGGCTTGCCAAATGGGGCAGAACTGAGATCTCTTCAGTCTGGACTAGACTAGAAGTGGCTGGATGGACGATTGATGACCTGGAACTATACTTCAGTACCTATTCTGCTTAATTGTGGATCACCTGAGAGCTATTCTAGTGATTCTGAGATGTCAAGACATCTTTGTAAATTTGTTGAGGTTTTCATATTATGAAAAACCTGAATTCTGCTTGATTCACCTGTGCTGAACCAAATTTGTAAGGAGAGAAATCTCATCTCCTTTGTGAACTGCTTCCTTAAGTTGAGTTGAAATAAAAAACTTGAGTTATGCTGGTTCTGTCAGAGGCTGGATGTCTTTTATAAACCAAAATACTTAATTGCTTTAGAGTCTGAAGGCTTTTGAGATCGTGTGATCTTTTTTGATTTTGTCAGTATGACAGAGAGTTTTTGTTTTGATTGATTTTTGTTGTTGTTGTTGTTTTCAATCCTATTCACATCCTCTCATATTTATAGAGAATTTGCATGAGTGTGTTGGTCCGTCGCAAATCTCGCGGCCTGGTGCTCCGGGCCGAGGGGATGTGCGTCAACACGTAACGTCCTCCTTTTGGATGCGGTGCGGTTGTGCGCGGGCGTGCCAGCACGGTCTACCGTGCATCGAGGTGATGATGAGGTTCGAGTAGAAGATGGTTTTAAATGTTGAACCTGTTTTGCGTTCGACTCCTAATCAAACGATTGTGACCGAGTGAGGAACGAATCTCGGCCCGTCAGGTTGACGGTCTGAGCTACAAGGCCATTTAGTGGTGGTGTTGGTGGTGGGTTTTTAGGCGGTGCTCCGGCGCGTTGCTCAGAGAGCGACGGTCGTATGATATATGGGGTGAGTGAGGCGATAATAGAGGTCGTATGAAAATCAAGGGTCGTATGATATATTGATGAATGGATTTTCCTTACAGTCTACCACTACTCCTAATAAAGTAGATAAAGGTATTGAAAGTGCATTACAGAAAATATAAGTTGCTCCGTGGGAGGCTTTTGGTTTGGTGTTTGAACCCCTTGAACGTGGTCTTGAGCTTAGTATTTATAGGAGGAGTCCTGGAGGGCCAATCGAGGCTGAAAAAAGATCTGCCTGATGGCTTGAAAATATCTGCATGGTGGAGTCTGATCAGGGCAAGTGGGTAGTCAAATCGGCATTTGGGATCGTGAAGCATGGTGGTGTGACCCCCATAAATCTCGGCAAATCTCGGCCACCGCCCTGATCGTGGGCTCTGCACTCTTGGCCGTGGGAACGCATTTAATGCTCTGGTCTAGTGGTTGGTGATCTGACCTCAAGCTGTGAGAATGCATTGTGAGAATGTTTGCGCCTAACCACTCTGATTCCTGTTACCAAATCCTGACTTCAATCACTTCCCTTCTGCCCTCGTGCATTAAATGCTTCTTGCACCCAGTGGTTTTGCTGTGGCGGTCAGAGGCACTAGTGGGACCCTGAGGCCACGTGGCAATTTGACCATAATATCTTTGGCCGTGTCTCTCATGGACCTCGGCCTCGGCCCATAATGCCGTGGTTGTGTGGCCGAGAAGATCCTGCCTTCGTATTTTCTTCTACTTTTGAAAAGGCTAAATATCTGATGAAACGTGGCCGTTTCAGTCCATGAATAGGTGCCATGGCTGAGAAGAGGTCCCTTCTGACGACCGTGATTTATTTAGGCACAAACATTGCCCCCACATCCCTGGATTCTTCGGTCGCGGCTTGGGCAGAGGCCAAATGGATTCTAACAGATGGACTCTCTGCCTTCCCCCTGAAGTGATCGACAGTTGGCGTCTTAAATGCGAAGGTGAATCGACGCATTAAATGCGCAGGCACGTCCCTTAAGCCATCATTGCCTTGATTCGCTCGAGCCGTCGCTTCGCCCCGTCAATTGAAACGACGGCCTCCGGGCTTCTGACACGTCATCGCGTATTTGAGCACACTGTCAGACCGTTACGTCTCTCAAGAGGATCGTGCCCTTTCGTTTTCGAATTCGAGCGCCAGTATAAAAGCCTAGCCTTCTTCATTCTCTCCTCATGCTTTCAGAATTTTCAGACGCCCAAACTCTGCCAAAACTTTTCTCTCGATTTCTCAACCCTTTCGAACTCATTCAAGTCGTAAGATTACTTGTGAGAATGTCTGCGCCTAACCACCCTGATTTCCATCACCAAATCCTGACTTCAGTCACTTCCCTTGTGCATTAAATGCTTCTTGCGACTACTGGGTTTGTTGCGAAGTCAGAGGCATTACTTCATTAAATGGGGCGTGGGATCCTGAGGCCACGTGGCGATTTAACCACAGCTTCTTCGGCCGTTTTTTTTACGGCCTTCGGCTTCGGCCTTCAACGCCGCGGTCAAGAGGCCGAGAGGATTTTGCCTTTGCAGCTTTCTTTTTGTTTTCAAGAAGGCGAAATGCTCGATGAATCGGTAGGCGCCAGGGTCGAAAGGAAGTCCCCTCAATCAGCTTATGACCGTGATTTATTAGGCACAAACATTGCCCCCACATCCCTGGATTCTTCGGTCGTGGCCTGGGCAGAGGCCGAAAGAATTCCAAGGGATGTACCCTTTGCATTACCCCCAAAGTGATTGACAGTTGGTGCTTTAAATGCGTAGGTCAATCGGTGCATTAAAGGCGCAAGCACGTCTTGCCGGCCATTATTGTGCAAGCCGCCGTTTCGTCTTGTTAAATGAAACGACGGCTTCTGAGCTTTCGCCACGTCATCGCGTATGAGAACGTACTGTCAGACCGCTACGTCTCTCGAGAGAGCCATGCCCTTTCATTTCAAATTCTAGCGCCAATATAAAAGTCTGGCCTTCTTTATTTTTCTCCACTCCTTCCCCTCCATTCTAACCTGCTCCAATGGCCTCCCCCTTGTAGCTTCTCCAGAACCAGGGTTGAGCCATATCCGCAGATCCCCGCATCGTGGCCTGATCTAGATGGTTTTTTCCCTCCTGCTGTCCACCAAATATCCTTCGTCTTGGAAAGTCGACGTGGGCCAAGGCCATGGTGTGGCTGAGATTCCTTCCCTGCCTTGGGGGAGGATGACCTTTCTTCTTATGAGGCCATGGAGAAACTGCAATGCAATCGATGAAGATGGAAGGGCCTGGTGTGATGATTCCAACTTGGCCATGTTCGTTTGGCCTAGCACCTTGGTTGCACCCATGGCCGGAGTGACGGTCCTGGCTTCACCCAGCCATAGTTGTGCCTAGGATGATGGCTTGAGCGACAGCCTTGATTGCAACCTAGTTTCACCCATGTCCAGAGTGACGTCCTCACCCATGGTCGGAATGATGGCCCTGACTTTAGCCGGCTGCACCTGTGTCCAGAGTGACGGCCTCGGCCATGGCCCGAGCGACGGCCTTGATTGCAACCTGGGTTCACCCATGTCCCGAGTGACATCCTTGCCTATGGCCGCGGTTAGTGGAAACGTGGGCGGTGGAGGCACCGCCTAGGGAAGAATCATCTGCCTGCTCTAGCGAGGGGATCAAGAAGTGGTTCACAGATTTAGGATGTACTCTATTTTTCGCACATGTATGCTTATATGTTTCATTCGGCCATGACCGGCTGTTCTTTTGTAACTGCGACCCCTTTTTAATCTAAATGAAGTACAACCCTCTTTTTTCTTCTGACCGAATGTATGTTTTCCAGCTTCTTCATCAGGGAATAGGGAAGGACGTTGACCGTCGCCCCACAGTCAACGAAGACCTTGGACACGGGCACACCCTCTACATGAGCCAAGATGTATAACAGCTTGAGGTGTCGGTATTTTTTTGGCTCGTCTCTGGGTATTACCTCGTTAAAAGCCACGGCCAACAATTCTTCCTTTGTCTTTGGCCTTTGATCAAGCTGTTCCTCGACCACGTCATTATCCAGGCAGTTGGTCTGGCCTCTTGGGGCTGAAAACTCGGACGGTAGTACCAAAACCATGTTCATGCTGACCTCTTTTGGCTCTCGCTGGTTTCCCCTACCAGCCTCTTTGTTGACCTCGTGGCTGCCACTGGTGAGGGTTTTTTCCTCAATCATCCCGAGGATCCCCTCGCAGTCCTCATCGGAGATTCCCAATGCGGAGTTATTCCAGGCATCGTGACCAAAGAAAAGGTTGCCGGGGCCCTTGGCCATAGGCCTTGCAGTCCCAGGGGTGTCGTATGTGGTCGCTTTGGTCTTAGGGGGGTCCGATGTCTCGACTTCCTCCTCGAGGGCTTGCCTAGCCTTAGCCAACGCATCCCTCGCCGCAAAGTAATCGTCCAGTCGGCTTACCCGGGCCTTTTCCTCGGTCGTCAGACCGAAGATGGTGTAGGTCGGAGTCACAGTAAAATATCGGCGGAGGTATTCCAAATCGCTTCTGCTAAAAGGGGCCTTGGCCAAACCTGGCATCCCTCTTGCCCTGGCCTCTCGGTTTGCCTGGTATACGGCCTTAATGGCTAAGTCGGATTCGTTGGTAACGAGAAGCCTTTCTGCCTTGGCATTTCTGATAGCCAATTCCACGATCTCGCGGTTTTTAGGGGTCATGCCGTATAGGTTGATGGCCGAGTGGTCCTTGTGGAATTCCATGAGAAAGGACAAACTGTTGGCTGAAAAATGGGGTCCCTTTCGTGGTAGACATCGATGATGCCTTCATCCGTTTCCTCCGGGCCGCGACCTTTGGCTCTACCGAAATGGCCGTCATTCTACGGGGATAACCGTCTTGCCTAGGATGCCACATCCTTGGAGGCTTGACAATGGCGACCTTCGCTGCGGGGGGAACAACTTGCGTGGATGGTGGTTCGTCTGCAGTCGCCATCTTCTTTTGGCGTTTTAACCCCTCGACCTGGGCCGTCTATATCCTGGCCTGCTGAACCTGCCTATGCATCCTTCTCAGTTGGGTTTTTGTCAACGGTTCGGTGCTGCCCCCAGGTCGTGCATGATACCAACGGTCATATCGTACGACCGGTGGTTTGAAAGTCTTCACCGGCCTAGGAGCGGCTTCTTTCCTTCTGCAGGTTGCAAATCTTGACTTCCATCACCAAATCTTGGCTGAGAAGAGGTTACCTAAGATTACTTGTGAGAATGTCTGCGCCTAACCACCCTGATTTCCATCACCAAATCTTGACTTCAGTCACTTCCCTTGTGCATTAAATGCTTCTTGCGACTAGTGGGTTTGCTGCAAAGTTAGAGGCATTACTTCATTAAATGGGGCGTGGGACCCTGAGGCCACGTGGGACCCTAGGTACGATCTCCTCCTTTTGTTGTTTTTCTTCTTCAAAATCTAGATGGTTTCTCCAATTTGCTCCCGGCCTATTCCTGTCAAAGTTGGCAAAAAGGTTAACTCCTCCTCTGCCTCTTCTAACTCCTGCCAGTGGGGGAAATGGATTGGGATCCATTCTTCTAGGTCTGTAAGGCACCACTATTGGCTGTTCAGGCAGATGGCAACCAGTGGTCCTTGTGGAGCCTCTGGCCATGGAGCAGGTGGGAGTTTTGGCTGATTTTGGGGAGCTAGAATTGCTGCTGGGCCTGCTGGAAGAGCTGGAACTTCCTGTTCTTGGATGATAAGGGCTCCTCCCCTTAGTCCAACCTGAGTCTCTAACAGTTCAAGTGCTCCAACCATCTATGAAATAAGGGGATTTTCTTGATATGGCCAGGGCAATCCTGGTGGAGGTCCGAAAGGGAGTTCTAGCCGCTGGACTACAGCGTCTGGATTTGGAATTCTTGCAGTAGCAACTTCATGATCCTTCCTGAATTTTCTATTGCCTTGCCATTGCATCATGGAAGTCATGTTGTTTAGAGTATCTTGGCTTCTCTGAGCTGCAACTTCCGGTCGGAGTACAGCATCCTATATCTGGTTTATCCTTTAGGAGTTAGATCTAGAACGTCTACTCCTGGTACTGTCGTGAGCTGATTGCCTAGCATCACTCTCTTCTGACTCATGTCCTTCTCGGAAATCTAGTTGATCTCTTTCCATGGAAAAGCGTGGAATTGGCTAGATGTTTTTAGGAGTATGTATATTGTGAGGTCCCACCGGGCTTGCCAAATTGTTCACACAATTTGATTTAGTTCCTGTGGTGGTATGGTAAAATTCTCCACTGGCTTGAAAACCATTGGTGGTCAACAAGTCAACTTTCTTTGGTGTGTGAGTGTGCCATTGTTAGCGGTTAAAACCCTAATAGACTTATGGAAAATAAATAACTTGCGCCCCAAGTTACTGACTTTAAACAAGTAATTGTGAATTTGGGTGAGGAATATCTCTCAAGCAAGTTCTTTTCTTGCCTCAAATGTTTGAGGATTTTACAATTTCTCATAGTAAAAACTAGTAATTCTAAGCAAAATAAATATTGAAAAATACATCAAACTGCTTCAAAGCGAGCTGCCTTTTGCACAATTTAAACAAAAAAGAACTACCATGTCTTGAATTGTTGCCTATGACTTAGGCTGGATTGAATATATCTGTGCTGGATTTGAACCTCAGCACCTTCAACTGATGGGGTTCAGCTGGAATTCGATACAAATGTGGAGATTGGCAAAGCTTTAATCAATTTTAGCTATAGAAGGAGTCATGGAGGGACAATCGAGGCTAACAAGACCTGCGTGGTGGAGCCTGATCGGGGCAAGTGGGTAGTCAAATCGGCATTTGGGATCGTGAAGTATGGTGGCTTGGGGTTGAGAAGCATGGTGGTGTGCCCCCCATAAATCTCGGTAAATCTCGGCCACCTTCCTGTTCATGGGTTCTGCCCCCCTGGTCGTGGGAATGCATTTAATGCCCTGGTCTGGTGGTTGGTGATCTGACCTCAAGTCGTAAGATTACTTGTGAGAATGTCTACGCCTAACCACCTTGATTTCCATCACCAAATCCTGACTTCAGTCACTTCCCTTGTGCATTAAATGCTTCTTGCGACTAGTGGGTTTGCTGCGAAGTCAGGGCATTACTTCAATAACTGGGGCGTGGGACCCTGAGGCCACGTGGCGATTTAACCACAGCTTCTTTGGCCGTGTCTTTTACGGCCTTCGGCTTCGGCCTTCAACGCCGTGGTCGCGAGGCCGAGAGGATTCTGCCTTTGCAGCTTTCCTTTTGTTTTCAGGAAGGCGAAATGCTCGACAAAATGGTAGGCGCCAGGGTCGAAAGGAAGTCCCCTCAATCAGCTTATGACCGTGATTTATTAGGCACAAACAGATTGATCAGTTTTGACTTTTTAGACAACCAACTTTCTTATTTCTTGTTTATCTCTTTATAAACCCAGCTTTATACTGATGAGAAATCCTCACGAGTATGGGAAGGAACTTGGCCTTATTTTATGGCATTTAATGGTTATGGGGAGTGGTTTTCCGGTTTAACCTTTCTACCAACTCCCCAGCACGTCCTTTGCTCCTTCTTCTGTAGATGTCTTGTCATTGGGGATCATGTGGGCTTTTGTGGAGAGAATAATCCTCCCCATTTTCTGGTGATTTGATTTCTGAATCTAGTGATAAACGGGGGTGTTCAAATTTTGAGTCTTTGGGAAAAAAACAAACACTAGAAGTTGGGTATTTAATCAAACCAATTAAATCTGGATTCTTTCATATTAAATTACCATAAATGGCAATTAACCCTTAACATGCGAAAAATATTTTTACAATTGGCTTGAAGTAGTCCAAGCCTCAAAACAACCTGGGCTTGTTTCCAACTTTGATAAAATAATACCCAAACCTTTGTTATCGATAAAGCCCAGTACCCAGATGGGCTGACGTGCTGAAATGAGGCCCAAACAATGCCCCCTAAGTATGAATCGTTTTGAAATGGTTTCAGACTTAATGGTTGGCCACTTAATGATGCGCGCCAATTTGCTCCGTTGCTCTAGCCCACATCTGCCTATTAATTTAACTTCGTGGGGAAGTGGGCATTTGACGAATAGTTAATCTAGGCAACCCTTCTCCTTCCACGATCTTCTTCCCTTCTTAGTTTATAGAACCCATTCACTGTTCACTTGAAACCAAACTCCTTCCAGCTCTCTAAGTATTCTAAAAAGCTCCTATCTTTCTTTGACTCCATTTCAATCCTTTTCAATTCTGCTCAAACTAAGATGTCTTCTCCAAAAACTCGCGCCAAAGGCTCTTCCTCTTCACTTTCTCCTCCTTACATTTCAGGAACAGGTGTTGATAAACATGCGATTGAGATTCGCAGCAAGCTTCACTCGTACACCCAGAAGAACCTGGATGAAAATGTCCTCCATATGTGTGGGAATATCCTTGTTCTGGGTCCCCACTTATCCCTCTCATTCCTAGGTTAGCAAGTACTTGAGCCGGTCATATCCTTCGAGTGAAGTGAGGAACAATACCGTGAAGTGGTCAGACTGGATTGATAGGCTTTTTCTGAAGTATGGGGCGCACTGGAAGAGGGCTGGAATCTACGATGCCATCCTTCTGTCTAAGCAGTCTGTGAATAGGGATGAGAACCTGTTAGCTGCTGCTCTTTGTTTCTGGAATTCTGCCAGCAACACCTTCGACTTCCGCCCGAGCCCAATGTCTCCAACTCTACTGCACATGGCCCAAATATTTGGGTTCATGCCTTATGGAAGACCTGCTAATGCTATTGGTGATTATCACAGGAGGAAGAATGGTGAGAAAGTGGCTAAGAAGTTCACCATCTCTTCTACAGTAATCAACCAGAACTGCTCATTCTCCAATTTTTTGAAAAGATTTTGTTCTGAGAAGGATAAGGATCAGCAGCACATGTTCTTCCTTCTATATTGGCTGAATAGGTTCGTATTTCCAAACCGCCCCTCAGTAATTCCACTCAAATATGGGCATCTGGCAAAGGCTATGCACAATCACACGGGCGTGGGGCTTGGTCCCACAGTTTTGCCACATATGTACAAGAATCTCCACAGCGCTACTCTGGATAACCCACTAAATATCTCATCTTCGGGTACATTCTGGATGATACAGATCTGGCTAGAAGTGTATTTCCAGGAATTGACATAGTTCTGCTTGAGAACCAAGTCATGGCACTTCCTCTCATGTCAGCAGAGGTGCCCAAGAGGTCAATTGAAAAATATCTAATGTTCTTCAGGCACTGCACGAAGAGGTCTGCTGCACAGTGGCAAGTGGTGCTCAGAAGAAGCTACCCCTGGTTCAAGCCTGGGTACAGACTTTTGAGGTGCCTGAAGATGAAGCGGCCAAAATTGACTTTAGGAAGAAGTTCCTCAATGTCATGCTGACCCGAGACCTAACCTTTGGTGGGGGTAAGCCCCCCAACTCTCATCTGGGTGGAGAAGTCTATCAACCGAACTAAGGTTCGAGGCAACTTGGTTGCCCCTAGCTGATCCCGCTAAAGTTTTATAAAGGCTGCAATAGGGGTACCTCCTGGAGAGATGCAGATGATCTGGAGGTGTACAATAATTGTAGATGTGCGATGAACAAGATAAACAACAGTGTGGATGCTCTCTATTCCTCATGGTAGTCGAATTCTTGCAGTTCTTGCGACTTTGATGCCTGGTGGAAGGCCAAATTTGCTGATTTGTCTAATGCAAGCACTGCTGTAAAGGTGCTCTTTGCTAATTGTAATGTTGGAACTATCCATGCGTAACTAGATGCCAAGAAATTCATCATGCAGATGCTTCAAGGTATAAATGCCCAAGTGATCGAAGGTAAATTGCCAGTTCTCCTTTTTCACTTTGAGTTTTGGTATTTCTGGGACATGATCTCACTCTGTAATGTTTATATTGTTTCAGATCCTTCTATGGCAAGCAACCTCAGTGGGCAGGCTGTCTGGACTGGACAAGTGATTGGTGAGTCCTGAACCCTGTTCTCTTTGTTAACTCCAATTGGGTTGAATTCTATAACTTTTGTCCTTTGCATAGTGAATTCCATGATTGCTGCTAGGGATTTAGAAGTAGATCTCGAGGAGGAAGACACTAAACATGAAGTTCTGACAGAGGAGAAAACCTCTGAGGCAACTCATTCTGTGAGAAAGAACAAAAGAAAAGAGACTACCCAAGCTGTAGACAGTGTTGTCCAGCCTGAACTCCTAAGTAAACTTCGCTAAATCAACCTCTTCTGTCATTTTTTCTGGTCAGTTCTGAGTCAAAATTGACTTTGCCTCTGTTGTGTTTTTGCACTTGAAAGCCCTTCTCTTCCTCCTACCAAGATGAAGAGGCTCATAAATGGGGCTACTGGGAAGACCAAGGCAGTGGAAGAACCTGTGGCAGCCCTTACGACCACCACGGAGATGGATGAAGAACTGTGAGAGGCTTTTGATGCCGTTGATAAAGAAGAAGAAGCTACCAAGGATGAAGAAGAGGTGAGATTCCCCTAATTTATTAGAACAAAATTGGTTTATATTGCACCATATCTTTTTTATATGAATTTTGTTCCTTTGTAGGAGGAGATTCCTGCTAAAGTGATAGTGGATAACATAGAATTGACCAAGAAACAACAAGAAGCTCAAGGAGGAGAGCTCACTCGCTTCGAACTGGCCTTGTTTGATGATGTGGAGGCAGAAAACTTTGCTGCAACCTGAGGTAATTTCTCTTTATTCTCTCAAATCTACCTTGCTTTGGGAAAAGTACTAATCACTGTTTCTGTCCTTCGAGGCTGAAAAAGACAGAACTGCTAAAGAACTGGTTGTAATGGCCAATCCTCTCTAGCCTATGGTTGTGGCTGTAAGTACTATTTAGGCCTTAGAATCCCATTTCTAGATTTCAGTTTGAAGCAGAACTAACTGAAACTACCTTCTATAGATGCCCATTCGTTCTATCATAGGCTCATCAGAAACTGCCACACATGTTGATCCAGAATTGGTAAAGTTTGAAGCTATGGACCTGGAAGCTTAGATGCTGAAAATTAAAAAACTAGGAGCATTCCCAAGCAAGGCCAAGTCCAAAGCAGTGGATGAAGCGATGGACAGAATAAAAATCTGGCAGTCAACTGAGCTAGATCTGGACGAGAACAAAGAAATCATTGATCGACTGATGAAAGATCTGGACCTGTTGCACAAGGAGAACATGGCTCATTAACCTATCCTTGAGATCAGCCCAGGTCTATCTAGAGATGTAGTCAATCGTCATAATCGATATGAAGATCTCAAACCGTCATTCAATATTTCTGAATTCTGCAAGGCTAAGCATGAAGCCAACTTGGTAGACTATCAGAAGCAGAAGTCAAAGCTGGATGCACTGGTTGTAGATTACAAAGAGACCAAATCTGCCTCTGATAAGCTGGAAAAGCATATTGAGGATCTTCATAAGTAATTAGCTGCACTGAGGGAGAGGCAGAAGGATCTTGGAGCTGGATTGGGTGTGAAGACCAAGGCCACTTTCCTTGTGCCATGGTCTCAGCTTCAAGGCTTGCATTGGAGATTGCAGAGGTTTCCATTCATCAAGGTGTGCTTCTCTAAAAGTAAATCTCCATCAAGAAGGCTGGACTGTAGGAGACTCTCAAAAAACTAGACCTTTAGAAAGTATCTATTTTGTAATAAAACTAGTCATTTATTAATGACAAAAATGAGTGAAAAAAGGTTCTATTTATTTCTGCCAACTTGTATTTTTGCCACATTTATACATATCATATGGGTAGAACAAACAAAAATGAACCATACATATAATTAAATATTCAAAATTAGACAACAGTTCTATCCACTTCCTCCTCAATTCCAGGACCTGTTTGTACTACTTGTGAATCCCAAATAGTTGGATATAACTTTTTCTAGCTGGAATGAAAATCTCGAGGCCAATAATCGAATCTTCATACTCTGCTCTGTTGTTGGTGCATTGAAAATCTAGCCGGAATGAATATCAGTGCCTTATTCCCAATGGATCTTCTAAAATAATTCATGTGCTAGAGGCCAAGTCAATTTTAGATCCATCAAAATACAGCTTCCATGGAGTGAGATGGAACGAATATATGGGATTGTTGAGATAAATGTGAGCTCTGCTTAGCAGATCTGCATTGGTTATATCCATGGAATCCATGTTCTCAATCTCTTCCCGTAGATGATGTGTCAGAAATCTACTACAGCTTGTTCTTTGATAGCTTTCTGAGGAACATAGTGGAAGGCAAATTCTAATAAGGCCACTTACCAATTCTGCCTCTCAACATTGGTCTTGTTAGCATGTATTTGAACAAGTCTGTCTTGGCAATGATGTCGATGGTAAAGGGTATCATGTAATGTCTGAGCTTTATAGTAGCGAAGTACAAAGCCAGACATAGCCTTTCAATCGCAAAATATTTTCTTTCCACTTCTGTCAGAGTTTTGCTCAGGTAGTAGACTTCCTGCTCCTACCCTTCCTTGTTATCTTGGACTAAAGGCTCCCAATAGATACTTCTAATGCAGAAACATATAATTTGAGTGGCCTACCTTTCTTTGGTGGAGACAGAATTGGCGGACTCGAGAGATAACACTTGATTTCCTCAAAAGCCTACTGGTGTTGTTCTTCCCATCTAAATGCATGTTCTTATTTCAACTTTAACAAAGAGGAGAAATGCTGGATTTTACAGGCATAATTGGATATGAATCTTCTGAAAAAGTTGATCTTGTTTGGGCCTAAAAATTGTGCGGAGCCCAGCTCATTTTTGAAAACCCACATGACATTTGCACCACTTGGGCTTGATTTAAAGAAGCTGGGAAAGCAGCCCAAAATCGAGAAAGCCTAGCCCAGGACCTGTCAGCCCACGAGAAGAAACTTGGGCTTTTGAAAACAGAGAAAAGAAATCAGCCCACAGTCCCAAAACTCAACCTGGGCTTGGTGTCGTCAAATAAAAAAAAGAAGAGCCCAAAATTAAAGAAAACCCACATGACTACCTGACTTTGAAAAAGTCAACAAATTCAACTAGTCACAAGAGAGTTGATGGGGGAATGAAGGAAGGACATTACAGGAAGACTTCTCTAAAACTCTGCAGCCAAAAATATCAAAATCCTTTTTTCTATATTCAGAAATTCTGCTCCAAAGTAGGTGCCATTTCCAAAAGATAAGAAGGCTATATTTTCTAAATAGATAAGTAGGGAACAGGGAGTTGTTCATCTAGAAAATCAAACTAACCATCACGACAGATTGAATTCTTACAAAGAGCAGTTAAACAAAAAAAAAGCAGAAAAGTAATCACCATAAAGAACTGACTGTTGATGGTTTGTTTGCCAAGTCAAGCAATCAAAGCTCATTGAGCCACAACAAACAAGTCAACTAGAATTTAGAATCTCTAAGAGCCAGTTCAGTTTCAGAGAAATAGTCATACAAAGCGAAGTTTCAAGCAAAGTTCAAGTTTTACAAATATGAAAAGCTCAACAAATTTATGTGGAGCCTTGATCAAGCAGAACATGTACTACAGTGTAGTTCCAGCTCAGTAATCATCAAGTCCAACCACTTTTGCCCCCTCCAAACTGAAGAGGTTCCAATTCTGCCCATTCAAAGAGCCTTCCAAGGCTTGAAATAGATTAAAGCACTGCCAAACTCAAACGTTGGTATCAATTTACAGCTGAAACTTGACAGTTGAAGGTCTTGATAGTCCAATCCAGCACAGACATACCCAGTCCAGCCCGGATAAGAAGCATCGATCCAGGTAGAAATTGAAGTCCGGCACTGTTGTTGTCTTTTTTAGAGTTGATCTTCCCTTTTGAGATTTGTAAAAGGCAGTTCAGCCTAAAGCAGTTCACTTTCTTATCGTTCATTCTGGCCAGAACTACCAGTTTTGTACTGTGAAAAATTGTGAAGTCCTCACCAGTTTGAGGCAAGAAAAGAACTTACTTGGGAGATGTTCCTTACCCAAATTCACAATCGCTTATTTTTAAGAAAGTCTGCTAGGGTTTTCATTGCTAGCAGTGGCACGCTCACACACAAAATAAAGTTGACTTGTTGACCAGTCAATGATTTTCGAGACAATGGGGAACTTTACCCTACCATCATAGGAACAAATAGATCTTCCCTAAAAGAATTTGTAATTCTTTCTTGTTTCGAGGTGGCAAAGCCTCTATGATAGATTTTGCTTTGTTCCTATCAATCTCTATGCCTCTTTGGTGAACCAAGAAACCCAAGAAATTGCTAGCTTGAACCCCAAAAATGCACTTCTTGGGATTCATCTTTAACTTGTGTTGTCTCATCCTTCAAAAGCTTCCTTCATATTAGATACATGATCCTTTTTTTCTGGAGACTTGATTAGCACATCATCTATGTACACCTCTAGGGAATGGCCTATCATGTCATGGAATACAGAATTCATTACTGTTTAATAGGTAGCCCTTGCGTTCCTCAAACCAAAAGGCATTACAACATATTCAAAAGCGCCTATATGTCCTGGACACATAAAAGCAGTTTTGTGGATGTCCTCTTCTGCCACCATTATCTGATTGTAACCTGCGTTGTCATCCATGAATGATAGCATTTGGTTATGAGCGGCTCCATCTACCAACATGTCTGTCATTGGCATGGGGTACTCATCTTTGGGAGATGCCTAGTTCATGTTCCTGTAATCCAAGAAAACTCGGACTGCTCGTCTTTATTTTGAGAACCAGTACAATATTAGACAACCAATCAGCATAAATGGCTAGTCTGATAAAACCTGCCTTAAGCAGTCTTTCAATTTCCTATTTGACTTTTAGTTCTGTCTCCATGGACATTCTTCTTCTGGCCTGCTTGACTGGTAAGTAACCTTCTTTTATCGGCCATTTATGCTCCACCAATCTTTTGTCCAGTCCAGGCATTTCATAGTAATGCCATGCAAAACAGTCCCTGAAATCATGCATAAGTGCAATGATTTCACCCTTCAATGGCTTTTCTAGCAATGCACTGATAAAGTAGTAGGCCTAGGATCGTCTTATGTCCCCAAGTTTATTTCTTGCACAGGGTCTTTCACCTCTGTACTTTCATGCATGAATTCTGCCATATTAACGGCTGGATTCTGCATAGAAAGCTTCCTTTATGCCTAATATACAAACAATCTATTCGTAATGGATCAGATTGTTGCAGCTCGATCCTTCTCTTGTTGGTTTGAGCTAAACATTAGAGATTTGGAGGTTTAGGACAAAAGACCTATTCCAATCTTCTAGAGAACCGGCCAGACCTTCTTCAATGAGCCTCTGGGTAGTGACAACATAGGGGCAGCCATTCTGATTGACTCCAAAGAAAGTAAAAGGACCAAGATCATCATGATAATACCTGGCCTCGAAACATAACGCAGAAGGTAAAAATGATCGTGGATCGACCTCTACTATCTCCATAAAACCCTCTTATGCTAGAGGGCCAACTGTTGGTGTAGAGTGGAAAGAACACATAGGCTCTGGTGGATCCAGTCCCTCCTGAGCAGTGCATCGTAGGTAGTAGAAGTGGTTCCCACTATGACATCCACATCTAGTATCCCATGAGTCTTGATGATGCCCCCAACAAAATTGGTGACTATAAGACGTGTTGGGATTAGATCTTTCTCTATTTTGCCCTGCTAAACCAAGATATCGTAAGGTAGTAGATTGATCGCTACACCTCCAACTACCCCTATTTTAGGACAGGAATCCCTCCAAAGTGTGCAGTGATGAACATGGGTCTAAGATGATTGGCCACCTTCTTGGTAGGTTTGGAAAAACACAACTATTCTGCAACTATTTTTGGGGCAGTTTTCCTGTTTCGACAACATTGTTTTGCTGTTCTGGCAATTCCTCCTCTCAGTTAGCTTGCAATCAAAGCTTTCTTGGGATACTACATCCCCCTCCATATTTCTTTTTGTCCTTCTGCTGCTCTAAACTTCTCTGACAAGAGAAACACCATATTGATGCCCAAATCACCCTGCAACAAGCTCTCCAATTCTGCACTGAAAGCTTGAGTTTCTTCATCTCGTTCTCCTCTGTATTCCACCTATTCTTCTTCATACTCTTCAGTCCAGTTCTCTTAATCATCCTCTTTAGCCCGATCTTGCTATTACAAAGGTTCTAACTAATTGTCTGAAGATGGTTCATAATCCACCTGTTCTTTTTCATATTCTTTAGTCCAGTTCTCCTGGTCATCTGCTGGAAGGAATCCGGCCTGATCCTATATTTGTGAGAGCTCCAACTGATTACTCAAAGATGAACCTTGGTGGAAAGAGGATTCATTTGGGAATCTTGCTCCCTTCAGTTCCTCCGGTTGATACATTGTCTCTTATGCTTGAATATCCCTTTTCGGATCATTCTCTATTCTGCCATAATTGACTTTTGTAAACACTTGTGTGTTATCCTTGTTCTTGAGGAATGTGTAGTATTGCCTCTGGATTCTCCTCCTCTGTGTTCTGGTCAGCTCTAAAGTTGGCCTGCCATTCTTTCCTACAGAATACCACCTGCCCTCTATGATAGTTGCCAATGGCCTATCATTTCCGGGCATTTGAATTAGCATTTCCTTCCTTTTCTGCTCAGTTATCTTTCTAACATTTTGGGCATGTTTCTGATAGGTTCTTTGTCTGGCTGTGTTCCTGGATAGAACCGAAACTGTGGTATGTCGGTGTGATGCTCCGATTCTATAAAAAATGCTTAGAGTATGTCGATTCTATTCATCCAGAGCTATTTCTAGCTCACATTTGCACTTGCACCTACTGCACAGAACTACTCCAGTTGAGATAGTAGCCTTTGGCCTTTGGTTCACCTCTTTTGTGACTCTTCTACCCATTTTAGTGCTAACTTCCACGATCAGTTTGCCTTTCTCCTGCTTTGGCCAATTTAGGTTGACCATGTTCACTTGAGGTTGAGGAAAAAGGTCTTCTGTCACTGTAGGAGGTTTCTCAACTAGTTTGAGCCTTCTTGCCATTATCCCTTCTTGTACAACGTCCATGAAAACAAGACAACTGTTGGTGGAATGATTCCAAGAGTTGTGCATATACCATACTGCCTTCCCTTGAGCTCTTCCAGTTTAGGCAATCTATGAGGCGTCTCTATGGCCTTTTTTAAGAGCATCTCATCGAACATAATGTCAACTTTGGTCAAATCAAAAGAGTAGATTTTGTTTTGTGGTGGATTGTTTGGTACAAAATCGCCTGTGAATAGTGGCGGCTTTTGATCCTTTGGCGTCTTTGTCAAAGCCTTGCAACTGATAGGATGCTTTAACTTTGCCATTTCTGCCACCACCACCTCCATCTCTTCTGGACTCTCTTGACCCTCTTCCAATTCGACCCCAACCAAATGGACTGATGAAGATGGTGTCTTGTAGTATGTAGCTTTGGAAGAATTTTTCTCTTTTGTTGTTCTTCCTTTAACAGTTCTTTATACTTGGAGGCTTTATCTGCCAGTTTTGCCAAGTCTCCAAACACCATTCCATTGAATCTAATTTTCAGAGAAATCTTGAGGGCGGTCTGAGCCATTTGGATGAAATGTTTTTCTTCCATGGGGATTCTACATTTCATTTTGAGCTTCGTAAACCTGATAATGAAATCCTAAGTAGGTTCATCTTCACTCTATTTAAGAGCAGCAAGATCACTGATGGTGACCTCTGGCTGAATTCTAAAATAGTAGTCGTGGAAAGCATTCTCCATCTGCTCCCATGTCTGGATGTAATTGGCTGGTACATTGGTGTACCCGGTAATGGGTTGTCCGAATAGGGAATTCCCATAAAGCCTAAGGTTCAACAAGGGATTATTCTCTATGGCTAAGCATTGGACTGAGAATCTGCCTACATGATTGACTGATGACGCGTGAGTGTCTTCTCTATTAAATAGAGTGAAGTTTGGTACTATTGGCTGTTGCGAATCTCACGGCCTGGTGCTCCGGGCCGAGAGGATGTGCGTCAACACGTGACCTCCTTCTTTTGGATGCGGTGCGGTTGTGCTCGGGCGTGCCAGCATGGTCTACCGTGCGTCGAGATGATGATGAGGTTCAGATAGAAGATGGTTTAAATGTTGCACCTACTTTGCGTTCGACTCCTAATCAAACGATTGTGGCCGAGAGAGGAACTGATCTCGGCCGTCAGGTTCACGGCCTGAGCTACAAGGCTGTTTAGTGGTGGCGTTGGTGGCGGGTTTTAGGCGGTGCTCCGGCGCGTTGCTCAGAGAGCGACAGTCGTATGATATATGGGGTGAGTGAGACGATAACAGAGATGGTGCTCTGGCGCCTTGAAAATCGAGGGTCGTATGATATATTGATGAATGGATTTTCCTTACAATCTACCACTACTCCTAGGAAAGCAAATAAAGGTATTGAAAGTGCATTACAGGAAAATATAATTTGCTCCGTGGGAGGCTTTTGGTTTGGTGTTTGAACCCTTTGAATGTAGTCATGAGCTTAGTATTTATAGGAGGAGTCCTGGATGGACAATCGAGGCTGATAAGACCTGCGTGGTGGAGCCTGACCGGGGCAAGTGGGTAGTCAAATCGGCATTTGGGATCGTGAAGTATGGTGGCTTAGGGTTGAAAAGCATGGTGGTGTGACCCCCATAAATCTCGGTAAATCTCGGCCACCGCCCTGATCGTGGGTTCTGCCTCCCTAGCTGTGGGAACGCATTTAATGCCCTGGTCTGGTGGTTGGTGATCTGACCTCAAGTTGTAAGATTACTTGTGAGAATGTCTGCGCCTAACCACACTGATTTCCATCACCAAATCCTGACTTCAGTCACTTCCCTTGTGCATTAAATGCTTCTTGCGACTAGTGGGTTTGCTACGAAGTCAGAGGCATTACTTCATTAAATGGGGCGTGGGACCCTGAGGCCACGTGGCAATTTAACCATAGCTTCTTCCGCCGTGTCTTTTACGGCCTTCGTCTTGGCCTTCAACGCCGCGGTCGCGAGGCCGAGAGAATTCTGCCTTTGCAACTTTCCTTTTATTTTCAGGAAGGCGAATGTTCGACGAAACGGTAGGCGCCAGGGTCGAAAGGAATTCCCCTCAATCAGCTTATGACTGTGATTTATTAGGCACAAACAGGTACTTTTAAAACCGGGTGGCAAAGGCATCTGATCAATGTAAGCCGGATATGGCTTCCTGTAGGTTGGTCTCTCTCCCCTTCTGGCCTTATGATCCATCATTTCTCTAATCATTTTTAGTAGTGCCCCAATGTCATTTAAAGCATTAACATGAGTTAGGTTCCGACCCCATTCTGTTCAATTCTGTGTGGTCTGGGTACGATCTCCTCCTTTTGTTGTTTTTCTTCTTCAAAATCTAGATGGTTTCTCTAGTTTGCTCCCGGCCTATTCCTGTCAAAGTTGGCAAAAGGGTTAACTCCTCATCTGCCTCTTCTAACTCCTGCCAGTGGGGGAAATGGATTGGGATCCATTCTTCTAGGTCTGTAAGGCACCACTATTGGCTGTTCAGGCAGATGGCAACCAGTGGTCCTTGTGGAGCCTCCGACCATGGAGCAGGTGGGAGTTCTGGCTGATTTTGGGGAGCTAGAACTACTGCTGGGCCTGCTGGAAGAGCTGGAACTTCCTGTTCTTGGATGATAAGGGCTCCTCCCCTTAGTACAACCTGAGTCTCTGACAGTTCAAGTGCTCCAACCATCTGTGAAATAAGGGGATTTTCTTGATATGGCCAGGGCAATCCTGGTGGAGGTCCGAAAGGGAGTTCTAGCCGCTGGACTACAGCGTCTGGATTTGGAATTCTTGCAGTAGCAACTTCATGATCCTTCCTGAATTTTCTATTGCCTTGCCATTGCATCATGGAAGTCATGTTGTTTAGAGTATATTGGCTTCTCTGAGCTGCAACCTCCGGCCGGAGTACAGCATCCTATATCTGGTTTATCCTTTAGGAGTTAGATCTAGAACGTCTACTCCTAGTACTGCTGTGAGCTGATTGCCTAGCATCACTCTCTTCTGACTCATGTCCTTCCCGGAAATCTAGTTGATCTCTTTCCATGGAAAAGCATGGAATTTGGCTAGATGTTTTTAGGAGTATGTATACTGTGAGGTCCCACCGGGCTTGCCAAATTGTTCACACAATTTGATTTAGTTCCTGTGGTGGTATGGTAAAATTCTCCATTGGCTTGAAAACCATTGGTGGTCAACAAGTCGACTTTCTTTGATGTGTGAGTGTGCCACTGTTAGCGGTTAAAACCCTAATAGACTTACGGAAAATAAATAACTTGCGCCCCAAGTTACTAACTTTAAACAAGTAATTGTGAATTTGGGTGGGGAATATCTCCCAAGTAAGTTCTTTTCTTGCCTCAAATGGGTGAGGATTTTACAATTTCTCATAGTAAAAACTAGTAATTCTAAGCAAAATAAATATTGAAAAATACATCAAACTGCTTCAAAGCGAACTGCCTTTTGCACAATTTAAACAAAAAAGAACTACCATGTCTTGAATTGTTGCCTATGACTCAGGCTGGATTGAATATATCTGTGCTGGATTTGAACCTCAGCACCTTCAACTGATGGGGTTCAGCTGGAATTCGATACAAATGTGGAGATTGGCAAAGCTTTAATCAATTTTAGCTATGGAGAGGCTTGCCAAATGGGTAGAACTGAGGTCTCTTCAGTCTGGACGGGACTGGAAGTGGCTGTATGGACCATTGATGACCTGGAACTATACTTCGGTACCTGTTCTGCTTAATTGTGGATCACTTGAGAGCTATTCTGGGGATTTTGAGATGTCAAGGCATCTTTGTAAATTTGTTGAGGTTTTCATATTATGAAAAACCTGAATTTTGCTTGATTCGCATGTGCTGAACCAAATTTGTAAAGAGAGAAATCTCGTCTCCTTTGTGAATTGCTTCCTTGATTTGAGCTGAAGTCTGAAATCTGAGTTCTACCTGTTCTGTCAAAGACTGGATGTCTTTTAAACCAAAAAACTTAATTGCCTCATAGTCTAAAGGCTTTTGAGATCGTGTGATCTTGCTTGATTTTGTCAGTATGACTTAGAGTTTTTGTTTTGATTGAATTTTTTTGTTGTCTTCAATCCTGTTCACATCCTCTCATATTTATAGAGAATCTACATGAGTGATTATTCCGTAATATCTAGAGGACATATCGTTAAAAGGATCATTTGCTCCAGCACAAAAAGGGTGGTGGTTTAGTCTGACGAGAAAGGCCCCCATCAAGAGTCAGTTTTCAAGGTTGATTAGTTTTGACTTTTTAGACAACCAACTCTCTTATTTCTTGTTTATCTCATATAAACCCACTTTTATACTGACGAGAAATCCTCACGAGTATGGGAAGGAACTTGGCCTTATTTTCTGGCATTTAATGGTTGTTGGGAGTGGTTTTCTGGTTTAACCTTTCTACCAACTCCCCAGCATGTCCTCTGCTCCTTCTGTAGACGTCTTGTCGTTGGGGATCACATGGGCTTCTGTGGAGAGAACAATCCTCCCCATTTCTGCTGATTTAATTTCTGAATCTAGTGATCAACAGTGGTGATCAAACTTTGAGCCTTTGAGAAAAAACAAACACTAGAAGTTGGGTATTTAATCAAACCAATTAAATCTGGATTCTTTAAGATTAAATTACCATAAATGGCAATTAACCCTTAACTTGTGAAAAATATTTTTACAATTGGCTTGAAATAGTCTGGGTCTCAAAACAATTTGGGTTGGTTTCCAACTTTGGTAAAATAAGACCCAAACCTTTGTTATTGATAAACCCCAGTACCCTGATGAGCTGACGCGCAGAAATTAGGCCCAAACAGAAGCATTCTAATTCATATACGAATGAGCAATGTAATATATTACATTTAATTGATTTTGAAATGAGAAATCCATGCTTTGTTAACATTGATCATTGAAAGAATTCAAATGCTTTGTTCACATTGATTTTCAAATGAGGAATCCACGCTTTGCTGTTGTCCACTATGGTCGTAAGTCTCCAAAGCACAGAGCAATGGCACAATTATTATCCCGTCCAGAAGAGCATGACCTTCAGCAATAAGCACATATATACCACAAGAACAAGTGCTAGCATATAGAGGGGAACCATTTGAATCCCTAATAACATAACCCGCCGAACAGTTTCCATCGAAACGAACCGAGCCATCAAAGTTGATCTTCAAATAGCTAGGAGCAGCAGGATTCCATTTGATGGTTGGAGGTGGGGGCGACTGGTTTGTCAAAATGACGCTAGCTTCCCAGAAACTAGCTCCTATAGAAGCAGCCTTGTGTATCACTCTAACAGGATGAGGGTTTTCTTGGTTGAAAATCTTCTGATTCCTAGACTCCCAAACTTACCAGCAAATGAGAAGCAACTTGCTTAGAAGAAGCTCACTGTCACCACCAATTTGAATATTTAGGACAGAGTTTTGTAATCCTAAATGGAGGAGTAGGACTGCACACAACTCCAAACAGCACGAACTAGAGGGTAATCCTCAAATAAATGATTTAAAGTTTGGGTTAATTACGGTAATGGTCCCTGAATTTGTACATGTGTTTCACTTTGGTATATTCTCAGTTATTAAATTCTATAGCCCGAATATTTTTACTCATGTTTCACTTTCGTCCTTACCGTTCTGTCAAAAATTTTGTTGACTTCAAGAGTCATTAGTAAGTGCAGTTCTCATCTTAAACAAAAAAGATGATTTAGTAGGCTAATGGTCCCTAAATGTGTACCCAGTTTCACTTTGGTCCCTCAATTTATTGACATTTTGTTGAACTTAGGGTGGCTGTGGGTAGGGATGATGTGGGGGGCTAGGATGAAGCCCTATGTTTTTAATTGTTTAAGTTATATGCATTCCTGATTTTATTGTTGAAGTCTTAATCATTGTTTTACTTGGTGATTGTTTCGAAATTCTCTTCTTGATCACCATTAGTGTTTTAAATCTGTAGTCTATTTGATGCGCAATTATGTGATTGATGTCATATTGCATGTTTGGAATGCTTCTTCGGATGTAAGAGTAGTGAATTCATGATGCATACCCAGATATATTGTGGCTTGTATGTAGAAATATTTGAACCTATCGTAACAAAGGGTAGATTTCGTACTTGGAAGAACTTGTGGCATATGTACTCGACCAAGGCCATGTGTGTGAAAACCGTCAACAACTATCTGTAAATTTGTTAACTTGTTACTGAGAATTTGAGTAAAGAGTATTTTTTGTTTTTGTTTTTTGGGTCAAGAGTAATTAGTGGTGGATTCAGATGCGTTTAAGGGTCTGTTTTATAACCATTTCATTTTCACTTTAAAAAAAATATATTAGTTTTCAAAATCATCCTTAGTTTTGAAAACAACTTGAAAGTGTTTTTAATTTTTAATTTTCGTTTTCATTTATTTTTTCCTCCTTTATCATTCACCATTTTTACATCACCACACATACAATGCACTCCAATAGTCAAAACTTGTTATTTGGGACCTCCCGACTTGGACTCGGCTGCTCGACTCTTGCATTTGGGTGCTCACCTAGTTCGAGACTAGGGGATCTCCTGCTTTTCAATTCACCAAAAATTAATCCTAACCCCAAAAAATTCACCAAAAAATACTACGTACTAACTCTTTGTAACATGCACTTTTATTCTATAACTTTAAAGTCATAATTTGATCCCCAAAAAAATTTCATTTGCAAATTCCACGAACTAAAATTAATTACCAAAACAACTTTTAAACTGTTTTCGATTTTTTGAAAACTCAAATTTGGTTACCAAACAAGTTTCCTATTTTTTTGTTTTTTTTAAATGAAAACTGAAAATTAAAAATTAAAAATTAAAAATTAAAAATTAAAATGGTTAACAAACAAGAGTGTTTCATCATATGTTGTTACATCCTTAATTCTTGAAATTGCCTTCTTGGTATGCAAAATAATTGTTTTGCTACAAATTTCACAACAATTCATTGCCATAGAACCGTTCCAACTTGCTTGTTTTCTTGTTTACCTATTTCTGTGACTTTTAGGTTATTAGGTCTCAAAATCATTCTTCAATTAAGCTAGTTAGAATTAGGTGGGAGTTTTACTAAAACACCCAAAATGGAGGTTGAAATTATAAAAAAACCCAAGCACTATTTAAACATATAAACACACCCAAAACCCATCATTACACACACTCAAAACCCATTTATAAACACACCCAAAAAGTTGACTTTGAGGTTGATTTTGGGTGTGTTTCTATGTTTAAATAGTACTTGGGTTTTTTTATAAATACATGTTTAGGATTGGGTTTATTTATAAATTTGTATTAGAATGGGAGTAGGGTCCATTTGGTATCTTATTGAAAAAAAATATATGAACTCAAAAATCAATTTTTTTTAAAATATGGTTTTTAAATACTGATTTTAGAATCTATGGAGAGAGATAGACGAGAGAGAGAAAAAACTGTAAAACCTCACTTTTTTTGTTTTCAATAATGGGGGTGTTTTTGAGTTTTTTTTTGTTTGAGTTTTTAAAAATGGGACTGCCAAATGGGTTTTTCGAGTTTTGGACTTGAGATTTGTTTTTGAGTTTATAAAATTTGATCTAAGTAGAATACCAAATAGGCCCTAAGTTATTTGAAAATCAACCTCTATGGGTATGACCTCGTTCTTACTTTCTGAATTGCAATACATTTGTACCTTGTGAGTTAGTAAAATTGGTTTGGAATTAATCTGTTTTACGTTGTTGTATATTTTCATGTTTATGCCATATCTGACCGGACCCTCTCAACTAGGACACATAGGATAGATGATCCAAATTAAAGGCATGTACGCCCTAGCCCAACCACTAGGGCTTGCAACAACCATCGGTAGGGATTACCCTTTGGAATCTCACATGTTGATCCGACTGAATGAAGGTACCTGCCGTACCACTTCCATCTAGGGACATGTGGTAGCCCCTCGGGTGACGCCAATAGTCCCACATTGAAGTAATGACCCAAGGTGCTCCACCTCTTTCCTCTATAAATAGGGCTCTCGCTCCAAAGCACCAGGTAATAGTAATTCGGCATTAGTACCCTTACTCTGTCCAATTACGTTACACACTCTGCCCTTAAGATAACTTAAGCATTCGAAAGCCTTCGGCAAGTATCACACTGGTGCCTAAAGTCTTCACCTTTGCTCCTCTCGCATATCCATTCTACACCTGCTGCAGGACGCACTCAACCGAAGGCAAGCTCACTTCTAAGTTGAATCCATTTTCCAACATCAACATTTGACAAAACACTAGCTTTTCCTAGCTATGCGCATTATCTGAATTAAACTTTTACAGCTCTACGTGGAATGATCGCACTCCATATACATCCTAGACAGAGAAAATAGAAATGAAACAAGGGATCCAAAGGGAAGCCGATTTGACAAGCAGAAGGTTCTAGGCTAAAGTAACTAATATATTTAACATTAAAAGTTTAAAAGGGATACAATGTTTACACATATTTAGGCTTTTCAAAAATAACTTTATATTCTATCCAATCAAAAAATGTTAACAATTGGAGAGTACCACTTGTAAATTTGCTTGTGTTATTCTGAGCAGTAATATCTCTCAATCAATCTTAACGAAGCCTTGATTGGCATAACCTAACAGATCATGTTTAGTGTATGTTGCTGTTGAGGACAAGAAAGGCCCACCAAGTAGACATAACACCACTGCATCCCACGTGATTTTCGTACATGACATTGTTCATCTCCTTATCTGAAAACGATCTTAGTCCCACCATTGCTGGGTTTTCTCCCTTCATTAATAAATGCATGGTTTCTTCCATGATTAATATCAACTACCTACATTATACATGTACTGATGTATGTAAGTATCTGTAATTCCACTTCTTTCTTTTTTTCTTTTATCTATTTACATGAATCTATACCAAGTTTTAAATAGCGTCAAGGAGTGACTTGTGTTCATTCTTCCAAATTATAGTTTGACATGGTTGATATTTCCCCCTTATAGAGAATAATATCAATAAATATTCACTTAAATTATCACACATGGAATAATTATAACACGTGACTGTACTACCGTACTATATATTATGCATAAAAAAAATGCCGCTTGATATTTGGAAGGAATTAAGTTAGGGATATGAAATATGAGGAGGTAAAGAATGCTTGAAAAACACGTCTTTATGTTTCTCCCCAGGCCCAGCACAGCCATTGTAAAATTTTCCTTCAACATATATTCAAGTCCAGCTTAAAGATTGTTTCACCGTACGTAGTTTTCAAAACCCCAAACAATAAAAAACTGAGCCACAAAAAAAAAGGGATAGGATTATAATTGATCAAAATAATTGGGTACTAGTGATAAAACTGGTTGGATTATTCCTCTTGCTCAAGGGAAATCGCTCTCGATAAACATTTCCTTTCCTTTCATTTTGAAAGTTTACCTAACAGAACTTGTCATGGTCTGATTATTAGGCTGGGAAATGTCTGTGCCCACTTCGTCCACCGCAGTTCAATATGGCCTACAGATCTTGCTTGTTGTAAGGTGTTCCCTGGTCTCTATTTCTCAGAACAAGCAATGTCTAAACATAACCAGAAAATGAAGGAGAGCAAGCTGCAAAATTAAAGATAACTACCAACAGGGCTCAATAACACTCAACTGTTCACATGTATAACTGCTGTTTGTGTCGATCTATTTGGGTATTATATGATTGGAACTAAAAGAAAGAGGAAATCAATGAAGTTTTATTCACCACAAATTAATCCAAGGCTACTGGTCAAGGCCTCGTCGAAAAGTGCTAGTTAAAGTTAACTTTGGTCCTATGCTTTCCTTAAATAACCTAGGGTTCATCTGGATACAAGGATTCCAAATCTAAGGATTTGTATGCATGCCAAGATTTGAATAAGAATGAAATGAAGAAAACAAATGGATTTCAAATGACTCCTTGTATAGTAATTCCAAATTTTTTTCATGTATTACATCTAGTTATTTCAAATGCATTGAATTTAATGTAATTGAGTTTTTCTTTCAAATACCTCCATCCAAATGAAAACTAAGATCTCCCGAAGCATATATTACAGATGTGGGATTTAGCATGTAATCCAATTATGCAGTATTTCTACATGTCCGTCTCAAGAGTTTACGCGCAATAAAAGGGAAAAGAAACTATTGAGACGAATATTTAGAAAAATACGGGTTATAAAATGAAAACTTTTAAGAAGACCATCTAGAAAGTACATTGGAAAAATAAATAAATAAAAAGTCTTTTTAAGACCCGCATAGCACGAATGATTAAAAAATGCCTTTTGCAAGTGCGGAAGTGTGTGCAAAGTGGCTAGTATCCCTTTAAAATAAAACAAAAACTGCGTTCATAAATCAATTTTATTCATCTTTTTTTGTATCCCTCTAAAATAATAAAATTCACCACGACTATAGGCTATAGCCTAGGTTAGCCCCACCTTGGTTCGAACAAAAGCGAGACCCCTTTTAAGTAGCTGGTTGCCAAATTGAAGCAGATGACAAAACTGCATTAATGAATTTTTGGTCATTAATAAGAGGGTTTTGTCCAAGCATCTTTTCCACACTAGACCAGCAGGAGACATTGATGTTGACACTGTAAGACCTTCTTGCTCACGTAGAGAGTTACTACAAATTTAGGTCGCAGTCCAATTGCAGCACATGTCTAAGTATCTAGGTAGCACAAGACTGTTCATCCATCTGTCTCTAAAGACCCTGACCATCAAGGCACTCTCTATATATGCAGATAGAAGGACTTGAGATTTGATCAATATTATATGTTGCACTACTACTTGGACTAGCTCAAGCTATAACCAAGTCTAACTATTAAGATATGGCCGCCATACCGTTCAAGCACCTTCTCCTTGTGGCCTTCATCTTGCTTTGTTTCATCTCTATCACAGCTGAAGGTAAATTATTTATATATATTTCTTCTTGTTTTGACACATAATACAAATTGCACAAATTAAGTCCAATTACTTGGCACTAATTAAACTTGGTTTATGTCTTGTGTTTGTGATTCGTCGCAGGACGAAGCTTGGGAGTGGTTAGTAAGAGTTCTGATGATGGTCATCAGAAGAGCCATGATCTTCATGACCCCTTTAAACAGAAAGAAGAGGATCATGAAGGGTTGCTGCCAGATGAGAGCAATGATTTACTGGCTATGGATTACACTCCAGCAAGTAAAAAGCCTCCAATCCATAACTAAACAAGCTGCGCCTGAGGCGACTTGACGACGCCTCCCCATGACTCTCGGAAGCCTCAAAAACGCTTTTCAAAACCTTGGTATATAGCAGTTTTGTTCAAGCAGTACTAGCAAGTTAAGTTTTGCTTCCTAGCTAGCCCAAAACTCAGAAGAGTGTTAGCTTAGTCTCAATCTAGATATATATCCTCAATCCTCTACACAAAATATGAGAAAAACTGCTGAAAATACATGCTACCAGAAAATATTGTAAAGCTATAAAAACAATATTTATTATCTTATGGGATGGTGCTCTATACAGGTCTTCTGTTCACGAAACCTTTGCTTTCTCCCAATCCATGGGGAATATGATGCACCAGTAGTTCATTGGTGAAAAATGTCCTTTTATCCCTCCCCTCAAAGCATTTTTATATATGCATTCATGAGCACCACTAACTAAACGGAACTTTTTTCAAATCTAAAACAATATTAAATTCAAAGACGACAACTTTGGAAAAGGCAAGTTTTCCAAACCTAACCAATATTTAAATCAAGTCTATCATTAGCAGCACTAAGCCACTCTTTCGAGATTAATTGTTTAATCAAGTTATATATATGTCTTACCAGCTGCTGCAAAGAGGTGTGTTCAAGTACATATTTCATTGCTGGTTGTTGATCAATGATCATTACATATATTTCACATCTTGGTTGCACTAAAAAAAAGAGTGTGCATTAATAATGTTCGTCTTCATACTTCAGTGGTTGTTCATGTCAACTATTCAAATGTTTTGAGGAGATAAAGAAAGGCGGAAAAAAACTTACGTGTTGTTGTTTATGTCGTGTGAAAGTGTTTTTGTGGTGGGATAGCATATAGTGACAGATAAATTTAAAAATTAATTATGCAATAAATTTAAATATGTTATACACTTGAACTGGATCATTGTGACAGGAATAATGTCATCGAATTTCTTCTCTTAAGAGAAAAGGACATAGTCCAATGATGATGTGTGTGGACAAACCTTTCTAAGAATTAATGACTGCGTATTGGATTCGGGTCTCGTACTTAAGAACTTTAGGCCAGAATTTGAAGACAAATATGTATGTTGAGAGTATCTCATTTTGGAAGATGGAAGCTGTGCAATTGTCCTTAAAAGATCTTGGGCTTCTCTACTCATTGCCAATTAGTTTTGGGTTGGATACTAACATTCTAATATGGTATATAACAATCAATGGTGGATCCATGAATTTTTCTTTCGAGGGCGAAATCAAATATTGATTAAGTTTTCAACTATTTATTTCACACAATCTGCTGGTGCTAAAACTGAAAGCACTTAGCTTAATTCATTAGTACCAATAATTACATGTTTTTTTAAAGCTAAAACTAAATGCAGTATATCATTCATAATGATATTAGTTTTCGATAAAAGCTTTTATACAACCACATTGCATAAGCACACCAATAAGTCAAACAAATTCATTAACACCCAAGCAATTGAGCCATAATCACTTGCTCGCAAGAGTGCAACATGTTAATAGACATATATGTGGGCAGCAATATGCCAATACTTGAATATGCAAGGTGTACTCTGTTGGATTTGCCCCTATCTCAGCCTCCTCTTTGGGGCATTTAGTCGAACATCTTGCAGGCTTTCCCACCATGCTCCAAAAACACAACAAACCAGCTGCGCAATTTCTTGGGTGGATCTCAAAAGGAGGGAGGGCAAGCGCCTGCACTCGCCTATTATAATAATCCTAACATGTTTCTTCACCCTCCCTCACCACTTGCCTAACCCCAAGTAAGTGGGAAGCACAACTTAGAGAAAGGGCAATCGAAAAATTACTGCAGGCACTCGCAATAGCATTTCCGAACCAAAAGATTTGGATACACAAGAAACAGCCACAGATTTGCGAGGATGCTACCAGCAGACAATACACAAATGAGACATCATTAAAATTCACAAATATTATAACTCGACTAAAATACAAGATGTCACATGTAAATGTGATTTTTCTCAACTCCATTATTGTTTGTCTTTTTTTAATTTTCGGTTTCTAGCTAAGAATTCTACTGTTTAGGTTGAATTTGCGTGTGAGGTAGTGTACACATTCCAATTTTTCCTTTTGTGAAAATTTCAAAATGGAGGTTGTGTAGTCAAACTAGCCTTGCTACGCGGACATTTCCAGGTCTCTCAAGTTGCAGAAGCCTATGGGCATTACCCTGGCTATCTTAAACCGCCTTTTTTCTTGAACTGCATTTCACGTATCAGCATTTGAGCTTTCTGGAGTAAACTGGAATCCTTGGAACACATTATAACCGATTTTCTGCAGGTGCATTCTTCAGCCTTCATTTTTTTCATAGAAGAGCAAGCTAGCTTCTGCAGCAAGAACAGCATCCTTTGAAACACGACACACTTCTGAATCTGAAATAGAAAACCAGCACGGAGCAGCAGCCTCAAACTGATCATCAGATTCTTCCTCGCATAAATCAGCTCTCACGCTTCTGTAAACAGTGTAATGCCCGCTTCCAGCTCTTCCAAAATGCTCAACAACAGCAACAAGACGGTACAAACAAGGATCTTCGCAACTCTTAGACCACTGCACTAAGTACACAAACATTAATATTCAACCTAAAAGTTTGTTATTCATCAAACACAACAAAAATATATAATATATTTTTGTAAGTGAAAAACAAATACAGGGTTTAGATGCAAAACTTGCTCTTTTATGAGGAAAACCAAAAGCCGGATTACTCTAAAATCAAACCATATACAAGGATAACAGCATACTTAAACTACCTGATCTCCTCCTGATTGCATGGTTTTTGAAAACCCTGCAGTTTGGGGAAAGCTGGATTCTCCTGGTAAATCTTGTGCATTTGCAGCAAATCGAGATATATCTGAAGCTAATTCTTCTGATATTCCTCCTCTCGTTAATCCATAGACATTATTATGCTTTCTCTGATCATACTGCATAGTGAACTGATTGGAACGAGTGCTTGGGTTTCTACTTTGTCCCTGAGCTTGCCCTCTTCTCATGTTTTCTTCCCAACTGTTTATTTCTGACACACTTGTTGTGAACTGCGAAAGGTCCAAAACCAATGGAAAAGAAATACGGCCCTACAATCACCAGTACAGCAGCCCACTACTATGACATCTTTCAAACCATATTCCCAAGCAAGGAATATTTGTTATCAAGTAACATAAGCAAGAAAGTAGAGGGGTAAAAAAGGAAGGCAATGACACATTGGTGTACATATATTTTAATCTGAGAACAGAAATTGGTGACATGTGTCCAATTATTTCAAATGCTATATGCATTGGCGTACATATGTTCTCATGGATCAAATAAAGTACAGCAGGAAAGTTTAAAATACCTGAAGTTTTACAAGTTCTCCAAATACATTGATTGAAACACGTTTAAGATGAATGCATAGAATCTGCAAGGACACAATCAGACCAATGGATATTCTTAGTGATTGAAGTACATAACTACGGTCTTTAGAGGAAAAGGAAGATGTCAGGATACCTCAATAAAATACAGAATACAGAAAGTGAGAAAACAACTAGAGCAGAGTAGCTGAATTATGAAAAAAATTCCAAGAAACCTGTATCTTTTCTGCAAACAGGGTTATGTTACTGATGTAAGTCATAGGTAACGACATCAAATAAACTAGTTTGGGTTGTTCTGGTCAAGTTTTTAGCTTTCCTCTAATCTTCTCATTCATAATTTCACATAACCATGTGGTTCAATTCCCAATTCAGGCTTAGCTTTACCAACATAATTAAACCCATCCTACGCACTGTATCTTTTGTATAATTTTGAAGCTTCTGTTGATATAAAAATAATCTGCTTTCATTAGATGTTTAAACATGATGACCTGTGATATTAAATATTTGATGTTTAAACCTGATGACATGTGATATCAGAAAATTTCATAACTATCAATAAACATTCTAGTCTCTCTTTGATGTGGGGTCACAAAGTGAAATGAAAATTCCTTGTTTTTCTTTTACCTTCTTTTTCCTTTTTTCTACAAGCCAAATGAAGACAATAAGGAAAAGAAAAAAAATATAACGGAATGTTGGATCCTGTTACTAAACCTCAAGAACCAAACATGCCAAGTCCCACTTTGGGTTCATGCATATTTGACAGTTACATTTACAGTAGCTTCCCCAAAATGAACGATAATAAACACATTGACCATAATTTGTTAGTTAGATTGGGCTTCTTTTGTCTTATGGAAATATCTACATCTCTTCCTACAGAATTTTCCTTGCTTTTTCTTTTAACCATAATAAGCTGATTCCAACAGCTTTTTAGATGCCCATGTCATGCCAAATTTCCTTACTCAATCTTTTAGATGATGCCTCAAGCAAAAAAGAAATATTGGATGAAGCAGCTGAGTCTCATTATGGATATTATACATTTTTTGTTTTGTGCACAGCAAGGATTCCACACAAATAAAACCAAGTCTTCAAGATGACTACCATGTCATGCCAAACAGTTCCCAATTCCCATTTATCTATCTTGCGAACAAGAACTGTTCATCAGTGTTGACAACTGGAAAGTACCTCAGAGCTTATGAAAATAATAAAACAACAAAAAAACAAACCTTTGGGCAACGAGCAATACTTATTTGCTTGAGAGTACATGAAAATTTATTTGACCACGGTAGCTTATCTAGATGAAAAAGTCTTCGACAGTCACAGGAATCTTGCTCAGTGCATCTCTTAATCTTTTCAATATCTGCCTGCAAAACAAGCACATACGAGCAACAATTAAGTATTTATAGCAGTCAATAGCTCTGAAAGAAAGGGATAAGAACCTCAAGAGCCAGACTAAGGCTAGCATAAGGTAAAATAGGATAAATTAAAACAACAAAACTAGTATTGTCCCTAAAAGAGCAGTCTGGTCACACATCTAAGCATGAAAGATGTTACTTAAGTGTCCCAGGGATGCAAAGCATTTATGGAATGTAATAAATTGTGAAGGAATGTTTTTAGTTTTTTATAATGTAAGAAGTAGGGTGTTGGAATACTAAAATGTTACTTAAAGAATATCAAAAGAGGTTGTTACTAGTGTATTCTGGAAATTCTAAAAGCATGTTTAGGAACGAGTAAGAGTCAACCATAGTGTATTATATAAAAGGCACAGACCGCTATGTCTGCATGCAGCAACCAACCTGGTTCAAAATAATTTGAGGGGCCACAAGTTTCTAACTATCCTATCAGGCTTCCCTCTATTAAACCTTTAGAAATCTAGGATCTGATGGTGTTTGAGTATCATCATTTCCTTACATAATGTGTAAGAAGACTTTCTTTCTTTTTTACAACAAAGACGAAAACAAAAGGAGAAGGAAAGGAAAACAAAGATCAAGGAGTAACGAAAACCATAATACTGCTGCATTCATCATATGGTAAATAAGGCTATTGAGTTGCATACATATTCTTATTGGGGATAAAGACTAAAAAAATTACCTCATTTACTCCTCTAGCAAATAAATACTTGACCGCAGCAATATGCCAACAATGGTTACAATGGTAATTCTCAACTCTTTCAGCAACAGTGAACTGCTTCAGGCAATCCTCCAAGTTACATCCAACCATCTAAATAGAAATAAATTAGATTAAGAAGAAAAAGAATTGCAAAAAGGTGACATTTAGTTTTAGAAGAGAACAATCATAAGAACAGAAGTTCAGTGATAGGCTCAAACATACACAATATCAAAGAGTGAAAACTTCAGTTCACATACAATTGTCTCACCACCATCACGAACTGGCGAAAGAGGCAAACTGTGAAAAGATTCCAAATTCAATGATATCTGCAAAATAAAAGAGGCGAGATCGGAAAGATACAAAATTTAATGATGCCTTAAATAAAAAGATAAATCATGGCTGAAGAATTGAACAGTGGCAAGTGAAAGTGGTATATTGTGAACAAATAACTTCATTTGTTAACATTTCGCACCCAAAACATAACAAGACAGCCTACTACGATGACCAAGACTGAAAGATGCAAAATTCGAAACAATTTAAGGAAAATTAGGCATGTGAAATTTGCTCAAGTTCAAAGGAGTGGATTTTGGAAACAGAAACAGTAGCACACCTACCAACGCCAGAGTTACAAATAATAAACTGTGCATATGTGGGAACATGAGATTAAGTATAACTCAAATAAGTGTTTCATAATATGAAGTTCCTTTAAAAAGTCATGTGAACCTGCGACGAACAACTTCGACATGTTAGGATGCTACCCAGAATTCCATCAAATGGTCCAAGGTAGTGTTGTTGCCATCTTGCCTTTTCACTCTGGTTCTCCATTCTCTTTGGAGTAATAATCCTACAATTAGAAGCAAATACTTCTACTAAAGAACATTGATTTGGAAGATAACAATCTGAAAATTCTTCTCTTAAAGAGGACAGAAGATGAAGAAATGCTTCTGCTGCATCCTACGTGCAAAAGTATTATGTATTAGACATTCAATTTTAATTTGCTCAAGTTGTGCATAGAAGGCAAAATAACACCTGCTGGCTTGTTAGATCGAAATTCTGAATATAATGTGCCATTGCAAGCATGACTCTTCGTGGACTTAATACAACTCTTCCTCCACCAACTACACGTAAATCTACAGAAATACTATAAAATTAATATGGTACACCTCATAGAAAAGCCAGAAAGTTATTAAATTTTTAAGACATGATGATATATGACTTCATTTTATGTCTTACTAAACAAAGTAGTATACCAAAAGGCATTTACATTTCCACTCAAACAAAATTCAAGTGATTCTAATAGGTTTGAAGCTAACCTTCTAATAAAGCAGCCAATGCTATTGCAAGAGGAAATCCAAAAACCTCATCCTCAACTGCTGCGAACTCATATTCCTCTAAAACCTTTTGAAGAAAGGGTTGAAAGTATGAACAGCTAGCCAGAGCCTGAGAAATTTTCAAGGGAGAAAAGAAAACCAACAATAAATCACACAATCATTATAAACTACAGAACTGCATTCATTTTGAATTTGCTATGAGAAACACACACAGACGCACATAATCTTCTCTTTTATGTTTTTAGAAATTATTTAACCTAATCAAAGGTATTAATCAAGAGTCTGACAACATAATCTCTCTCTGTGTGATCGATTTCCATCGACTCAAACACGTATCAGTCAACAAACACTTCAGCACACGTGCAAGAATGCATATAATGTTATCTTTTATGTTTCCAGACATAATTTAACCTGTTAGTGGGGCTGTGTTTGCGTGTGTGTGATCAATCTCATATTATTTAACCTGATCAATGGTGTTAACGTAGAGTGTATGTGTATATAACCGATTTCCATTTCCAAGCAGTTTATAAGACAGCAAACGCAATCAAACTGAAGTATTTGTTTTTCTGCTTTCCCTCCTTTGCTCTGTATTCTTAGAAGGCAACCATGCTACAAGAAAACCCAGGGAAACCACATACTCAAGTGTTACCTGTAAAATCACATTAAGAAAACAATTATTTCCAAGGTTTTGCAAGCCAGGTACCAAGCGCAGCTTCGGAGAACCATTGTCAGTCTTGGGCAGCCAGTCTAAGCTGCTTCGCCTGCTCAATTTCGAGTCTTTGAGAGCTAAAACAAAACCAGCAATACCCAGAAGACCAGCCACAGATATGTGAAACCCAGAAGATGAAATCAAGTTCGAACGAGAAAGAGCCTTAAACCCATGTTCGAATTGGCGAATCAAGGACTTCAAAGTTACCTCTTTTTCAAACTTCATTCTATCTCAATCTTTGGTACTCCGAATTTAGAGGACCTACACACAGAGAGTGCAGAGACAGTGAACTAAAGAGAGAGGAACAAGAGTATTGCAAAACTGGGAAAGAAAACAGAGATTTCTCTGCAGAAACGTATATCAGCTTCTATGTGTAGATAAACAGAATGGTTTACCCTGAAACCCTTTAACAATTTGAGGTTGCCAGAAACCCTCCTTCTTTGCCTTCAATATCAAAATAGTTTGCGTTTCTATAACTGGTGTCTGAACGTTCTCTAGGAGGAGGCTGTTTGGAAGTGAGCTTCACCATACAATAATTTTCATTAAAAATTCAAGTATTATTATTTGGAAAAACACTTAGAAGTAGGCTAGTGAAAATGGCCCAAGCCTGATGGGCTGGCCCAAACTAGGCCCCATTTTTTGGGTTATGGTTTGGCCCGTTGTAAAAAGGATAGGGTCTGGACTACAATTTCGAAGCCCATAAACTGCCACGTCCGCCCGATGTTTGAGTTAGTAAATAATATCTTTGTAAACTAATTTTATTCACCACCTCTCTAATACGAGTGATTATAGAATAATACGGTAGTACAGTGTACATATTATACATGTGTTATAATATAAGTGGATATTTATTGGTACTATTACCTAAAATAGAGGAAAATAAGCTATGTCGTCCACATACATTATAGCATGTGTACAAGATGTATGACGTTGCCAAACTGCCATATTATTCTATAATTTCTCATCTAATAGAGGTGGGCCTACCAGTATTAGAGACTTGATCAATAATGTGGTCATGGTACAAATAGCAGCACTCATAATTATGTTTGTATTTAATTAAAAGATTTGAAAGAAAATAATGATAATTTAATATTAATAATAATTAGCATTTTGTTGAACCAAAAAATTTCAATAAAAAACAAATTCAAATGTGGAATTGGATAAGTCCCACAACTTTAAGTGGGTTTGATTGTAACAACCAGAACCTAAATTAATATTTAATTATTAATTTATTCAATTAAAAGACAATTTTACAGAATATTTTAATGATTTAAAATTTGACTTTTTCATTCGGGAAGGAATTTGGGGATTTCAGTTATACCGTAGCGTAGAGCACGTTGAGATGAGTTCGTAGACACGTGGGCTCAAATCCAAGTTGTAAGAAGGATACAATCAAATTCACAAAGGGACAAAATTGTGATTTTGCGAAACTATTTTTTTTTAAACCAGATTTTCTCTCTCTCTCTCTCTCTTTTCAACATCACGACCCCCCCTCTGACTGTAACAGCCGTGACTGTTCCAAGTCACCACCACCGCCACCGTCCATGACACACCTCGAGACCGGTCCTATTCGAACCGACTCAACGTCCTGGTCACACCACACCCAAGATCCCGGTTGGAAACCTCGAATTCCGGCCACGATTTCTACTATTTCAGTCGGGAACCATTCATGGTGGATCAAGTATGATTTCTCACCCATTTTTTGAGCCCTAGCTGCTTGTTGGGTAGGATTGGATTGATTTTGAACCTAGGTATTCCAATTTAAAACCCAGCTTTTTGGCCAGATTTCAAATTGAAATTATGGCCAGTTGCCATCCAAATTGGACCTTCCCACTGTTGAAGAAAATGGTCCACTTCTCGAGTAGAAGCTGTAGGTGGAGCGGTGAGTGGCGGTGTGGAGTTTTTTTTGGTCGCCGGAATTAACCTACACACCCACGCGCTGCCGGCACGTGTGGCGGCTTGTGGGTAATGTAGTGGGGTCACATTTTGTTCCAATATGAACCCCGTGTCATCCCGAGTGTGTAGGTGTGCGCGAATCCCAATTTGGATATCGTTTGAACCTCGAACGGATTTACGCCTATTGTGCATTATTCGTGTTCGGACCGTTGAATCGACTTCAATTTAATATATGTTGATCTAGGAATTCCTAGGATTGTGTAGGGATTCGTAGATTGAATATCGGAGTCCCGGATACCATGGTTCAATAATTTAAAGTTTAGATAAACGTTAACCGTCCAATCATGTGATCGTGAGTGATTCGACCGTTCGATTCAGACCAAACTTGTAGGGCAAATAGATTAAACCTTGTTGAATCTGTAGGCACTCTTGGATTGAAAATCGGAGGTTGTGGGCCCCGTGGGCCCAGTTTGACCCAATTTAGAAAGTTTGACCTTCGTTTGACCTTGAGTCTTCTGAGATAATATCGCCCTTCGCGTAGTGCTAGAATGACTGTGTAAACGAGGCTTGACTGTCTGCGAACCATTTTGATTATGTTCGAATTACGAGTTTATGTTATATTGTTTTATGATATTCTTGGGTGGTATGATATTCGAAGTTTATCTTGTTACTTAATTATTTATTATCATTATGAGAACTATATAAGTATATGTTTGGGTGATATTGGAGTATTCAAATGTTTATGAGATATTATGTAATCGCTTTTGCTTTCTAGGGATACTATATTGAGTTTGGTTTTGAAGAGCTGGGAATGGATTGTTAATCGGTTTGAGAATGATGAATTATAAACACTAGTTCTCAATAGTATGTGGTGTTAATTCAAAGGTAGTTGAGAACTGATTTTCTGGAAGTTGAGAAAAAGGATTTGAAATATGGATTTGTGGAATAGGATTTTCAAACCCACCATAGGAGTATCCACCTCCCCCCCCCCTCAAGTTGCCTTGAAATAGTTTTGTTATTTTTGATAATGCCCCACGAGTTTCGGGGACACCTGAACAATGTGGCGCGAGGATTGCGATTTGGGTTGACTTGGTGTCTCCGAGGATTACGAGGATTGCGGCTTGGGTTGACTTGGTGTCTCCGAGGCCTGCGAAGAATGTAGCTCGGTTAACTTTGTGTTTCCGAGGCCTGCGAGGATGGAACTTACAAGATACTTGGAATTGACGGAATATAAATGGGGGTATGCCTAGGTGGAAGAGTATTTGGGTATAAGATGTTTAACTAATATTGATGATATTATCTTGGTATTTTTGAAGTAAAAGTTTAATACCTATTTTATGATTAAGAGACAAGGGTTGAGAATTTCTTAAATTTTAAGGATTTTATACAGTTCACCATTATTTTCTTAAGTGATGAGTTTGTTTTACAAGTAAAATAGGAAAATATATATATATATTCCAATTAATTTGTTGACATATATATATATATATATATATAATGAGCCTTATGTGAGTTTGGTAGGAAAGGATAAAAGTGTCTTCGGAGCTTGTTGGTTTTATTTTTATTTTTATTTTTCATTATTATATATATATTTTTTAAGCCAATAATATACAAATTGATTTATGAATTAGAGGAAGTTCAGTGAGTGGCCTACTTATGTACTGAGTATGAATTGTTCTGAGAATTGGGAAAGTTGAAAAGTATATACTTTAGAGCTTGTGAATAATGGTGAGCATATCACTAACATGAGAACTAGAATTGTTTTGCAATCACATTGAAAGAACTATGTGTGGCTTGATCCCTTGTTAAGGGTACGTAGGCAACCTAGAGTTACTAGGTGCAGCCGCGAGATCAAGTGATTGAAAAGCTGTTCAGTTAAGTTATTTTGAAATCTGTTAATGTACTTATGTTGTTTTAAAGGTTGGGATCACTTTCAGTTGGCAGAACGATTTATCTTATTTAAAGAGGCCTGAGGTCATGATAGGGTCGCAAAGTTCATTTCACGCCAATGAGATTCTGAAATTTATATGTTTATTATTTCAAAATTTATATTAGTAACTGAGATCTTTCTTTTATGCTCAAAATCTTGTTGAGGTTGTTAGTGATTGATTGAGAAGTTCAAAATTTAAGGGAAGTTTATAAATTCTTTATTATCATTCTCACTTGTGAGCCTAATATGATATTATTTGCATTAAGTGGCGGCTACGGTATATATATCAACCCAACTTATTTGTACACCTCCTTTTTTGCTTAGCCTGTCATGAACGTTATCATGCCAATATCTTTGGACTTTGGTATGTGACATATGTTTGGTTGTATGTCAAGAGAAACCAAATGTGGAAGAATTGATTTCATTGTTTATTTACAGAACAAGAGTTACAGCTTTATAATAGAATTGTACATGGCATTCCTATTCTATTTCCTACAATTACGACTAACCAAATACAAAACAAGTAAGTAAATAACAAAGAATCAATTTACAATGTTGACTGCTTATTTTGTGCGATCTTCTTTAACACTCCCCCTCAAGTTGGAGTGTATATTTATGACACCCAACTTGCTAAGCAAAACTTCAAATTGTGTTGAACTCAATGGCTTAGTGAAAAAATTAGCTGGTTGATTCATGGTTCGTATGTAAGCTGTTCGTATCATCCCTTCTTGAATCTTTTCACGCACTAGGTGACAATCTATCTCTATATGCTTCGTTCATTCATGGAATACCGGATTGGAAGCAAAATGCCCATCAGCTTGATTGTCATAGAAGAGTATAACTGGTTGTGTGTGATTTACTCTCAAATCCTTTAAGATGTTCTTCAGCCATGTAATCTCACAATAAGTGGTAGCCATAGAACGATACTCTGCCTATGGACTTAATTGAGATAAAGTGCTTTGCTTCTTCGTTTTCCAAGAAATTAGTGCTTGGCCGAGTAGAATGCAATAACCAGTCATCGACCTTCTTGTATCGGCACATCGAGCCTAATCGACATCACAAAATGCCCGTAATTGTAATGAACCTGTGGAGGGTAAGAGAATTCCTTGCCCAAGTGTTTGCTTGATGTATCTAAGAACCTTATGTGCTGCTTCAAGGTGTGGCTACCGGGTTTATCCATGAATTGACTCAATATATGAACTGCATAAACTAGATCAGGCCTTGTGATGGTCAAATAAATTAAGCTACCTACAAGCCTTCTGTATGAAGATGGATCATTCAGTAGCCTCCCATTTGTCTGTGTCAGTGACAAATTTTGTTCCATAGGAAACCGTGAAGGTTTAGCACCTAGGAACCCGGCATCATCCAATATTTCCAACGCATATTTTCGTTGACACAAAGTAATACCATGTTTTGACCTTGCAACCTCTATCCCCAAGAAATATTTAAGCTGACCCAAGTTTTTAAGCTTAAATCTCTTAGAAAGAAATTGCTTAGTGTCCTCAATGTCCTGCAAGTTGTTGCCTGCCAATATCACATCATCAACATAGACAAGTAATGCTATGAAGCTAACTTGACGATTTCAGACGAACAATGAGTAGTCTAACAATGATTGATGAAATCCAGCAGCTTTGAGAGTGGTTGACAGTTTGAGAAACCATTGTCTCGAGGCTTGCTGTTGGTAATTTTTAACAACAATATTTAAACCTTGCAAGTGCACAAATCAAATGATAGTATAGTAAGCAAGCAAGGGTCATTCCCACAGAGATTGTAATCTAGAGAGATGTTTATCAATGTCGCGCAACGAAAACACAAGGACTTCCACACACACACGCCAACACCAAGGGGGGTTTTTATTTGATTTTGTGAATAAAACAAAATAAGGAAAACAAAACAAAACAGAATTTAAATTAGAGTTTAAGAGAAATTGGTTTATAATCAATCAAGAACAATAGCTAGGACTCACTATCCACCTCTAACCAATCAATCAATTCATAAACAACAATAGATAATCAATTTCTAGCAATCATATGATGACGACACTCACAACAAGATCATGGCATTTGACTCGAGTTGTATGATTCTCTCTTAAGTGCATGTAAAGTGTATGGCATTTACATCAATACGTGTATTCTTAATTGAAATCTAGTATGGCATTTACTCAAATTAACAATCAAGAATCCATTAAGATCAAAGAGAATATGAGTGTCACAAAAACCCTAAAACATGGCATTTGTTATTAGGAATTCAAGAATCGATTTCTCATAACTAGTTCTTAACCCAATTATTCGTTGCAAACAAGAACACATTCAATATGGCAATTGACCTATGTTCTACAACAATTTAATTCCAATACATGCTTCAAAGTTAGCTACTCAAAGAAACAAAATATCAGAATTCACAAAACATAGAGAAACCGAAATCATCACACTTGTAGAAACTGAAAATCCATTCAAACTTGTTTATAGAATTGAAATCATGTTTAGGGCTTCAAGATTAAGCCCTAACTAACAAGAAATTAGTTACTCATGCTCTTGGATGAACTCAAAATAAATACATAAGAACTGAAACTTAAAAGAAGAAAGGAAAAGAAAGAACTCGTTGGCAGCTTTCTCCTCTTACGCGGTTGATCCCTTTTGGACGTGAATCTGTATCTGGGGCCTTGGCTGGCCTTTTATATCACTTATATCAGAGTTCTAAAACCCTAAAATTGACTGACAAGTCGTCCAAGAAGTCTTGGTAAACAAGGAATCCAAATAGGAAAGTAAAAATCACAATTCCTAACTCCACAGGGAAATACAGCTCAGCCCAATTGTCACACGATTTGGGGATCTTCGGCCTTGCAGAAAAATCATTAAAAATATATTTTAGAAAGATAAATGTCTTATCTTTCCAACCATATATAGCACGTAACTTGGAAAATTCGGGAAGGCTTCCATTTCTTCACATTCACGTAACATGTATGAAACTGTCTTGTCTGCACGTGGGCTAACTTTACTTGTAATACTGTACCAATTGGCTTGGTAGAAAATTCTAGAAAAATCACAGATTGAACTTCAAGATGTTAGCTTTCATCTCCAATTGGCCTTGCTCTAAAATTCCTCCGAAAAGTTGATTTTTCCTTAAAAACCTTCTAAGAGCGCAGAAAAGCTGAAAATCAGAAAAGTAAAGTAATAAGCCCTTTTTAAATCTAATTCTCCTACAAAACCTAAGTAAAAAGAGTACATAAATGAGTATATTTATGGACTTATCACTTGCTTTAGTCCACACAAGGATGTTTAATTTACACACACGAGTCTCCCCCTTTCGTCGGAAACCAAGAGGCAAGGTCATGTAGACATCCTCATCAAGATCACCGTGCAAGAACGCATTGTTCACGTCTAGCTAGTTCAAGTGCCATCCTTGTAAGGCTGCAATGCTAAGAAGCACACGAGCGGTCACCAATTTCTCCACAGGGGCAAATGTTTCCCTATAATCAACACCCACTATTTGACTATACCCTTTCGCCACTAACCAAGCTTTGTACCGCTCGATGGTCCCGTCTGGTTTTAACTTGATTTTGTAAACCCACTTGCATCCAATGGGGCGTTTACGAGAGGGCAAGGGCATGAGAGTCCACGTTTTGTTGGCTTGGAGAGCTGCAATTTCATTTTGCATGGCATCTCGACACTTTGGATCTGTAATTTCCGGTGAAAAACTTGTGGGTTCTTTGAGAAGAGTGAGGTGAGTGGTGAAAGATTTATGAGCAGAAGAAAGTCAATCATAGGACAAAAATTGTGAAAGGGAATAAGCAGTACCTGAAGATTTGACCACGTTCGTAAAAGATGAAGGTGCTAGTTTGGATGGGAGGGCTGCCTTGACATGAAAGTCCTGCAAAAATGATGGTTGCTTGGTTTGACATACCCCATGTCGTAACGGTGGTGGTGTTGAAGAAGAAGAAGATGTGGGTGACGGTGAAGATGGAGTGATAACATTTTTTGTAGTATCAGATGATGGGGTTGCAGAAGGTGGGGCGGTGATCATGTCTTCTTGTGGTATTGGGTAAGAAGAAATCGCTTCTGATATGTGGGCTAAAGATTTTGGCTCTGGGAAAGAGTCAACATCAAACGTCAAAAGGGGGGCATGAGGTTGTGGAAATGGATGTCGTGCAGCGGAATGAGCATGATTTTGAAAGGGGAATATTTCTTCGAAGAAAGTAACATCCTGTGAGACAAAAACCTTTTTGAAGATGGGATCAAACACACGATACCCTTTCTGACCATAAGGGCATCCAAGAAAAATACAACGAGTGGCACAAGGGTGAAATTTTGAAGGTTTTTGTGCATGGGTGGAGACAAAACATAAACAACCAAATACCCTTAAGTGAGAATAATTAGGAGCTTGATGAAACAATTTCTCATATGGCGTTTTACCATGAAAAAGAGGGGTTGGTGTCAGTGGCGGAGCCAGGAATTTATGTGTTGGGGGGCCAATATATAAACCAAACAAGACATTAAAAAATTTCAAATTTTCAACCTTAACAATGTTTGGAAAAATTAAAGGCAAAAAATAATTGTTTATTCAATTAGGTATCAAAATAACACTCGTCGTTCTTTCATATCTCGAAAACCATCTATAATTGAGTCAACGCTAAACTTTTCTGCAATTTCCCTTTCGATGTACATAATCAAAGAGTCTGTGAGAAATTTGTCTTCCATCTTGTTACGGAGCCTAGTTTTTACTATACCCATAGCAGAAAATGATCGCTCTGCAGTTGTTGTAGAAATAGGAAGAGTAAGCACAAGAACAACCACTCTATAAACAAGTGGATATGTCGTTGATCTTCTAGTCGTTACCATCCATTGAGATAGATCAGAAATTGTTGACAAGTTTTGAACTCTGGAAGTCTAACGACGTCACTCTCAAAATGTTGAAGTTGTCTTCTCAAACCTATCTTCTCATGATCTTCAAAGTCTTGTGGATAGAACTTATCTACCAATTGACAAATATCATCAATCCTAAAAGATTTATTCACTTCACGAGGATCCAAAGCCGACCCCATAATAAGCAGCTCTGTTGTTTGATCACTAAATCTGCTATTTAATTCTTGAAGTTGAGAATCTATTGTAGCATAAAAAATATCTATCATATAATAATGCTTAATCGTAAAATCATCTTGTTGATGGCGAGCTCTACCTCGTCTTGCAACATAACGAGCATTCATATCTAGTATATCTATGTTCCGTGCTTCACAAAAAGAATTCACCTTGGTAAGCAAAGAATCCCATCCATCATCTCTTAATTCTTGGATGAGTGCTTTAGTGGAAGAAACAAGATTCATGGCATTTATGATGTCTTGGGATTGACATTGCAAAGCTTGACAAAGATCATTAGTGATCTCCATAAGTTCTTTCATAAGATGTAAGATAAAGATAAATTCATATGAAGTCATTGCCTCATAAGCTGCATCAGCATCTCCTCGTTGAGAATAAGTAGTTCCGTTATCAATTATATTAATTAGAACTATGCATGTTGCACTAAACATATTTACCAAGCTAGTAATTGATTTCAAATGAGAACCCCAACGAGTATCACCAGCACGTTGTAAGGTGCCAATTTGGTTCATTCCTTTCCCAGTCTCGAGCTCACCAATTGCAATCATGTGCTCAATTTCAGCAGCTTGAGCATTTTTCAGTTCATCATTACGCTTGCATGAAGCACCAACAATATTGACAATAGAAGTCAATTTAGTGAAAAAGTGGTGAACATGAATAACTTCTCTTGATGATGCAATTAATGCCAATTGTAATCGATGTGCTAAACAATGAACATAGTAAGCATATGGGCAATCATTCAAAATCAAAGCTTGTAACCCATTCCATTCACCTCGCATGTTACTTGCACCATCATATCCTTGTCCTCTAATATTTTGAATATTTAGTGAATTATAAGACAATATAGAGTATATACCTTTTTTTAGAGTTAATGCCTCAGTGTCTGACACATGAACAAGCCCAAAAAAGCGCTCCTGAATAAGACCTTCTTTGTCAACAAATCGCAACACTATAGCCATTTGCTCTCTCTTGGATTCATCACGCGCTTCATCAACAATTATACAAAACTTTGATTCCCCAATTTCTTCACAGATTGCTTTCTTCACTTTAGTTGAAAAAACATGTAAAATTTCTTTTTGGATCTGTGGTGATGTGTAAGAGGCATTTTTGGGAGCTTTATCTAAGATAACTCCAGCAACTCTTTCATTATATGCAGCCAATATTTCTAACATTTGAAGAAAATTTCCACGATTGATTGAATTCTTTTTTTCATCATGGCCTCTGAAAGCACATCCTTGGAATGCAAGCCACCTGACTGCTTCAATTGTTGCTTTAAGTCGTAGTCGATTGTCTGCAATTTGTTGGGAAGAATAATTCTCAACGACTTTCTGTATATGCTGGGATTGATTCATCAAATCCAAACATGATATTTCAGCAATCTTATGGGGGGGAGTTAGGATCTTTCCCCTCGTGATTTAGAAAAGAACAATTTTTTCCATCTCTAACTTTCTTCCAACTTTGAAATCCCTCAAGAGTGAAAGCATTTTTTCCAGAATGTCTAGATGGTTTGTTAAAAAGATAGCACGGTAGACAAAAAGCTGCATCTTTCACAGGTGAATATTCTAACCACGAAGGAAATAATTTGAACCATGAACTTTGAAAGCTACGCTGATGAGTTACTGATCCAGATTTTGGATACTTGGAAAGTATAGGTTGGTATGGACCGACGTTAATGTAAGCTCGTCGAATTTCGTCACGTTGATTAACAGGATAATTCCATATTTGCGGACGTAGCCCTGGGTCGCGCTCTAAAGTACTAATATCAACTTCATTATCAATAGTCTCAATTCTTGGAGATCCATAACGATTTTCATATGCTATTGTCTCAATATTATAATCAGGTACAGATGAGGTAACTTCAATATGTTTTCTTTTGAAAAATCCATCAATTTTAGGTTGTTTCTTCATCTACAAACCAATTACAAATTTTATTAAGGACATGATAAATTATACCACAAACCAAAATAAAAAAATAAAATCATGTTCTATGCATAGAACATATACAAATATATTCTCATAAAAAGTAAATAAACAAAGGAAAAAAAAATTATGACTGTAAAGTTATCTAACCTGGAATTAGAAATTCTGAAGTAGGAGGTTGGAGAGCAAACAACCAAATTCAATTATTTTCTTTTGTTGTGTGCGGCTGCTTCGAACTAAGTTCATGTTGCTTTATATAGGAACAAAAATTAAAATCTCAATCCTTTTTTATTTGGGTAAAAGTCTATTTCCTATTTGATAAAGGAAATTTTTTGAAACTTTATTTGATTGACTGTTTTAACTTTTTTATTAATATATTGATGGACATGAGATTCTACTTTTTAAAAAACCAAAACTGGCGTGAGGATAGAAACATTCACAACCTTCAGTCAAGTGGCAAGTGGTTATTATTATATATATATTTAATTGGAAAGAGAAACACATCTTGAGGGGGCCACAAGCAAAATTATCATATTTACTTTCTAAAATCTATAGGAACAGAAGACCACAAATCAAATATTATGAAACTTTTGGGGGGGCCCAGGCCCCTTCAGGCCCTCATATAGCACCGCCACTGGTTGGTGTTCTATTTATGAGATATGTTGAAGCACGAATTGCATCTCCCTAAAACTGTCTAAGAAGCCCAGCTTGAATAAGCAAGGCTCGTGCCACATTGAGCAAATGCCTATGTTTGTGCTCAGCAACACCATTTTGTTGTGGTGTGTTGATGCGACTAGATTGATGAACAATGCCTTTAAGGGCATAAAAATTTTCAAGTTTGAACTCAAGACCATTGTCACTACGCACTATTTTGACCTTAGAATTGAATTGAGCCTCAACCATGTGAATGAATTTAACTAGAAGATCCCTTGTATCAGATTTATGTTTCATCAAATAAACCCATGTACTCCGAGTAAAATCATCTACGATAGTGAGAAAATATTTTGCACCAGAAAGAGAAGCAATTTTATAACCACCCCAAATGTCAACATGTATCAAATCAAAACATACTTTACTGGAAATGGAACTTAATGGAAACGGTGACCTTGTTTGTTTGGCCAATGGGCAAATTAGGCACTTGTCTGTATCACAAGATTTATTTTTGGAAAAGGGAAATAATTGAAAAACTTTCTTTGAAGGATTTCCGAGGCATTGATGCCAAAGACCAGAGGCTAGAGTTTGAACGGAGTTGCATGTTCCTTTCTTTGCTTGATCGAGATAGTAAAGTCCCTCCTGCTCAAATCCCGTCCCAATCATCTTCCCTGAGCGCAGGTCCTGTATGACACAAAATTGTCTTAGAAACATTGTGATACAAGAGGAATCTGAAGCTAACTTGCTAATGGAAATTAGATTGAGTAGAAAAAGTGGTACGCAGAAGACGTTATTTAGAATGAAATTGGGAGAGAAAACAATCTGTCCAATATGGGTGACTTGAGCAAAGGAACCATTTGGTAATTCAACAATATGATTTTCAACCGTCTTTGAATGTGTAAGCAAATCAGGGCTACAAACCATATGATTCGTAGCACCACTATTCAAGATCCAAGTGTTCTTCTTGCCATTATAAGTGAGGGAAAAAGATTTACCTGAAAGTTCTTCGTGATTGGACATTGTCCCCTTTGTGTTAGATGCATATGAAAAAGGGAAATTGGACATTGTCCCCTATGAAAAAGGGAAAGTTCTTCGTGATTGGACATTGCCTCCTATGAAAAAGGGAAATTGGACATTGTCCCCTTTGTGTTAGATGCATATGATGCAACCTGGTTGCCCTTTGAGAGACTACCTTGCTTAGCCTCTAATGTTGTCGCTCTCTTGCAATAGTAATCGAATGAGTGACCTTTCCAGCCACAAAAGGTGCATTTGAGATGAGCACGGCAATTCTTGGTGCTGTGATTCATCTTGTTGCATTTTGCACACCGAAGGCCCCTCTCTTCTTATTCAGACTCATGACTTGGGTTCTTTACGGCAAACACGACTGCTTCTGGTTGGGTAGAAGTTTTCCCATTAGATATCTCTGCCTGCCTTTCATGTTGAAGGACCAGCGAATACGCTTTGTTTACTGTGAGTAATGGTTCCAATAAGAGTGTGTTACTACGAACAATGGCATATGAGTCGTTTAGACCCATGAGAAATTTCATTGTTTTCTGAGTCTCTATGTATGAAGCACTCTCCTCGGTTGTTCCGCAGCTACACGCAGAAATTGAGCACAACGCGTCTCGTTCATCCCAAAGGCTCTTAAGTTTAGTAAATAGGAACTCACAGTCATGCTACCTTGTATGCAATCATGATTTCATTCTCGATATGGAAAAGCTGAACGATATTCACATGAGAAAATTGCTCTTGGAGATCAAGCCACATCTGGCTCGCGTCTTTGCAATGAATGACGCTGCCAGCAATTTCCTTCGACATCGACCCCAATAGCCATGTCTTGACTAAATTCTTGCAGCGCTTCCATTGCTGCAATTCATCAGGTTCATCCCCACTTGGTTCTTTGATTGACCCATCAACAAAGTCAATCTTGTTCTTGACTGTTAAGGCCATGCTCATGGACTGAACCCATGTGTTGTAGTTATCTTCTACCAAAGGCTACGGGACAAGGATTACGCCGGGTTGGTCCGCATGATGAAGGTAGAGAGGGTGGTTGGGGTTTTCCCATTTTGGCTTTGAAGGCATGCATGTGTCGGTTGACTTCTTTTCGGTGCTGTCGCCCATGGCTATGCTGCTAGGGTGATGTTTGTGTTTGGTTAGGTTTATTCAAATTGTTGCTCTGATACCATCAAGAGAAACCAAATGTGGAAGAATTGATTTCATTGTTTATTCACAGAACAAAAGTTACAGCTTTATAATAGAATTGTACATGACATTCCTATTCTATTTCCTACAATTACGACTAACCAAATACAAAACAAGTAAGTAAATAACAAAGAATCAATTTACAATATTGACTGCTTATTTTGTGCGATCTTCTTTGACAGTATGAATTCCATTTTTGTGCATGCTAAATGATTGTGGTTATAAATTACTTTTCGTACATGTGTAAAAAATTTGGGAAACAAGTATTTACAAGGGAGACTCTGCCAAATTTTCGGCAGAAGTCAAACTTGAGGTTTATTTTGGTTTTTGTTAGAAGGGAAATTTGGTCAATTATGCTCGGCACCTGCCAGGAGTCGGACATGCACAGGGTTCGGCTCAGATTCCAAAGTGGAATTTGGGTTGGGTCCTGTCATTGATACCCACGTGCATTGAAACAACAAAGAAGTCAAATTGGCTTTCATCTTGTTCCTAGAGAAAAGAAAGGGATCGGGTTTTCAAAAATTGTGGGAAGAAAGCTGTTGGGCTTTTCAAAATGGAGTTTATTTTATCGTCAGTCTCAAAGCTAGCTAATAAATAGCATGACATGGCTGGAGATAAAGGAGTTTGACCAACCAATGAAAACTCTCAAGAGAGGTTGGCGGTTCCTGTTTTGGTGGACCTGATTATTAAATGAAGAGTCATTCACAAAAGAGATCTCTCATGTTTAGCCTACAAAAGCATAGCTATAGAACCCGCAAATCAAACAAGTGGATGGCAATCCATGTTGGGTGGCCACCCGCAAATCAATAACGCTCTACCTAGAAAACCTCAATGCTCTATCGAGCAAACCTCAACGCTCTACCGAGCAAATCTCAACGCTCTGCCGAGCAAACTTGGATGACAAATCCATTGTGGGAGGAAACCCCATAAATTTCCATTTGATGATAAATCCATCTTAGGTACAAAACCCACAAACAAAAGATTGGGAGAAAAACCCATGAATCAAATATTGGGTATTTAACCCTCGAGAATGAAGCTTGGATATTTACCCATCACCAACAACAATCAATTAATCACATTCATCACTACCAAATATTATTGATGCTCTTGTGCATTTTTATGTTCTTGCGGCCAACAAACAAGAGAAAATCTATTGAGGCAAGGCCTTACCAATTCCATTTGCTAATTCATTAAAATAATAATTGATCATATAACAAATGCTCTACTCAAATAAGGAGAAGCTGAGATGTTTTGTACAAGGTCAAGTTTTCCAAAACAAAGCTCAAGATATCAAGTTCTAATTATTACTCCTACAAACAATATAAAAAGGGGAAGTCCGCCACTTTGCTACAAGTTTTAGTATTGTTAAATTCATATTTGCTCCATTATATATGAGACGATGAGGGAAAATGGAGGTTTGGCGAAAGAAACAAAACAATAAGCAATTAAATCTTCTTCATTATGTGCAGACAACTTTGAGAGCCAACCCAAACTAGAGAACAAAATCAGGAAGGATAACTTGTGGCACAGTCCCAAATTGACGAGTCTACTAGCCCTTTCTCAAATTACGAGTGCCTAGCTCCTGACACTCCTTTGAAACACCATTTCTACAAGTAAATAAAAGAAACTCTCTTAGCAACAAAGTAAGAGGGTAATCTTGGGTCATTTTGCGGTCAAGACCACATGCAGTAAAAAATGGCCTACAAACTAAATGCGGTCAAGATAAAATTACAGCCAAGAAGAGGAAGATCTCTGTGCTTTGATTTTTACCATTCATCACATAATAGATCAAGGGGAGTCTTAGGCTTGCATCACAAACAAGCTCACAAGACAACTTTCTCTTCGTGTCGTTTTACTATTTAATTGAAATCCAAAGATCAGCACTTGTTACCAAGCCATAAAGGCTCAAGTAGCATGAAAGCTAAATTCGATAACTAAGGAAATAAGAAATCAGTTGGTGACACCAAAAGCACAAAAGCCCAATTCAGAACAAAAGTCCTAGTAGGAAATATTGGAAGTGGCTAGGAAGCTATTCAGAAAAGAGTGCTGGATGACTCAACCATGCTGTGAGTGTGACTTCAGTCCAAATAAGTGATAGGTCACGCTCCAAGCTTCAAGCTCATTCCCAAAATACCAAAGGAGCACCAAGATGGATTAACGAGTTTTGCCAGTCACAAGAGCCCATTAATCCAAAATCCTCTAAATCATGCTTGGATACAAATGCATGTTTCAATGATCAAATTAAATTAGTGGGTTCATCAAAACTGTCCGTTAGTTTTCTTTGATATTGAAAATAAATAAAAATGGTACAAAACCATTCCAAATTTTCTCATGGGTCATCTACCATGCAAATTTCAATCAGATCAAATTCAAATCTCTCAAACACAAATTTAGTAGGCCATACCTACCCATTAATTTCTCAATTTGGAACTACATCGGTTTGATCTCATCAAGGGTACGTAGACAGTCTAGCATCCCAATAGATGCAACCGCAACTAAATTTGAATCACTGGTTATATTAACCAAATTCCCACAAATCAAATCAGTCTCTACATAAATCAATTCCGAACTACTTTGGTTTGATCCCTTTGAAAGGGTACGTAGGCAATCTAGAGACTCAATATAGATGCAACCAACCAAATCTTAAATCTAAACAGAATCCCTGGTTTATTCTTAACCAAATTCCCCCCAAACAAAATTCCATATCGAATCTTTGGTGTATTCAGCTAAATTTTCTCAAACACTTCTCAATACAATTTCAATCAAATTTTATTTGCAATGAGTCATTTATTCATACTAATTCTTTGAACTACGAGTGGCTTGATTTCCACAAGGGATACATAGGTACCCTGAGGTTGGACTTGGGAGTAGCTGCAAAACCAAACACACATGTTTTGTTTCTTTATGATGGAATCAAAGGGTGTTCCCTTGAAGCAAAGGATTGTAATTAAGAGACATTGAGTCTCGAATGGATCGAACCTAAAATAATAAAACCCCATTATTTAAATAGTGGTAGTGTTATTATGTAAGGAGGTTCACATTTTTCTTCAACATAATTTTTGGCACACTGTTGTATTTCTTCCAAGTGCCAATATATGGTTAGTATAGTGGTACAAGTAAGGGTGTCGAACCACAAGGACCGATTGGACCTCTATAAATTACTAGTTTTGAAAGAACCCTAACTAAAAAAGGTGAAAGTGACAAATTGAAAGTAGTTTTTGTGTTGTAAATGAAGAATAACTTAAAATCCAAGAAGAATGTAGCAGTGAATGATATATTGATGTAGAAAGAATAGGGATGAGACCAGGGATTTCGAATTCACCATTGCAAACCCAATTCCATGTTTATAAAGTTAAACCGTATTCAACTACCAACTTGTTTCCAGAGTTCGTTTGACATAAATATGATCAGTCATATGATATGTGGTTTTGATCAAATTCTCCTAATCTACAACATAATTGGGATGTTCAACTTTGGTTCCAAGTTAAGAGTCATTAGCATGCAGGAAAACGTTAAAGAACCAAATAAAATACACGGCGGGATGTTTGCATAGCAATCTCTTCATTCATTCACATGTCTACCAAGATTAAGCATGATGTTTACTATAACCTTGTCTAGATAATCTGTAGGCAACCCTAATGGTGATCAAACATTAAAATTGACAAACAAATTTTACAATAGATTTAGTGAATGAAATAAGAAGCAAATTTATGAACTAAATACTTTAACTTAGAAACATGGATCAGCGTTGCAAGGCTACATTGAAATTGTAACATCCCACATCGACCAACGGAGAGGGGGTGATGTGCCTTATATTTATATGTCTGCCTCCATCTAGCACGAGGCCTTTGGGGAGCTCACTGGCTCCGGAGTCAAGGGAACTCCGAATTTAAGCGAGTTGGGGCTAGAGCAATCTCAAGATGGGTGACCCACTGGAAAGTTGCTCGTGAGTTCCTAGAAACAAAACCGTGAGGGCGGAAATGGGGGCCCAAAGCGGACAATATCGTGCTACGGCAAAGCCGATCCCGGGATGTGACAGAAATCCCTAGCTATGAATTTAGTTACACATCATGTTCACAGAGATTAAAACAAAAATAAACAACATGAGTGAAAATAAACTCAAGAAAGGAAACTCTTGAACCAATTCTGATGTTGAACTTCTCCAAGAACAGCTTGCTGCGATGAGTCCTGATGGTGGAAATATATGGAACGGCTAGGGTTTAAGTGTGCATGAAAGGAGAGAAAAACCAAAAGGGTCTAGGGTTGTGAAATTCGTCCAGAATAAATAGGGTTTGTAAAAGTGGCTAAAAGGCAAGTTTTTACGGGTTAAAAGAGGCTGCAAGATATTCCAAAGAGATCCTAACAAATTAGCCTTTATTTTGCACGTTTTTGCCTTATTTGGCACCTCCAAATCAGGCAAGAAATCCTTTTTGCTTTCCCATTCTACTCTTAGTTTTCAAACAAGCCAAGTTCGCCTTATATTCTTTATTTGGACTTCAATATAGGTCACGAAACTTGTTTCCACGTTTGAATAAGGGTCACCAAAAATGACATGTTTTCATTTCTTTTGCCCTCAACTTGATCCTAAAGTCGATGCAACTGCATACTAACACAAAATATGGTAAAACACAACAAGTTTAACTCAAAAACATCACAAATAGACTAGAAATGGATGGTATAAATGTATAAATATATGAGTTATCAAATACCCACAAACCTGATTTTTGCTAGTCCTCGAGCAAAATTGAAACTAAAAACACACAGGACAATAAAATCTAACTAGACTACTTTCACTGGCTAAACGATTGCACTGAGCATGTGCAACAAGCCTTTAAACCCCTAGGTGTCCCTAGTAGGAGGAGTTGTGTCTCCTGAGGGTTTACAATGATGACGCCCACAAACATCTACATACTTGCAAGCAAATTGGTTAAAGCATACTTATAGCAATCTAATAAGAACCAATGAAAGCTTAGTCATACATTTGAACCAATAGTCTGCTACTTCAAAGAATCATATATTCGAACCAATAGTCTTTTTCTTTTTTTTTCTTTTTCTAAAACTTTGTTTCTTTTCTTTCTTTCTTTTTTTTACAATTCCAGCACACATACCTCGGTACACACCACTTTCTTGATGTAGAGCTCGAATTATCTTTGTCTTCATCACTTTAGTATTCCCCAAACTATAGGGTATAGCTATAATGGGCTAAATATTTCATATTGACATAAAAGGATATGGGGAAAAAAATGTGAGAAAAGAAAATGGCTAAAAGTGATTGGCTTCAAAACAGGGTATTGACACACACATAAAGGTAAGAAATTAGGCATTTTGGTTGTTAAGACATGCATAGCCTAACATCGTCTCACTAAGTTCATTCATGAGTGTTACCAAACACATGGTATCTGCAAAAGAGAACAATTCTTAGCATTCAATCAAACAAAAATAATGAGATCATTTGAAATGAAATTGAAACAAAAAGATAGGAGTACAAACACTTTAAACCCTCTCAAAGAAGTAAATAGGCTCAAAATCCCTCACTAGGGTAGTCTCCACAATTCTTCTTCCATAATTTGAGCATGATACTCTAATCACCATGATTCCAAGAGTAACAGCTTTGAAAAAAAATATGATACCGACTTTTTCATGACAACACAGTAGTCCTCATTGTAAACCATAGCCCTCATTACATTCACATTAGTAAGCAAATGCAAACTTTAACCAGAACTAAAAATAAACGAAAATCCCACATTCCCAAACCTAAACTAAGCATTGTCCTCGATGCTTAAAAAAAATGAATGGAATGGATGCAATGCAAATTGGCACAGTGTGCATGGAATGAAATAAAATAAAAACTAAAAACTAACACAAATAAAAGGGAAGAACACAAACCCAGCTAGGTTGCCTCCTAGAAAGCGCTTTATTTAATGTATAGGCAAGACATAGTAGTGTGTCTAAGTTGTCATAAACTCGAGAGAATCCATAACTACATAAACCTACTCCTGAAAAATATTCTCCAAATAAGTCTTCAAATGCTATCCATTGACCTTAAAACGGGTTCCATTCTTGATGTTTTCTATCTCCACAGCTCCATGGAGAAATACTTGAAGCACTTTGAATGGTCCAACCCATCTATATTTCAATTTACCTGGAAAAAGTCGCAAACGTGAGTCATACAAAAGTACTTTCATACCTGGTTGAAACTCCTTCCTAAGAATTGCTTTGTCATGGTAGAGCTTGGTTCGTTCTTTGTAGATCCTAGCATTCTCATATGATTCATTTCTGAGCTCTTCCAACTCATTAAGTTGGAGCTTCCTCACTGTACCAGCTTCTTTGAGATCAAAATTGAACTTCTTTATGGCCCAATATGCACTGTGCTCGAGCTCCATTGGCAAATGACATGCCTTTCCAAAAATCATTCAACCTTAGTGACCAATCCTTCCTTGTAAGGCTGACGGTTTTCGTCAAGATGTTCTTTATTTCTCTATTGCTGATTTCCACTTGTCCAGAGGTTTGAGGATGGTATGGAGTTGCCACTTTATCTGTGTTGTACTTCTTCATCAATGCCTCGAAAGGTTTGTTGTAGAAGTGACTGCCACCATTGCTAGTGATAGCTCTCAGAGTTCCAAACCTAGTGAAAATCATATCTTTGAGAAAATTCATGTAGTTGTTGCCTCAACCCATTTTAATACATAATCTACTGCCACTAGTAAATATATGTATCCAAAAGAAGATGGGAATGGTCCCATCAAGTCAATTCACCACACATCATGTAGCTGTTGCCTCAACCCATTTTGATACATAATCTACTGCCACTAGTAAGTATATGTATCCAAAAGAAGATGGGAATGGTCCCATCAAGTCAATTTCCCACACATCAAATAGCACTACAACTAAAATGTTGTTTAATGGCATTTCATTCTTGTGATTGATGCTCCCTATTTTGACACCTATCACACTTAGAGCAAAAATCAAAAGCATCTTTAAACAATGTAGGCCAAAAGAAACCAGATTGTAAAACCTTTAAAGATGTCTTTTTGGCACTGAAATGACCTCTGCATGCCAATGCATGACTGAATGTTAGTATGCTTTGCTGTACACTCTCCAGAACACATTTTCGAATGCTTAGGTCAGGGCAATACTTGAACAAATAGGGCTCATCCCACATGTAGTGTTTCACCATTGAAAAGAACTTCTTTCTCTCCTGAAAAGTCAAATCATCTCTAATTACACCATAAGCAAGATAATTGACAAAATCAGCATACCATGGCTCTTTATCTTGAATGACAAAGAGTTGTTCATCCGGGAATGATTTGTTGAGAGGCAAAATTTGTCCATCTCCATGGTTTTCATCAACAAGGCACGACAAGTGATTAGCAACAACATTTTCACTCCCTTTCTTGTCTCAAATTTCTAGGTCAAGCTCTTGTAACAAGAGTATCCATCTGATCAAACGTGGTTTAGTATCTTTCTTGGTCAACAAAAACCTAAGAGCTGCATGATCAGAGTAAACAACTTAGAGCCAACAAGATATGAACAAAATTTCTCTAAAGCAAAAACAACAGCAAACAACTCCTTCTCAGTTGTAGAGTAATTGAGTTAAGCATCGTTTAATGTCTGACTTGCATAGTAGATTACGTGGGGCAACTTATTTACTCTTTAACCTAAAATAGCACCAATAGCATAGTCGGAGGCGTCACACATTAGCTCAAAAGCCAAAGACCAATCTGGTGCCATAATGATAGGAGCAGAGGTTAGTTCACGTTTCAAGGTATTAAATGCAATCATACAATCTTTATCGAAGTGAAATACAACGTCTTTGGCCAAAAGATTGCACAATAGATGAGTGATCTTGAAAAAATCCTTAATGAAACGACGATAAAAACCAGCATATCCTAGAAAGCTTCTCACTCCCTTCATTGAAGTAGGGGCTGCCATATTTGAGATGATGTCAATTTTTCCTTTGTCAACTTCAATACCCTTGTTGGATCTTACATGCCCCAACACAACACCTTGTTTCACCATAAATTGACACTTTTCCCAATTGATAATCAAATTTGTTTCCTGACATCTTTGAAGCACTGGAGATGTTAAGACAATTATCAAAAGAAGAACCAAAAACTGAAAAATCATCCATGAATACCTCAATAAATCTCTCAATCATATCTGAAAAGATTGTCAGCATACATCTTTGGAATATTGTTGGGGCATTGCAAAGGCCAAAAGGCATCATCCTATATGCAAAAGTGCCAAAAGGACAAGTGAATGTAGTCTTCTCTTCATCTTCCGGAGCAATCACAATTTGATTATAACCTGAATATCCTCAAGAAAGCAATAATATGTGTGACCAGCTAATTGCTCAAGCATTTAATCAATAAAAGGGATAGGAAAATAATCTTTTCTATTGTCCGAATTCAATTTCCTATAATCGGTGCAAACACACCAACTAGTTGCAGGTCTCGTTTGAACAAGATCTTTATGCTCATTTTTTACCACTATGATTCCAATCCTCTTAGGCACTACTTGAACAGCGCTGACCCATTTGCTATCAGAAATCGAGTATATAATACCCACATCTAGCAACTTCAACACTTCAGCTCTCACTACTTCCTTCATGTGTGGATTGAGCCTTTTTTGTGGTTCACGAGTTGATTTCGCTCCCTCCTTCAATAAAATTTGATGCATGCACATGGTTGGGCTTATTCCCTTGATATCTGCAATAGACCAACCAACGGATGATTTGAACTCTTTTAGCACCCTAATTAGCTTATCTTCTTCGAAAGGGGTGAGGTCAGATGTGGATGGTTCTAATGGCTCTATAAGAGGTGAAAGAGTGGAGGGATATGGTTTTAATGCTTCCAAGGCAGCCACCATCTCCATGAGTGCAGATTCTTCATCAAAATCATTTCGAGATTGACTCAAAATATATTGTAATGGATCATTGGATTGTGCGAGCAAAAACTTAGAGAAAACAAGTGAATCAAGCACATCAATCAAACAACAATCAATTGAAATAGAAGGGTGAGAAAGAGATTCAAACACTTTGAATTGTACAGTTTCTCCTAGCACGGTCATGGTGAGGAGACCACTTTGTACATTTATGACAGTCTTTGTTGTGGCCATAAAGGGTCTCCCAAGCAAAATAGGTAACTCACGATCATGTATAGGAGCCTCTTCCATGTCCAACACTACAAAATCAGCAAGCAAAATTAGTTTGTCAACCTAAACTAAGATATCTTCCACTATACCTCTTGGATATCTCACTATTCGATTAGCAAGTTGCAATGAAATAGTTGTTGCCTTCAAATCCCCTAAACCTAATTGAAGGTACACTGAATAGGGCATTAAATTGATGCTAGCCCCCAAGTCAAGCATAGCCTTTTAAACTAGCTTGTCTCCAATGGTGATATTGATACAAAAACTGCCCGGATCCTTGAGTTTTGGTGGGAGCTTTCTTTGAAGCACATGACTCACATTTTCAGACACCATTACCTTCTTATTAGGTCCATACTTCCTCTTATAAGTGTTTAGAGTTTTGGTGGGAGCTTTCTTTGAAGCACATTACTCACATTTTCAAACACCATCACCTTCTCATTAAGTCCATACTTCCTCTTATAAGTGTTTAGCTCCTTGAAAAATTTCTCATACACTGGCATATTCCTAATGACATCGAGCAAAGGTAAATTAACATTCACTTTACTTAAAATATCAAAAATTTCTTTAAATGACTTATCCTGCTTGCCTTTGGCAAGTCTTCCAGGAAATGGGATGGGAGGAGTGTAAGGTTTTTTTCAGCCTTGTGAAAATTTGGAGCTTTAGACGAAGAAGTGGCATTGCTTGGATCGTCATTCAGTTTCTCATTCTCTTCTTGAGTGGGACCTGCAATCACATGATCAGATTCATTAGTAACTTCATTGCCAACTCCATTATTAATAACCTTACCACTTCTAAGTGTTATTACCACTTTGGCTTGTTTTTGGTTCCTTTGAAGTATCACCAGTTGGCTTAGAAATTTCCTAGGTTCTCTTTGACTCAAAGCATCAACAATCTGACCTAATTGTGTCTCCATTTTGGTTAGAGCAGCTGAATGTTGTTGGAGAGTAATATTGGTAGTTTGCTGGAATTGAACGATGTTTTGAGCTAGCATTTTGACCGTATCTTCAAGCATAGTGCCAGGCTTTGGTTGGAAATTTTGAAATTGATTGTTATTCTCTCATGAGAGATTGGGATGATCACTCCAACCAGGGTTAGATCCCAACATCTCATAAATGTTATATGACTCTTGAGCTTTTTTTTTCTTCAAAGCTCCACCTGCTGCATTATCAATAGTCGATTGACATGTTTGGGTTAGTCCATCATAAAATATTTGCATTTGTAAGTAAAGAGGTAACCCATGATGTGGACATTGTAGCAACAGCCCTTTGAAACACTCCCAACATTCATTGAAAGGTTCTCCATCATATTGTTTAAAGTTAAAGATTTGCCCTCTCAAAGTAGCTGTCTTTTGAGTAGAGAAAAACTTCGCCAAAAATTTCTTAGCTATGGCATCCCAAGTGGTGAGCGAACCAGGTGCTAAAGTCATTAGCCAACCCTTTGCTCTATCTTTCAATGTATAAGGAAAAACCCTCATCCTCATATTTGCTTCACTCAGTCCCTGCAAAGATAAACCACTCACAACATTGTAGAATTCCTTAATATGGGCTAATGGATCTTAGTTAGGTAAACCATAAAAAGAAGGAAGCATGTGAAAATGTGAAGATTTGAGATCATAATTTCTAGCTTCAGTAGGCAGCAAGATGCACGAAGGTGAATTTGGTATAACCAGTTGAGCATAATCTTCCAAAGCTCGGTTGTCATCATTATTGCCAGCCATCTCTTCTTCTCTGTCAGAATTAGAGTTATCGAAAGAATCTACACTCGCTGAACTAGAAGAACTATTGTCCTCTTCTACACGACTAGTCTGGGCACTAGCTGATACATAATTCTCAAAAGTGTTGCTCTTTAACCATTCAAGTCTTTGGCCTATCTCAACAATTATATCTGACATATACTACCTGAGAAACAAAAATAAAACAAAATTAAGGTATCTAAGATTAAAAAGAACATATATAGGGTTTGAGAACAAGCAATTATAGGGGACTGAAATCAGTACCCGGCAACGGCGCCATAATTTTGTTGTATTCCTTCCAAGTGCTAATATATGGTTAGTATAGTGTACAAGTAAGGGTGTCGAATCACAATGACCGATTGGACCTCTATAAATTACTAGTTTTGAAAGAACCCTAACTAAAAAAAGATGAAAGTGACAAATTGAAAGTAGTTTTTGTGTTGTAAATGAAGAATAACTTAAAATCCAAGAAGAATGTAGCAGTGAATGATATATTGATGTAGAAAGAATAGGGATGAGACCAGGGATTTCGAATTCACCATTGCGAAACCAATTCCATGTTTATAAAGTTAAACCGTATTCAACTACCAACCTGTTTCCAGAGTTCGTTTTACATAAATATGATCAGCCATATGACGTGTGGTTTTGATCAAATTCTCCTAATCTGCAACCTAATTGGGATGTTCAACTTTGGTTCCAGGTTAATAGTCGTTAGCATGCAAGAAAACGTTAAAAAAAGAAAATACACGGCAGTATGTTTGCATAGCAATCTCTTCATTCATTCACATGTCTACCAAGATTAAGCATGATGTTTACTATACCCTTGTCCAGATAATCTGTAGGCAACCCTAATGGTGATCAAACATTAAAATTGGCAAACAAATTTAACAATAGATTCAGTGAATGAAACAAGAAACAGATTGATGAACTAAATACTTTAACTTAGAAACATGGATCAATGTTGCAAGGCTACATCGAAATCCCTTACTATGAATTTAGTTGCACATCATGTTCATAGAGATTAAAATGAAAATAAACAACACAAGTGAAAATAAACTCAAGAGAGGAAGCCCTTGAACCAATTCTGATGTTGAACTTCTCCAAGAACAGCCTGCTGTGATGAGTCCTGATGGTGGAAATATTTGGAACGGCTAGGGTTTAAGTGTGCATGAAAGGAGAGAAAAACCAAAAGGATCCAGGGTTGTGAAATTCATCTAGAAGAAATAGGGTCTGTAAAAGTGGCTAAAAGGCAAGTTTTTATGTGGTAAAAGAGGCTGCAAGATATTCTAAAGAGATCCTAACAAATTAGCATTTATTTTGCACGTTTTTGCCTTATTTGGCACCTCTAGATCAGGCTAGAAATCGTCACTGCTTTCCCATTCTGCTCTTAGTCTTCAAACAATCCAGGTTTGCCTTGGATTCTATATTTGGACTTCAAAACAAGTCACGAAACTTATTTCCACGTTTGAATAAGGGTTAGCTCCAAAAATGGCATGTTTTCATTTCTTTTGCCTTCAACTTCATCCTACAGTAGATGCAACTGCACACTAACACAAAATAAGGTAAAACGCAACAAGTTTAACTCAAAAACATCACAAATAGACTAGAAATGGATGATATAAATGTATAAATATATGAGTTATCACACACCCAGTGTGATTCATTTTCTTTTTCATCTCAATTCATAAATAGACTAATCATATTTACTTTATGTTTGCCTCAGGTTATTAAAACCAAAACAAGGGCACCACAAGTTATGCTACCTCCTGTTGGGGTCTTTTTCGTTCGAAGGCTCGTCTGGGCTTGTTGATTCTTGGATCGCCACAGAGTGATGAATGAAGCCTTTGTTGCCCCTTTGTCTAAGTTAGCGAGAACTAGGCTCAAAGCATCCCATGGGAGAAGCAAGTCCTAGGGGAGTACTCTGTTCTTCTTCCAGCGGCTGCATATTTTGTACTGATGTTTCCGGCAGCTTGACGAAGAGTTGAAGATGGCACATTAATGTTACACAGACTTGGCATGAGAGTTTGCTTTGTGAATTGAGACACTACTAGACTAGGCATGAGAGGTTAGGTGTTTCAGATATGGGATGGAGCTTTTTTGAGAGAGAGAGAGAGAGAGAGATATATATATATATATATATATAAGAGATGGGTGGCTTGAGTAGATTTCCAGCAGCTTGACGAAAGCTTTGTCAGGATTTTGGGTGGCTTGCCAAAAGATAAAAAAGGGAAGAAATGGAATAACAGAGCTTAAAATCGAAGGGTTCCAGAGGTGAGTGGTGATGCTTGCTCTCTCTGGATATGTTTATGGGAGGGAGAGGAAGAATATGGAAGAACACAGCTTGAGATTGAAGCTTCCAGCAATGAGTAAGGATGTTGCTTGCTCTGGCTAAGTTGAAGATGACTTGTTGATGTTGATATGAGATTATATGAGCTTGGCATGAGAGCTTGGAGTGTGGGAGCTAAAGACCCACAAGTTTAGCAAATGAGAATGCTTATGCTTAGGTTGGTGTTTGATATACTTGAGTTTGGGTGTTGAGAATTTATTTTTTGAGGCTATGGCTATGGCGGTTTGACTGTTTGGCTGTGATGATTGTTGGGATGCTTATAGCAGTCAAATAAATGGGGTTTCAAAGAGCATGGCCGAGGAAAGAAAAGCTTAAGACTTTGAAAGGTATGGTGTTTGTGACAATGATTCTAGAGAAACTTATGAGTTATAGAGGTGGGAGGATAAAAGGAAAAGCTTGAAAATTGAAAGCTATGGTGTTTATAGCTTGGAAGGAAGGAAAAGCTTGGAGTTATGCTTGGTGAGGCTTTATGGAGAAGATGATGGATTTCAAGGGTGAGAAAGTAGAAGACATGATTGTGATGGCTGAGGAATGGCTGGGATAGTCGCTGGAATGCTTGCAACAACTGAATGGAGGAAGGAAAGTAGTCTGGTGGTTGCTAAAGGGGGTTGATGGCTGCTGGGATGCTTGCAGTAGCCGAGTGAGGGAGTGTTGGCTGAAGAAAAATTGGTCCCTTTTACTTGAGCCATGAATGCCAATTTATAGAGGGTGAGGGTTTTCCTTTATTTCCAATAGGTAAAGGAAGGTGCTGGAACCAGCATATTTTCAGTGGTTAAAAAGGAGCACTGGGGCATACTATTTTCTAGCATGTAAAGCTAGGTACCATAAACTGATTATTTCCTATGGGTAAAAGGAAGCACTGTAAATTGCTTGTTTCCAGTGGGTAAAGCTAGGTATTTAGAAAATTACTATTTCCTATGGGTAAAAGGAAGTGCTTGAAAAATATCTCATTTGCTCACCCACATTGGAGAACTCTAAGTAATGGGCATGGACTTTGGTGCTCCCAAGTAGCTAGCCCAAAGTCTCCATTATCCAAGAGCTTTCGTAGGCCTTGTGGACCTCCGTAACATTCCACACCACAATCCCTCATGCAAGCCCCGTAAACCACATGACTTGGGGTTCATGTGAGCTTGATAGGTGATTGGCATGGGAAAAATGTATTATTAGTTTGGCATGGCATATATGCTATTTCTATATTTATTTAATGAATTAAATCCCAAAATACAGCTTGAATTAATGCATGACCAACATTATATGTTATTTTGGGCTTTAAATGTCTTTGGGCTTCCTATGACTTTTTTGGGCCTCAACACCTCCAAGAGCTTCTTCAGAGTTACGGCTAGCAAGGAGACCGCAAAGGTCATTAATGCCCAAGACACAAGAACTCCATCTATGAAGGGAACCCCAAAATGCAAGAAAGAAGGTTGTTAGCTGTGAATTTTTCCAAATTGAAGATTTTGGAGCTGCTACAACAAATGCCACAAAGGCTAAATTCTTCAAAGCCATCAAGGTTCTGAGGCAATTAAAGTCTTTACAACCACTTAGTAATGATTGGTTGAATACCTAATGCACCACGATCTAGTGATCTTCAAATTCCCACTCTTCATGAGCTCATGACTGCACCCAGTCTAGAGATATAGGAAGATTTTTCAACAGACGAAGCTGCTAAGAGGTGGAAGATAGGGGTGGAAATTTCGAGCACAACCCGTTACACTTCTTGAAACTTGCACGATTAAAATTTGGGTCATTTTTGGGTCAACCTACCATGACCCATTTAATAAATAGGTGAGTTTTAGGTCAACCCGCCAACCCATTAAAATACCTATGTAACTCATTTAACAAAACAACGGGTCAACCTACCAACTCGCTAAAATACCTATGTAACTTGCCAACCTGCTAAAATACATGTGTAACCCACAAATCCACTAACCCGCAAACCCACTACGTTGAGAAAGAAGCTATTCAATGCAACATGGTTTATGTGGAGCAATATGAGGTTGACCTAGAGGTTTATAAGATTACACTCCGCTTTCGTCAAAGCATCCCATCTGCTAATAAAGCACAACAAAATGAGGAAGTTGATTCCTCTAAAACTGAGAAGAAGTCAAAGGCGAAAGAGATTAAAGTCTCCTTGTCGAAAAAAACTATTACAAGGGAAGTTCTATCATCCTCCTCAAAAGCAAAGGACCCTAAACCCGATACCGGTAAAACAAAGGAGTCATCACAATCACATGCAGTTAAGTATGATATTTTGACTCATCTTAAGCGCATCTTCACTCCTTTAAGTGTCTATGATGCTTTACAAATGTTGGGAAAGCTTAGGGAAGCATTTGTAATGCCCTTAATGAGCCTGGATTTATACAAGTCATGTTTCAAATCAGTGGATGTCCACACAACTAAAACCTTGAAGTTTTGTGTATCGTGTCTGGCAATGATTGCTTTTGGTGAAGTTGACATTTCACTTAGGTCCAAATTCCATAACCGACCTCTCTACATCACTGGAGAAGTTGGAGGCACAACCATTGTGACAGGATCCGCCCCGAATCTCCTCGGAAACCAGGACGGACCCCACCTAAATTCCGACATCACCCCGATGCTGGGCCCACTTACTAAAGACCGAGACTTTCTACCAAAAATTTGGCAGAGTCTCCCCTATAAAATGAACATTCCCAAACTTCAACCTGTTCAAAATTACAGTTATAAACAACCAACTGGCAGCATGCTTTACAAGCAATAAAACAGTTTACAACAAAGGCCTCCGGCCTCACGATTTAAACCCTCAGTGGGCGATACAGAGCATATCTAAGAAATTCAAAATACAACAGAAGTACAGTTCAACTGAAAGGAAAAGGTGGAGGAGTCCCTATGAAGACTCAAGTTTCGAGAGCACCTGGTCCGGCTCGACTGTGGAGCTCAGTTGCTACTGGCTGGGGGCGCAAAACAGAAAATTGTGAGTGGACGAAAAATTAAGTTCAGTTCAATTAAATCAAAGTAATATAACCCCACCTTTATAAAAACATGCAACGAATCCAGATGCATAATAAAACCGTCATAAGCAGTATATAAACATATACTAAAAATAATACCGGATACCAAATCCGAAATCCGTGAATCACACTTCACAAAACCCACCACTCAAAACTTAAGAGTCCCGAGAGATTAAACTCTCGAAAACGTACCCAATGGTACGACCGGCGAGGAAGTATCCTTACCGAGAAATAAGAACAACAAAATATTCATATATATATATAATAGTAATATAAAATATAATAATAATATATAAATATAACCAAAATTTAGTTGTACCGGGGAAATAATCCAACCGGGGGATTGTTTGACTAGTCCACATGGCAGAGCCATTCCTCAATTCACCATGTGTCTAGGGAACGAGCCGTCCAACTGGGGAACTAACTCTCAGCCAGCACATACAGCCGACACAGTCAAAGCTTGTACGCCTGAAATACCAGTCTTACGCGCGCAGACTACCCCAAATCTAGGGTCCACAGCAACATCCCCTCAAGGATGTCCTGAACTCAAATAATTTCAAGTGTATCCAGTAATCAGTAATCAAGTTTCAGATCGCGGGGGGGGGGGGGGGGGGTACATAGGATAGTGCTTCAAGCACTCCAAACAGATATATCAATAATCACACCTTTACATAAACTCATATTAACCTCCCAAGGTACCCCACATATATATATGTGCATATATTCTCAAAACCCAAACATATTATCAAAACTTTATGAAAACCACAAATTTCACATTCGAATATATACCATATTCAATAAACAAATAGAGCAATATGCCATATTTTCCATGAATAAAGTCATGCTGAAGTTTTGAAAGAAAAGTCCACTCACAAGTAGTCCCACACAGTTTGACCTTGAGAGGGTCCCGCCTGCTGCGTATACGGGGTCGGAGTACCTGATTCAGAATACGAAAATGCAATGAACATCAAGCGCTTCGAAACAGAACTTTAAAATAAAACCCTAGCTTCCCGGGTTTTCAGTGAGTACGAGGAAAGAGGTGTTCTAGGGTAACATACTTCAATTTGAAAACGATCCAACGGTCGGAACATATCGAACCCGGATAACGCACAATAGGTGACAATCCGTTCGATAGTCAAACGACCTCGGAATCGGGATCCGCGAAATCCTACGCGCTCGTGACAACCTAAGGATCACACTGGAACAATTTTCAGCTCCACCACACTTGCCCACGCGCTGCCACACGCGCTAGCAGCAAGCGGGTGACAGAGAAATTCCGGCGACGGAAAATCTCCAAATCACAAGTCACCCTCCCGGCTACAAGTCCTACTCAACTAGGGGAGCATTTCATTGAACTACGGCCAAGCGCAAAACCGCCTGGAACTGGCCGGAATTTCGAATTGAAAACCGGCCAAAACCCTAACTTCTCAAATCGGGTTTTACGCAGCAAAAAGATCCAATCCTAACCAAAGTCAGCTAGAACAGATAGAGAGAGGAAGAAACCTCACCTCAAACACCGGAAAAAGGCGGCGGAGACGACGGCGCAACGATTGAAAAATCCCGAAACGAACCAGTCGAAACTGCCGGCTATTCTCGAGTTTTCCGGCGACGAAAGCTATTGGGTCTTGACCGGGACGTCGAGACGAAGCTTTTGGGACCGGTCTCAAGGGCTGAGGTGGCCGGAAGTGGTGGCGGCGTGGATTTTTCTGTTCGGGTGAACAGTAACTCGGGAGTTTGAGGGAGAAAAGCTCGGGGAGAGAGAGAGAGAGAGAGAGTGAGGTAAAACTGACGATTCTGTTTTTTACTAATACCCTTCTCAAATTATTTACGGTTTTGCCACCGAATGTAATTTGATCGCCAAAATTTCATTATAACTCCGATTCAAGCTTACCGCCTGTCTACGAATTCATCTTAGAACCACCTACGCAAGCAAACCACCCGTGGTCCCAAAATCCTTTCGAATAAGAAAATGACCAAACTACCCTGCTCCAAGGGTAATTTCGTAAATTCACATTTAATTAGATTAAATACTTTACATTGGAAATTTACTTGGAGTCGGGGTGTTACAACCTACCCCCCCTTATAAAAATTTCGTCCCCGAAATTTAAATACCTGTCAACTAAAAAGATAAGGATATTTGGCCCGCATCTGCGTCTCGGGCTCCCAAGTAGCCTCTTCCACAGTTTGACTTCTCCATAACACTTTGACTACAGGAATTGATCTGGAGCGCAATCTCTGCTCCTTCCTATCCAAGATCTACACAGGTTGCTCCTCATACGTCAGATCTTCCCTCAATTCTACAGGTTGATGCTCCAGAACATGAGAAGGATCAGGCATGTACTTCCTTAGCATGGATACATGAAATACATCATGAATCCGGGATAGTTCTGTAGATAAGGCAAGTCTATAGGCAATTGGTCCAATGCGCTCGGTGATTTCATAAGGTCCAATATAACGAGGGCTTAACTTCCCGCGTTTACCGAACCTCATCACACCCTTCCATGAAGATAGCTTCAAGAATACCCAATCTCCAACTGAAAACTCAAGATCTTTGGATATGTTATCCGCATAACTCTTCTGTCGGTCTTGTGCGGTTTTCAACTTCTCTCTAATCATTTTCACCTTCTCAGTTGTGGCTCGGATACTGTCTACCTTTTCCAACTTCTACAAACCGACGAAGGTGAAAATGATTAGAGAGAAGTTGGTGGAAACCTAGCTTGATCAAATTCCGGCAACCGGAAATCTTCAAAACTGGAAACCTAGCTTCCCACCCTAGGTAAAACACCTTATTTGGAACCACTTTTGTTCTTGGACCTACCCCAAAAAGTGGCCGGAATCATGATCCCAAAATCGGCTGAAATCCACTTCGAAAATCGAACTACCTAGGCTCAAAATTGATAAATTCCCACCCAACCATCAGCTAGATCATGAAAAATAGGTGAGAAAGCATACCTCACTCGCATGAAACGTTGGCCGGAGCAAGGATTGAAATATCGGCCGATACACTGATATATCTGCCGATATATCAGTATTTTCAACTATCGACACCGATACTGGGGGTAAAGCCATATCTTCCCATGTATCGACGATATATCCCCTGATATGTGTGATATTCCCGATATTTTGCCGATATCCCCGATATTTTCCGATACCCATAATAGAACCCAAAAAAAATTCAGAAGTTTTGAAAGCAATTGAAGCAAATTGAAACCCAAAAATTGTTAATCCTTGCCCAGAACCCTATAATTTATTAATATGAAGAATTTATGCATAGTCCACTGCCCACATACCTCCAATCCATCTAAAGAGGACATGGCGATCAATTTTGGATCTATGAGCATAGGAACTAGACTTACTACTAACTCAAATGAATCTTATTATAGCTATGGTTATGTCATGTCTAATTATAGTGGAACTAGTTATGAAGTTCAAGATGATGAAACAGATTATGAACCTACTAGTTGGGTTAATCCTAACTATCCTATATATGGGAGGACAGTAAGGAGCTCGAGAGAGACTTATGTGTACCATGATCTAACATGGCTTACAAACTGCTCGGGTTACATGACTTGGTATGACTATTGTATGAATCTGGATGGTTGTTCCTCATTGTTTGAACCTCATAGGAGCTCTTCATTTATGTATGTGGACACTTATCTAAATTGTAATCCAATGTTTAAACAAACTATGGATTTATTCATTCTAATCAAAATTTTATTTTCAAACTTCTTATTAATGCGCATTACATACCACTTATATTTCATCAATGTATATCTTATTATTAGTAAATTTTGAGTTTTATTTGTTCAATACATTCATTGATAATGCATATAACATCTATGAAAGTTTGAAACCAAAATTATGTGTTTCAATGCCTATATTTGTCTTTTTTGTTGATTTTTTTCCCGATACCTATAATGATAACGATATATCCCTCGAAATATCAGTAAATTGGAGCTATAGCCAACACCACCTATTTCTTGGTTGTTTCCGGTGACTACGGCGACGGATCAATGCAGCGATAGGCTGGGGCTGGAAGAGGGAAGTGTGGTGGTTCCAACGGGACCAGTCTTCCTTCAATTGGTGGCCGGATTTGAGAGATATCACCTCTGGAAGTCAGGGGGAGGAGAAAATCTGGGTTTTAAAACTGAACTTTGAAATATTTACGGTTATGCCACTGAACTTCTTTTGATCGTAACTTCTTCGTTAGAACTCCGATTTGAGCCCACTACATGTCTACAAACTCATCTCGACGTGTTCTATGCAACGGTACAACTGAAATTTTCAAATTCCTTCCCAATCAAAAAGTCAACTTTTTTCCTAATAATTTATTCTAGGGGCAAAATTGTCTTTTTCTCTAATAATTTAATAATTAAAAATTAATTAAGGGCCGGGTTGTTACAATTAGGATAAGGTAAAATAAGATAAATCATTTAGGGTTTCTTCGCAGAAGCTGATTCTTGAATTAATTTCCCCATCTTTTTAGCACAATCCTAGCCTCTTTGAACTTCAAAAACGTCCATCCATCTTGCCCCATGCATATGCTATCCATTCCAAGTTCAAAACTGCTCTAAAATGCTCTAAAATGCTCTTTCTTGCCATCTAGACCTACAATAGTACGAAAATAAGCTAAATCACTCTAATAAATAGGAATTAACTAAGTAAATGCAAAGAAATAAGATAGCAAAGTCGCATAAATATGCTCCTATCAGACCCTTATTGCCCTAGGAAGGCTTGTCCGATGAAAAGGCTCTTATAGGCAGAGGCTTACAACAAATTTCCCTGTAGCAATGAATGTTCCATAGGCCATACACAAGTGTTCACCTTTCATTTCACCTCTTATTTGTGGACTCCACACCATTTACAACACAATATCCTTTATTATATACATAGTGGAAAGAGTTTGCTGCTACCCCGGAGACGTAGACACACTTGTCGAACCTCATTAAATACTTTGTTATTTACTTTATATTTCAGCTTTTATTTATTTACAATACCCGTTTTGAAATTCTTCAAGGCACCCAAAATATGAAAACACCTACATGAAAGGGCGGAACTGTGTAGCTGCATGGGGCTTTAGCCCAGGGCAGCTTTCGGCTTAAGTAAATTTTGCCCATAAGCTATAGGTTTTTATTATATTTAGCCCATCAAAACTAGCTTGAAAATATCAAGCCCAACTTTATGGCCCCAGAAAACCATACTTAGAAACAAAACCTGTAGAAGGAAGAGGATTCAAAATCGAGAAGATTAAAAATGGCACTGGCATCAGGGAAAACTCATGATTCAGTCTTTGTCCGTATTTTGTCTCATATTTTAGAAAAAATTCGAGCAACCAATGTCTTGACCTGCCTATTTACATGGTGGAAATAGAGTAAGCAGTTGAGACACCGAGCACAAATGGCATCATCATCCAAGCTCCAAGATATTCAAAGAATTGGGGGACTATTCCCGACGACGAACTCTTCCCAAATTTTAGAAAATAAGAAAGGTAACCAAAGATGATTTAGAAAAGGCTCAATTGAAAAGGATTATGACTTAATCAATTGAGTCTACATTACATGCTGTCTAATGAAGTTTGGCAGATTAAATCATTTCAAAGTTAGATTTCTCTTGCAATAAATTCCAATTCCAATTAATTCATTTCAAAGCTGATTTCTCTTGCAACAAATTCGAAAGAAACTATTTTCAGTCAACAATATGGCCCAAAGTTTGTGACCTTAATTACTTTCGCTCAACTTATTAATGGCATGGTTGAAGAATACTTGTTCCCATCCTTTCAAAGTATGGAAGCCTTTAACTCTTCAACCACCAATTGTTCCATGCATCAAAGCATTCTAACTTCCCCTTCTCAATGGCTTTAATTTAAATTATAAATGTTCTTATTTTCAATGTCTCCAGTGCTAAAATTTCAGGTAGAAATAGGAATCGGGGACTGTTTCATGTGATTAATCAGCACCAGTTGATAAGCAACACCAACTTCTAAAAACAGTAGATGTAAAACAAGAAACATAATTAGAATGAGAATGCCAATTTGATTGACTGTATAAGAAAATCAGCCTCAGACATCCAAGGAAGGATAAAAGCAGCACAAGCTCTCAAGCCTGGCGAAGGCGAAAGCTCTTAGGCGGCGGCCACTGCGAATGTTCTTGAGAAACAAGCCTTAGATTTGTCATCACAGGTGATTCAAACCAAACATACATCACATTTAAATGGGACTTTAAAACCGTATGAAAATATAAATTTTGCCAAACCAAATTTCAACAAGCTATGCTGGATTTTAAAAACAATTTGCAACATTAATGGAAACCCCGAAACCAAGCAGAAAGCCAATTTACAGCATCAAATTTAAAAAACAGAGGATTTTTGTTTTGCAAAATCTCAGACATCCAAGGAAGGATAAAGCAGCATTAGCTCTCAAGCCTGGCGTGGCGAAAGCTCTTAGGCGGCCACTGCGAATGTTCTTGAGAAACAAGCCTTAGTTTTGTCATCATTGATTATAATATTCAAACATTTAAATTCAATAAAATAATCACAACAAAAAAACCAAGAACAATAGAGGTTTAAAACCCAGGTATCAAAAAATTATAAACAAAAATAAATAAATAAATAATTAATTATATTTAACTGAAAATCATTGGGTAATTGAGATAAATTAATCCATCCCATCCAACAATGATCAGCCAGAAACAAACAGAAAACAGCTTACAAAGGTGAATGGAGAAAGATCAATTTGAGGGACCTGTTCATCCCCAAACCCTAAATCAAGAATAGTGGGCATGAACCAAATATATTTCTCAACGATAACAAAATCGAAAACCCAGAATAAAAAACAACCAGTAAATACAGAATGCATATAGAAAAACAGAGAAGCAGAGAAAAAAGCCTCAGACATCCAAGGAAGGATAAAAGCAGCACACGCTCTCGAGCCCGGCGAAAGGCGAAAGCACTTAGGCGGCCACTGCGAATGTTCTTGAGAAACAAGCCTTTGGATCTATCATCATCGACCGTTCATTATCACAACCCACAGACCAATACACAGCAAGCAACAGAAGAAAACAAGAATACAGAAACACACCTACAACAGATAATATGTAACCGGAGACGAAATCAGAGCAACCCAATCAAGAGGATTTTACAAGGTAGAAGGGAGGTACGAGGGAGAGGAAGGAGGAGAGGGTTTATTTATACAGGTCAGACGAGGTGGGGATTTTAGGGTTTCGTGGGATTAGACGGCTACGATTGGTTCGTGGAACAATCTAGACGATTTGAGAACTTTTACACGAAGGGGCATTTTTCGGATTGGGCTTTTATTTAGGGTAAACTACCGAATACCCCTGAACTATTTCAACTATCGAAATTATCACTTTAAATTAATTTTTCAGCTAATTTAGCCCCTGTATTAAATTTATTTGTCAATTTCGCCCCTGACTTTAGCTTTTTCACAATTCCATCCAAATGCCCATTAAAAATACCACATGAATGGCACATGCAACTTCTGTTGAGGGTAATCTCATCCTTCTAATCCTCATACCCCTTTTAGTGCTCCGTATGCCCAATTCCCAAATCATACTTAGAGATTCAATTTGGGATTGAGAGAAAGAGAGATTGTGACAAGACCCGCCCCGAATTTCCTCGGAATCCGGGACGAACCCCGCCTAATTACCGACATCAACCTAATGCCGGGCCCACTTAGTAAAGATTGAGACTTTCTACCAAAAATTTGGCAGAGTCTTCCCTGTAAATTGAACATTCCCAAACTTCAACATGTTCAAAATTTACAGTTATTTACAACCAACTGGCAGCATGCTTTACAAGCAAACAAACATTTTACAACAAATGCCTCCGGCCTCACAAAATTAAACCCTCAGTGGGCGATACAGAGCATAACTAAGGAATTCAAAATACAACCGAAGTACCGTTTAATTAGAAGGAAAAACAAAGCACCAAGAGTCTTTACGAAGACTTGAGTTCCAAGATGCACCCGGTCCGGCTCAACTGCAAAGCTCAGTCGCTACTGGAAGTAATCCCACACTGCTTGACCCTTAGAGGGTCCCGCCTGCTGCGTATGCTGGGTCGGAGTACCTGAAATGGACGGCGGAGGCGGCGGCGCAACGACCGGAAAAGTCCGGCTCGAACCAGTCGAAACTGCCGGCTGTTTTCGAATTTTCCGACGACAAAAACTATTGGGTCTTGACCAGGACGTCGAGACGAAACTTTTGGGACCAGTCTCGAGAGCTGCGGTGGCCGGAAGTGGTGGCGGTGTGGAGAATTCTGTTCGGGTGAACAGTGACGAGAGAGAGAGAGAGCGCACGGGAGAGAGAGAGAGAGGTGAACTGAAATGAAAAACTGATTTTTTTACAAATACCTTTTCGACTTATTTACGAGTTTGCCACCGAAAGAAATTTCATCGCCATCACTTCGTTAAAACTCCGATTCAAGCCTACCGCCTGTCTACGAATTCATCTCAGAACCACTTACACAACTAAACCACTTGTGGTCCCAAAATCCTTCCGGACAAGAAAATGACCAAAATACCCTACCCCAAGGGTAGTTTCGTAATTTCACAGTTAATTTAATTTTAACTTTTTAAATAGAGTCGGGGTGTTACAACCTACCCCCCTTATAAAAATTTCGTCCCCGAAATTCACATACCTGTCAATTGAAGAGATAAGGGTACTGGGTCCGCATTTGCGTCTCGGGTTCCCAAGTAGCCTCTTCAACAGTTTGACTTCTCCATAGTACCTTCACTACAGGAATGGATCTAGAGCGCAACCTTTGCTCCTTCCTATCCAAGATCTGTACAGGTTGCTCCTCGTATGTCAAATCTTCACTCAACTCCATAGGTTGGTGCTCTAAAACATGAGAAGGATCAGGCATGTACTTCCTTAACATGGATACATGAAACACATCATGGATCCGAGATAGTTCTGTAGGTAAGGCAAGTTTATAAGCAACTGGTCCAATGCGTTCAGTAATCTCATAAGGTCCAATATAACGAGGGCTTAACTTCCCGCGTTTACCGAACCTCATCACACCCTTCCATGGAGATAACTTCAGAAACACCCAATCCCCCACTGCAAACTCAAGATCCTTGGACCTGTTGTCCGCATAACTCTTCTGTCGGTCTTGTGCGGTTTTCAACTTCTCTCTAATCATTTTCACCTTCTCAGTTGTGGCTCGGATACTATCTACCTTTTCCAACTTTCTTTCACCCACTTCATTCCAACAAACAGGAGTTCTACACATTCTTCCATACAAAGCCTCATACGGAGCCATCTCAATGCTCGAATGGTAACTGTTGTTATAAGCAAATTCCACCAATGCAAGGTGAGTATCCCAACTGTCTTTCAGTTGTAAAACACAAGACCTTAACATGTCTTCCAAGGTCTGAATGGTTCTTTCCGATTGTCCATCAGTCTGTGGGTGAAAAGCAGTACTAAAATGTAACTTCGTACCCATAGCCTCATTTAAACACTTCCAGAAATGAGATGTGAACCTTGCATCCCTGTCCGATACAATAGACACAGGAGCTCCATGCAACCTCACGATCTCATCCACAAAAAGTTTTGCCAGCCTTGACAAAGAATAGGTTTCCTTTATAGGTAGAAAATGGGCGGATTTGGTGAGTCGGTCAACTATCACCCAAATTCCGTCATGCCCCTTTGAAGTACGTGGGAGTTTAAAAACGAAGTCCATTGTGATAAGCTCCCACTTCCATTCAGGGATCGGAAGTGGTTGCATGAGTCCGGACGGTTTCTGCCGTTCCGCTTTCACTTGTTGACAAATCAGACACTTGCTCACATACTTAGCAATATCTCCCTTCATATGCGGCCACGAGTAGTACTCACGTAAAGTCCGATACATCTTAGTACTACCCGGATGCATAGAGTAAGTAGAACAGTGAGCTTCTTCCATGATTTCTCTTCTCAAGTCGTCATGGTTCTTGGGTACACAAAGACGAGTTCCAGTCACCAAAGCTCCATCCTTCCTTATTGCATAATCCGTCCGTGTACCATTTTCTACTTCCGATCTTATCATACAAAGATTAGGATCTCCCAATTGTGCTGCAATCACCCGCTCAACCAAAATAGGCCTCACATGCACACTAGCAAGTATTCCTCCCCGAGGAGTCATCTCCAAATCCACACCATCCTTCCGCAGTTCTACCAACAACGGAAGATAGGCCATTCTGAGATGAGCTAGACTTCCACCAACATTCCGACTTAGTGCATCGGCTACCACATTAGCTCGACCGGGATGATACTCAATCGTACAATCATAGTCCTTAATCAATTCCAGCCAACGCCGTTGTCTCATATTCAACTCCCTCTGAGTGAAAAAGTACTTGAGGCTCTTGTGATCAGTGAAAATCTGACACGTCTCACCATACAGATAATGCCGCCAGATTTTGAGAGCGAACACCACTGCGGCAAGTTCCAAGTCATGGACAGGATAATTCTGCTCATGCTTCTTGAGTTGCCTTGAGGCATAAGCAATTACCCGATCATGTTGCATCAGAACACATCCCAAGCCTTGTAAAGATGCGTCACTATAGATCACAAAGTTCCCCGAGTTATCCGGAAGAGCCAAAACAGGTGCGGTGGTTAACCGCTTTTTCAGCTCCTGAAAACTCTGCTCGCACTCCTCCGTCCACTCAAACTTAACATCCTTCCTCGTCAACCGAGTAAGAGGTGCTGCTATCGAAGAGAACCCTTCTACAAACCGACGATAGTAGCCCGCTAACCCCAGGAAACTCCGTATCTCTATTACACTTGTGGGTTGCACCCAATTCACGACTGCTTCTACCTTACGAGGGTCCACATAAATTCCTTCTGCTGATATCACATGTCCAAGGAAGTCCACTCTATCCAACAAAAATTGACATTTACTGAACTTGGCATAAAGCTGCTTCCTTCTCAAAGTTTTCAATATCAGCCTCAAATGTTTTTTATGACCCTCCAAAGTTCGGGAATAAATTAAGATGTCGTCTATGAACACAATCACAAAGTGATCCAAATAAGGTCGGAACACTCTGTTCATGAGATCCATAAACGCTGCTGGAGCATTTGTCAATCCGAAAGGCATCACCAAGAACTCGTAATGGCCGTAACGAGTTCTGAATGCTGTCTTGGAATATCATCTTCCCGTACTCGGAGTTGATGATATCCCGATCTCAGATCAATCTTGGAAAAGTACTTGGCACCCTTCAACTGATCAAACAAGTCGTCAATTCGAGGCAAAGGATATCGATTACGCACCGTCACCTTGTTCAACTGCCTGTAATCAATACAAAGCCTCATGCTTCCATCCTTCTTCTTCACAAATAATACCGGTGCACCCCAAGGGGAAACACTAGGTCGAATGAACCCAAGATCCACCAACTCCTGCAATTGCGTCTTCAACTCACGCAACTCTGCTGGTGCCATTCTATAAGGAGCTTGATGAATTGGATTCGTTCCTGGAAGAAGTTCAATAGTAAATTCGGTTTCTTTCTGGGGAGGCAAACCAGGAAGATCATCAGGAAAGACATCTGAAAATTCACAAACCCACAGGAATATCTTCCAGATTCAAAGTGGACCCCTGAGTATCAATGATATGAGCTAAGTACCCCACACAACCCTTCTTGAGTAACCGTTTTGCCCTTATGGCGGAAATAAGACAAGATGAGAGAACTCTACGCTCTCCTTGGAATATTGCTTCAGGTTGTCCAGGACTTCTGAACACAACCTCTTTCCGAAAACAATCTACCGACGCACGATGCTTTTCCAGCCAATCCATTCCCAAGATAATGTCAAGGTCAACTAATTCCAAGGGAATCAAATCAGCTTCCAACATGGCATCACCCACTTGGACATCACAATCCTTGAAAACCATGTCCGCAAACAAAACATCGCCCGTAGGTAATGAGATACTCAAATTCTTTGCCATGGGTGTCGATCTAACACTGGCATAAGGTAAGAAACTATAGGCGATAAAAGAATGGGTGGCCCCGAGATCTATCAAAACACGAGCAAAGTAACCGAAAATAGGGATCATACCAGTGATAACATCGGGTGTAGCCTGCGCCTCTTGCTGTGTCATCGAGAATACACGGGCTTGCGTAGTATAGCGTCCAGACTGACCCCTCTGACCCCTACCGCCTCTGCCCCGAAACGTGGACTGCACTCCACTACTCGACGACGAACCCGCTGCAGACGACGATGCACCACTCTGTGTCTGACCCGGAGCTTTGCTGCCTTGCCCCCGCTGGGCCCCAGTCTCCTTTGCAGCCATACTACCAACAGCAAGGGGGCACTCACTCTTATAGTGCCCTACCTGCCCACACTGGAAACAAGTCACTCCGCTCCTTTGACCAGAGCCACTCACCTGCCCATGGTTTGGGCAATCCTTCCGCACATGTCCAGCTTGCCCACAACTATAACAAGTTACAGTAAATGGCCTCTGGGGATCCCTGGCAGTGCTGCCCACGGATTGTTGTCCCGAGGACTGGCTCCAGAATGGTCGAGAGCCAGACCCCCCACTGCCAGAACCGGTCCCACGTCCTCCGGACCAACCACTGCTTGCAGAACTAGAGCTGGATCCACCTCTCTTTGATGGACCCTGACTGGGCCCACCAAAACCAGATGAGTCTCTGCGACGCCTACCAATACCTGCACCTAGACTGTACGCCTTCGCCACCCTATCTGCTGCTTGGGCCAAGGTTCTCATGGTAGGATACGTCGTAGCAGTGACCACCGCCTGAATATCCAGCCACAGACCCTGTTCAAAACGAAGGCACTTCTCTGCTTCTGTGGTTACCAACTCAGGTGCAAACCGGGACAGCTCATTAAATTTGTGCCCATACTCGAACACTGACATGGAACCCTGCCTCAGGTGCAGAAACTCAGCCTTCTTCGTAGTCTTGTAAGTATGCGGGTAAAACTGATCAAAGAATGCCCTTTGGAACTCTTCCCAAGTAAAGACAGCAGGGTTTGCATACCCTCTTCGAACTGTCTTCCACCAATGGTATGCATTCCCCTTTAACAGAAAGGTAGCCAAGCGAACCTTATCTCCATCAGGACACTGGAGAACTTCAAATATCCGCTCGACATCTGTAAGCCAAGCATCAGCTTCAGCAGGATCAATACTACCATAAAACTCTTTTGCTCCCAGGTCCTTTACCCTCTTTATGTCCAAACCTTCAACATTCCGTCTCCCCCCATGTAAGGCATTAGACATAGTGCGGGTGAACCGAGATAAGAGACGTCGCAAGCCGGGCTCATTTTCTCCATCATGCTCCTCGGCAGGTGGAGATGGTGAAGATGGAGGTGAAGGAGGTGGAGAGGGTAGTGGAGGGGAAGGTGGAGTATTTGCTCCCCGTCTCGGAACACGACCACCCCTCGTTCTAGGACGCTGAGGATGCATGATTCTATACAAAGGAAATCATAGAATCATTAGCTTCAACAATGCGGCAAAAGCGCAAAGGTCAAAGGAAAATGAACCTAATGCTCTGATACCAAGTTGACAAGACCCGCCCTGAATTTCCTCGGAATCCGGGACGAACCCCGCCTAATTACCGACATCAACCTAATGCCGGGCCCACTTAGTAAAGATTGAGACTTTCTACCAAAAATTTGGCAAAGTCTCCCCTGTAAATTGAACATTCCCAAACTTCAACATGTTCAAAATTTACAGTTAATTACAACCAACTGGCAGCATGCTTTACAAGCAAACAAACATTTTACAACAAAGGCCTCCGGCCTCACAAAATTAAACCCTCAGTGGGCGATACAGAGCATAACTAAGGAATTCAAAATACAACCGAAGTACTGTTTAACTGGAAGGAAAAACAAAGCACCAAGAGTCTTTACGAAGACTTGAGTTCCAAGATGCACCCGGTCCGGCTCAACTGCAAAGCTCAGTCACTACTGGAAGTAATCCCACACAGCTTGACCCTTAGAGGGTCCCGCCTGCTGCGTATGCTGGGTCGGAGTACCTGAAATGGACGGCGGAGGCGGCGGAGCAACGACCGGAAAAGTCCGGCTCGAACCAGTCGAAACTGCCGGCTGTTTTCGAATTTTCCGACGACAAAAACTATTGGGTCTTGACCAGGACGTCGAGACGAAACTTTTGGGACCAGTCTCGAGAGCTGCGGTGGCCGGAAGTGGTGGCGGTGTGGAGAATTCTGTTCGGGTGAACAGTGACGAGAGAGAGAGAGAGCGCACGGGAGAGAGAGAGAGGTGAACTGAAATGAAAAACTGATTTTTTTACAAATACCTTTTCGACTTATTTACGAGTTTGCCACCGAAAGAAATTTCATCGCCATCACTTCGTTAAAACTCCGATTCAAGCCTACAGCCTGTCTACGAATTCATCTCAGAACCACTTACACAACTAAACCACTTGTGGTCCCAAAATCCTTCCGGACAAGAAAATGACCAAAATACCCTACCCCAAGGGTAGTTTCGTAATTTCACAGTTAATTTAATTTTAACTTTTTAAATAGAGTCGGGGTGTTACAGATTGCGACTAAGAGATTCGAGAAAACCCACCCCTTTTTTACATAACCCACCCTTTATGACAGAACCCAACACCATTTGCAAGCATACCTACAGCTTTTACCGATCAAGGTGCAAAAAGAAAAGGTTTACAAAATTGAAAGAAAAATAAAAGCCAACCCTTTTGTTGGCCGCCGCTCTTCCCTCCTCTTTGAACTGTCGGCGCCACCCTTCCAAGTCATACAAAAGCCAGCTTAAGGTCTTAGAAGTGAAAGAGTATATTTCAAAAAGCAAGAATAGTGGAAGAAGAAGATGAGCTTCAACAATTCTCACGAACCCCCGATTCCTAGATTCTCATACATCCACTTTTGCTTCTTCTTCTTCTTTTTTTATTTTTTTTATTTTTTTGGTTGACAGAAACATCAATTTTTGCTTTATGTAGAAAATTTAAACCATGCCTTTTGAAGTGTGGTGGTGTCACTAAAGAGCTTTTGTTTTATTGAAGACATCTAAACAAGGATTTCAAATCAAATCTAATTCTTCATAGATTAATTGAGATGCACAGGGAGATGAATTGACTTAAGGATATGCAACAACGTTAAAGGAAAATTCGACTAAGAGAAAACAAATTGATGAGTTTTACGGATGGCACATTGCACTTGCACATCCATCCATCAAAAAGTCTATCGTTTATTTCCTTAATTTTGGAGATAATTGAGGTCTTTAAAGGTCTCATCATTTTCATGTTTAATATAATTAAACTACTTGGCCTAGGACAACTATTACTCCAAATCATATTAGTAGTTGTACGATACTCCCATTATTTGTTATGAAAACTAAATCAGTTTCATAACACCCTTTTATTTGAAATTGGGAATATGCACTACTACTAACAAAAAACCTTGCATTCCTTAAGTTCAATAGTTTTCTATAGACTCATGACTTATTATGGACTTGATTTCGATCTAACATCTAGCCAAGATGTCGGATCTTAGGTCTTTGGAAGGTGATTGATTTTATTACACGTCTTAACAACTTAAAACATTCATGGTTGTTGGGCGTTGGACCCATAAATAATCCAAGTTATTGGACTTGATTATTCCTTCTCTTGTCTTCTTCAACGGGCTTCCACCTTCCTATTTACAAGTCTCAAAGCCCAATGGACTTTAAGGGAGTTACATTCTTAGAGAGGTAGAATTTACGATTGAAATTGAGATAGGAGAGGCATGGAAGCCTCTATTTTATTTACAAACAAACTTTGAATAAATAAATTTACAACCATTAAATCAATCCTATTCCATTCATCTCATGAATAACGGCCAATCTCATAGTGTATTTGTATTCAGGGTCATAAGTCCATAATAATCCATTAATCATTTAATCTAATTAGATAATTAATTTGGAATGCAATTCTAAAAACTTTTTATTGGATAATATGGGCTTAATTTTGATGGAACATTTAAGTATGTTAATATGAATTATTCCTTTTATATGATTATCCCGGTAAGATTTGAAAACTTCTTCTTTTAAATCTTATCCACTACTCTGCGCAAAGATTTGATCAATCATATCATAGGAGTAATCTCTTTCCTTACTGAGAGTAGAGATCCCTTATTGTATATTCATTTGCCTCTATGACTTTATTGAGAGTCTCGATAAACACCTTTTGGTTGTGTCTTCTATAACACAAATGTATGGTGCCCTCATAGACAAAGAACATAGTCACAAGACAACTATGATGTCTCGGGTCTAAGGATTAGTTTGTACCATTGCAATTTATGAGTTCTAATCTGACATGTGAGTAAAGACTTCTATTTTAGAACTCATGTATCTTTGATCGCGTTCAGTGTACTTGAAAGCTATCCTTGATGCGAGACCAGTTATGAACAAAAGGCTTTGTTGAATAGTGGGAAATGGTCACTATATATATATATATATATATTAATAAGAGATTGATGGCCATGTCAAGCTAGCTAGAGCCTAGAAGATTGGAGAGGTCACCACTACTGCGGCCGAAGGCCTTGCCCTCTGTGATGTACTTGCTCATGCTCTACATCGAGAATGGTGAAAGCTTATTATTGAAGGGGATTCAAAACTTATAATTGATTGTTAGGTGAGGGCCTAGTTTGGGATTGTTGTCACTTTTAAAAAAAGGTGCTTTTGTTGTGCTTTGAAAATAATTAGTTGTAAAGTAAAGCAGCTACATGTTTGGTAAATAATATTTTTAAAGTGCTGTTAGTACAAAAAGCAGGTCAAAACCGTTTGGTAAATTTTAATATAAAATTGTTGTAACTGTGAATAATGACTAAAATAGACATGATGTTGAAAGTGATATGTACTAATCATGTGGTGGTAGTGGTGGCGATGGAGTGGAGGTGGTGGTGGTGGTGGTAGTGGCATCATGGTGGTGGTGGTGGTGGTGGTTGTGGAGGTGGAGGTGGAGGAGGTGGTGGTTGTGGTGGTGGTGGTGATGGCAATGGCGGTGGTTGTGGAGGTAGTGAATGTGGTGGTGCAAGTGGTGGAGTTGGATATGGAAGTGGAGGTGGTGTCATTTTTTAAAATGAATGATGGTATTTTGGAAATTAAAAAAATTCATTAAAGATTCATCTTAGCTTCTTTTGAAAGCAGCTTTGAAAAGCAACCTAGAGCATGCTTTTAAAAGTTACTGTTAAAAGGCCACTGCTTTTAAAATAATCGGAATATTTTATTTTTTCCAAACACTTTAAATTGCTTAACTTTAAAGTGAAACAAGTTTTTAGCAAAAAAAACAATCCTAAACGAGTCGTAGTCTCAAATCCCTTGGAGAATTTTATTACTTATTTAGGATATCCACTTAAGTTCCTGTTGTGAAGCTGTTCAATTTCAACATGTTTACTCAAAAGCAAATTTCGCAACTGATGCTGTTGCCATGGGCTTAACTTCTCCTCCCTAAAGGAGCATGGACTTCCTCTTTCTAGTGTAAATGTTTTCTACTTTGACCTCTTTGAGCGCCCTTGGCCAAAAGGCTTTCTAGTTCAACCTTTTTGGCCCTGCTTGCCCAAAAAGGCTTTGGGCTGTAACTTTTCTTTTTTGTATTAAAAAATAAAAAAACTCATGTACTAATGTGCCAACATTTGTTTCTTTTATATTTGGCCTCACATTAAATCTCATTTTTTAAAATCAACAAATAACCAAACGAGGTCTACCGTAGTGGAAGAAGTGCGTTGACATATAGACAAGTATATGTGTGAAAAATTCCCCTCCCCCCTTCTTGTAATTTAGACTAAAAACAAAAAAAACACAAAAGTTTCGTGTATCATGCCAAATGAGTTGGTTGATGTGGTATTACTCATTACCTTATTGAGATATTTAGTCATATACCCATTTTTAACACAAAAACTATAAATAAACCATACACCATTTAACTTATATAAACAAACCCAAAAAATGATAGCTGGCCTTATTGAATTTAATTTTAATTATTAAATTACTTTGATGTCCTATGATTGTTTTCGGCTTTTTTTTAATGAGGTTTTGGAGTTGGGTTTGTTTTAAGAAATCAATGACAATTTTGTAATTTAAAAGAAGTTAAAAGCTTTTTTGTTATGTTGTAAATGGGTTTTGGGTGTGTTTTTAAAGTCCATTTCATATAGGGTTTTTTTTTAATAATTTGGGTTCCTATATTGGGTATAATAGTGAATCTCCCTACTTTATTTTGTATCCAAGCTATATGGAAGAAGTGATTAATCAAATGTAAGACCTTGGATGAAAAATAAATATTTTTAATTATGCAATAACTGAAAGTTCTATTTTTCTTTCTTCATTCCCCTTTTTCTTTCTTTTGATTAGACTTGTTCCTAAACCCTATTGCAATCAGTTGATCAAAATTCTGGATGTTCCTTTTCCCCTTTTTTCCTTTGACAAAATGCAAATCCCGCTAAAGTGTTCGACAGCGGGGGTTTACCTCTAAGCCTCCATGAGCTGAAAGAGTAATGTCAACCTAATTACAAGTGTTGACTCCTTCCCAATAATAATTTGTAAAAGCAAACAGACAAAAAAACTAAAATTGTGCATATATTTCATAACAAAGCTCAGCAGCAACAATATCATAATCAATGAAAAACAATTATGGTCAAGAAGTTTAGAAAAAGAAAAAAAAAAAAGGGGATGTTAATGAAATCATCTTGAGAAGGGGGCACTATAATGACTAGAGCTGGACCATTGCTGCGATTGAAAATCAGCAGCTGTACTATTCTGATCACTTGTGGCCGGTCTTAGGGGAAGCGAAGACTGAGTCCAAAAAAGTGAAGAGAAAGCAGGTGGTGGTGGCGAAGAAGAAGATGAAGAAACAGAGGAGGCAAGTGGAGAAGAAGAAGATGAGGAAACAGATGGAGTTGCAGAGGATGACAGAAGCATCTGATCATAAAGGCTCATAGGTTGCTGCCTCTGCACATCAACCGGCTTACAGTAGCTTAGAAGGTTTCTTGAAGCCTCATGAGAAGAATGCTGCATGGATTGGAATGCTTGATAGTGGACAATAGGCTCGGTGGATGTTGCAACGGACAAAAGGGTATTGGGAGGAGCAGAACTGGTCAGTTGGGTCGACGGAGAATCGGCAATCGGTGTTCGGAGCCGGACGTTTTCAGGGAAGTTGAGCTTGGCCTTGTTGCCCCTGAACCGGAGGGCGGCTTCGTCGTAGGCTTGGGCAGCGGCCTCTGCTGTTTCAAATGTGCCTAGCCAAACTCTTGCAGCCTTGAAGGGGTCTCTGATTTCAGCTGCCCATTTGCCCCATGGCCTCTGCCTTACTCCTCTGTATCTTCTTCTTATTGGTTCTGCTATTTGGGTAGCGCTATATACAAATGTGCTTGGAGGGAATGCTGTTTGTGTTGGTGGTGTTGTGCCTTGCAGCCTTCTGGCAGAAATAAATATGGAAAAACAAAATTTTAAAAAAACAAAAAAAAAAAAAAAAAAAAAAAAAAAAAACGAACCGAAAGATAAAAAAAAAACAAAACAGAGGCCAAGAGAGATAATTCATCACTCTATTATTATTTGTCTTATGGACTGGATTGTTCAAGTAACTTCATGCGAAAGTAATTGAACGCGTGCACGATTTTATTTCAATCAGTCAACCCTTGTAAAATCCAAAAGAATTAAGTGAAAAATGAAATTACCTGCTAAAACAGGGGAAGAGCTCTGCTGTGGAAATTCACCAAAAGCTCTAGAAAGCCTGGTAACCGACTGGCTACCACCACCTTCCTCTTCTTCTCGTCCTCTCTTCGTCCCAGAATCCGAACCACCTACGCTTGATGAAATCAAACCACCACCAACATCTTCACTCTGTCTATTAATTACCAAACTACTCTCTGCAGCTGCCAGCTCCTCATCCCCAGCCACCACATGCGCCAAAGCCGATACCATGGCAGACATCTCTCTCTCCCTATCCAACCGCAGCAGCATTGACGACCCGGCGGAAGCTAATATTTCACTCCCTCCTCCTCCACCACCGCTGCCGCCCCCGCGTTGTCGTTGTTGCTGCTGCAGCTGTTGTGAAAAAACAAGGGGCTCATAGAGCCATTCTTCAATGCTATGCTCTGTCCCAATATTGCTATGCCTCGCGGCACGTTGGTCTTTTTCCGCCACCTTTAGCACACACATATATATATTATATATCCACCCAAAGAACTTAAAACACACCAATTATTGTAGAGCTGAGCTTAGGCAACGTCAAGAAATTAACAAACACAAACGCCCACCACACCAAGCTTAGCTTTGAACCGGCGTCTAAATATATGCAATATTGCTGGAAGCTCTACACACACGCATATATATATATATATATATATATGATTAATTAAACGCCGCCAAGAATATATATATGTCGGTTAAATGGTCTTTGCCGGAACCATCTTCATGCTGAAGAAACCCATATAATATTAAATATTAAAATTGAATAGTATAAACGGTCTGAGAGAATTCAGTGCTTGCCTTGGCAACCGGCTTGATTTTAGAATGGATAGATATAGGAAGGAATTTTTACTGGGTCAAAAGCAAAGGGTGTGAACTGAAAAATTAGAAGGAGTTGTCGTGTGAACCAAAAATATGTGGCAGGCATTTGAGCTTTAGGGGGAACCCAAGCCAATCAATCAAAATGACGGTTTCGAAATTAGTCGGTATTGGGTTACAAAAAGAGAAGCTACAGCCGACATAAATTCAGACAACCTTTTTGGCCTGCCGTTTTCGGTTTGGTTACAACTTGGATTAACTAGTTTTTAAGGAACTATAGTAAAGTGAAAAGCCGTTTTATTTTTTAATAAAAAGAAAGGAAAAAGTCAATGGGGGTGGGGGAGAGGTTTGACCGCTTGGGAAGTTTGAAAGTCTAGTAAACTTTGTCTCAGCTCATATGACAATCAGCCCCAGCTATGAGATTTTTCGGCCCACAAGATGTCACAAAACAAACCCATTGCACCTTGTTACTAAAAAGAAATGCTATTTGGGCAGCGTGGTATAACTCAATTAATTGAGCTTTTTCACTTTTATTTATGTGGGTTGATGTTCAAAACTCCTAAGCACCTAATGAATATTTGTGTAAACCTTCTCCTCCAATATCTTGTACAAAAATAAAAAAATATTATTTGTACCACATTTACTGACCATCTCTCTAATATAGGTGAATTCTACGCTAACCACCTCTCTAATAGATGTGCGCTCCATAAATATAGATGGCCCCACATGCGTTTGTGGGACACACCTCGATTAGAGAGGTGGTCAACTATGCGATCTATAAATGTGATACAATTAGTATTATTGGAAAAGAATAGACTAAAATGTAGCAAGGTCCCTAAACTAAGAACCGATTTTACTTTTCGTCCTCAACTCCAAAAATTGTTATGGTTGTCCTCCAATTAGATCTCATGTTGCATCATTGGTCTTTCCGTCAATTCTATTAAGTTTTCTGTTAAATTAAGGGAAAATTGGGAAATTCATAACAAATATTTATGAGATAAATAAATGCATTAAAAAAAAAAGTAACTAATAAACTTTGAGATATAGGTTTCAGAGAGTCCATGGTTGCTCAAAAGGGCTAAAACAGAGTTTGCTCCTTGTGAGGATTGCAACTCTACCCTTTAGGATGATGAAATTGCGTCTTTTGGCGAGATAACTGACAGGACTTTACCAAAATTTCACTTTGAAATCTGTGTTTGAACTCTGTGCGTGTCCAACACCTAGCAGGTGCCAGGCACGCTTGACCAAATTGCCCTTTTAACTAAAGCTAAAAAATTATTTTAAGGTTTGATTTCCACAGAAAAATCGGCAGAGTCTCCCTTGTAAATTGCTCGTTTCCCAATAATTTACACTTGTACAAAATGCAATTCTTATATCCACAAGCGTTCAACATGCACAATATTATAGCACACACAATCTAACAGTAAATCTGTGTGGCCTTAGGCCTTACAGAAATCCTAGGGTAATATCAAAGCCTACTAATTAATTTAATTTACAAAAATAGTACGGTTATAGTAGGATATCCTACATAAAGGAAGTGGATGAGTGGTGGGTGATAAACGCCTAGCGGTGGTGCTCCAGTACTCGATTACTACCTGAGGGTGCAAAACATTAAAAGCGTGAGTAGACAAAAGAAAGTTTTGCAAAATATAATATCAACATACTAACCCCATTGTTAAAACCATTTGAAAATTCATTTAATCCATGTTCTATATTTGTACAAAAATCAAGCATGCATATTTATATTCATATAATTGTTCATACATCCAATCAATTCATCAAAACCATTTGAAAGCATTGGAAAATAATAATTCCTTTCCACCTAGGTGTAGCCTTCATAAATCTGTCAATTCCATGATTTTTCTATTTACTTCCCACATTATACCGTCAATTCCAAGTGTCACATAAGCGATACCTCCTCGCAGAACTCGGAAACACAAAGTTAATCCGAGCCGCATTCCTCGCAGAACTCAGGAGACACTTGGTCAACCAAAGGCAACAAGGATGGCCTTGGACATCATTATATCCGAAGGCAACAGTTTATTCAAAGGCAACATTTTGGGTACCTATGGTGGTTTAAAATTCTTTCCTGAAAAATTATAATAATGTTTCTCACTCAATCTTTAAATCATGTTACCATTTCCTTTTCTACTTTCCAAGCCATTCACATTTAATCATAAACAAAATTTTATAAACGCATTTGAATTCAAATTGTGTGCTTGGAAAGAAAAAACCATAAATTCAATTCAATTCAAAAATAAAAATTTTAATGAAAACTTTTACTTCATAAAAAAAAAAAAAAAAAAAAAAAAAAAAAAAAAAAAAAACTCACAGTGCGTCCGAGCTCGCCTTACCCTTCGAGGGTCTTTCCTGCAGGCTAGGTGGAGCCTGAGTACCTATTTAAGCGATTAAAATATTTAATTAATAAAATAGCTCAACCACAAATATTTAATTAAAACCCTGACCCCCGACCTTAAAGTGCGTGTGCGTAACTTAAGAAAGTTCCTAGGCCTTCAATAGTTGTGACAATTGGAATGGTCTGAAAAGACCTGAGATTAAATATACGATTAAATTCTTATATTAGTCAACCCGGTCCCCCACCCCCGGCCTCCGATTAATAATCCGAAAGTTCCAACGAGTTCAACAAAATTTACTAAACACGTCCTGCAAGTTTGGTCTAGATCGAGCGGTCGGATCAATCACGATCGCACGATCGAACAGTCACCGTTTTATGTAATCATTGAATCATTGATTCGGAGTATCCGGGACTTTGATTCTCGATCTGTGAGTTCCTACATGATCCTAAAGGTTCCTAGATCAACATATTTTGAAATGGAGTCTATCCAACAGTCCGAACATATCGAACCTGGATATCGCATAATATGTAAAACTTCGTTTGACTGTCAAACAATAACCAAATTCGAATATGAGCATACTGTGGTGCTCGAGACAACATGGAGATCATTTTAGGACCAATTGGGCCACCCAGACTCAGCTCACGCTCCCTCGTCATGCACGTCGGCAGAGTGTGGGTGGTTTGAGAAAATCCCGGCAACTGAAAATTTCTCAAAACACACACCAACACCTATACCTACGTGATCCGGACAACTAGTGGAACAACTTTTGTTCTTCGCCATGGCCAAAAAGTGGTCGAAGCTTGCCAAAAATTTGAGCTGAAAATCGGTCAAAACTTAGATCGTAAATCGAACTTCAAAACTTCAAAATCAATCCTAGCCAACCCAACCATCAGCTAAGTCACGTTGAAAGGATGAGAAAACATACCTAGTGTAGGGGTCTTTTTGTTCCAGCAGCCTGATGAATGGGCTTGGGCTGCCGTAAGAGAAAAACGAACCAAGATTCCTCAAGTGTCTGAGTTCAGAAACAAGTCTCCCAAAAGAGTTTTTGAAGAGCTTGATGCGACTCTAGAAAAAACACTCTCAGGTTCTTTTCACCAATAGCCAAGTAGACATAATAAGTTGATGAGTGGCTTAGCTTGAGTAGCTTGTGGCATGGGAGCTAAGCTTTCACAAGTTTAGCAATTAGAGAGAGAGAGAAGCGTGAGTTTCTTACAGAGAACAAAGGGTTAGAATGGAACAGAGGAAGATTAGGGAGATTTCTTTCTTAGAGAAAGGAGAAAAAAAACAAGGAAGAAGATTGGGTGGCTTGAGTAAATTCTCAGTTTCTTGACAAAGCTTGGTCAGGCCTTTGATGGTGATTTTGTTGGGTAGAAGAAGGTCCCTTTTATAGGCACAAAGAATCCCTAATTTTGTCTAACCTCCTTCTTCCTTTTTCTTTGCTTCTTTCCATTCAATCATATTCGGTGAAATTTTCCTATCTAAGGCGCCTAGGTAAGGAGCCCTTTGTGGTTCCAAGGTTTTGGCACAGCTGGTCTTCTCCATAAGGGTGAAACGTCTCCCACTTTCTTCTTGGTTTTCCTATGGGAGCTAACAGAGGAAAGAAAAATGGGTAGAGTCTTTTGTCCAATGGGTATTCATCCTTCCTTCATGGATTTCCTTTGGTCCCTGCCATGGCTCTTCGTTGACCATCTTGGGTTATGACGAGGGTGAAGCACGATGGCAGATTTTCCTACAAGTTGCTGGGCTGAGCTTGTGCGTACAATATTGGTTTATTAACATATTATTTCCAGTGCCTAATGGGTTTTCGTCAAGTTGCTGGAAACAGCCTTTTAATTTTGGGCATTTTATTGATGCTGGCTTTGTCTAAGTGCTATGGCAGACTACTAGATATCCTCCTAAGGCATTGGATCATTTTCTCCCCTCTCTCATGCTAACCCATGTGTTTGGGCTCAAGAAATGGGCTTGAGTTTTGGGGCTCCCAAGCAGTCCAAAACTTCCATTTCTTGGCTCATCAATGGGCCTCATGAAAGTTCGTTACCATCCATACCACAACCCACTCAAGCAAGCCCCGAGCATTTTGCGTGGCTTGAGCCCACTTAAGCTTGTAGCGTGGCTAGGTGTAATAATAATGATTTTTCCCTTGGCATTGCATGTCGCTTGGCATGCTTGAATTTCGTCGCTTTGAAGAGGAATATGATGCTTGACGGGATAATTAGCTAGGGCTCATAAAGCCAGTGCTTATTTCAACTCTTAGCATGAGAGATTGCATATTTATTTGGCATGGCACGTGGTCGTGGCTCGTGCAAGCGTGAATGACGAATTTTGCATGCTCCGAACCGGGTCTTTTCTTAATAAGGTGTCGCATTAGGCCAGGAATTTATTTGGGCCCAACCCTGGATTTTTGAGCCTCAACACCTGGATAGATAAATGTGGTGGTCGGAATCATCGGAAACGACGACGAAAAATTCGAAGAGAAAACCGGCGATTTTTTAATCTAATTCTGGCGGCACAGGCGGCGGTTGCGGCGAGGAAGGTGTGCCAGTTCGTTTGGGACCAGTCTCGTGGTCAACGGTGGCCTGAAGAGCGATATTGCTTACCAAACAATGGTCGGCTGTACGAGAGAGGTGAGAGATCGGGGGAGGAGGAGAGAGAAAGGGGAGAGACGCGTGAGAGAGAGAGACCAGTTTTTTTTGTTTTTTGTTTTTTTTCAATCTGACTTCAAAATATTTATGGTTGTGCCACTGCTCTTCCATTAATTGTACCTTTTTTCTTTAAAACTCCTATTTGAGCCCACTACATGTCTATGAACTTGTATTGACGCGCTCTACGCAATGGTGCTACTAAATCCCCAAATTATTTCTAGAAAAAAAAGTCAATTTTTAAATCCATTAAAATACTGTCAGGGTAAAATTGTCTTTTACTTGAATAATTTAAGAATTAATTATTAATTTAGGAATGGGATATCACAACCCACATAAGTGGCCGGACACGATGGTGGTTCCGGTGGCCTGGGTCATGGTTTGGGTGGCTAGGTTGGTGAGTTAAGGAGAGGGGTGGTTATTAGGGTGGCTAGGTTGCTGTCGTTTGTTAGTTTTATTTATTTTTAGTTTTCGGCTTTCAATACGGATCTGCTGTTTCTGACATTGCGTGACAAATTTGCATTGGAGGTTGAGTAGGTGTGCTTTCGGTTGCTGAATCAGGGATTTTAATTAGTTTTTGAGTTGTGTGTTATACTCTCTAGATCAATTCAACTTCTTGTTATGCTTGATCACTGGAGAAGATTTATTCATATTCAACACCATAGTGTCTTTGTACTTGTTCCGTTCCTCTTATCAATAAAATACTATGGCTCTTTATCGAAAAAAATTTAGATGACAAGGTACGTAGGTTTAATTTAGTAGTTTAAGAAAGGAAAAATGTTTTCAGAATGCTTGCACCCATCGATCCCATGGAGATGTGTGGGCAAGCAAAGACAACAACTTTATTGCAAAGGAGCAATTTCGGTTACATGGGGAGAAATTTCAATGGTCTGAGTAACGGTGAACATTGAAATTTCTCTTCTTTCAGTGATTGTAACAACGAAAAATCTGGAGAGTTTCAAATGACATTGTCTCATAGGATGTGGCTTCTGATTTCTTGCACTTCAGACAACTCCGACAATATGATTCGCTAGCTCATTGCCGACGCGCAAGCAAGCGGCCATGAAGATCAAGCTACTCATCAAGAACAAGTTTGAAAATCGATTGTGGAAGAGGAAAACCGACCCTAGAAGCTTGGATTTTCACATGGTGGTGGTGTGCTAAGAGTGGAAGCGAAAGCGATGGGGAGAGAAGTCAGGTTCGATGAAGGAAGCTTGTCGAGCTCGTCTATGGCGGCTTTCGCCTTCTTTTGGATTTAGGGTTGTTGTGACCATGTTGTGAAATCCGCATATTAGGGTTTTTTTTCCTTTCATTTTTTAAATCTTTTTATTTTCTAAATGTTTTGGTTCTTAATAATAATAATTAAAGAAAAACTCAAATAATAAGTCACGTGAACCACACGTGTCCATTTAGATGTTAAAGTACATGAAATTCAAAAATATTAACAGTAAGGGATAAATTGACTGTTTTAATGACTTCAGGTGTTAAATTTACTGATTTTTAGCTAAGGGGGGTTAAATTATACAAGGATCATAGTTCAGGGGGTAAAACAGCTAAAAATCCTGTTAATTATTATAATATACATACTTGTGGATTAAACCAACTAAATTACAATCTTGACTATTCTTTTAAAAAAAACATTACAATCTTAAGTAAATAATTTCAATGTAGTCCTCAAACTCTATTCAATTAGTAAGTTAATATAGTTCTAACTACTCGTTTTGGCTCATTGCACAATCTATCTCATAATTTGAATTGTTTACCTTTTTGATCTTCATTGCAAGATCATTCTTGTCAAAATTAATTCAAATAGAAGAGTATTCGAACACACGACCTCATATATAGAAATAATAATTCTTAATTATTATAACTACAAACTCGGTTGAATGTTATATATTTAAATATAAATTATAGGAACATTCATCCTTACACTGTTGAATTACCATCGCTTTTGCTTGTATAGAAAAAAGAAGGAAAAGCATATCAGCGAGTGGACTTCGTGTTTGGTGTATATGTGTCCACGTCGATGGTGACATGGACATTTGTAATTTGCTCCCACATGTACAATGACGGTGTTGCTTTCTCTCGAGTCTGACTTGAGTCAAAGAATCACGTCATAAGTTTGTTTGTTTTGTTGTCCTATCTCTATATTTGTTCATGTGGTGGTCGGTCCGAAATTAACGAACAAAAAGCAGGTTTACGCGTATAGGGAGCTGCTACTAGATCGGTCCACTGTTTGACATTTTGAATGCACGCTTCCAAAGGCCATTGCTACAGAGTTTGCAATGCGATAAGACCTACGAAAATTGTCAATGCCCGAGTGGGAAACCTGAGACTTCGTTATGGCTACGGGCACAATCAAAACAGTCCTATACTCTTATTTTTTTATTATATAAAAATGATATTAAAGAAGGGGAAAATTAAATTTAGAATTTTAGATAAATATTTTTAATTACTTGAGTTATAAGATGATTGCAAATAAATTATTCTTTTTATTTAGAGGTAAACATGAAGAGGGTTTTTTATTATTATATATATTCTATTTTATATATATATATATATATTTTAAAAAGTGTTTACCTTATATCAAGGTTAACAAATTCATCACATGCCCGATCATATTTTAAAGGATTAAATGTAATTTTGATCACTATGTTTTTATTTTTCTCAATTTGGCTATTTTGTTTGACTTTGTTAGTGTTCTAAAGGATCAAGTTAGCCCATAAAAATAAATGTGTACTAACTGAGTTTGGATAAAAATTAAATGCAAAATAAATAAATTGGCTCCAACGTGAAAAATGAAGATGGACCTCTATCCACCAAACTTGCCGGTTTTATTTTTCAACAGAGAAAAAAATCAGTTCTCATTTAGTTGGGAAAGACACTTGACAAACAAAGTGTGAAAATAATAATAATAGGAGTTGGGAGAGTACCCTACATCTTTAGGAGCAAGGAAGGTGAAGTGGGTACCTCAATATCTACCACGTGGAAAAGAAGATTATCTCTGAAATTAATTAATTGAACCAATTTATTTGGCTAATTAATTGATTGAGATAATATCTTAATTAATATGATATTATCTTAATTTAATAAGATAATATCATTAATTTAGATATTATCCTAATAAAGAGAAGATAATATCATTAATTCAGATATTATCCCAATAAAGAGATATAATCAAGTCTGATTTAATCCCTACAAATTTGGGTAAAGAATAAACTCATCATAATAAGAGTTTATTCTCTACGAAGCCCTCGCCTCTTCTTCTATAAATAGACGACTTCATTCATCATTCAAGGTACATCTAAACCTACTCCTAATACCCGAGAAAAATACCCGAAGCTCTCTCTCCCTCTCCACTCTCCATATTTTCTCCACACCGCTCCGGCCTCCCGGTTCACACCATACATACAATTCTGTACCCTTTGCTTAGCTATTGATTTCCTATAAACACTCGAACTGACTTAGGCATCGGAGGGCCTTTGGCCAACACCCCCCCCCCTTGAGTGTGGTCTATTTACTCCAATATTTTTTTATAGGAATCGAGGAAGAGAGAGAAGGAAGATTGAAGGTTGAAGGATCTAGACGCGAATATTCTCCCACAAACTTTATTTGAACAAGCCATCACACTAGGCTTTTCTGCTTCAAACAACAAGGCAGAATATGAGGCATTGCTTGCAAGAGTGCCCCTAGCAAAACAACTGTTGATCAAGAGATTGACCATGTACTCAGACTCCCAGGTGATTACGAATCAAGCCTCAGGCGAGTACATGGAAAAACATCCAAGAATGATCCAGTACCTTGACAAAGTCCAAGGACTTTTCAAAGAATTCCCTACTTTCACCATCCAACAAGTTCCACGGGCAGAGAACACTCATGCAGATGCGTTGGTGAGCCTAGGATCAGCATTGGATACCCAGTTTAGACACTCCATCCCAGTCGAACACCTTTACTGGCCAAGCATCGAAGAAATAGAGCCAATCGACTCAATGCAAATCGATGAAAACCCCATCATCAACTACTTAGTGAATAGAAATCTGCCAATGGATAAGTCCGAAGCTAGGAAGGTCCAGCATAAAATAATGAGATACTACATGCAACGCGACAAGCTCATTCGCAGATCATACTCCGGCCCTCATCTCACTTGCATAAAATTCCTTCAAACACTTGAGGTCCTCTGCAAAATTCACGACGGCGAGTGTGGCAACCACTTTAGGGGCAGGTCACTCGCCCAGGAGGCTCTAAACGTAGGCTATTTCTGGCCAACTACGCACCATGACTTCACTAAATATGTCAAAAGATATGATTGCGGCCAACGGTACAAACTGGTTCCTAACTTGCTCACCGAAATCTACATCTACAGAACAGTCCGTGGCCTTTCATGCAATAGGCCATCAACCTAGTGGGCCCCATGCCAACGGCACCTGCCAAGAAAGAAATGATGATTGTCGCCACTGATTACTATACTAAATGGTTCGAGGCCGAACCTCTATCCTCTACTAAAGAAGCCGATGTGGAATGATTTATTTGGAGAAACATTATTTGCTGTTTTGGTTGCTCACAATCACTAGTAACCAACAATGGCTCACAATTCATCGGCAAGCAGATCACCGCATTCTTCAAAAAAATTTGGCATCAAGCAGTATCTGTCTACCCCGAGATATCCTCAGGGCAATGGCCAGGCCGAGGCATCCAATAAAATAATATTGGATTGTCTAAAGACGAGATTAGAAGACGCTGAAGGAAAATGGTAGATGAGCTTCTTGGAGTGCTATGGGCTTATCGCACCACCAAGCGGAGATCATCTGGCGAAACCTCGTTTTCCCTCGCCTATGGAACTGAAGCAATCATTCTTCCTCACGTCACTGTCCTCTCCATAGGCAATGAAGTGGGTTGTATTGAGCAAAACTCCGAGCAGATGAGGCTCAGCCTTGACTTACTTAAAGGTGAGTGCAAGAAGGCCATTGTCCAAGTCGTCTCTTATCAACAGCGGTTGAAGTCTTATTACGACGAAAGAGCCAAGATTAGACTGTTTCAACTAGGTGACCTTGTGCTAAGAAAGACCTTCATCACTGCACAAAGACAAGGGTCTAAAAAGATGAAACCCAATTGGAAAGGCCCTTATGTGATCAGCCAGTTCGGGGGCAGAGGAAGCTATATATTTGACACCATGAAAGGGAAGGAGATTCCATGACAATGGAATGCCTGCCACCTCCAAAGATATTATCCATGACACTTCCTTATACCTGCTCAGTCCCCAACAGATGACTGAGCCATAAAAATAAAAAAAAACACACACACACACACACACACAGTTGCCCATAAACAGCGTCATTTGGGAGACGCAGGGCGACGACCAGAAGCGTCCTTCGAGAGACACAACCTGCAAAGAAGCGTCCTAAGGGAGACGCATGGTACACTAGGAATTTCCTCTGGGAAGTATCCAGGTTCCTATCCGTTTCCTAAAGGGGGCATGATGGTCATATAGTTGCCTATAAAAAGTGTCCTAAGGGAGACACAGGGCGACGACCAGAAGCATCCTTCGGGAGATGCAGCTTGCAAAGTAGCATCCTAAGGGAGACGCAGGGTGCACCAGGAATTTCTTAAAATGAGGTCTCCATGCTTCCTGCAGGAAGTATCCAGGTTCCTATCCATTTCCTAAGGGAGGCAGGATAGTCAAATAGTTGCCCATAAAAAGCATCCTAAGGGAGACATAGGGCGACTGCTAGAAGCATCCTTCAGGAGACGCAGCCCGCAAAGTAGTATCCTAAGGGAGTTGCAGGGTGCGCCAGGAATTTTCTAAGGGAGGTATCCAGGTTCCTATCCGTTTCCTAAGGGAGGTAGGATACTCATACAGTTGTTCATAAGCAGCGTCCTAAGGGAGACGTAGGTCAACGACCAGAAGCATCCTTTAAGAGAAGTAGCCCGCAAAGAAGCGTCCTAAGGGATACACAAGGTGAGCCAGGAATTTCCTAAGGGAGGTATCTAGGTTCCTATCCGTTTCCTAAGGGAGGCAGGATAGTCATACAGTTGTCCATAAGCAGCATCTTAAGGGAGACGCAGGGCAATGACCAGAAGTGTCCTAAAGCATTTTCCGAAAAATGCAAAATACGCTCGGAGTCTCTCAAGGGGGACCCTGGCTGTTGCCAAGATCCTAAGGGAAATGTTCATCCAAGACACTAGCCAGTTACTCAAGCAGTTCATAAGACAATATGCAAATTGAAGTTGAAAAAAATTATAACTAAAATTTCTATAGCAAAGTGACCAACCAGCCAAGTTCAAACAAAAAGAAGATGGTCAAACAAGACCAATTATTCTAAACAAAAAGCAGACTACAAAAGCTGAAAAGAAATAAAAGAGTCTTCATCTACTCCGAAACGCCAGCATGAGATCCTTGATCTACCGCCTATTCAGCGTCCACCTAATCAGCCACGTTCTCAGCAGCTCCACACGCCTGATCTATGACGTCTGCCACCACCTCATCAGCTGCATCCTCCTATGCTCCATCCTCTTCAGCTACCACCTCTTCAGCCACCTGCTCTTCAGCTCATTCCATGTTCACAGCATTAACCTGCTTCTTTGCACACGGAGCAAGTCAGGACAGAACATCTCGATGTCTTCATCTCTAATGGCATAGAAGGGATGATTTCCATTTGTGCGGTCCAAGTAGCCTAACTTGTAAGCATCCATGGTAGCTTCGGACTTGGATTCTTTAGCAGACTTATGATAGGCGCGAAATCTAGCCAAAATTTTGTCATGAGATGTCGGCACTCTTGCACTCAAGATGGAAGTAAGCATCTTTTCGACTAGCCAAGTCAATAGTAGAAGAGTTAAGCTCGAAATCCTTCTCAGCAAGGGAACTCATCAGCTCAGATATCATCACCCTCAAATCAGACGTCTTCTTCTCATAACGGGTCTGCTCGGCAGAAAGCTTGCTAACTAGCTCGACATTCTTCTTCTCTAACTCACTGAGCTGAGTAGAAGAGGGGGTAACAACAGACGAGTTCTAAATGGTCTCAGCAACAAAAACTACTCCTTTTTGAAGCAGATGAAATGTTGCTTCCCTTTGTTTTTCCAAGGAAAGACATGAAAAAGTATCAAGATCGCCAGCCTGATGGATATGATCAACCAACTTGAAGCAATGAGACAGGCTTGACAGGAAGTTCATCTTTAGCAGATTAGACACTCCTACATCCCCTGCAGGACTGGACTTGTCCACCTTGGATCAGCCGCTGATGTTGTAGAAGAACCTTTCGCTCAGGTAAATGACTCTCCTGCCTTCGTAGCCGCCACCATCCTCACCTCCAATGGAGCCAACAATGCTTAATCAATTCCATGCTTGACTGATCGTGACTTAACAACTCCATCGTGATGGTTGGGCGGATGAGCAGTCCTCCCAGTTTGATCTATCCATACTTGTGCAGACGACTAGAACCTCGGAGAGAAATATCATCATCTCTTTTCCTCTCAGCAGGTGAACAAGTTCGTGAGTGGACTACTTCGCGGAGCATATCATAGTCTACAAGCTTGTCTACAGGAGGCTTGAATGGAACATCCCAAATATTGCGCATACCGCCAATCTTCTTGCTATATGCACCAATGAGATGTTTAACCCTAGTTGGTGACAGGGGAATAGCTTATACTTAAGTCTTCTTAGCATAAGGGATCCTTGGCTTCTTCCTCAACAGGGACACATCCTTTGCCAACAAAGTTGCAACTTCATTTCTTGAAGAGTTGACATCAGTCTTCCTATTTATGGGGGGTCGGCAAAACAATCCTCCTGCCAGATGGCAGATCATCAGAGTCTGGACCATTTTGCTTCCATCTCTCAACATCCTGGGTAGGGGGCAGACCACCAACTTCCTCACGATACTCGCTCAGCAACCACCAGCGGCCACAGTTGCTCCAACCATTTCTGACTGGCAGTCAGGACGACAACCAGCTTGGTCCCACCCAGTTGGTCCTCGCTGCTAAAAAGAGAAGACGAAGAAAAAAATATTTGTGCTTGACTTACCTTGGGATGCAAGGCAACTCATCTCTTCGACAAGCAGTACAAATTCTCCAAGATCTCTCTCAAGCTAAAAAGTAGAGAAGTTAAGTTTGCAATGTAAAGAAGAGTGAAGAGAAGCCCTGCATTTATACAAGTTGGGCATCCTAGGTCAAAAAGGAATCACAAGCCCATTCATACTAGGAACCCAACTCCAAGAACATTCAGAAGCCTACTCCAATTGGGAATCCGATCTGCAAAAAGGGTCCAACTCATAGAAGAAAGCCCAAATATAGTTGGAGAGCTCGAAAAATAATTTCATCTTCTACATGCCACGCAAGGGCCATGTAGAAGCTGGGGGGCATTTGTGGGAGCAAATATTTTTGTCTCCAATCACGGCACGCCACATGGAAAAAAAAATTATCTATTAAATTAGTTAATTGAACCAATTAATTTGGCCAATTAATTAATTGGGATAATATCTTAATTAATATGATATTATTTTTATTTAATAAGATAATATCATTAATTCATATATTATCCTAATAAAGAGAAGATAATATCATTAATTCAGATATTATCCCAATAAAGAGATATAATCAAGTCCGACTCAATCCCTACGAATTTGGGTAAAGAATAAACTCATCATAATAAGAGTTTATTCTCTACGAAACCCTAGCCCCGAGGCTCCTATAAATAGACAACTTCATTTATCATTCAAGGTACATCTAAACCTACTCCAAATACGCGAGAAAAATACCCGGAGCTCTCTCTCCCTCTCCACTCTCCATATTTTCTCCACACGGCTCCAACCACCACACATGGGTCCGGCCGCCCGGTTCACACCATACATACAATTCCGTACCCTTTGCTTAGCTATTGTTTTCCTATAAACACTCGAACTAACTTAGGCATCAGAGGGCCTTTGGTCAACACCCCCCGGGTGTGGTCTATTTACTTGAATTTTTTTTACAGGAATCGAGGAAGAGAGAGCAGGAAGATCAAAAGTTGAAGGATCTAAAAGCGAATATTCTCCAGTGAGATTATTTGCACAAACATCTATGGTCACTCAATCTTCCACCAATTACCTTTTTGATGTCTATAAAAAGGCCTCAAGATAAATGTTCCAGTGGCATTTGTTGGAAAATCAACAATCAGTATTACACTAATAATAATTTAACAGTTAAGTTAAACAATAAATTAAATAACAAAATTAAATAATGTAATAAAATAAACACTGACTGTTCTTTCATATAGAGGCTTGCAGATTTGTAATGTCTTTGAAACAGAATTTCGCTTTGGCATTAAATCATAACTTGCTATTTGCAATTAAGTATTTTTTAGGCTAGTTTGATAACCATTTTTCAACTTTAAACATTTCATTTTCAGTTCTTTTGAAAATAAAAAACACGGAAGACATATTTGGTAGCAGTTTTCAATTTTCTTTTCAAACCATTATTTATGAAAACAGCATTTCAGTTCTGACTTTTGAATTTTCGTTTTTATTTTTTTCCTCTCCTTTCTTATTCACTAATTTAACATCACCAAAAATACATCGCACTCAATTCCCAAACTTGGTATCTAGGACCTCCCAACTTGGACATGGTTGCTTGACTTTTGTGCTCAGCACCTAGTCCGAGCCACAAGACCTCCAAACCCAAAATTCGCCAAAAATTCATCCTAACTCTGAAAAATTCACCGAAATACTACAGGCACATCCACTATGACCTCAAATTCACAATTTTACAACAAGAAAATTTTCATTTAAATAAGTAAAAGAGGTGTTAATTTAGTAATTTAAAAATTTAAAGTTTCAAAAAAAAAAAAAAAAAAAAAAAAAAAAAAAAAAAAAAAAAAAAAAGAACTACTAAGTCAAATTAAAATTATGATCTGGGGCTCGCCAGCTTAAGCAAGCAAACATCTGTGACCGCACGACACCCACCATGACTATCAGACTCGCTCACATGAAAAACAAAAAAAGAGCTAAGTCAAAATCTATCTATGTATCTTTTAATTGTCTGCAACTCTTTTATGTAAGTTGCTGCGTGTAATTGTCAAGAGTACAAACGATTGTTGGAGGATATTTTACAAAAATATTTATTGGGTATATGGAGGTTTTCAATCTCTATCTATATAGATGGAGGTGGAAGAGCTCAACCAATTGAGCTATACACTCTATTGATAACTGCCAAGAAACTTACGTATGAGTGCTGTGACACTTGTTGAAACGGTAAACTCCACCTCAAGCTAAGATAAAACATAGTCACAAGTTGTAAACGTAAGCTGTCCAAATGAATGAGAGTGCAACAACTAATTGACAATTAATTTATAATAGGGAATGCCACCTCCAGTATTCTGCAAAGTTAGTAATAACTGCTAGGATTTGAGGCAAAGTTGCTTAGGTAATGGAGTGTGCATGGTGAATAAATATTCTTCTATTAACAGTCTTCCATGTCTTTGGTTTTTTTTTTCGGTCGAATCTTCCATGTCTTGGTTAATTGTTGTCTGCGTAGAAATATTCATATTGGTTCCAAAGGGCCAACAAATAATTCTAAGGCATACTATAATAAATAAATAAAAGCTAATAAACGTAGGATGGAACTAAGTGAATAAAAACTTATATATAAATGAGAAACTCCCTTCCCTTGTAGTTTAAATTATCGCTTGTGTTGTATATTTATAAAAAAAAGTGTTGATTCCTTTCTTTTACAACAATATACATACTAAATTTAGAGTATAAAATATGGGTTCAAACTTGTACAATATTGTGGGAACCAAATTCTAGCAAAACCCTAGATCAAATATTTCCTTCTATTTGGGGATTATTTGATTTAGGGATCCTTGCCTCGAATTAGGGATTTGATTTTCATTAAATCCCTAATTGATTTAAATATCCAAAAATCAGAAAAATAATTCCTTTCCCAATAAGGATTATTTTTCTCAAATCCTAACCCTACGAGGCTCTATAAATACATGGCTACGCACAAAAGTTGAGGTACATCTAAATTCCTCTCTGAAACTCTGCAGAAATTATCTTTCACAAACCCTAGCCACCATACTCTTTCTCTTCGTCACACAAGGCTCTGACCACCACACACGGCTTCGGCCGCTCGGTTCACACCATACATACATTTCCATATCTTTTTTTAGCTATTGTTTCCCTACGAATCAATTGAACTAACTTAGGCCTCGGAGGGCCTTTGGCCAACACCCCTCGAGTGTGGTCATTTCATTACAATTTATTTTGCAGGGAGAAAGAGACGACGAAGGGGAAGATGAAATATTAGACGAATATTCCCGTAGAACGAAAATCGCTCCCACAAATATCCTTATATAAAAGTTCATGAGTAACTCAGAAGAGACTCAAAGAAAAGAACAAAGCAAAGACAAACATAATATGTGTGTGTTTGTGCAAATAATCCCGCAGGAGAATATTCGGTTCTAGATCATTCAACCTTCAATCCTCCTTCTCTCTCTTCCTCAATTCCTGTAAAAAAGGCTTGAGTAAATAGACCACACCCGATGAGTGTTGGCCAAAGGCCTTACAATGCCTAAGTTAGTTCAAGTGTTTGTAGAAAAATAATAGGTAACAATATGGTACGGAGTTGTATTTATAGTGTGAACTGGGCGACCGGAGTCGTGTGGAGAAAATATGTTGAGTGGAGACTGGAGACTGGAGAGGGAGAGAGCTTCGGGTATTTTTCTCGAGTATCAGGAGTAGGTTTTTTGAAGTACCTTGAATGATGAATGAAGTCATCTATTTATAGGAGCCTCGGGGCTAGGGTTTCATAGAGAATGAACTCTTATTAAGGTGAGTTTATTCTTTACCCAAATTCGTAGAGGTTGGGTCGGACTTGATTACATCTCCTTTATTATGATAATATCTGAATTAATGATATTATCTTTATTAATTATATGATAATATCCTATAATTAAGATATTATCCCTATTAAATAACTGGCCAAATAAATTGGTTCAATTAATTAATTTAAGAGATAATTTTCTTTTCCACTTGGCGTGCTGTGATTGGAGACGAAAATATTTGCTCCCACAAATGCCCCCCCCAGCTTTTGCATGGCGCTTGTGTGGCATGTAGGAGATGAAATTATTTTTTGGACTCTCTAACTGTGTCTGGGCTTTCTTATGTGAGTTGGACTCCTTTTGCAGATCGGATTCCCAATTGGAGTAGGCTTCTGACTGTTCTTGGAGTTGGATTCCCAGTGGGAATGAGCTTGCGATTCCTTCTTGACGGGGGTTGTCCAACTTGTATAAATATAAGGCTTCTCTTCACTCTTCCTCACATCGCAAACTAAATTTCTCTACCTTCTAGCTTGAGAAAGATCTTCGAGAATTTGTGCTGCTTGTCAAAGAGAGGAGTTGTCGTGCATCCCAAAGTAAGTCGAGCTCGTAAAAAAAAAAATATATATATATATTTTGACTTTTGGCAGCAAGGTTGTGGTCTAGCATGAGTTGCAAGTTCATGGGCAATAGTTGACAAAAGTCTAGAATGGAGTTGCAAGGCCAGCATGCCCTTGAAGGCCTGGAGCTTGGACCTGCATGCGCTGAGCTCAAAGAGATGAAGGCACTGGGCTTTGGAGCAGAGGCTTGGAGGTGCTCGGCCTTGGGCGCGACGTGGGCTTGTGCCAGGCAAGCCGGCTTTACGAGTTGGAGCTAGAGCGATCGAGCCAGGCTGGGATGCGCGCTAGGTTGTGATGGAGCAAGGCCACGTGCGTTGCTGGCAAGATGGGCTTGAGTTGGAGGGTGCACTGGGCTGCTCCAAGCTTGACCACTCTTCCCTTTTTTTTTTCCCTTTTACTACCATTTTTTTTTATAGCTTTTTTTTCCTGCTACCTCCCTTTTCTGTTTTTTGTTTTTGTTTTTTTTGTATTCTAACTTGTAAAATTTTCTTCTCTTCTTGCAGTTGCCTATTGACCATGTCTTCTAAAGATGGTAATAAGTCACCAAGCTCCCAAGTGCCTTTGTATATTTGGGGAGGCTCCCAAGTGTACAAGAAGAGATTTGGGCTAATCTGCACCGCGTTACGACTGAAGCTCAATTCCAGAAGTGGTGGGCCGCTTATGCTTCTACAATTCCTGATGACGTGCATATCAAGCTGGCGAAGCCTTCGATTGATGACGTGCCTTGCGTGGATGCAAATGATCCAAATGCTAGGATCATCACCTTTCATCCCTTTTATTTCTCCTTGGGCTTCACATTCCAGCTGTCAAACCTTTTCAGAGAGGTGTTCTGCGCCATGGGGTGTGCTTTGAGTCAGTGTACTCCAAACGTCTACCGGGCGATCATGTGTTTTGAAAATCTGAGCAATTTCTTCATGTTGAAGCTAACAGTACAAGAGTTCTTCTATTTTTTTCGAAGTGAGGTGCTTCGAGGAGTATGCCTAAGTTCGCATCTACAATGCCAAGCTATTTGACAGTCTCAGCCAAGGAGATCACGTGTGGCACGATGATGAGTTGGAAGTTAGCGGACGATGAGAAGGCAACGTTGGTGATGGTCCACTTGTTCCCATCACCTATTGCAACGGTACGTCTTTTTGCAGTTTTTGATATGCTATCTTTTTATTTGAGTTTCTTGAAGTGTGGCTAACTAACTTCTTTCTTCTGCTTGTAGCGAGTGACATCTATAAGAAATTGGAGCTTGGACCGGACATGGCTAAGGTTAGCCGTGCTTTGAACATCCACCCAAGGTTTCGCGAGTGGCGTTGGCTGTTGAGCGAGTATCGGGAGGAAGACGGTGGACTACCCCTTGCCAAGGATGTCGAGAGATGGAAGTAGGATGGTCCGGACCCTGATGATCTACCTGTTGGACAAGAGGAATGCTCTGTTGAACCCCCCTTAAAGAGGAAGGCTGATGTCAAGTCTTAGAGAACTCAAGCTACTTCGTTATGGGGGAGGAATGTGTCTCCATTGAGGAAGAAGCCAAAGCTCTCTTCTGCTGAGAAGACCCAAGTAGTAGCTGTTCCCCGGTCATCTGCCAGGGTCAAACATATTGTTGGTGCAGATAGCAAGAAGATTGGTCATATGTGCAACATTAGGGATGCTCCCTTTAAGCCTCTTGCTGATGAGTTTAGAGATCGTGGTCATATGTGCGTAGCCATGAAGTAGTCCGTGCGCGGTCTAGCTCACCTGTTGAAAGGCAAAGAGATGCAGATGTTCCTCTCCGAAGTTGGGGTCGTTTGCACCAGCCGAAGAATGGAGGTCGATCTCGGCGGTCTGCTCATCCATCCAACCATCATGATCCAGCTGTTGAGTCACGAGCAGTCAAGCGTAGAGTTGATTCGTCGTCACCAATTCCTTTGGAAGTGAGGTTGGCAGAGGCTAGGAAAGCAAGAGAGCCATTTGCCTGGGCGAAAGGTTCTTTTGCAACATCAGCGGCTGATCCAAAGGTGGACAAGTCAGCCTTGCAGAGGATGTAGGCGTGTCTGATCTGCTTAAGACGCACTTTCTATCAAGTCCATTCGCTTGTGCTGAGCTAGTTGATCAAATCCGTTAGGTTGACAATCTTGGTACTTTTTCAAGTTTTTCCTTACAAAAACAAAAGGAAGCAACATTTCATCTGCTTCAAAAAGGAGTACTTTTTGCTGTTGAGACCATTCAGAACTCGTATGCTATTGCCCCCTCTTCTGCTCAACTCAATGAGTTGGAAACGAAGAATGTCGACCTAGTTAGCAAGCTTTCTACAGAGCAGACCCGTTATGTGAAGAAGACATTTGATTTGAGGGCGATGATATCTGAGTTGAAGAGTTCCTTCCCTCGCAGAGAAGGATTCCTTGCTTAACTCTTCTGCTATTGACTTGGCTAGCCGAAGAGATGCTTACTTCCGTCTTGAGAGAAAGAATGCCAACATCTGTCATAGTTAGTCTACTGAAGAATAACTATCATAAGTCCAGATTTCGCACCTATCATAAGTTTGCTAAAGAATCCAAGTTCGAAGCTGGAGGAGTGAATTGGTGAGTTTTGAGAGAAATCCAATCGTAAAAAAAATCCAATAAACCAACCCCTCCATTTACGGAACGAACTTCGTACAAATTTGAATTGTCCAATTTCGTTGACTAATCGATATCGGAATGAGACCAAAATTGGGGCAACAACATAATATGGTGGGAGGAGTCATTTGGTGAATTTTGAGTGAAATCCAATCACTAAAACTACGCAATACACCAACCACTCCATTTATGGAACGAACTTCGTACGAACTGAAGTGAAAAATTTCATGGCCAATCGCTGTCAGACAGAGCCCAAAACTTGGGCAACATCATAGTATGGTGGAATGAGTCATTCGGTGGTTTTGAGTGAAATCCAAACGCTAAAACTATGCAATACACCAACCACTCCATTTACAGAACGAACTTTGTACGAACTTGAATTTTCCAATTTCATGGCCAATCGATATCGGCTTGAGCCCAAAACTAGGTAAACATCATAATATGGTGGGAGGAGTCATTTGGTGAGTTTTGAGAGAAATTCAATTGCTAAAACTATGCAATACACCAACCACTCTATTTACAGAACGAACTTTGTACGAACTGAATGTGCAATTTCTTGGTCAATCGATATCGGATTGAGCCCAAAACTTGGGGCAACATTATAATATGGTGGGAGGAGTCATTTGGTGGTTTAGAGTGAAATCCAATGGCCAAAACTATGCAATACAACAACCACTCCATTTACAGAACGAACTTCGTGCCAACTGAATTGTCTAATTTCATGGGACCAATCGATATCGGATTGAGCCCAAAACTTGGGGCAACATCATAATATGGTGGGAGGAGTCATTCGGTGAGTTTTGAGTGAAATCCAATCGCTAAAACTATGCAATACACCAACTAGTCTATTTCAGAACGAACATCATACGAACTGAATTGTCCAATTTCATTGGACCAATCGATATAAGATTGAACCCAAAACTTGGGAACATCATAATATGGTGGGAGGAGTCATTTGGTGAGTTTGGAGTGAATTCCAATTGATAACTCATATATTTATACATTTATACCATCCATTTCTAGTCTATTTGTGATGTTTTTGAGTTAAACATGTTGCGTTTTACCCTATTTTGTGTTAGTATGCAGTTGCACCTACTTTAGGATCAAGTTGAAGGCAAAAAAAATCAAAACATGTCATTTTTGGGAGCTGGCCATTATTCAAACGTGGAAACAAATTTCGTGACCTGTTTTGAAGTCCAAATAAAGATCCAAAGTGAACCTGGCTTGTTTAAAGACTAAGAGCGGAATGGGAAAGTAATGGGGATTTCTAGCCTGATTTGGAGGTGCCAAATAAGGCAAAAACGTGCAAAATAAAGGCTGATTTATTAGGATCTCTTTGGAATATCTGGCAGCCTCTTTTACCCCATAAAAACTTGCCTTTTAGCCACTTTCACAGACCCTATTTATTTTGGACGAATTTCACAACCCTAGACATCCTTCTTTTTGTTATTCTCCCCTTTCACACACACTTAAAACCCTAGCCGCCCATATATTTCCACCATCAAGACTCATCGCAGGAGGCTGTTCTGGGAGAAGTTCAACATCAGAATTGGTTCAAGGGTTTCCTCTCATGAATTTATTTTCACTCATGTTGTTTATTTTCGTTTTAATCTTTGTGAACATGATGTGTAACTAAATTCATAGCTAGGGATTTCGATGTAGCCTTGCAACATTGATCCATGTTTCTAAGTTAAAGTATTCAGTTCATCAATCTGTTTCTTGTTTCATTCACTGAATCTATTGTTAAATTTGTTTGTCAATTTTAATGTTTGATCACCATTAGGGTTGCCTACAGATTATCTGTCAAGGTTATTGTAAACATCATGCTTAATCTTGGTAGACATGTGAATGAATGAAGAGAATGCTATGCAAACATCCTGCCATGTGTTTTCTTTGGTTCTTTAACGTTTTCTTGCATGGTAATGACTCTTAACTTGGAACCAAAGTTGAACATCCCAATTAGGTTGCATATTAGGAGAATTTGATCAAAACCACACATCATATGGCTGATCATATATATGTAAAACGAACTCTGGAAACAGGTTGGTAGTTGAATACGGTTTAATTTATAAACATGGAATTGGTTTTGCAATGGTGAATTCGAAATCCCTGGTCTCATCCCTATTCTTCTTACATCAATATCTCATTCGCTGCTACATTCGTCTTGCATTTTAAGTTATCTTTCATTTACAACACAAACTACTCTCAATTTGTCACTTTCACTTTTAGTTAGGGTTCTTTCAAAACTAGTAATTTATAGAGGTCCAATCGGTCCCTGTGGTTCGACACCCTTACTTGTACCATTATACTAACCATATATTGGCACTTGGAAGGAACACAACAAAATTTTGGCGCCGTTGCCGGGGACTGATTTCAGTCCTCTGTGATTGCTTGTTCTCAAACCCTAATTTCGTTTTATTTTTGTTTGTCAGGTAGTATATGTCAGATACACTTGCTGAAATAGGCCAAAGACTTGAACGGTTAAAGAGCAACACTTTTGAGAATTCTGTATCAGCTAGTGCCCAGACTAGCCGTATAGAAGAGGACAATAGTTCTTCTAGCCCAGCGAGTGTAGATTCTTTCGATAACTCTAACTCTGACGGAGAAGAAGAGATGGCTGGCAATAACGATGACAACCGAGCTTTGGAAGATTATGCTCAACCGGTTATACCAAATTCACCTTCGTGCATCTTGCTGCCTACTGAAGCTAGAAATTATGAACTCAAATCTTCACATTTTCACATGCTTCCTTCTTTTTATGGTTTACCTAACGAAGATCCATTATCCCATATTAAGGAATTCTACAATGTTGTGAGTGGTTTACCTTTGCAGGGAGTGAGTGAAGCAAATCTGAGGATGAGGGTTTTTCCTTATACATTGAAAGATAGAGCAAAGAATTGGCTAATGACTTTAGCACCTGGTTCGCTCACCACTTGGGATGCCGTAGCTAAGAAGTTTCTGGAGAAGTTTTTCTCAACTCAAAAGACAGCTACGTTGAGAGGGCAAATCTTTAACTTTAAACAAGATGATGGAGAACCTTTCAATGAATGTTGGGAGCGTTTCAAAGGCCTGTTGCTGCAATGTCCACATCATGGGTTACCTCTTTACTTACAAATGCAAATTTTTTATGATGGACTAACCCAAACATGTCAATCAACTGTGGATAATGCAGCAGGTGGAGCTTTGAAGAAGAAGAATGCGCAAGAGTCATATAACATTTATGAGATGTTGGGATCTAATGCTCAACACAAAGATACAAGAGGTAAACGAGTTGGAATGTATGAAATGAGTTCTAATAATGATCTTGCTTTGCAGGTGGCTAGTTTGGGAAAAGAAGCTCGATTCTGTGCTCAATATGGCGCCTAAGATAGCTGAGGTGTGTGCCATTTGCAACATACCAGGTCATCCTACTTATCAATGCTCAGCTAGTGAGGCTTATCCCGAATTCGTTCAAGAGCAAGTGAATCTCATGAATTCTTACAATCAGAGGCCGAGGAATGACCCATTCTCTAATACATATAACCCTGGTTGGAGAGATCATCCCAATCTCTCATGGAAGAATAACAATCAATTTCAAAATTTCCAACCAAAGCCTGCCACTACGCTTGAAGATACTGTCAAAATGCTAGCTCAGAAACACCGTTCAATTCCAGCAAACTACCAATAGTACTCTCCAACAACATTCAGCTGCTCTAACCAAAATGGAGACACAATTAGGTCAGATTGCTGATGCTTTGAGTCAAAGAGAACCCGGGAAATTTCCAAGCCAACCGGTGATACTTCAAAGGAACCAAGAGCAGGCCAAAGCGGTCATAACACTTAGAAGTGGTAAGGTTATTGATAATAGAGTTGGCAATGAAGTTACTAATGAATCTGATCATGTGAATGCAGGCCCCACTCAAGAAGAGCATGAGAAACCGAATGAAGATCCAAGCAATGCCACTTCTTCGTATGAAGCTCCAAATTTTCACAAGGCTGAAAAACCTTACACTCCTCCAATCCCATTTCCTGGAAGACTTGCCAAAAGCAAGCAGGAGAAGTCATTTAAAGAAATTTTTGATATTTTAAGTAAAGTGAATGTTAATTTACCTTTGCTTGATGTCATTAGGAATATGCCAGCATATGGGAAATTTTTCAAGGAGCTAAACACTTATAAGAGGAAGTATGGACCTAATGAAAAGGTGATGGTGTCTGAAAATGTGAGTGCTGTGCTTCAAAGAAAGCTCCCACCAAAACTCAAGGATCCGGGCAGTTTTTCTATCAATATCACCATTGGAGACACGCTAGTTGAAAAGGCTATGCTTGACTTGGGGGCGAGCATCAATTTAATGCCCTATTCAGTGTACCTTCAATTAGGTTTGGGGGGGTTTGAAGGCAACAACTATTTCATTGCAACTTGCCGATCGATCAGTGAAATATCCAAGAGGTATAGTGGAAGATATCTTAGTTCAAGTTGACAAACTAATTTTGCCTGCTGATTTTGTAGTGTTGGACATGGAAGAGGCTCCTATACATGATCGTGAGTTACCTATTTTGCTTGGGAGACCCTTTATGGCCACGGCAAAGACTATCATAGATGTGCAAAATGGTCTCCTCACCATGACTGTGCTAGGAGAAACTGTACAATTCAAAGTGTTTGAATCTCTTTCTCACCCTTCTAGTTCACTTGATTGTTGTTCGATTGATGTGCTTGATTCACTTGTTTTCTCTAAGTTTTTGCTGGCACAATCCAATGATCCATTACAATATGTTTTGAGTCAATCTCAAGATGACTTTGATGAAGAAGTGCTCATGGAGATGGTGGCAGCCTTGGAAGCATTAAAACCATATCCCTCCACTTTTTCACCTCTTATAGAGCCATTAGGACCATCTGCCACACATCTGACCCCTTCTGTTGTTAAACCTCCAAAACTTGAGCTTAAACCACTTCCATCACATCTAAAATATGCTTACCTAGCTGAGTTTGAAACTCTCCCAGTTATCATAGCATCTGACCTCACCCCTTTGGAAGAAGAGAAGCTAATTAGGGTGCTAAAAGAGTTCAAATCAGCCATTGGTTGGTCTATTGCAGATATCAAGGGAATAAGCCCTACCATGTGCATGCATCGTATTTTATTGGAGGAGGGAGCGAAACCAACTCGTGAACCACAAAGAAGGCTCAATCCACACATGAAGGAAGTAGTGAGAGCTGAAGTGTTGAAGTTGCTAGATGTGGGTATCATATACCCGATTTCAGATAGCAAATGGGTCAGCGCTGTTCACGTAGTGCCTAAGAGGATTGGAATCACAGTGGTAAAAAATGAGCATAAAGTGCTTGTTCAAATGAGACCTGCAGCTAGTTGGCGTGTTTGCACCGATTACAGGAAGTTGAATTCGTACACTAGAAAAGATTATTTTCCTATGCCTTTTATTGATCAAATGCTTGAGCGATTAGCTGGTCACGCATATTATTGTTTTCTTGATGGATATTCAGGTTATAATCAAATTGCGATTGCTCCAGAAGATCAAGAGAAGACTACATTCACCTGTCCTTTTGGCACTTTTGCATATAGGAGGATGCCGTTTGGCCTTTGCAATGCCCCAGCAACATTCCAACGATGTATGCTGGCAATCTTTTCAGATATGATTGAGAGATTTATTGAGGTATTCATGGACGATTTTTCAGTTTTGGTTCTTCTTTTGATACTTGTCTTAACCATCTCTCTCTAGTGCTTCAAAGATGTCAGGAAACAAATTTGATTCTCAATTGGGAAAAGTGTCAATTTATGGTGAAACAAGGTGTTGTGTTGGGGCATGTAATATCCAGCAAGGGTATTGAAGTTGACAAAGCAAAAATTGACATCATCTCAAATATGGCAGCCCCTACTTCAGTGAAGGGAGTGAGAAGCTTTCTAGGACATGCTGGTTTTTATCGTCGTTTCATTAAGGATTTTTCCAAGATCACTCATCCATTGTGCAATCTTTTGGCCAAAGATGTTGTATTTCACTTTGATAAAGATTGTATGAATGCATTTAATACCTTGAAACGTGAACTAACCTCTGCTCCTATCATTATGGCCCCAGATTGGTCTTTGCCTTTTGAGCTAATGTGTGACGCCTCTGACTATGCTATTGGTGCTGTTTTAGGTCAAAGAGTAAATAAGCTGCCACACGTAATCTACTATGCAAGTCGGACATTAAACGATGCTCAACTCAATTACTCTACAACTGAGAAGGAGTTGCTTGCTGTTGTTTTCGCTTTAGAGAAATTTCGTTCATATCTTGTTGGCTCTAAAGTTATTGTTTACTCTGATCATGCAGCTCTTAGGTTTTTGTTGACCAAGAAAGATGCTAAACCACGTTTGATAAGATGGATACTCTTGTTACAAGAGTTTGACCTAGAAATTCGAGACAAGAAAGGGAGTGAAAATGTTGTTGCTGATCACTTGTCGCGCCTTGTTGATGAAAACCATGGAGATGGACAAATTTTGCCTCTCAACGAATCATTCCCAGATGAAAAACTCTTTGTCATCCAAGATAAAGAGCCATGGTATGCTGATTTTGTCAATTATCTTGCTTCTAGTGTAATTAGAGATGATTTGACTTTTCAGGAGAGAAAGAAGTTCTTTTCAATGGTGAAACACTACATGTGGGATGAGCCCTATTTGTTCAAGTATTGCCCTGACCAAATCATTCGAAGATGTGTTCCAGAGAGTGAGCAGCAAAGCATACTAACATTCAGTCATGCATTGGCATGCGGAGGTCATTTCAGTGCCAAAAAGACAGCTTTAAAGGTTTTACAATCTGGTTTCTTTTGGCCTACATTGTTTAAAGATGCTTTTGATTTTTGCTCTAAGTGTGATAGGTGTCAGAAAATGGGGAGCATCAGTCGCAGGAATGAAATGCCATTAAACAACATTTTAGTGGTAGAGCTGTTCGATGTATGGGGAATTGACTTCATGGGACCATTCCCATCTTCTTTTGGATACATATACATACTAGTGGCAGTAGATTATGTATCAAAATGGGTTGAGGCAACAGCTACAAGAACTAATGATCACAAAGTTGTTTTGAATTTTCTCAAAGATATGATTTTCACTAGGTTTGGAACTCCGAGAGCTATCATTAGCGATGGTGGCAGTCACTTCTGCAACAAACCTTTCGAGGCATTGATGAAGAAGTACAACATCACACATAAAGTGGCAACTCCATACCATCCTCAAACCTCTGGACAAGTGGAAATCAGCAATAGAGAAATAAAGAACATCTTGATGAAAACCGTCAGCCCTACAAGGAAGGATTGGTCACTAAGGTTGAATGATGCACTTTGGGCGTATCGCACAGCGTACAAGACCCCAATTGGAATGAGCCCTTATCGACTGGTGTTTGGAAAGGCATGTCATTTGCCAATGGAGCTTGAGCACCGTGCATATTGGGCCATAAAGAAGTTCAATTTTGATCTCAAAGAAGCTGGTACAGTGAGGAAGCTCCAACTCAATGAGTTGGAAGAGCTCAGAAATGAATCATATGAGAATGCAAGGATCTACAAAGAACGAACCAAGCTCTACCATGACAAAGCAATTCTTAGGAAGGAGTTTCAACCAGGTATGAAAGTACTTTTGTATGACTCACGTTTGCGACTTTTTCCAGGTAAATTGAAGTCTAGATGGGTTGGACCATTCAAAGTGCTTCAAGTATTTCCCCATGGAGCTATGGAGATAGAAAACATCAAGAATGGGACCCGTTTTAAGGTCAATGGACAGCGTTTGAAGCCTTATTTGGAGAATGTTTCACAGGAGCAGGTTTATGTAGTTATGGATTCTCTCGAGTTTATGACAACTTAGACACACTACCATGTCTTGCCTAGACATTAAATAAAGCGCTTGCTAGGAGGCAACCTAGCTGGGTTTGTGTTCTTTCCTTTTATTTGTGTTAGTTTTTAGTTTTTATTTTATTTCATTCCATGCACACTGCCAATTTGCATTGCATCCATTCCATTCATTTTTTTTTAAGCATCGAGGACAATGCTTAGTTTAGGTTTGGGGGTGTGGGATTTTCGTTTGTTTCTAGTTCTGGTTAAAGGTTTGCTTTTGCTTACTAATGTGAATGTATATGAGGGCTATGGTTTACAATGAGGACTACTGTGTTGTCATGAAAAAGTTCGTATCATTATTATTATTTTTTTTTCAAAGCTGTTACTCTTGGAATCATGGTGGTTAAAGTATCATGCTCAAATTCTGGAAGAAGAATTGTGGAGACTACCCTAGAGAGTGATTTTGAGCCTATTTACTTCTTTGAGAGGGTTTAAAGTGTTTGTACTCCTATCTTTTTGCTTCAACTTCATTTCAAATGATCTCATTATTTTTGTTTGATTGAACGCTAAGAATTGTTCTCTTTCGCAGATACCATGTGTTTGGTAACACTCATGAATGAACTCATTGAGATGATGTTAGGCTATGCATGTCTTAACCACCAAAAGGCCTAATTTCTTACCTTTATGTGTGTGCCATTACCCCATTTTGAAGCCAATCATGTTTAGCCATTTTCTTTTCTCACATTTTTTTCCCCCATATCCTTTTATCTCAATATGAGATATTTAGCCCATTACAGCTATACCCTATAGTTTGGGGAATACCAAAGTGATGAAGACAAAGATAATTCGAGCTCTACATAAAGAAAGTGGTGTGTACCGAGGTATGTGTGCTGGAATTGTAGAAAAAAGAAAGAAAAAAGAAACAAAGTTTTAGAAAAGAAAAGAAAAAAAATCAAAGAGGATGTAATTTCTAAATCCTTCCATTATCGCACGAATCCTGGATGCCACGAACAAACAACAAAGATCAATTCAAGAGGAGAGCTTGCTGCTTTCACAAGGAAGACACTTTGGTATGTCCCAAGCTTTAGTATTTCCTATCCTTTCTTTCATAGCCCCTGACCTAAGCCTTAACATTACAAACCTTGTGAAAGACCTAGCTGATCTTTGAGGATGTATTCATGAGTGCTGCTAAGTATGTGTGCTATCCATATTCTTAGTGTTTGATTCCCTTTCATGAGATCTGTCCAGAAATTGTGCTTTTATTTCATATTTCATATGTGAGGATTTTGATTTCCTTTTACATAACTTCACTCACATATGTTTGAGGAGAGACCGTGCCTTAGGATCTGAGTGAAAATTTGAGTGATATCTGTGAGGACTAGAGTTGAGGCGATTTCTATCTTTGGCATTTGAGTATGGTATCTTTGAAGTCATGGGACATGGAGTAATTATTTTTTACACTTTATGATATGATTCTTTCAAGTGGCAGACTAGTGGTTTGAATGTATGACTAAGCTTTCATTGGTTCTTATTAGTTTGCTATAAGTATGCTTTAACCAATTTGCTTGCAAGTATGCAGATGTTTGTGGGTGTCATCACTGTAAACCCTCAGGAGACACAACTCCTCCTACTAGGGACACCTAGGGGTTTAAAGGCTTGTTGCACATGCTCAGTGCAATCGTTTAGCCAGCGAAAGTGGTCTAGTTAGATTTTAGTGTCTTGTGTGTTTTCAGTTTCAGTTTTGCTCGAGGACTAGCAAAAATCAGGTTTGGGGGTATTTGATAACTCATATATTTATACATTTATACCATCCATTTCTAGTCTATTTGTGATGTTTTTGAGTTAAACATGTTGCGTTTTACCCTATTTTGTGTTAGTATGCAGTTGCACCTACTTTAGGATCAAGTTGAAGGCAAAAGAAATCAAAACATGTCATTTTTGGAGCTGGCCATTATTCAAACGTGGAAAGAAATTTCGTGACCTGTTTTGAAGTCCAAATAAAGATCCAAAGTGAACCTGGCTTGTTTAAAGACTAAGAGCGGAATGGGAAAGTAATGGGGATTTCTAGCCTGATTTGGAGGTGCCAAATAAGGCAAAAACGTGCAAAATAAAGGCTGATTTATTAGGATCTCTTTGGAATATCTGGAAGCTTCTTTTACTCCATAAAAACTTGCCTTTTAGCCACTTTCACAGACCCTATTTATTTTGGACGAATTTCACAACCCTAGACATCCTTCTTTTTGTTATTCTCCCCTTTCACACACACTTAAAACCCTAGCCGCCCATATATTTCCACCATCAAGACTCATCGCAGGAGGCTGTTCTTGGAGAAGTTCAACATCAGAATTGGTTCAAGGGTTTCCTCTCATGAATTTATTTTCACTCATGTTGTTTATTTTCGTTTTAATCTTTGTGAACATGATGTGTAACTAAATTCATAGCTAGGGATTTCGATGTAGCCTTGCAACATTGATCCATGTTTCTAAGTTAAAGTATTCAGTTCATCAATCTGTTTCTTGTTTCATTCACTGAATCTATTGTTAAATTTGTTTGTCAATTTTAATGTTTGATCACCATTAGGGTTGCCTACAGATTATCTAGTCAAGGTTATTGTAAACATCATGCTTAATCTTGGTAGACATGTGAATGAATGAAGAGAATGCTATGCAAACATCCTGCCATGTGTTTTCTTCGGTTCTTTAACGTTTTCTTGCATGCTAATGACTCTTAACTTGGAACCAAAGTTGAACATCCCAATTAGGTTGCAGATTAGGAGAATTTGATCAAAACCACACATCATATGGCTGATCATATATATGTAAAACGAACTCTGGAAACAGGTTGGTAGTTGAATACGGTTTAACTTTATAAACATGGAATTGGTTTTGCAATGGTGAATTCGAAATCCCTGGTCTCATCCCTATTCTTCTTACATCAATATCTCATTCACTGCTACATTCTTCTTGCATTTTAAGTTATCTTTTATTTACAACACAAACTACTCTCAATTTGTCACTTTCATTTTTAGTTAGGGTTCTTTCAAAACTAGTAAATTTATAGAGGTCCAATCAGTCCCTGTGGTTCGACACCCTTACTTGTACCATTATACTAACCATATATTGGCACTTGGAAGGAACACAAACCAATCGCTAAAAATATGCAATACAACCATTCCATTTCGAACGAACTTTGTACGAACCTGAATTGTCCAATTTCTTGGAATCGATATCGGATTGAGCCCAAAACTTGGGAACAACATAATATGGTGGGAGGAGTCATTTGGTGGTTTTGAGTGAAATCCAATGGCTAAAACTATGCAATACACCAACCACTCCATTTCAGAACGAACTTCTACGAACCTGAATAGTCCCAATTTCTTTGGACCAATCGATATCGGATTGAGTCCAAAACTTGGGGAACAACATAATATGGTGGGAGGAGTCATTTGGTTGGTTTTGAGTGAAATCCAATGGCTAAAACTATGCAATACACCAACCACTCCATTTCAGAACGAACTTCCTACGAACCTGAATAGTCCGATTTCATGGACCAATCGATATCGGATTGAGTCCAAAACTTGGGGAACAACATAATATGGTGGGAGGAGTCATTTGGTTGGTTTTGAGTGAAATCCAATGGCTAAAACTATGCAACACACCAACCACTCCATTTCAGAACGAACTTGCTACGAACCTGAATAGTCCGATTTCTTGGACCAATCGATATCGGATTGAGTCCAAAACTTGGGGAACAACATAATATGGTGGGAGGAGTCAATTGGTTGGTTTTGAGTGAAATCCAATGGCTAAAACTATGCAATACACCAACCACTCCATTTCAGAACGAACTTCCTACGAACCTGAATAGTCCGATTTCATGGACCAATCGATATCGGATTGAGTCCAAAACTTGGGGAACAACATAATATGGTGGGAGGAGTCATTTGGTTGGTTTGAGTGAAATCCAATGGCTAAAACTATGCAATACACCAACCACTCCATTTCAGAACGAACTTGCTACGAACCTGAATAGTCCGATTTCATGGACCAATCGATATCGGATTGAGTCCAAAACTTGGGGAACAACATAATATGGTGGGAGGAGTCATTTGGTTGGTTTTGAGTGAAATCCAATGGCTAAAACTATGCAATACACCAACCACTCCATTTCAGAACGAACTTCCTACGAACCTGAATAGTCCGATTTCATGGACCAATCGATATCGGATTGAGCCCAAAACTTGGGGAACAACATAATATGGTGGGAGGAGTCATTTGGTTGGTTTTGAGTGAAATCCAATGGCTAAAACTATGGAATACACCAACCACTCCATTTCAGAACGAACTTCCTACGAACCTGAATAGTCCGATTTCTTGGACCAATCGATATCGGATTGAGTCCAAAACTTGGGGAACAACATAATATGGTGGGAGGAGTCATTTGGTTGGTTTTGAGTGAAATCCAATGGCTAAAACTATGCAATACACCAACCACTCCATTTCAGAACGAACTTCCTACGAACCTGAATAGTCCGATTTCATGGACCAATCGATATCGGATTGAGTCCCAAAACTTGGGGAACAACATCATAATATGGTGGGAGGAGTCATTTGGTTGGTTTTGAGTGAAATCCAATGGCTAAAACTATGCAATACACCAACCACTCCATTTCAGAACGAACTTGCTACGAACCTGAATAGTCCGATTTCTTGGACCAATCGATATCGGATTGAGTCCAAAACTTGGGGAACAACATAATATGGTGGGAGGAGTCATTTGGTTGGTTTGAGTGAAATCCAATGGCTAAAACTATGCAATACACCAACCACTCCATTTCAGAACGAACTTGTACGAACCTGAATAGTCCGATTTCATGGACCAATCGATATCGGATTGAGTCCAAAACATGGGGAACAACATAATATGGTGGGAGGAGTCATTTGGTTGGTTTTGAGTGAAATCCAATGGCTAAAACTATGCAATACACCAACCACTCCATTTCAGAACGAACTTCCTACGAACCTGAATAGT